TGTTGTTACCCAAATCAAAATAACCCTTCTTCAAAGTCAAGGGGACATCAATCAGACAATCGCTACTTAATCCAATCCCGATCAATCATCAATATCACCATCGATTGTATTATTTTCGAGGGAACTCGATCCTTACCTCAGAGTTCGATTGGTTCCCGATGCCGCCACCGCACCGCGTCGCCTCTTCCAGTCGCTCTTCCGGCTGGCCAATTCCATCGATGTGGACAGCATCAAATGATGGTGGGGCGCTCCTCTCTCTCTCGGCCCTTGCATCAGGTTAGTGAACCCGTCTTCCCTCGGCTTTGCCTTTACCTTCCGATGATAGTAAATAACTACCTAACGCATCAATGGGAATATGGGATGATGAATCGCTGCTTGGAGAATTTTGGGTTAGCTTATAATTAAAACTCCTTGTGAAACCGACTAGGGTTGGGGGGAGGAATGGGTAACGGTGGGGTGATGAGATTAATGGTGGGGGTTAAATGGGAGAAGGTAACAGGTGGAATTTGGGAAATTTTTCTATTTTTTTTAATTCATTAATTATCACGTATCACCTAACCCAAACCTGAGCTGAAACAATTACCGGTCGAACCTGAACCCAAAGGTCGGGGTGTAACATATTGAGTACAAAAATTACACAAACATTGCTCTATCCTAGTGGACAAAATGTTAATCATTTCGTAGTTAATGTCGCAGGTTTATGAATTTTCTTAACTTTAATAAATTAGTTTTATGAATTTTCTTAACTTTAATAAATTAGTTTTATGAAGTTAATTTAACAATTTAGCCTCACTCTTTATTATACATTTTAGTTTGAATTATAATTTTGCCAAGCAAATTTAATGAGTTAGCTTAAATTGATGAATTAGTTTCTCATCGCTAATTTTTAGCATTTTCAATTGATGTTTAAAGAAAGTTCCTCTGAACGAAAAATTGTGGTTATGTTCCTATTACATACTGTGAATTTAGTTTGAATGGTTGATATTACGATATTCTCTATTTAAATCTAAGGTGCCAGTGATTGTAAACTTAGAATAAGCAAAGTCGGAAACTATTTCTTTCATCTTCAGAAGTCCTGTTGAGTTTAATAACGTGATTTCTTATTTTCATTGTCATTAGCAATTACTTGGTTCTATTATAGCGATATGGTTTATTTTTAATTTATCTAGTTGATTGGTACATCCAACCGATATGATGTAATTTTACCAACATTATTTACTATCTTTGTCTCGCTATCTTAGTTGGTTGTATATTTTTCATGAACATGATATATGTGTATAACGTATCTATCATTTGAACCTACTTGGTTTTATCGTCTTTAACTATTAATGATTAACAAATGAACGTACAAAAAGTCAAAAACAAATTGATTGAGCGAAAGACATATTTGAGCTTGATGTGTGGGCTTGACCAGTTCGAGTGTTTTATGTCTAAACGAGCGAGTTGGTCGATTTTGGATTGTGGTAAGTGATTGTAAACTTAGAGTAAGCAAAGTCGGGAACTATTTCTTTCATTGATTAGAAGTCACGGGATCTCACTGACCAGATAACGAGTTAGCATCTTGGGGCGAAGCCCCGGGTTAGGAGCTGGGGGTGCATTGTTCCAACCATGTATGCATGGCCTAATCTATTTTGAGTTACAAGTCAAACCGGTTTATATCTTTGATCTGGTTTGACAAGTGGAATAGTACGACCGGTGGTACAAAAATGTTTTGTCGGTTCATGCCGATTTTTGAAAATGTGAAAATGATTAATATCTGAACTATTTAATCATATACAAAACATATTTGTAGACAATTCACTTACAATCCAACCAATACCATCAAATTTTAACTATTAAATTCAAAAAACGAATAATAAATTAACTTGTTTATTAATTAAATTCATGAAAATGATTTTTTTCTTACATACCGTTTGGTATAAATGAATTCATAAGTTTTTAGGAATTCATTTTGAAATGAAATCTTTTTGTGTTTGGTATGTAAAAGAATTCATTTTCAATTCTGAATTTTGAATTCTATGGAATTGGAACTAGTTATAGCAATTCCGAGGAATTGAGATGGAATTTTCAAATGAATTCCACAAGTATTTACCAATTATGATAAAAGGACATAATCATTCTCATGCATTAACAAAATTACTTCTACATATATTATTTGGCGCCAATTCATGCAGTATGAGGAACGTCGACAAGAATTTGATTGTAACGCTAATAGCATATACCAAACACATGAATTCATTTGATAATGAATTCTACACAGGAATTCATTTTAAAACGAAATGAATTCTAGATTCATTTGGTACCAAATGGTCTGTTAGACGAACTTTGCCCAATTCAAGTTTCCCACAACATTGATGTTCGTTAAAATGTTTAAATAACTATTGGGAACATGAACGGAAGTAGACGGTCTCAAAAGTCTACACATTAAATATAAAAGAAATTTCCCTGTGAACTCTTCACCTTCCGTGAGATCTTTCACCAAATCTGTTTTTAAACTCAAGCATTTTATTTGTCCAGTACCCAAATTAAATCTTACCCTCACTCCGCCATCACACTCACCTAACTGGGTTTCCACATCCATACCTTGAGCAGGTAATCCCAGTATGGTGACAACGTTATCTACACTTAGAGACAATCGATTACTGTGCACATTCAGTTCACTAGTTGTCACATTGAATCTCATCATAAGGTCCTCCAAAAGATTCAACTTCAATTTATGCTTCTTCAAGTGCAAGAGTGCACCAAATCCAATTTCTTCAATGGCCCTCTTTTTTCCATCACATAAACTGTCGATGAGCTCACAAAATTGGCGTACGCCACAACGGCTACTCAAATATACCTATGTCAATCAATGCCAACCAATATTCAAATAAACAAATTTCCTATGAAATTAGAAATCAAGCAAATAAACTAATTTTATACGTAATATCAAAACAAAATCACCAAACTCAAAAGCTTAACCGTGAGTACAGTAGTCTTAAAAAGACCACTAGTTTTTAATGGATTACCTTTTTCTTTCTTTGTTGGTTTTCATCATTAAGTTCGGAAGAGACTCCTTCGTCGATCTTACTCATCTTTGACCTGTACATAACAGAAATTAAATTTAAACTTTAATAAAACAAGTACGATGATGAGTAACAGCTCAAAAAAGGTTGGGTTACGTTTCATATTGAACATAAAGCTTGCAAATCCCCTTCATGCTTACGTATAACTTGCAAAAGCTTTTTAGTTTCATTATTATAGTGATGATCCAAGTAAAGAAGTAATATGAGTAGAATTAACAGGAAAGGTTGGTTAATTGCAAACATAATACCTGTCCTCCTAATTGCAAACACGACGGCGGAATCAGAGCAGCGCGACGCGGAAGGGCGAACTCCGCTGTCCGTAGTTGCTGGTCGCTACTAGATAAAACGAAGGCCGGATCAGAGCAGCGACGCGGCGATGTTGGAGGAGACGCGGCGATTTCGGAGAAGACGCGGCGACTTGTGCTGGTGAAGAGGAAGAGGACTGGCGGTGGTGATGATGTCGACGACGAGGGGATTCTGGGTAAACGGAGCAGAGGTGAGCGCAGAGCGAGTTGGCGATGGCGGAGGTCAGCGATGCGGCCGGATCAGGACTGGAATTTAGTGCGGCCGGAGTCGATGGTGATGTGCGGCTGGGGATGGCGAACTCCGCTGGGGAGTTGACGTAAGCGCACGCCGGGAGGGAGCCTAGCCTGTCGATTGCCGACAAGGATACATACGTACAGCTACGACGGCGGCCGCAACGAAGATGAAGCTTGAGATTATTTAGACTCGGGACTGCAGATTAAGCAATAATTAGGAGGAACAAACCCTAACGCGTTGGTGACGGGAACAATAAAACTAATGAATAAGTGAGATGACCGGCAGCCCCCGTTGACAAGTATTACGGATGTTTTTATGTTTTCTAATCCGAGGGTCTAAGTTTATTTTAGTATGATCTAACGGTGTAAATCTATATAAGTTACCTAACTTGAAATTATACCTCATTACCGTAGGAGATCCCCATATATATATATAATAAACAGCCGCGTAAACAAACACAGTTGATGATCAAAGCCATGGTTTACATAATCCGTTTCATTAACAGCGTAAACAAGGTGAAGTGGGAACTCGTGGATAGCATTTAGAGCACGTGATTTGGTCCCTGATAATCATTAATCTAATATGAGCTTATCTCCTATCATCTATCTGGCTTACCTAACTTTTATGTCGAGAGGGATTGGATGGTTCTATGCGTGGCATCCACAGATTGTTTTCTTCTTTTCATACAATTGTAATTCAAGCAAATGAACATCCTAACCTCCTACTTTAGATGGGAGGAGCATGTAATTATGGTGTGTTACAACTTTAATGTGATTTAGGGCATGTTTGGAAGTTTAGATTCTCCAAATAGATGCATTTAATCAATTCATGTATTATTATTTGATGTATTGATTCAATGCATGTATTAGGAAAATACCTTGTTTGGAAAGATAATGATTGAGCAAAAAGTAGGGTAGACAATCCCTTGTTAACAATCTCTACTTTTTATAGAGATTGACAATCATTCATTTTGAGTGATTGTGGGTGGGCCAGGAAAAAGGTAATATATACATTCTAACTCAAATTGAACCAAAAAAACGACTTAATCTTATCATTACGGGGTCATTTGGAAGTTGCGATTGTTAAACAGATGTATTGTTCAGAATGCATGTATAATATTATACATGTATTGTCGAATTTGATGCATTGTAGAATTTAACGTTTGGTATGTGTGATTGTGTATATCGCATCAGCTAAAAACTGAGACAAAACAATCTCAACTATCTCAACAATCACAACTAAAAGTTGAGATATAACAATCACTCAAAATGAGTGGTAGTTTCTGTCACATCACAGAAACAATCCATGTATTGTTTCTGCTAAAAAAACAAACAAACGATGCATTGTAAACAATACATGCATAATGACAATCTCAACAAAACTATCGCAACTTCCAAACGACCCCTACATGTATTGGCTAAATACCTCACTTGAAATCTCAACTTCCAAACGACCCTTAGAGGATTGGTTAGCTGTAGTGATGGCAATTTCAACCCGCCCTGTGGGTATTACCGGACCCGACCAGCGATGGGACGGGTATTACCCGACCCACAGTAGCGGGACATGGGTATCTACTTCCGACCCGCCCTGCCCCGCCCCGTTCTAGACTCATTTTATCTCAATTTCTTACAATTTCTAAACATATTTCTCATATTTTGACTTTTCTTCAACTAGTTAGAGTCGCTCTTTCAACTTGTTAGACTCAATTACCCATTCTATTATCACTATTTTTCTTTCTTAAAGTGTTTTACCCTTCGTTTTATCGTAAAAAGTAAAATTTACTTGTATTTTTTTCGAATAACATGTAAGAGTGGGTCGACCCGCCCCACCCCGTACCCGCGCGGGCTTTACCCGCCCCGTCCCGTAGTAGCGTGGGACAGGGCATGAGAATTGAGGTACCTGCCTCGCCCCGCCCCATTGCCATCACTAATTAGCTGAGAGATCGATCGAACCGATCGAATCAACTTCACATCGTACCATCGTGAAACACTCTGACTAGAGATAGAAAACTAAAAACTCGATGTTCGGATTTACCAACCAAACCCAACCCAACAAATTGAACCCACCCATCCGTTTGTCGGTGGTCTTTTTCCAGGACTCCTAAACTCTCAGTCACACCAAGGCGCCCAAAATTTCAACTCTTCTCGAGCATCACAAATAAAGGAATTGATTGTTTCTACGTTTACACTCACTAACCAGAATCTTCCCATCTCCACAGCAGCATCCACTTTCTTTTATATCAACCATAATTACCCACTTTCAATCCAATTGTCATCTTCATCGTAACATTAAAAACACCTAGCAGCAGTGCTCTAGAGAAGTAACCAGCTACAACATTCACATCCCTCCTCCTCTAGATCAAACTTGCAATCTAATCACTTGGCAAGTCGAGTCTATTTGATCAAACCGGCCAAGAAAACCCTGCGTCGGCAACCAACTTACAATCTGCTCAGCCATGCACATCTCTTTCTTCTTAGTATCCTTCAGACTCCAACAAGATTCAAGGCGTCAGAGATGAGAAATAACCACACATTCTTCTTCTCCTCCATAGAAATACCAGACAACCAAAAGCTCCCACTTAACTGTCAATTGCCACATCTAATGCTTTATGGCCTGGAGAAAACTGCTCCAGTACAAAGTCCTACTACACCTTTCAACTCTTCCAAGTTCCAACTAGCCATATGCAAACTTTCCAACATCACAATCTCCCTATGAAGCATCTTGGACTCCATCTTCATATCCTACCTAACTTCTAGATTCACTCACACTCCCCTGATTGCATCAAAAACAGGTTCAATTAGAAAGACTTTTCATGCTACTACCACTTACAATCTCCCCCACTATACTGGTTTTGGTTTAGCCACCATCCTTCCATAATCCAACTGATACCAGCAGAGAGATTTGCCTCTACCCCCATTACTAAATGAATCTTGTATCTACCCTTTCGAGCTCTAAGGCAAGGTCCAATGGAGGAACCAAATTGAGGGGTTTGTCATCTAACCCGCAAGAGATCGTCATAATTCCAAAAACACAGCAAATACCCTAAAAAAGTTGCAGCTAGTGAATACAGCAGAATTCAGATTTAAGCAATGGGTTGGGTTTTCAGGTGGATTGCATTGAAAGAGTTCCATCCAGTGAGTAGAAACATAACAATCCGCCACAACCATGACAATCGATTTCAAATTAACTTAAGAATTACCATCACGATTGCACAAATTCACAAAAGTTATCGCATACTACTATCTCTGCGACCTAGTTCTAGTTCAAGCACCACGATGTAGATTCGACAGATAGGGAAGCAAACCAGCTAGATTATGGAGAGGGATTTGGATCAGATAGGGCTGAGTAGCTGGTAGAGCTGTGGCTTCGGCTCGGAGTTCATTCCAATAACGATGATCAAAGGAATGAAGCCGTAATGAGCGATGACTTTGGACTTTTCCAAGCTCCAAGCGCTCCACTCTTTCAACACCTGGACCGTCGATCTCTCTGCCGCGCCATTGGCTCCCTTGTTGTTGCCGCTGCTGGGCTTTAGCGATATCCTTGACGCCATTCTTTCCCTCCCTCTGCGCTGTGCCGACTTCTAAGGTCGCGGATCTCTGCTGCTCTCTGCTCTGGATCTGTCCCTTCCGCTAATAGTGCAAGGAACCCTAATGTGGTCTACTTCTCCCGTTCTCTCAATTGTCAAATTGATAAGGGTTAATCCCCAAAGTGGTCGTTTAAACTTTTGCATTTTCCCCAAAAAGCCCTCGACTGGCCTTTTTTCCTAATTGAGTCCTTCAATCCCGTCAACCTCGAATATTAGCATGTTTGAATGAGTAATTCTAATGGATTAATTTGAAATAAGTGTCTCGTTTTGAGATGATTGGGCAAATTTGATTCGTTTAGCAACAAAATTTAAATGAAGCAATTTGGTTTGGAGAATTATGAAATGACTCGTTTTGAGACAATTACAATTGTCTTAAGTGGTAGCAGATAATTCAAATTGACTCATTTTAAATAACTCGTTTTATAAAACGAAACAATTGGTTAAATTGTCTAGTTTTGTAATTGATCCATCCAAACAACCTAATGTGCGCTAGTTAGGGGCGCATTAATGTCTATTCTATTATTTGATTCAAAGAGTCGGTACTATTCATTGTAGACTTGTAATAACCCACATGAATGAAATTGGATAATCATAAAATAATTCAATGTCTTGTCAATCACAACTAGGGGTGGGCAATGGGTTGGTCCACACTGGACCGAATCGATATTTGGACCGGACCACACCAAATCGAATATAATATTTCCGGTACTTGGTCCTATGAATTTTAAAAATACTGAAGAAAATGTACCGAATTTACATTTGGATCGGACCAAATGGACCAAAGCGGACCGAATGCACTATTGGTTTGGTTCGGTCCTTGGTCCTAATACATCTTTAACTATTGGGCCGCGGTTCTCTTGAGTTGTGATCCGATCCGGACCGGACCGATGCCCACCCCTAATCACAACACAAAGGTAGAGATATTTATAGCATTAATGCTTTGGTTTGAAAAAAAAAAGTTTATAAAATGAAAGTGCACCTTATGCAAATTTCGTTTGTATATTTTTGGATTTTTTTTTTAAATTAGACAGAGGATCCTTAGCGCATTAGGTACCAAGAATATGTGGACAGAGAAAGGCGACACCTAGATGTCGATGATGTAAGGCAACACGCAAATGTCGTCTATGTATACTTAAATGGACCTAAGAAGCCATTATCAAGTAGGAAACCATACCTCGACAACTCTAAATTAGATAGAGAAATGGTTTTTCTTGCCACACTATGGACAACCTGATTGGCGATCTTAGAGACTCCACAAACCTCTAAGCCTATGTTTAGAGCAGCAATTATCTGACGACAGTCTCTGGGCACTAGGCATTCATATGCATCTGTCTCTATCTCTATGAGTAGCTGGCGGAGGCTGACTTCACAATCATCCTCCATTATGACGTCATGGAGGTCGAAGTGACGAATCAAGTGTAAACCATATTGAATCGTTATTCGGCCAAGTACATGTTGCCAATTCCAAGATGTTGAAGTCTAATAGCGAGATGCGTACGATTTTCTGCAGACTTATGAAAAACAGTCTGGATGGAAAAAGATGATATGATCCGAGTGAAAGAAGAAAATGATTAATTAGAATTAAGGATTCCCTAGTGAGTTGGGTGGTTGCAAAGGCTTGGTCGGTTGATAGGCTACAAATTTGGGGTGAATTTGGAGGAACACAATTAAAACCCACATGGTCTGCCACGTGGACCAATCATAAAAAGCGACACTATAATATTGGACCTAAGGTTTGGATGTTGATTGTCCTATTCATAACCGGATCGAATGTTGAACTAAATGAAGTAGTGGTTTATGGTTCAGCGATTAAATGTCACAGTACTGTTGGTCAACCGATGGAAGAATCGTTCATGCGTCATAACATAAAAGACATATATAATACCAAATTTATGATTGAATTTATCAACCGATATAGAATAGTGGGATAACTGTTGACAGAAACAAATTTATCAATTCAGATTGGTTGGTCTTAGTTTCACTTAAACTATGTGTTTCTCTTAATTTTTTGGTGGATAGGACAAGTAAAACCAGAGAGTTCATTTGGTTTAAAGTCTAACTATTTAAAACCCTTTGATTGAGTCAAAACCATCAAGAAAAATGAACCAAACCGTTGTTGTAACTCATTTGGTGCTTTTACATATATAATGGGTCAGGATGCAGTCACTTCCCTTAATGGGGTTGTGAGATTCACAACCAAGCGTATTTTGGGCATGACAAAAAAAAATTAATTTTTTGTATTAATTATAAATTGATGATAAAAAACTCATATTAAATACATATTTTTTAAACCTATAATAAATACAACTCTCATAGTACCACTACCACTAGAAAAAAAACAGATATGAAAATCCAAAAATATCATATATGAAAAACGAAGGGGAGGAGAAGAGATGAGGCACTCACAAGAAGAAGAGATTTGGAAAACGAAGAGATGAGGCAATGACAAGGGTGGAGGGCGACGGAGGATTGTAGAGGCAACAACCACGACGAAGGCCAGCGACGGTTGTGGAGGGAGGCAGAGGCCGGCGACTGCAGTGGAGACTGGCGGCGGCAGTAGAGGCCGACATCAGTCATGTCTGATGGAGAGATGGAGGAGGGAGGAGAGGATTAGGGAGGAGTTATGTTTTTTCTTTATTTATATGGGAGGCAGAATAATTGGGTGTGATAACATTTTGCCATTCCAAAAATATCATTCTTTTAATCCTGAACATCGATTTGAAAAAAAGAAGAAAGAGACAGGAGAGAGAGCGTATCAAATGGCTAGAAAGTGGATTGTGAAAAGGGGTTGTGACCGTATCCCACCCCATATATATAGCTAACTAGCGTGGGCCCCGACCATTTGGTCGGAGGAAGGTGAGGTATGAAATTTGATAATGTAATGGGCTGTATAGCTTATTGTTGTATATTTTTTTTTGGGAAACATGCGAGAAAAATAGTGAATTTTAGTAGGAAAGAGACATGAATGATGCAACGAATAAAAAATCAGCCTTACGAACCAAAATCAAGTACTTGTTACCTTGTGAAACAATATTGTTTCTCGTAATATGATGAGGTGGAGTAAGTTCCATAGAAACCGAATTCCAGAAAATCGAATAAAAAATCCCCTATCCCGCCGATTTTCGGGAAATGAGCATCTCACAATCGTTGCTAGCTTTTACTCGGCCCGTTGGCCGATTAATTTGCTTTATAAAACTTTCATCTTGTCATCATTGTGCTTTTTGGTTTTTTCCCTAGCCATGATAAAATCTAAAGAAATCAAGAATGAACAACACGATTTGTGATAGGAACCACCGTTCCTGTATCCCTAGAAAATGGTGGTAAACACGGACTCACCTGCCAAACTGGTATGGATTGAGATTTTTATCAGGTATCAGGGGACCATGTGATTATAAATTAGACTTGATCAAAACAGACCAAAACTTGAAATAAAAGGAGTATTGTTTTTGCCTTTTCATATTTATTTTACTACCACGGAGAAATAAAATGACTTAAAGAAAAAAATTGACACTCATGGACCCGTTTAAATCCGCATGTGTACGGTAAGTTGGCCCGTTCCACGGAGAAAAAAGAAAAAAAATTGACACTCCCTATTCTACCCTTCCTACAAACGCTCCTAGAGCAGGGAATTTGAAATGAGTGAAGGGTTTTTTTCCTCGGTGCGATTATATATTTTTAATTTAAAAAAATACAACAAATGTATTTAGTGTGATTGGTTATGATCTTTACTTTTTTTTAAAGTGACCAACTGACCATGGTTCGAATCCTAGTAAGTGTCTTTTTAATGAATGAAAAAAATAATTGTGAAAGACCAAAATATCCTATATAATGGACCTCTACGGCCCCTAGGCCCAATTTGGCCTGTAAAATTTGGCGAAAATTGAAGCGAATTAAAATTGGTAGTAGAAAGAAAATCGGGAGGCCAACGAAACGAACGAATGCGTACTAACCAGACCCAGCCAACCAGTTTCTGTACTCGCTTACATTGGATTGCACACTACTCACTCTTATTTAGTAAAGAAAGGAGCCACCACACCACCAGCGCAATATTATTGCCGCGGCGAAAAAAAAGACAGACTAGCTATCGCCCTACCGTCTCTTCTTTGCCTCACCTCTCTTTCCGGCTTCATTTTTCTTCCGTTCCGATTTCCCACGCTTCCCTGAGCTTCTTCGCGGGAGTAGCGAGTTTGCATTTAATCCGGCGCCGGCGGAAGGGATAAAGAAACGCCCGACGGATACCTTGACCAGAAAACAATCTGCTGCTGTCTTGCTCGGCGGTGAAATCTTTGCGCCGACTCGCTGCTCTCTTGATCTGCAGCTCAGTAAGTTTTTAGCGTGTGTTTGAAGGCGACAGCTATCGTGGTGAGCTGAGCACACTATTATCCATGGCGCTGTCGTCTGCTGATTTGCCTGCGATATATTCGCTGCTGGCGAATTCAATGAGCGGAGACGAGAGCGTGCGGAAGCCAGCGGAGGCGGCGCTCTCTCAGTCCGAGAACCGGCCTGGATTCTGCTCGTGTTTGATGGTACTCGTTCTGTTGCCTGTCTCTTTTTGTTTGTTGTCCATTTCTAGGGTTTCCGAGTTAGTTTTTGGAGGTAATGCCAGCAAGTTACCGTCGTTTTTGGCTAATGAATTTTGATTGTTTGGCTGTAGGAAGTGATTACAGCGAAGGATTTAGTGTCGCAGGTTGACGTTCGGTTGATGGCTACAGTTTATTTCAAAAATAGCATCAATCGTTACTGGAGAAGCAGGCGTGATTCGTAAGTTCACTCGTTAGCTTTGAAGCTTGCTTGCTCGATTGTTATGCCTATGATGTTTATCGATTGCATGTTCTCGTCGGTCGCTCCTACATAAGCAAATGCACTGCATATGTTGTTCTCCTGTCTATGTGGCTCATGAATGGTTTTTGATTGCTGTTCAGGGGAATAAGCATTGAAGAGAAAACTCACTTGAGGCAGAAGCTCTTGTCACATTTGAGAGAGGAAGACTATAAGGTTTGTGTCAACCTGTTAATAAGGCATTTCACCTTACTTCTTCGGAGAAATTTATTCAGTTATAGTCTCAAGTCGTTCATGATGTGATTTACTGTGAACACAGATAGCTATGATGTTGGCTGTGCTTATTTCAAAAATTGCTCGCATTGACTATCCCAAGGATTGGTAAGATTCCCCCCCCCCCCCCCCCCCCCCCCCCCCCCCCCCTGAATTCTGCTTCCTCTCTTTGTTGCTTTAGCTCAATTGGATACCAGAGCTTGGATGAAGGTTTCAATGAACTGGATGCAACATGCTGTAATTGGGACTTCATGTCCTAAAGCATGATAATAAGTGTAGTAAATGGAATGAAGATCGTGTCTCAACTATCTCTTAAGACAGTCCTTGAGATATTGGATGTTGTTTTCGAATTTACCTTCCATCATCTTACAATCTTGAAATTTTTGAGCTGTGAGTTAGAGTGAAGTGTTAGAAAAAATTCTTGCCATGCCAAATGATGTTGCATCAGAATTTCATTATTGTGGACCTTGTAGCATCTTTCCTGTGGAAAATTGTTTGCATCAGAATTTTATTAATTTGGATATTGTAGCAATTCAATTCAGCTGTATGTTCTCCTGCCCATCTCCCCTTCCGGTAATAGATATAATATTGGTATGTACATTGCAGTGATGAGAAAGTTACCGGAAATAACTGTATGTCCAATGCGTAATTCTTTTTATGGCGTTTGTAACTTCTTTTTTGTGATGATATTCCCCTTATTCTCAGCTGAAGTGTATTGTTCTGTTTATGCTATTAGGTTTACGAATGTACTGATATACTAACTTAATGAGTCATTAGGCCAGAGTTCTTTTCTACATTGGCGAACCAGCTTCAATCAGCTGATGTTCTTACTTCGCACCGCATTTTTATGATTCTCTTCCGGACTTTGAAGGAGTTGTCGACGAAACGTCTATCTGCTGATCAAAAGAATTACACTGAGGTAAACTATACATCCATTACGAATTCTTCTTCAGATTCTATTATCAACTAGGAAGAGCTACGCAGAATTAGAGTAAAGCTATCATTTATACAGCCCCGACTAGTTATCTTCAGATTCTGCTATCCATTATTCTTGCAGATAACAGCCCCGACTAGTTATCTTCAGATTCTGCTATCCATTATTCTTGCAGATAACAGCCCATTTCTTTGACTATTGCTGGCATCTTTGGCAAAGTGACGTCAGGACTATACTACATGGCTTCTCGGCCCTCGCTCAAAACTTTGATCCAAATGCTCTTGAGCAGCGTCATGATGAACTTTATCTGATCAGTGAGAGATGGCTGTTTTGTTTAAAGGTCATACGGCAGTTGATATTATCAGGGTTTCCAAGTGATGCAAAGGCGGTACAGGTATCTTCTTATCATTCTTTTGTCAACTTTTTTTTGGTCTAAACTTAAATCATTTTGTGCCACCATTCTCAGATTTTATGTGATGTACGATAAGTTACCTACATGTTCTCAGTTGTGTTTTTTCAGGAGGTCAGACCTGTAAAGGAGGTCTCGCCTGTGCTCTTGAATGCAATTCAATCATTGCTTCCATATTGTAAGAACCTGAGTTTATTGATACACTTTTCTTTATAGGTCAAGTTTATTTATATTTCATCTGGCTTGTAATATCCTGTTCTTTCTCAAGAAAACAAAGATAAAAGACAACAAATGGGAATTTTGCTATTTCCAAATTCAAGATGGTATAATATCCTTCTAGTTCTTGAGCAATTCGTTATCTATTTTTAAATATGATTCCACAAATGTCTGATCTCCCTCATCAAACCATTCTTCAAAATTTATTTCCCGCAGGACAATGTTGTTAAACCTACCGCACTTTATTTTATGTTAATTGAAACAAATTAAATTATTGCTTTTGCTGTATTCTTCTTCAGATTCATCTTTCCTGAAGGGACATGGAAAGTTTTTGGAGTTTGTGAAGCGAGCATGTACTAAATTGATGAAGGTCTTGGTTATGATTCAGAATCGGCATCCTTATACATTTAGTGATAAATCTGTCCTTCCACCGGTTTTGGATTTCTGTTTAAACAAGATAACTGAGCCTGATCCGGAGCTCTTGTCCTTTGAGCAATTTCTGATTCAATGTATGGTAATGGTGAAGCGTGTGCTTGAATGTAAAGAATATAAGCCGAGTCTTACTGGCCGTGTAATGGATGAAAGTGTCATTACACTAGAGCAGACGAAGAAAAATATGTCTAATGTAGTCGGTGGTGTTCTCACTTCGCTTCTTCCAAATGAACGCATAATACTCTTGTGCAATGTGTTGATAAGAAGGTAATGATTCTATGCTCTGCTTCTTACTTCACTAGTTTCCTTAAAATACCCTCCAAATACAATATACTTGAATCCAAGTTGCATTTTGTGCTCTGTTCCACCGTGATTGAGTCAATCAAAATGTCTTTTGCTTTTTGAAGGGAGCCAATTGACCTATTTAAGCTCCATACTACTTGATTGGCCGTTCTCATATTTCACACTCTTGCTGTGATAGTGTCATAATTTCTTACATGAGTTCTGTAACTTATTTTAATGCCATTTCTCAAATAAACTTCTTGATTTATATCTATTCTTTAATTGAAGACAGTGAAATGCATAGCTGTCTAGAGTTAGCCATTATGTATATTAGGACCTACCACACAGGTTCTACAGTAACTATTCATGTATGTTTAGGCTGCAAGTTTGAGATGTCTTGGCTCTTTGACATGTGACGTGAGAGTAACCTATTGAACTTTAATGGAAAAACAGAATGTTTGGTGATGCATTGCTTATAGGGCTCTACTTAGTTATTGTCATACCTTCATTTTGTTGCTTGAGAAATGTTGCTGGCTTGATAGTTATTTTCTTTTTATGATTATGAAAGAACTGTCAGTGGTCTGATTGTTACAGTCCTTGCTGTCGGGTTTAGTAATCATGGTAGTTACTTCACTTGGTTTTCTGCAAAGAATTTGTTTGAGCGTGCTTTTATACAATTTATTCAAGTGTGTCCCTTCTTACCCTTTTCGATATCTAATCATTTGCTGATGCTGTTATAACAGGTATTTTGTTCTAACGGCAAGTGACCTGGAAGAATGGTCTGAGAATCCAGAATCTTTTCATCATGAGCAGGACATGGTTCAGTGGACTGAGAAACTAAGGCCCTGTGCCGAAGCTCTGTACATTGTACTGTTTGAAAACTATAGCCAGGTAAATGGATCGTGTAGAACTATTAATTAATAATTCAGAGTATCGGAGTAGGAAATGTAAGCTTATGTGATCTTGCTGGTACTTGTAGCTTTTGGCTCCAGTTGTGGTTTCCATCCTTAAGGAAGCCATGAGTGGTTGCCCTGCATCGGCTATAGAGATCACACCAGGCTTGCTTTTGAAAGAGGCTGCTTATGGGGCTGCTGCATATGTGTACTATGAGCTTTCAAACTACCTAAGCTTTAAAGATTGGTAAATCCTTGCCTCTCATTGTCATGCACGCTGCCCTCTTGGACCACTCTGTGTACAGTTTCTTACTTGTTTCATCGTTTGGTGTAACTTGTGTCTAATTAGTGATGCGTCCACTATTCATTTAGCAATCTCATCTTGCAACTGAGAAATATTCCTGAAAAATGCGTTGAGGAGAGAACTTCAATATATGTAGATTGTAACAGCTTGATTGCAGTTGGACTGTCATTGAGAATTCCGATTGCTGAATAGGACTAACAGGATCAACTCGGATATGAGTGCTAGGACTCTTCTCGGCGTTGAGCTGGATGAAGTGAAGAATTTTAGTTTCCATTTACTGAAGCCATGAAATGCTTTTGTCCTATTTCCACTTGTCGCTGCACATGTTTGAGTCCACATCTTCTTTTGAAAGTTGAAAGAAATTTTATTCTCTAACCTGAAATCGATGATCGCAGGTTTAATGGTGCCTTGTCTGTTGAACTGTCTAATGATCATCATAATATGCTTATCATCCACCGCAAGATTGCCCTGGTTCTGGGACAATGGGTTTCTGAGGTAGCTACTGTTCATCTACACACCTGTAGCTGTTCTCTCCTTATAAGCATTAAAAAGTGATATGTCTCTTATCTTATGATATGGTGCATCCGTGTATCATGTGGATTGTTTGCCTGAACATTATCCCCTTTGAATATTATCACATGCTACCTTGGTACAGCAGTTGAACTGAAGGGACAAGTTGATACTTTTGAAATCAATACTATATAGATATGTTTCTGGTTAGCATTGGAAGAATTTACAACCTTATGCTACAAAGGTTGTACCAACATGTTGGAAAAGTCATATAGCTTAGAAATGTGAAAACGTTGATGAATTTGTGTTAGTACTTTGATGCGCTGATGTCTTCCCACTTACTTGCAGATTAAGGATGACACAAAACGACCTGTGTATTGTGGATTAATCAGATTGCTGCAAGCCAAAGACCTGTCGGTCAAAGTATGATTCTCCAGATCTTTGTGATATCCATCTACTCTACACCCCTGTAATTGAATGCTGGAACAGTTCTTTCCAGCTTTCTTGTATTGCTTGGATGCTGCTTGATACTGATTTCTTCATTCATGGATTTAGCTAGCAGCTTGTCGGTCATTGTGTTCACATATCGAAGATGCCAACTTCTCTGAGCATGAATATCTGGATCTCCTTCCTGTTTGCTGGGACTCCTGTTTTAAGTTGTTTGCTGAGGTTCAAGAATTAGACTCGAAGGTAAAATGCTTCTTCTAACGTGCATATCCGTGTTTTGCCATGCGAAATGGCTCCTTTGGCTTGTCCAGCTGATCAAAACTACATATGTGATTTTGTGTAAACTATTCATCCTTTTGTGTAAGCATACTTCATTATGGCAGATGTGTGGCTAATTGAATGCAAGATTTTTAGTTTTGTGGAATTTTGATTTGTTAGATTTTTAAGGTTAATTTTGTTCTGCTTGCATTAAAAATTTCAATAAGACTTCTACCAAAAATAATAATTCAAGATTTCATAAACCTGTTTATTGGTTCCTTTTGTAATTTTTGTAAGAAGCGAATTCCTGGTCCTCTTACTGGTGCTTTCATTATTGCTTAGATGTTCGCAACTTTGGACCTAAATATAGCGACTTTGGACATATTAGCCTTTTGCTACTGACAGTATTTGACTTGGTTCTTCTCCTATTATTTCAGGTTCAGGTTTTGAATCTGATCTCCATTCTCATTGCACATGTCAGTGAAATCATTCCGTATGCAAACCAGTTGGTGCAGTTTTTTCAGAAGGTATGCAGTAGGAATTATTTAGCTAGTGAATTGAATGATTTCAGAGAAAGTTGGCTCATCTATTTAGTGGTCTACTGTCTTTCAGTTCTGATTCATATGCTCACGAGAAGTCATGTTTAGGTGTGAGTTGAGAAAGCAGTTTTTGGTTAAATGTTGTATGATGCGTCACTGAACGTTGTAATCAGAATCTTTAATATAATAAAGTTAATCTTACTCTCAACTTTTCTTTTGGATGCTAATTATTACTCAATTTGCGCTGAAGGTTTGGGTAGAATCTTCTGGTGAGAGTCTACTGCAAATGCAGCTTCTCGTTGCTCTGAGGAATTTTCTGGTTGCACTGGGTTATCAATCACCAAATTGCTACAGCATACTTCTACCTATTTTGCAAAGAGGACTTGATATAAATAGCCCAGATGAACTCCTGGAGGACAGTATGCTGGTGAGTCTTGACCTTTCTGTTTCTTATTCTGAATAATCCAATATATACTACTTTTGTCTGGCTGGTAATAAAACATTGGTTGACCTACTTTCGCAGTTGTGGGAAGCAACACTTTCTCATGCTCCTGGAATGGTACCTCAACTGTTAACGTATTTCCCTTATTTAGTGGATATCCTGGAAAGAAGTTTTGATCACTTGGAGGTCAGTTTGTGCCGCTGGTAAAATGTGAACAACTAGTTGTAATACTATTGTTGTTTTGTATTCCTTGTATCTGTTCACGTATAATGTTACTCTCTTATCTTTTCACTTCTATCTCCTGCTCGATCTTGACATTCAATGCATATTACTTGCATATCTATCAGACACCATTTGCATAAAATTATATGAGTTCAGGTTTTTGTGGAAACATGATGGCAGGTGGCTGTAAATATCATTGAGGATTATGTGATATTAGGGGGAACAGAATTTCTGAACATGCATGCTGCTGCTGTTGCAAAACTTCTTGATCTGATAGTTGGAAATGTCAACAACAGAGGGATGCGTTCTATTCTTCCTGTGATTGATATGTTAATCCAGGTAGTCTTCCTAACTCCCCATAGTTAAGCACAAGCTCTTTTCTCTCGGTTACTTACGAAGACAGCATTGTTGAGGTGTTGTCTAGTTTCAACTATTTGTTTGACTAGTTCATTTGTTGATCTGCAGTGTTTCCCCTTGGAAGTGCCTCCACTTATCAACAGTACCTTACAAGTAGGGGCATCTCTTACACATAAATGGATTTGCTATAAATTAGTTTCATCTAGCTAGTGTGAGCACATATTCTGCTTTTCAGAATCCGACTTAACTAAATGGATTTGCTATAAATTAGTTTCATCTAGCTAGTGTGAGCACATATTCTGCTTTTCAGAATCCGACTTAACTATTTCCCCCCTTGTTGTAGAAACTTATCGTGATCTGTTTGAGTGGGGGAGACGACTATGATCCTTCCAAAACAGCAGTTAAAGCATCTTCATCTGCAATCTTAGCAAGAATATTGGTAATGAACACCAACTATCTTGCCCAGTTGACGGCAGAACCATCACTTACATCACTCCTCCAGCAAGCAGGCATACCAGTTGAGGACAATATACTTTTATCACTTGTTGACATTTGGCTTGACAAGGTAAGTACCTGAGTGTGTCTGTTGAATCATTTTTTGTTTTACTAATATATGGCACTGTTATTTATGTTGGAGTTTTTTTTCTCTAAATTATTTGTTTTCATAAACTCTCAACTCCGGCACTGTTATTTAATGTTAATTCAATTATATGGCATTTCCAACTGTTGTGGATGATTCAGCATCAACTCCGGCAATGCTCACTTCTGTAGTTACTCATTACTACTTGGTCTTTAATCTCTCTCTATCATCACTCTGACTGTCAGGTTGACAACGCATCTTCCAATCAGAGAAAAACACTCGGCCTTGCCCTTTCAATAATTTTGACTCTAAGGCTGCCGCAGGTCCTTGATAAGCTTGATCTTATCCTCAGGTGTGCATTCTCTACTTGGTGTATTGTGTCAATAGATGAATGATTATTGATTATCCACCTTTGCATCTAATTACCGTGGGCTTGAATTTTCGTAGTGTGTGCACAAGCATTATACTGGGAGTTACTGATGAATCGGCCGACGAAGATTCCAGGTTATACTCTTTAGTAACTTTGTTAAATTGGATATAATCCAGTTAGTCAAAAGCTGATATACAACTTGTATTTATTTATGGACCACAGTAGCGATAATATGAGTTCCAGCAGGTCTCACGAAGATGGTACTATTGTGAGTAAAGAACTCCGAATGAGACAGGTAAGTGCACCCAATAGAAATTTAATCTGCTAAACTGCTCAAAGCTTAATTTGTGTGTCCTCTGTTTCAGATTAAGTTTTCAGACCCCATCAACCAGTTGTCATTAGAGAATCTAGTGCGAGAGAACCTTCAAACATGTGGCAGAGTACACGGGGAAGCCTTCAATGCAGCTATTAGTAGAATGCATCCCTCTGCGTTTGCTCAATTGAAGCAGGCTCTGAAGATGCCATAACCAAGTGCTGATACTATGCCCTTCTCGACCGAAGCAACTATTCTTGCTCGTTGGTCCTAACATTCATTCCACTATTCTTGGATAGGTAAGCGTTTATTCCAATGACAGCAGGATAATATTCCTGTATTCTGTAGTTCGGTTATGGTTTTTAAACCAGACGATTCTAATGGTTGCATTTGTTTGTGGCACTAGGTGATATGATACTTCTGAGAGTTGGTATTGGCGATTTTTTTTTGGCGTGGATGCAATTCTTTTCGGGTGAATTGGTTTTGGAGTGAGGGATTATTGATGGGTTGCATCGGATGATCGTCCATTTTTCAGGGTTGAGCCATTTTTGTAAAGGCGGCTTTCTAGGAACACGATGTCCTGTAAATAGGTTGCGGGACCAACCCTTTGTTCTGGATATAGGAAAACCTGAAGGTTGGTCTCGGCATAGGCTCTTGTTTTGTGAGGCTTGAGAATGAGGCGATAAGGTTCATAGTAACAGCAAACATAGATGAGTGGAATGAGAACTGCGTTCTTGTCTCGAAGCTTTATCGTGGCGTGTAATAGCAAGGTTTTGAAAAAGATTTTTTTTTTAGTTACTCTGAATTTGCTTGGCTGTGCGATTGCTAGTGGGATGACAAATTGGTATTTGTGGTATCTTCCAGGATACATCCGACCTCTTACTAGCTTAATTTGCATCCGAAACCAAATTAGTTCGTATAGATATCGGATGCAAGGAACAAAGTCTTGTGTGGTTTACTGCAATTTACCCCTGTATTCTAGTGTTTTGTTCCTATGTTTTTTTGTCTGCTTTTCTCTTTATTTTGGATGGTATTGCGGGTTTTTATTGACATTACAACCAAAATATTGCGTGGTAAAGAAATTTTTTGCAGCTCTAGACTTCTAGTTGACGTTGTGCTTATTTTTTTGTGTCCTAGGGCATAGCTTACTTATTTGTATTGTTCAGAAAATATAATTTGGAAATTGCTGTTTTTGTATCTATTAAGACATTTGTTGTTCTTCTATATGATAAAAGATTACATTTTGTAGTACTTTTTAATCAAGCCTTGTTCGTTCTTATATATATTTTGTAGAAGCTTATGTTATCTTGAGCTCAATAATGAAAGTCGACGAGGAACATTGGGCCGAATGGCCGTGTGGGAAGCAAAAGCGAACATTGGGCTGAATGGGGAGGGATTTGTTTGTGAAAATTCGTTAATTATTTCCTTTTTAATTTGAGAGAATGAAAAGCCCAAATTTCTGAACCTTAAAAGCCCAATTTTTGTGAACCTAAAAGCCCAACTAGTGTTCAATTACTCCGTGCGACACACGCGGGTTTAATTTCTCAGTTGCGTGTGACACACGCGAATAGACTTGGTCAACGTCGGCTAGTTGAGACGCGTCCAATTTGGAACGTTATAAGTTACACATCGTATGCGTGTTACTTAAGCTACTTGGGCAGGACGGCAAATATAACCGACTCCCAACGTTCTTATTTGCCATTGCTATATATATATATATTGGAACGTCTCATCTGCTGCTTGTTGAGATCCTTCTATTCAGAGTCGCGTCCAGAACGAAATCTTGCCGCAAAAGGTGCGACGGTGGTTTGCTTTCATTGCGATCGTTTTTACTGGCGAATAGAGTGTAGTGGTGCTTCTCTGATACCCTGTCTCCGGTCGATTAGTGTTTGCGGCGGATGTTGCCAGGGTGTGGTGCTCAAAGGTTTTCGTGGGTTTATCGGTGAGGGACAGTCAATTAGTTGCATTCGTCTTATTATTGTCGTTTTGTCTGTGCTCCTCTTGGAATATGATTATCCAGATTTCTGGAGACCCGTCCTGTCGCTTGAGGCAAAATTTGCTTGATCTCGTTAAAACCAGTTGCGTGCGTAGAAGTTTAGAATATGCAATTGAGTTGCTTCTTGAGCCCTAATTCTTATTACGGTTTTAAGATATTACGGGCTGTTGGTTGGTTTCGTTGACAGTAGCAAAATCCAAGCTTAGGGTTTCTCGTTTGATCACGCCGTTTATGGTTTGGATGCTGCCAAGACTGTTCGCCCCGTTGGAGTATAACTTTGTGAATTGTGAGTCTTTTGGAGACACATTTACCTCGAGAAGGTTGGAAGGCAGCGAAGGGTCTTCTGACTAGATCTATGACCTGAGTTGGGTGGTTCTGGTTGACGTTTTCGTCGTTTGGTGGATAAATCTCGTCTCTGGTATAATTTCTAATGGCCCCGTCTCTGTTTCCCAGTATTTTTTAATCCGGATGGAAATCCCAGAGCTGCGCTGCTCACACTTGCTGAGATAACAGGTGAGTGATTATCTTTTTGTTGAAGTATTACCAATATATGATATTGTCGGTGGTGTATTATTCCTTATATGGCTCTCCGATTATTTTCGTTGCCATCTGGTTGCCGCTTATATTTTCTCATATTTAACTGGTTCATTCAAATTCTGCAAATTGTGATAGATCAAGTAAAAAATTGAACTCTGCGATTTTTCATTCAATCAGTGGTCTTATCTGTCCCTGCTGTAGTGACCCACAAATGCTTGTAGCCATGTTGTTTAAGTTGAAACGATGGCTTAGTAACTCAGGTTGCCCTTCTAGTACTCTATCCTATTCTGACTGAGAAAATACATGAATGGTTTCAGTCTCTAATCATTCCAGTTGCCCTACTTCTCTATCCTACTAAATGAATCCATTAACTATAGTCCTAGATGGGAACTTTGGAATGATTAATATTGACTGAGAAAATTCATGGATTGGTGGCATTGTTCAAGTGTGTTTCCGGAATTCCAGCATTATTTAATCATTCCAGTTGCCCGTTTGCTCTATCTTGTGAATAGAAATTCATAAATGGAGTCCTAGAAGGGAACTTTGGAATGATTTATATGATCGAGATAATACATGGATCCTTAAGTCTCAAATCATTCCAAAGTTGCCTTTCTGCTCTATCCTACTCGAGAAATGCCCTAACTAGAGTCCTAGATGGGAACTTTGGAATGATTATTACTGAGCGAGAAAATACATAGATGGTTTAAGTCTCTAATCATTCCAGTTTCCCTTCTGCTCTATCCTACTCTGTGAATACCCTAACTAGAGTCCTAGATGGGAACTTTGGAATGATTAATACTCACTAAGAAAATAAATGGATTGGTGGCCATGTTTGAGTAAGAACAATGTCTGTCCGAAATTGCAACAATTGTTTTAATTATTCCAGTTGCTTTTCTGCTGTATCTTGTGGACAAAGTCATAAATGGAGTCATAGAAGGGAATTTTGAAGTGAGTACCAAACGAGGTATACATGGACTGCTGGACATGTTGTTTCTCTAAAATGTTGTGTCCCTTCCTGTGGTATTTTGAGATGGTCATGACTGTTCGTTAACTGAAAGAACTAGTAGGAGTCCTAGAGGGGAACATTTTCAATGATTAATATGAAAACTATGGAAATACTGCCCATTATGTAAGAATTTGGTTGATCATGTTGTGTCCCTTTGTGGTTTCCTTCGAGATGATAATAATCAGTTGCCCCTCTGCTCCATCTCAAGTTCAATACAATCATGAAAGTATTTTGTTAACTGGAAGTCCTAAATCGGAGTCCGAGAGGGGAACTTTCTAATGATCTTACAAGTATACTGTTATGGAATAACTCTATATTATGCTGGTTCGGTGCCCCTTCTTGCATTACTTGGTGATGATCATGATCGTAATCAGCTGCCCCTCTGCTCCATCTGAAGTTTGGTAATGAGATTATTTGGTTAAATGGAATTCCTAAATCGGAGTCCTAGAGGGGAACTTTTAATGATCTGAAAAGATCACAAGTATACTAGAAATTCTGTTATTTTCAGAATCTACATGTTTACTCATTAATTGTTGTCGCTCTTTCTCAAATTGAACTTCATGAATAGTATTTTACTTAGTGCAGCCGCCCTCTGTTCCACTTTTTGGTGGTATTGTGTAGACTTAAGTCCTACTGTCCTCTTGGTTATGATTGTTAGAAGACTGTGTATGTTGCTGCATATGTTGAGCGAACCATCTTGTTTGTTTATAAATGAAGCTGTTGATATGATTTTGGGTCCTCTGATTATGTGGTGAAGAGCCGAAACTCACGAGTCATGATAGGGTGTTCATGATGATTCGACTTTGGAAGCAGAACTAATATGTGTTTTCTGGTGGTATTTACTTGCCCTATGACCGTTCGTCCTTATTTTATAGATGACCGCCGACCCTGTTGCAAGCTTATGGAACCTACGTTTCGTTTCCATGTTAAAAGCTCTAGTTGAATCCCTGTAATGGAATTTTGGTGATACTTCCTGATGAGAAGATGGCATGTTTCCTTTTATGGTCAGTTGACTGTGTTGGTATTATGCAGATTCTTTGGTAGACTCCTTTCATTTATTTTGGTCATTCAAATGCCATAATGAGGAAGTAGGTACATATATGTCTGACAGGTTGGAGTTCTATGTCGATGGTTTGTAACTTGGTGGAGAGGTCCTTGCTCCAGTATAGTTCCTAGTGTCCCTTCTTTGTTGCTTAGAATTTTGGATCAGGATGGCCGATCTTTGGATTGCCTTGATTTTCTCATCAATGCACTTGCTGAAATAACATGTGAATGGATATTTTTGTTAAAGTAGCCAATTATGGATGTCCGATTATTGCCCTCTGGTTGCCCATCTTTTGCAATTATTAAATTGCTTCATTCAAGTTCAGCAAACTGCATAAAATCTCTTGCTGCTTGTCCCATATATAAAATAAATTCAAACTTTGAGTTGTTTCATTTAATCCTCATTCACCCCATCTTAATCTGGTGACCCACAAATGGTTCTGTGGCCATGTTGGCTTCTGTTGAAACTACTATTTCAATCACTGAAGTTGTACTTTTACTCTATCCTCTTAAGCAAAAATTATAAATAAGAGTTCTAGAGGGAAGCTTTGGAATGATTAACTGAAATAGGTAAATACATGGAATGGTGGCCATGTTTGGGAAAGGAAGTTGGTAGGAAAGTTGTCCCGTTTTTCCTACAATTGTAATAATCTCTAATCATTCCAGTTGCCCTTCTACTCTTTCCTATTCTGAATGCCCCAATTAGAGTCATGGATGGGACTGCACTTATAACATGGAATGGTGATCATGTTAGAGAAAGGAAGCTACTCCGAAGGTTGTGTCATTTTTTGTTCCTGCAATTGAAAATATCTCTAATCCAGTTGCCCTTCTGCTCTATCCTACTCTGAATGTCCCAATTAGAGTCATGGATGGGACTCGACTTGTAACAGGGAATGGTGATCATGTTAGAGAAAGGAACCTGGTCCGAGAGTTGTGTCCTGTTGTTCCTTACCTGTAGAGAAAGGAACCAGTTTCCCTTATGCTCTATCATACTGAATTCCTAACTAGAGTCATAGATGGGAACTTTGAAATGATATACTAACTGATAAAATACATGGATTGGTAGTTATGTTTGAGTAAGAACGTTGTCTGTCCAAGCGCTTATTTAATCATTCGGGTTAGCCTCATGCTGTATCTTGTACCATCTCAAGTGCAGTGACAGTTTGTTAGCTGAAAGTCCTAACGGGAATCCTAGAGAACATCTTTTGAATGATTTAACAAAATACTAAGAAAAATTCTGTCCATTATGTCAGGGTCTGGTATTCAAAATGTCGTGTTCCTTTTTTACTTTGAGATGATTAAAATCAGTTGCTGCCCCCTCTGCGACATCTTAAGTTAAATCATGACAATAACAGAAGTCCTTAAGTCGGAGCCCCGGAGAGGAACTTTAATGATCTAACAAGAATACTAGAAGATTGTCCTTTATGTTTAAAATAACTAAAAAATATTGTTCATTGTGTCAGCTCCTGGTTTACCAAACTGTTGTGTCCCTTTGGGCGCTACTTTGAGAAGATCATAATCAGTTGCCTCTCTGCTCCTTCTCAATTTCAATCAAGACAGTACTGAAGTTCTAAATTATCGTAGAGTCTAACTTTTGAATGATCTAACAAAAATATGGAGAATATAATGTTTCTTATATTTTAAGATCGACATGAGTACTCAACAGTGCACTTGCTGCAGCTGCTCTCCCCAGTTTTGTGAAGTACTGTGTAGACTTTTTAAGTCCTTCATGGAGTACTTCAGAGAATCTTTGTTACGATCTGTGTATGTTGCATTATATATCAAGCAAGAAAATACCTCATGATTGGTATGTTCATTGGTAAATGAGGCTTTGGAAGGAACTCAATTGTTTTCTAATTATGGCAAATTGTATTATGCACTCATTTGGTTTAATGCTGCCCTTTGATGCAGTAAATGCTTAAGGGTCCTAGCAGGAATTAGCGTTTACTAGTTGGCAATTTTCCAATTTCAAACACAGTGAGAATGTTATATTTGCTTGCTGGAGTCTTGGCAGGAAACTCTTCAGAGGTTCCTCGAAGCAATCATTCTTAAATGGCTGGGTTCAGCTTGGATGAAATATGCAAATTCATGACAAGGGTGGGTGACAATTCAGATGAACATAAGAATTCTATTTCCAGTAGTGTAAGATGTCTGAGTGATGCCCGCGAATTATTGGTGATTATGGTATCTAGCAGCCTGTCGTTATTAAAGAACAACTCTGTTTCTGTATTTCAAATTATAAGTGATGCAACATCTATTTCTTCAACTAGTTTCTCAATTGGAGTTTGAAAGTTCAAAGTAACCCTACCTCTGATAAGTTTCTTTCCTCTGTTGTTCTTTCTTGCAGACTCCAGGATGTTGAATCCTTATGTACTTATGCTTTGTCGTCCATTTATTTCCTGTTATACAATGACGTGATTACTTGTTAGAGAGCTCATCATTCACGATAAAGGAACCTGCTCTGATGTTTATAACATGGCAGTGAACTATTAGTTATTGTGGCCATGAAAGCTGAAGATGCCATGACCAAGTGCTGATACTATTCCCTTCTCGACCGAAGCAACTATTCTTCCACTATTCCGGATAGGTAAGCGTTCACTTCAATTACAGCTGGGTAAGTTTCATTGATTCCCTAGTTCTCTTTATGGTTTTCAAATCAGACGATTCTAATGGTTCCATTTGTTTGTGGCACGAGGTGATATGATACTTTTGAGAGTTGGTTTTGGTGAACTATCTTGGCGTGAATGCAATTCTTTCGAGTGAATTGGTTTGGGTTGAGGTGTTATTGATGGCTTGCGGGTAAAAGGATAATGAATCTGCAATTTATTTGCTTCGTGAGCCCAAATTCTGATGGTTTTAAGATACACGAGTTGTGGATCCGTCTTTTTTCTTCTGATACAGAATTTGTGGGTGATCCATTCAGGGATATGCAAAAGTTGATGGGAACGCCGGTAATCGGTGGTGCGATTTTCATATACGGTATGTTTGTTGGTTTCTTTGACAGTAACAAAGTCGATGGTTAGGGTTTTTTCATTGTTCAGGCCAGTTAGGGTGAGTGCAGCCATGATCGTGCGCTCGTTGAGGATATAACCTTGCGAGTCTTTTGGGTATACATTTATGTCGAGAAGGGCAAGTGTTTTTCTGACTCAGGCATCGTTGAGGATATAACCTTTCCAGTTCTTTTCATGATGTCCAAGTGATGCACGCCTACTATCAGTGATTATGATGCCGAGCAGCCTGTTGTTGTAAGTAGAAAAAAAAAAGGATCTTGCAGAATAACAACACTGTTTTCTGTCCTTCAAAATTTTCCTGCAGCACCATCTGGTTCTTGAATTCACACTTCAATTGGAGCATGTGTTGGATGATTAGGGTAACCCTACCTCTGATAAGTTTTGTTCTTTTGTTGGATCTTTTTGAACACTTCAAGATGTCGATTCTGCTGTGCTACTTTTGTTGCTCGTTTTTATTTCATTAGAACTACTGAAATGAAAGTAGATCGTATCCTGTCACATGTGCTGGAAGTGTAAATTGCTGCTAGTAGTACCTTGGGGTGAGAGAAAGTAATGAGCTGAACCTGATCGACTACATATGCATCTTCATGGATTCTATCTGCTGATGTTCTGAAGTTGTATTTTAAGATCAGTTGCATTCAAAAACTTGGAAAATTGGATGTGCATTACCCTTGGAAGGAGGTAATGCGGTGCGCTACTGCCTTCATTCTGTAATGAAATTTTATTCATTCCTCAGTTATATTAAGCGATTAAGGAATGTGCTCTGCTATTTATAACGTCATTGTGAATATGAAAGCTTATGTTGGATCTTTGACTCACCAAAGCCATTCCTTTCATCTGGTCTCGTGTGGGAAGAACTCAAGAAAATACAGATTCTTATTACATCTCACCACTATTTATTTATGATAGATACCGCTTTCGATAGACCTGTTATTGCAGTTGGGCTTCTCATGCTCTCAAACCCAGCAAAGAATGAACTTTCATGTAGAGTGCATATGCATGATCCACCTGCTTCTGTTCTTTATTACCTTCGGTTAATTTGTTTACAAGGGAATTTTACCTGATGCTTAGTCCCTATCCCGGTTTCTTTCTCATGTCAAGTACTGTGAGCCGATGCATTGCGTCCTGTGTGAGAAAACTGAACAAGGGAAGAGGAGAAGTTGGTTGTTCAACTTCGTTCTCGAGTCTCTTCAGGGCTTTACGTTTACAGGGTAAGCCCCTCGGAAAAATGCAGAAATCGAAGGCCTTGGAAGGCTGAAATCATTGCAAGTGTTTGAGGTGGATGGTTCTAGCTTCTGAGAGTTTAACTCGTGTCTATGGCCTTGGAAATCTCCTATGTTTCAGAAAGTTGCAAACTTTAAGGATATGGAATTGCCCTCGTCTCACAACACTAACATCCCATGGATGGCAGCCTGACGGCCAAATAGTACTCGAATCCTTGAGAAAGCTGTCCATCCGTGCAAGTGCATCCCTACTACAGAATATCCTCAAAGTTTCCGAGGCTTATGGTATTGGAACTTGGGGAGATGGGGGCCAAAAATGCAGAGGAGTTATTGCTGGAGGGGCTCGAAGCTCTGAAAGATCTAGTTACACTGATGTTGCTTGGCTTGGCCTCAATTCAGAGACTACCTTCTCTGTCAAAGCTAGTAAAGTTGAAGTACTTAATTGTGACTGATGCTCCAAAGTTATGTGTGATTGAGAGCCTTGCTGATTTGCAATCTTTGGAACACGTAACGATCATTGGATGCACATCTTTGGAAAGATTGCCTACTGGTCTTTCTGGGTTGGAGCAATTGCGAAGTATTGAGATCCAAGGATGCACGAAATTGACTGATCTCTTGGCTCTAAGCAAGCTACGGTCTAATGTTAGCGCTTGGCAGCCAAATTCTGATACAGATTTGTATGACTCAGTCTTTGCCCTCTCCAAACATTAGAGGGAGCTGTTATACTACACTTTTTGATGACCGTTAAATCTCGGATCTTGGAGGTAATCACGCACCTATTTGTTATGCTGCACCTTATTGTTTGTGTTTGATATTCAGACTGAGATCTTCGAGGCAAGTAGATTTTTAATAAACATGTTATCCTTCAAGGCTTTCTTCTTTTTTCAGCAGACCCACATTATTGAGGCATACTTTGTGCCGCATGTCCCTTTGCGGAACTAAAAATGACTTACGCAGTCTGAATACCAGAGTGAGGTCCAACTAAGATTCTTGTTAGCAAATTAAGGACTCTAATTTCTTCTTGGTATATTGTCAGCAACTAGAACTCCCAGAACACGAGGTGAAGAAATGGGATGTGATATTCTGCAAGTCTTGAGTTGAGGGCTTTAGATGGTAATTCCATCAGTAATATGACGGCTTTGTTATATTGGCTTAGTTGTTTGTTTATGGTATAGATGTCACATTTTAGTAAATGGGGTTTCGTTGGAAACTCAATTGGGCAGACTTTTTCTTTTGTAGGTGACAACCGGTCCCAAGGTCGAAACTTATTTGAGCTAGATGCTTTCAGTCTACTCATTATAATTAAGCGAGGCACTCCCTTTTGGTTTTGACGGAAGCTATCTGTGTTATTTTTCGGGGGAAATGTGGAATATATAAGCAGGAGTTGATTAAAAGTGGAAGGAGAGCGTGGTGTTGCTGTAGCCTGCAACTCTCATCCTTGTCTCTCTACTCTAGTAACTCGACTTACATTTGAAGAAGTTAGGTGATAGACTGGTTTTTTAGCACAAATTGGAGAAGTTTGGGGACTGGTTTCTTATATTTAAAGTTTGGTGATAGACTACCATTTAGTCCGCTCTTCGTCGGTTTGACCAGCTTTTCCATTATGACGAAAGGAGCAGTAAGTCCTCTCTCTGTCTGTCTCAGGGATGTAATTTACTAATTTTCCACAGCTGGGATTCGGCTGCTGCCTGCTGCTTCTGGTCCTGCAGATGATCTATCATTCTATGCTCTACGGTGTGTTATATTGGATTTGTGCTTTAGCTATTCCAATTATATTTCGTTCCAGCCCTCGTTCTTTCCAAGTTTTGGACTTTAGCACTCAGAATTTCTTATACTATTTGCTAGTCCTGCAGTGTTCCATGTTTCTGAACTAGTATTGTTTTGAATGATCTAACTAGACTACTAGAGAATACTATCCTTTGCTGAACTGCTTAGTCTCTGGATTGCTTTATTTCTGGTGTTAATACTCATGAACTGGCGAATATAGCCACACGATTTGGTCTCTCCTGACGCTAATGGTAAATTCCCCGGGGACCAGGGCCAAATGTTTCATGCGAAACACCTGAGGAAGAAGTCTGTCAAAGATGAGTTATGAACTTATGATGCATATTTTTTTTTACATTGGAATGGACAAGGAGATACCTTCTTACATGTGTACTGATCGTGACTTTCATCCGATTAGTATTTTGATATTCTTGTTTAGAGGTCAATGTTTGGCCCCACGAAAATATAGAACAACCATGGAAGATGACTAGAATATCATCAAACCAAGAAGCTCCGGATTACTACATAACGAGAAGGTATGTTACCGTGTGTTGATATCAAACGTCTAATTCAATTGCAGCAAGTTGTTTGGCTTCCTTGTTTCCTAAGCATGAGTTTGTAGTGGTAATTATTGAATTGTGCACGGAAATGGTCCATGGATTCCCAACATTGTTCTTTTCGGTCTTTTCCAACCCGGTTTTCTTACCCATTTCCTTTACGCGCTCAATTTTTTTTTAATAGCAAAGGAGGACTTTTCCTCCGTTCTACAAAGACTTCCGTCCTGTTTCCTGAAAGTCCACGCCTTTCCTCCCCAGGGTCATCGGTTTCGTATGCTGATCTGCTCCATTTCCTCTTTTACTTCTCCAGTTTCAAAATTTGCAGAAGCAAGAAAACGCTTGTCTTTCACTCTGTCTTCTCGATCGTTTCCCTGGTTCATGCGCTGCATCGGCCGCCATCAACCAGAACGCTTGTAAGTTCTCTCTCTGCTTGAGAACAGTAGAAGTGTAGAACTAACGGATTCGTTGCTTATTGGTGATAATTACTAGCTGGAAATGAACGAGCGATTATTTCGTCCTCCGATCCTATACTAGTTTTAGTTCTCGGAGAAAACACAGTCCTAAAAATTTCTCATCGTTCATTTTCGTGCTTTCTGGTTTTGGCATATCTTGCGTTATAGTCCTTGAGCGTGCCGTGATGTTGAACTTCAGCAGTTTGAAGCTTTATTCATCACTTTCTCTGTTATTTCAATTCGGAACACTGTCATTTACTGTGCTTTTGAGCATATATAATTGATTCTGGGGCTCGATCGCGGTGGACTGACATAAGTTCTGATCTTATCTTTATGTTGTGAAGAAATGAATACAGGAGGTTTAACGGCGGTTGTATTGGTGCTTTTATCGTTTCTCTTGCACAAGCTGTGGTCGAGAAAGAGAAGTTCCGGCACCTCAAACAATGTTGGTGATGATGGCTCCCCACAATCAGACTCTAGTTCGCTGTCCCTGCCAATCGGAAACTACGAGGTGTTTTTGAATTTCAGAGGACCTGACACTCGTGATGAGATCACTGGTATCCTTCATAATTTTCTGGTAAAATTACAGATCCGTACATTTAAGGATGATGATGACCTCCGGAAAGGGGAATCAATATGGCCCAGCCTTGTTAAGGCTATCCAGGAATCCAAGATATATGTTCCCGTTTTTTCAGAAACTTATGCTTATAGCAAATGGTGTCTCAAAGAGCTTGCCAAGATTGTTGAACACCAAGAGAAAAATGGTGAATGCATCATACTCCCCATCTTTTATATGGTGGATCCCAGTGATGTCCGTCATCAGAGTGGACCTTACCAAATGGCATTTCAACAACACGAGCAGAAGAATGTTGACAAAGAGACCATAGGAACCTGGAAAGAGGCTCTAAGAAAGGTTGGAGCTCTAGATGGATGGCATGTCAAAAGCAAAAACGAGTACGTTAACTCATCCTTGCATTTTGTAGTATTCTTCACACGCTAATTTGTTTGATCCCATTTTGTTCGTTGTTAATTCCTTTGATCTTCTTCAACCCTTTTCTTACTGACTTGTTGAGAACCATGAGGTGAATTTACTGGACCACCACCAGTTAGTTTTGGATAACACATTTCATCCATTTATCTGAACTTCACGTGGCTTTTGTCCATGGTATTAGTATTACTATTTGTTGTTATCACACAGTGTGATGTTTATCATTGGCAACATTATTCTTGCAGGAAGATAGCTACAGCAGATCTTGTTTGTTCCTCTGTATGGTCACATTTAATGAAGAGTCACCTTGTAATAGAGACTGGTAAGTTGTTCGGAATTGACGATCACATAAAATTGGTAATGGACAAAATGAGCCTCGATTCTGGTGGTGCCACTGTTTTAGGGATTCATGGAACTGGCGGCATAGGCAAGACCACTGTTGCAACGGCTGTCTACAACAAGTTATGTACTCAATTTGGAAGGTGCAGCTTCTTGGATGATGTACGAGAAAAAATGAAAGAAAATGATGGTATTATTAGTTTGCAGAAGAAACTCATTTCTGACATTTCGAGAGTGGACATTTTCGAACGCTTTTCTAATGTTAGTCAAGGAGTCAGAATTATAAAAGATAGAATTTCTCAGGTCAAAGCTCTTATAGTTCTTGATGATGTGGATGAGGGGTTTAAGTTCGAAAACATATTGGGGAAGATTGAGGACTTCATTTCCGGAACTAGATTCATCATTACTTCTAGAGACAAAAATGTATTGCTTAAAGTGACTGAAGAATCCAGGTTATATGAAGTTCAAGAAATGAGTCATCCTCTTGCACTACAACTCTTCTGCTACCATGCCTTCAGAAATGATTCTCCTTCATCAGGTTATGAAAAATTGTCAGAAGATGTTGTATCAACTACTGGGAGACTTCCCTTGGCACTTGAAGTTACTGGTTCATCTCTATTTGGAAGAGAGAAAGCATTTTGGGTTGACAAATTAGCACGGTTGAGAGAAATACCCGAGAAAGATGTTGTAAACAGGTTAAAGATCAGCTTTGATACATTAGACGAAGAGGCAAAAGATATTTTCTTGGATATCGCTTGCTTCTTTATTGGAGAGGACAAAGAGATAGCTTCTTACATGTGGCGGGATTGTAAGTTATATCCTGGTACTTATATTCAAATTCTTGTTGAGAGGTCCATGATTAAGATTGGGGATAAGAATCAACTCCATATGCACGACCAACTCAAATATATGGGCAGAGAAATTGTCCGCCAGGAAAACACAAGACTCCCATGGGACATAAGCAGGATATGGTCCAGGGAGATAGCTTTGGGCTTGCTACGTAATAAGAAGGTATGTTTTTGCCCACATCTTTCTCGTAGGAGAGGCTGTCTTCTTGACTATCACCATATAATATCATATCTAAATATCTTTATGAGTTTCCTGATATTGAGTTGTTTGGCTATAAGATAGAAATGATATATAGAAAAGCCACTCACCTCCATGGACATGGGTTGGGTTTAATAGTACTATGAAATTTTTGTGGCAAAATAACTACAAGCGTACTGGAGTTTTGTGGCAGAATTTCTGTTTTTTTTCTTGTTTCTGTTCATCCTGTTCTCATGAGAAAAGAAAGTATCCGACCTGTAGGGGTGGCGAAAGGCAATACAAGCAGACATTTGTGGTTTGGATTCCCCCCTCCCTTTTGGTCATTCAATATTCTGTTTTTTTCTTTTCTTTTCCAGGGAACAGACCGAGTTGAGGGCATTAGAATACACCATGATTCTTATATGGAGGAGCTTGGAGTTTCGAAAGAATGTTTCATGAAGTTATCACAGTTGAGATACTTGGACATAAATGCTAGGATGCTCATTGACGACTTCGATAGTTATGTTCCAAATTTAAGATGGCTTCGACTGAAGATGATAGATGGTGGGTGGATGCCTAAGTTTAGTGTGGAGCACTTGGTGATTCTTGAAGTCTCGAGCTTCATGAGCTGTGTGAGATATAAGTTGGGAGCTTTGAGACATATCAAGGTATGAGCATTACTTAAATACCTTAACATAACGTGAAGTGCGCTTGTTGAGTTCTTGATCAATACCTAACCAATGACCATTGTACATGTTATTTTACCCTTCTTTTCTTTCATGTGTGCATACAGATGGCGAGCAATCTCAAAGTTCTCAAACTTTCAGCTCACTGGCTAGACGAATTTCCCGAGTTTCCACTTTCCGGGAGTCTTGAGATATTAGAACTGGAGAATTGGTACCACAGTCGATCGGTTAAGGACCAGGATATTAATTGGTCTGATAAAGGAGAAAAGGAACTGGATATTGGGAATTTGGGGAACCTAAAAGTGCTGCGTCTGCGAGATGGTGGGGTTAGGGAGATAACGTGTGAAACCATTAGGATGATGCCATTGGAGAACCGAAAAGTGCTGCATCTGCTTCCATCATCCCTAACCACCCTCCACATTATAGGGTGTTCACAACTGAAGTGGCTTCCCAATTTGGAAAATCTGGAGACCTTGATCGACTTCTCCATCGAAGACTGCCCCTTCGTGAAGGAGATCCTTGGTCTTGGAGGGCTGAAATCCTTGGAAACTCTGAGTATAAGTGGTCTGAAAGATCTGCGCAATCTGGACGGTCTTGACAGTATCTACTCTTTGAAATCCTTGTCACTCATATGTTGTTTTGCATTGGAAAGACTTCCCAGCATGGCTTCTTTGAGCAAGTTACTTGATTTAAGTATCTCTTCTTGCTCTCATCTCACAGAAATCCAAGGCCTTGGAGGGCTGGGATCATTGCAAATGCTTTTCATTCAGGGTGCAAAAAGTTTAAGCCATCTCTTTGGCTTTGAAACTCTCTTGTCTCTGAACAAGTTAGGAAGTATAGAGATACGTTACTGCCCTCTTCTCACGTTACTACCATTCCATGGCCTTGATAGTGAATGCCCATCAGAAGCTCCGGTACTCAACTCTTTACGGAGGCTATTCATAAGCGAGACAACAGGTCTGGTGCTGCAGATCTTTTGTCGGATGATTCAGCTGTTAATGTTCCCGAATCTCACTGTGTTGGTACTTATTGGGGACGAGATTGGTATTACTGACACAGAATTGCGGCTGGATGGGCTCGAGTCTATGGAAAAGTTGGTTAAACTGCACTTGTACAACTTGCGCTCAATAAGGAGACTGCCTTCCTTGTCAATGTTGGTGAATTTGGAAAGGTTAATTGTCATAAATCTTCCAAATCTGCAAGAGATTGAGGGCCTTGCTGGTTTGAAATCCTTGGAAGAGCTATGTCTCATCAAATGCACATCCTTGGAAAGATTGCCTGCGGATCAGTTATATGGTTTGGAGCAATTGAAAAAATTGAAAGTGAAAAATGTTCCAAGGTTGCGACTGATGGAAGGCCTTGCTGGTTTGAAATCCTTGAAAGAGCTAAGCCTCATCAAATGCACATCCTTAGAAAGACTGCCAGCGGATCAGCTATATGGTTTGGAGCAATTGAAAATGGTGGACATCTATGGTTGCACAAACTTGACCTTGACTGATCTATCTGCTCTAAGAGAACTAGAGTCGAGAGTGATGATAGAGTGGCCAAATTCAATCTCCATACATAACGATCCTTTCGAGGACAGCGACGATACTTGGTTTGTCAAAAGCGGCTACTTCGTTTGAGTGATTGTGATTATTAAATCAAAATATATAAACAGACAGTTTGTTGGCTACTTATTCAGTATTTGTCTTCCCTCGTATCACTTCTCTCTCATCTGTGCACAATGTGGACATTCTGTGATAGTCTACTCCATGCAATCTTTGACAGTTGAACTAATTGTGATGCAGTGGAAAGACTGCACAGCAAGTGTGTTGATAATACTCTATACTCTGTGAAATCATTGACGGTTGAAGATTGTGATGCTTTGGCAAGACTGCCCGACATGGCGTCTTTGAGCAAGTTGCTTGACTTAAGTGTCTCTCCCTGCCTTTGTCCAAGGTGTTTAAAGGGCTGAAATCGTTGCAAATGCTTCACATTCTTGGTGCAAAGAGTTTTAAGTCGTATCTTCAGTTTTGAAACTGTATCGTCTCTCAACAAGTTAGATATTTGGATCGCATATGCCCAACTGTCTATCTTAAAGTCCAAAGGACAAAGTAAACAGACGAACAAAGCCAGCTAGTAGCTAACCTTTTTGTAACGGATGAGGAATTGTAACGGATCAATTTGACACAATTGTCTCGTTTTGAGACAATTGTTGTCTCGTTTGCCAGCAAAAAATTTGGATGGATCAATATGCCTGAGGTATTTTGAATTGATTCGTTTTGAGTCAATTTCAATTACCTGGGGTGGGGGCAGGTAATTCTAATTGACTCGTTTTAATTATCTCGTTTATAAAACGAGACAATTGATCAAATTGACTCATTTTTAAATTGATCCATCCAAACGACCCCCGATGACAAAGAGCAACACAGGCCCATTCCGAAGGTCAAGAAGAGGAGCAATTCTACTATGCTATATAGTATTGGTGCTTTAATGTACAACTTGAAGTTGTACCATAACATGAAATGTACAAGTTTAGGTTGTACCATAAAGGAATTTGTATCATTATGTTATGGTACAACTTTACAACTTGAAGTTGTACCATCACATAAGGTACAAGTTTAAGTTGTACCATAAAAGAATTTGTACAAAAAGTATAGGTACAATCTGAAGTTGTACTATAACATTAAATGTACAATTTAAAGTTGTACCATAAAAGTAAAAACCTATGTAAAATTTACAATTCCTCCAAGAAGAGTGGTGGAATACTGGAATCTATTGCCGGCGGTCGTCGCCTGTTCCTGGACTTGATCGCATCTTGATCTTCCCTCAAGTCTCTGCAAAATCTCTGCAACTGGTACGTAATGTTACTGTAATATTAAACCACTACGGTTGACCTAAGCTCAATTCTTTCCAATTAGTCATCCTTTGCCTATGGTTTCGCAGCTGTGCAGTTATAGTCTATTGGTGCTAGAGATAACTGACGACCGAATCTGTTTTTGCAGTATAATAATGGGAAACCAAACTCCTTCTGTCCCCAAAGTCTTCGCGCCTCCCTCACCAACCCCAACTCCTCGTCGTCGGTTTCTACCTCCTCCCTCCATTTCCAAAATTCGCAGAATCAGCCGGTATACGAAAACGTCTCTTTCTCTCCTCTGAATTCTCGTCTTGCGCTGTAGCGGTCGCCTTCTGCGAAAACGCCTGTAAGACTCTCTCTCTCGCTATCTCCTTACTTCTCTCTGCTCTATGGTGTGTTTGTTATACTGTATTCAATCCTTGTTTTCGCCCTCCGATCCTTGAACTTAATCGCTTTCGTGCTTTAACTATTTCAAATTCATAATTTCAGTTCTCGTTCTTCTTATTCTACTTGCGACTTGCGAGTCCTTGATTGTATCATGGCTGCCAGTTCGGGTTCGTTTTTTTTTTTTTGGGTATTAATCGAAAACCACTAGTTTTAGCTACCCTTATTGGTTTGGAATCGGTTTGCACTTATCGGTTTTGGTTCAGAACGGAACACCTGCAAGACGCACGTACGTACCTGTTCTGTTTTCGATTCTTTCAGCCGAAACCTAGAAGCCTCTTTAACGGCTCGATTTTGGTTTTAAGGGCGAATGTTTGTTTCGAGTTTTCATAGCGATTCGGTTAACCTTTTTGACTTTTGAGCTTGAGTCGTCACCAACATTGTTCTTTCTTCAGCTACAGGTTCTCCTATACAAAGATGCGGTCGGCTGATAGAAACAATGGCTCCTCAACTAGTATCGATAATGATTGGTTTGAAAAAAACAAGAGACAAAAATCAAATAGTGTTGATTATGCCTCTTCACCACACTGGGATGTTGCTGCTTCTGCTTCTGCTTCCCCCTCCGCAAATTCTAGTCTCCAGTCCCCGCAATGGGGAGAGTACGAGGTGTTTTTGAATTACAGAGGCCAAGACACTCGTTATCAGATCACTGATATCTTGTATCGCTTTCTCGTAAACTTGAAAATTCGCACGTTCAAGGATGACGATGAGCTCCGTAACGGGGAAGGGATATGGCCCAATCTTGCAAAGGCTATCGAGCAATCCAAGATATATGTTACCATCTTCTCTGAGAATTATGCTTATAGCAAATGGTGCCTCAGAGAGCTTGCTGCCATTGTCAAACGTCTAGAGCATGACAAGTGTTGCATCATTCTTCCCATTTTTTACATGGTGGATCCGAAAGACGTCAGGAATCAAAGTGGTCCATATCAGAATGCATTTGATAAACACGGGAAGAATTTTGACCAAGAGACAATAGAGGTTTGGAAAGATGCTCTGAATAGGGTTGGATCTCTGAAGGGATGGCATGCCGAAAGCAGTAACGAGTAAGTTACCTCACTCTCACCGCCGCTGTTGCCTTTTATTTTATAGCTTACAAAATTCCTTAATATCAAATTGTGAATCACTTTAACGACTTGTCCCTGTTTGATATAATTGGAAATGATATTTTTTCCAGGCAGGGGGCTATAGCAGATCTTGTTACTGGCATTGTGTTGTCACATCTAAGTAAGAAAAATAATGTGTTAGAGATTGATAAGTTGATTGGAATTGATGCCGACATAAAAGCAGTAAAAGAAATAATGACACTAGGCTCCGGAGGTGTGTCAATTGTCGGAATTCATGGTATTGGTGGTATTGGTAAGACCACTATTGCCAAGGCGGTCTTTAACAAAGTATCTGCTCAATTTGATCGTTGTAGCTTTGTGGAAAACGTACGAGAAATGCTACATAGTAAAGATGGTGTTATTACTTTGCAAAAGCATTTAGTCTCAGACATCTTGAGGAGGAATTTTGTTGAGTCCATTGCCAATATTAGTGAAGGTATCAGAATAATAAGAGATAGGATTTCTCGTTTCAAATGTCTCATTGTTCTTGATGATGTAGACGAGAACTTTGAATTTGAAGAGGTGTTAGGAAAAATTGAGAATTTTGTTTCGGGGAATAGATTTATCATGACTTCGAGAAACGTAAAAGTATTAAGAATATGGACTGAAGATTGCAAGTTGTATAGAGTAGTAGAAATGAGTCCTCAACACTCACTCCAACTCTTCTGCAAACATGCTTTCAAAATGGATTGTCCTCCATCAAGTTATGAGATTTTGTCAAAGGATATTGTCTCTGTTGCAGCAGGACTTCCATTGACTCTTAAAGTTGTAGGGTCACTTTTATTTAAAGAGGAGGAAGTGATTTGGAAAGACAAATTGAGAAGGCTAAAAGAAATTCCTGAGGAGAAGGTTGTGGCAAGATTAAAGATAAGCTATGATGCATTAAGTGAAGATGCGAAGCGAATCTTTTTAGATATTGCTTGCTTCTTCATTGGAGAGGACAAAGAGATGGCTTCTTATATGTGGAGTGATTGTGGCTTGTTTCCAACGACTAATATCAATATTCTTAATCAAAGGTCTATGATTGACATTGTGTTCAATGATTATCACAATACACATTCGTTCCGAATGCATGATCAGCTCAGAGATATGGGTAGGGAAATCGTATGCCGAGAAAACATAACGCGTCCATGGAAGAGAAGTAGGATATGGTCAAGGGAGAACGCTTTGGAGATGTTACGTAACGGAAAGGTAATTCCCCAACATTTCACTTTAATTTCTCTTATTTTTTATTTGTGTATCTGATACCCACAAGTATATCCAAAGTGCACTGGACATACATCCAAATGATCTATAGATATAATCCTAATTTTGGATCCTCAACTTTGATATTTCAAAAGAGCCTTCTTTTCAATTTATCAAATTATCATTAACCCTAAAATATTCGTGCATACTCTCAATTGTAGATATCAGGTAGGTGTTTTTTTTATTTATTGGTTTAGCATATTAGTGGACTTTTTCTGTATCTTGTTATTGTTTTCATTGCCTCTTGCCGTATTTTCTTAGCAATCTGGATGGGGAACACAAAATAGAGGAAGTGCCAATTCACACGAGAAATAGAAAGAAAGAATCCAACCTGTACGTGTAGTGGACTTAGCTAATAGTAGTATTATTATTAAGTTTGGGGAGGTGAAAACTACATGATGAACTTCTGTGGGATGGATCGTTTGTTTTCATCCCTTTGGTCATTGGATTTTTTATTTATTACCTTTTTGTAGGGAACAAAGCAGGTCGAGGGCATTAGGCTACACTATGGTTATGACTTTGAGGGGGAGCTTGGGAGGAAAGAATGTTTCATGAAGTTGCCAGAGTTGAGATACTTGGACATGCAAGGTGTTAAAATGCCCATAGATGACTTCAGTAATCACGTTCCAAATTTAAGATGGCTTCGGCTGTCAATTGGAGTTTTGTCTATACCTAAGTTTAGTATGGAAAATTTGGTGATTCTTGAACTCTTCACCTGGCTGGGAGATGAGTCTGGAGCTTTGAAGCATATCAAGGTATGGACTATCGCTTAAATAACTTAACATGAAGTGTTTGTTGAGTTTCGGACTGGCTGTTGTACATGTTTTTCTTACAACTTAACCTTAATGTGTGCATATAGATGGCGAGCAAGCTCAAAGTTTTTAAACTTTCGTGTGGTTCCTTGGACGAATTGCCGGAGTTTTCTCGTTCCGGGAGTCTAGAGATTTTAGATGTGGAGACTAGCTTCTTCCGTCCACCATGCTGGGCCCGTACGGACCTGGATATTGGGAATCTGAGGAACCTAAAAGTCCTTCGTCTGAAGAATTGTTGGGTAATGAGAAAGATTAGAGCTGGAGCCATTGGGATGATACCATTTGAGAACCTAAAAGTGTTGCATCTGGAGGGTTGTTGGGTAACAGAGATAACAGGTGGAACCGTTGGAATGATGCCATTTGAGAACATAAAAGTGCAGCATCTGCTTCCATCATCTCTAACCACCCTCCTCATTATAGATTGTCCAAAACTGGAGTGGCTCCCCAATCTAGAGAATCTGGAGAACTTGTCTTACTTATCCATCGTTGGCTGTCCCTTGCTCAGAGAGATCCTAGGGCTTGGAGGGTTGAAATCCTTGGAAGCTTTTAGTATAAGTGATCTGAAAGCTCTGTGCGATATGGAAGGTCTTGGCAGTCTCTATTCTTTGAAATCCTTGTCACTTAAAAACTGTGATGCGTTGACAAGACTGCCCAGCATGGCGTCTTTGAGCAAGTTACTCCATTTAGACATCTCTTCCTGCCCTTGTCTCACAAACATCCAAGGCCTTGGAGGGCTGGAATTGTTGCAAATGCTTCACATTCATCGGGCAATTAGTTTAAGCTGTCTTGTCGGATTTGAAACTCTTCTGTCTCTGAACAAGTTAAAAGTTTTGAAGATAAGTGACTGCCCTCTTCTCACATTGCTAAAATTCTATGGCGTTGATGATGGATGCCGATCACAAGCAGCGGTACTCGACACTTTACAGGAGCTAGACATCCATGGAACAGCGCTGGTGCTGCAGATATTCTGTCGGATGATTCAGCTGTTAATGTTCCCGAGTGTCACCGTGTTGAAACTAAGTGGTGTGAGAATTGGTAGTGCTGACACGGGAGTAGAGCTGGATGGGGTGGAGTCTATGGAAGAGTTGGTTGACTTGCAATTGTATGACTTGGCCTCAATAAGAAGATTACCTTCCCTGTCAAAGCTGAGAAACTTGAAAAATTTAAAGGTTGCCAATGCTCCAAATCTGCAAGAGATTGCGGGTCTTGCTGGTTTGAAATCCTTGGAAAGGCTAGATCTCACCGGATGCACATCTTTGGAAAGATTTCCGGCTGATGAGCTATCCGATTTGCAGCAATTGAAGACTGTGATTGTCAGTGGTTGCACGAACTTAATTGACCGATCTGCTCTAAGAGAACTTGAGCCGAGTGTGAAGATATGGTGGTAACTGTGCCTCTGCTACTGAGGTAGTGTGATAACATCGAGTCTTCATCCTATTCCACGTTCTTAGATACTGACTTTCCTCATTCCAGGACTCTGGAGAACTTGAGTTTTCCATGAAGTGATGCCCTTCCTGACAGTCTGGCTTCTTTGAGCAAGTTACTTGGTTTATATATCTCTCTGCTATAGTCTTGCAGAAATCCAATGTTTTTGAGGGATGAAATAGTTGCAAAAACTCAACGTTTTGTGCAGAGTTTAACTTGTCTGCTCAGTTTTGAAATTCTGTCTTTTAACAAGTTAGAAATGTTAGGAACAATAAACTGCCCGCTTCTCACATCATTACCATTCCATGACCTTGACGATGAATGTCGATGAGATGCTGCGGTACTCTACTCTCTACGATATGATCTTTGTATCAAGAAGCGGCGCCTTCTGCAGATTTACTGTGGTATGATTTAGCTGTTAATGTTCTCCCGTCTCAGTGTATTTCATCTTAGTGATTCGGGGATTGCTGAGGCCCACATGACATGGAACCAAGGCTGGATTGGCTCGAGTCTATGGAGGAGTTGGTTCAACTGGCTATGGATTGCCTGTGCTCAATAAAGGAGTCTACCCTCCCTGTCAAAGCTGCAAAACTTGAAAGTGTTAACTGCCACTGGGACTCCAAATCTGTGGGAAGATTGAGGGCCTCCTGGTTTCAAATCCAAGGAAGAGCTAGATTTCTCTCACTGCACATCTTCAGAAAGATTCATGGCGCAGACGAGCCATCTGGTTTGAAGAGTTGAGAAGCATAAACATTTGTGGTTGCACAAGGTTCAATATGTAGAGATGATCTGTTAGCTGTGATGAAGGTGTTAGTACTTAGTAGTGTAGGAGTGGAATTTGTCAATCTGTGATGGTCACATCTTAAATCAAGAATGGGTGGGTCCCATAACTAGTTCACAGATCTCATGCTGTGACTTTTGAGTTTTGAGCAACCAGGAAAGATTCAAGGCACTGGTGTATTAATGATACATTGCCTCTTATTCAAATCCACGCCTGTCTAATCAGTTTCTTTCTTTAAACATGTCTGAGATTTGCTGCAATGTTTACATTTCTGTAGGTACTGATTGCATAGGTTCTATCTACCTATGATCCCTCTCTTAGTCGAAACAACGTATCTTCCAAACAGCCAAAGACATTCGGCCTGATCCTTTCACCAGTCTCGACTATCAAGGCTACCTGAGATCGGTGATAAGCTTGTTGCCGTCCTTAGCTGTGCATTTTAATGTTGAACTCTTGTGTCAACAGCAGGATTCTATCCCTCTTCTGCCTGTGCCCCTAATTTCTCAGTATGAGAGTGCCACTGTGACTGTGAGGAAGTATCTGAGAAGATGAGGAAAACAGATGCATTGACCAACTGTCTAGCTACGTGGGCTAAGCCCAAAAGAAAACAGACAAGCAATGGCAACTACACCGTTAAGCCCAAAAGAAGTGAAAAGACAGATGCAAAGTAAAGGAATGCCAAAACGGAAGAAAATAGAGCGAGAGAGGGGGAATCTATATTCACTACTAGTTCCCGGTGGTAGTCGCTCCTGAACGTGGTCGGTTGCCGTCTAGGGATCCTCCTTCTCCATTTCCGGATATTTGGTGCGCATCTCCCCTCAAGTCTGCAAAACCTCTGCAACTGGTACGTAAAGTTTCTGTAATTTCTATCTATCACAGTTGACCTGAGTTCAATTCTTTCAAATTAGTCTTTGTTTACTTAACAATTTCGCGGATGCATGGTGGGATGCTTTGATACTCTATTGGTGCTAGAGATAACTGACCACCTACTCTGTTTTTTACAGTGTAATAATATGACCAAACTCCTCCTACTGTTTCCTCGAAGCCGAAGAAGTCTACGCGCCTTCTCCACCAACCCCAACTCTGCTTCGTCGGTTTCTACATCCCTACCTTCTATTTCGCTTCTCCTACCCATTTCCAGATTTTGCAGAAGCAGGCAATAATCGAAAACGCCTCTCTCTTTGCTCGTAAGTCCTCTCTCTGCTCAGCTGTTTTCTTTTCCTAATCCTGCCAATACCAAAAAAATAAGGGGTCTTTCAGTATCTATTACTCAGTCGAGGCTTAATCAGATTGGACTGACATAATTTCTGCTTGTATCACATATTGTTATGAAGAAATGGATTACATGTACGAAAGAAGTTCCCACGGCTCAAACAGTGTTGATAATGCCTCTAGAGAGGCGGACACTGTTGCTTCTGCTTCTGAATCTGCAGATTCGCATTCGCTGCCCCTGCCGTTTGGAGAGTACGAGGTGTTCCTGAATTTCAGAGGTCCAGACACCCGTTATCAGATCACCGATATCCTTTATCGTTTTCTTGTTAACTTGAAGATACACACTTTCAAGGATGATGATGAGCTCCGGAAAGGGGAAGGGATGTGGCCTAATCTCGTCGAGGCTATCGAGCAAGCCAAGATTTATGTACCCATATTTTCGGAGAATTATGCTTATAGTAAATGGTGCCTCAAAGAACTTGTGGCGATTGTTGAGCGCCAAGAGGGCAACCAGGGTTGCATCATACTACCCATTTTTTACATGGTGGATCCCAAAGATGTCCGACATCAAAGTGGGCCTTACTGGAATGCATTTGAAGAACACAAGAAGATTTTCGATGAAGAGACAATTCTAGTTTGGAGAGATGCGTTAAATAAGATTGGAGCTATGAAGGGATGGCATGTCAAAAGCAGTGATGAGTAAGTAACCTCACCCGCACCCGCACCTTTTTTTTACCGTTTACCAAATTACTCATTGTCAGATTGGATAATGTCACTTATTGTCCCCTGGTTGAGATAATTGGGCATCTTATTTTTCCAGGCAGGGGGCTATAGCAGATCTTGTTACTGGGGATGTATGGTCACACCTGAGTAAGAACAATAATGTGTTAGAGACTGATAAGTTGATCGGAATTGATGGTCACATAGAAGCAGTAGAAGAAAGGATGACCCTAGACTCTGGCGGTGTGTCAATTGTTGGCATTCATGGTATTGGCGGTATAGGCAAGACAACTATCGCCAAGGCTTTCTATAACAAAGTATCTGCTCAGTTTGATCGTTGTAGCTTTGTGGAAAGCGTACGAGAAATTTTACTTAAGAAGGATGGTGTTATGACTTTGCAAAAACAGTTAATCTCAGACATCCTGAGGAGGAATTCTGTTGAATCCATTGCCAATATTAGTGAGGGTATAAAAGTTATAAGAAATAGGATTACTCGTTTCAAGTGCCTTATTGTTCTTGATGATGTGGACGAGAAGTTTGAAATTGAAGAGGTGTTGGGGAATATCGAGAATTTTGTTTCAGGAAGTAGATTTGTCATGACTTCCAGAAATGTAAAAGTATTGAGTACTTTGACTACAGAGTGCAAGTTGTATAAAGTACTAGAAATGACTCATGGCCACTCACTCCAACTCTTCTGCAAGCATGCCTTCAAAATGGATTCTCCATCAGGTTTTGAGACTTTGTCAAAAGATATTGTCTCTGTTGCAGCAGGACTTCCATTGACACTTAAAGTTGTAGGGTCTCTTTTATTTCAAGAGGAGAAAGTGATTTGGGAAGACAAACTGAGACAGTTAAAAGAGATTCCAGAGGAGGAGGTTGTGGAAAGGTTAAGGATAAGCTATGATTCATTAAACGAAGAGGCAAAGCAAATTTTCTTAGATGTTGCTTGTTACTTTGTTGGAGACGACAAAGAGATACCTTCTTATATGTGGAGTTCTTGTGGGTTTTTCCCGGTAACGAATATCAATATTCTTAATCAGAGGTCTATGATTGAGATTGTTTGTGATATTGAAAAACAAAAAGTGTTCCGAATGCATGATCAACTCAGAGATATGGGTAGGGAAATTGTACGTCAAGAAAACAAAAGACATCCATGGAATAGAAGTAGGATATGGTCTGAGGAGAAAGCTATGGACATGTTACATAACAAAAAGGTAATATCTCCTGCGTCTTACTATAGTTACTTTTAGATTTTTTAATGTGTCTGATAGCCACAAGCTCTGAATATTTACTGTCAAAATTGGCAGATGTTGATTCTACGTTAAGTAGGTCCTAGTTACCAACTCACCAACTTAAGCCTTGATGAATTTTGAATCATAAATTCTTATTCCAAGGAGTAAAATCTGAAATTAAATTTCTCGTATTGATGTTTGTTTTAGCTTTTAAAATTAGGGTCCAACTTGAGTCCTCGGTCTAAACTTAAGAGATGCATCTGATTTGTATGATTTTTCAACTTAAAATTTCAGGAATTAATGATAGGATAACATGTTTTAGGTAAGCGAAAACAACTACTACAAACATGATGAACCTCTGTAGTGAAGACTTATGGTTTCTTTCCTATTGGTTATTGATTTTTTATTTCTTTTTTGCAGGGAACAAACATAATTGAATGCATTAGAATGAACTCCTCATCCGGTGATGGTGTTGTGGAGGAGCTTGAGATTGTGGGGAACTTTGAAAGTGAATGCTTTATGAATTTATCAGAGGTGAGATTCATTGACGTACAAGCTAAGATGCTCCCTAGCGACTTCGCTGATTATCTTCCAAATTTAAGATGGTTTCGATGGAAGTTTGGATACGGTGGGTGTATGCCTAAGTTTCATGCGGAAAATATGGTGATTCTCGAACTCTTAACCCCAGTGAAAGACGATTGGGGAGGTTTGAGACATCTCATGAAGGTATGCACTATTGTTAATGACAGAGCACTTAAGGTACTTGTTTAGTTTCTTAATTAGTAGTTACTGACTTACTGTTGTACATGTTTTTGTTTTCCCTTGTTTTTTAAATTTCTAAATGAAGATGGCGAGAAAGCTCAAAGTTTTGAAACTTGTGGGTAAGCTCTTGATAGAATATCCCGACTTTCCACGGAGTTTAGAGATATTGTATCTGCAGGATTTCGGGCCTCGGTTGTCCCATAAGGATCTGGATATTGGGAACTTGAGGAACCTAAAAGTTCTGCATCTATGGTATTGTGAGGTAGGAGAGACAAGGGGTGGAACCATTGGGATGGTGAAGGGGCTTCAAGAGCTCAATATCATCCATTTAGGGGTTGAGGAGAGTCTGAGAGCAACACTTGCCGATATTGGGGATTTGCAGTTTCTTGAAATCTTGAGAGTAGATGTAATCGCTGATGTGGGACTGGCATCAGTTTACGAGAATTTGTTACTGAATACTAAGCTTCCTACAAGTTTGAAGGAACTGGAGACTACATCTCCAGTGGCTAACCTTCCAGAGCTGGTGGAGTTGGATGAACTAGTCATTCGATATTCCGGATATGGACTTGAGATCCCTCCAGCAGACAGTAGTGATATGTGGTGGAAGTCATCCAAATTGAAGTCTCTGTCGCTGCAAGAAACAAATATGACTATGCCAACTAATACCTCTAGTCCTTCTTCCTTGCCGCTGCTTCCATCGTCGCTGACCACCCTTCATGTCAAGCTTTGTCCAAAATTGGAGTGGCTCCCAAATCTAAAGAATCTGGAATACTTGACTCACTTATACATCTCAGGCTGCCCCTTGCTTAAAGAGATCCCTGGTCTTGGAGGATTGAAATCTTTGGAAACTCTGAGTCTAAGTGATCTGAAAGCTATATACAATCTGGATGGTCTTGATAGTCTCTGTTCTTTGACATCCTTGACACTGAAAGGTTGTGATGCATTAGGAAGACTGCCCAGCTTGGTGTCTTTGAAGCGATTGAAAACGTTATCCGTTAGTTATGCTCCATTCCTGCGGGAGATTGAGGGCCTTGCTGGTTTGAAGTCTTTGGAACAGTTAAATCTGTATGATTGCGGATCTTTGGTAAACCTTGCTGTGGATGAGCTATCTGGTTTGAAGCAATTAAGGAGGGTGGAGATCAAAGGTTGCTCGCAGATCAGCTTCATTGATATCTCTACTCTACGGAAACTAGAGCCGAATGTTAAGATAGTTGTTGAGGTACGGCCACCACCATAATCATCATAATCAAATGCACCACGATAGTTAGTTTATCTATTATTATTAGTACTAGTTTTTGCCTGCGAGAAGACAATAAGAAACAAATTTTATCTAAATTGTATTAATTTTTTAATGATTTAGTTTAAAGCAGATAATTTACATAATATTTGGATAAAATACCTCCACAAGTTTACATAGTATATCTTAATCGTTACAAAAGATGTACGTAATATGCTTGTTTAATTGATACTTGATACATAAGAAATACTTATCATTCCATAAGATTCATGTGATTTATGTAACTGTTATAGAATGATGTTATATAAGTCTTTTGTAAGATATATAATAACATTAAACTTGATAAGTATCACTAACTATTCTTTAAAAGTTGACTTATCTTATGGGATTGTGAATATTGTTGATTATAATAAATGAGTTTTAGTTAATAATAAAATAATTGTTAAAAAAATTCACATTACAATACCTTTGTTGATCATACAAATTGATGAGGTGATCAATAGTTTAATTAATAATAAAAGAATTTATTTTATCAAACTTATGATGCGTACTTGACTTCGATTATTCGTTTGCAGTTGCCGATTACAAACAAGCAAAAAGTTCTAGATTTTTCTAGGCGCTTCCACACCAAACTTCCCAACCTCGCGATATATGGCAGTCTAGAGATGTTAAATCTTAGTGAAGTCAGGGTGAGGTCTGAGGACCTAGATATTGGAAATTTAAGTAACTTGAAAGTGCTGCTCCTGATGAACTGTGCAGTAAGAGAGATATTGGGTGGGACCATTGGGATGCTTAAAGGGTTGCGAGAGCTTAATATCAACGGATTCTGCTGCAACAATTCAGGAGAAGTCTTTGCTGATATTGGGGGGTTACAGTCTCTTAAAATCTTGAAAGCAGCAAGAACTAACATGACTTCAGAAGGAAGTCAGATGAAGATTAAGCTCCCCACTAGTTTGACGGTGCTACACACTTCATTTCCAATTGCTAACCTGTCTGAACTTGTAGATTTAGAGGAGTTGGCAATTGAATATGGGATTGAGATCCCTCCAGCTGACCACATGTTCTGGAAGCTATCCAAGTTGAACTCTCTGAAACTCTATAATGCAGCGTTCATCACGACTACCAGTTGTGGAGGTCACCCAGCTTCCATGCTGTTTCCGTCCTCTCTAACCAGGCTGTCAATTCGTCGGTGTCGGCAATTGGACGGGTTCCTGAATCTAGAGAATCTGGAAAACTTGATTCAGTTATCCATCGTACGCTGTCCAATGCTTGAAGAAATCCATGGCCTTGGAGGGATGAAATCATTGGAAAGTCTGAAGTTAGATGGTGGAGCGAATTTGCTTATTCTTAATGGCCTCGACAGTCTCCACTCTTTGAAAAACTTGAGTCTCTTCCGCTGTAAAGCATTGGAAAGACTACCCAGCCTAGCGTCTTTGAGCAAGTTATGCAACTTTAACGTCTTTGACTGCCCGCGTCTCTCGGAGATCCAAGGCCTCGAAGGGCTGAAATCCTTAGAAGTGCTCAGCATTAGTGGTGCAGGGAGGTTAACTCATCTCCATGGCTTCGTGAATCTCCTATCTCTAAACAAGCTGCAAACTTTAATTATATGGGACTGTCCTCGTCTTGCAGCGCTATCTTCCCATGACCAACAGCTTGATGGTGGTGGTTCGAGTGGTGACAGCCAACCAGTACTTGACTCGTTACGAAGGTTGTCCATTAATGGATGTGCGTCACTGCTACAAGGTAGTTTCTGCCAGATGCTTCGTCTGTCTAGGTTTCCGAGGCTTGTGGTGTTGGAACTTGGGCAGACGGGGCCTCCTACTGTGACGAACGAAATACCGCTGGAGGGGCTCGAGTCCTTGGAAGACTTAGTTAGTCTGCGGTTGATTTGCTTGGCTACACAGAAATTACCTTCCCTGTCAAAACTGCAAAAGTTGAACGACTTGACTGTCATTGATGCTTCTAATTTGCGCGAGATTGAGGGCCTGGCAGATCTGAAATCCTTGAGAAGCCTAACTCTCGAGAGATGCACATCATTGGAAAGATTGTCTGGCCTTGACCTGAAATCTTTGCAAATCCTACACCTGGTGAGATGCACATCATTAGAAAGACTGCCTAAGGGTAGAGGAGGTAAATGGATTGGATTCATGAATTGGTGGATTGGATTGGTGGATCCATGGATCAAATGGATTGGATTCAACGAATTTGTGAATTGATCTATGAATCAAAATGACATCCAAACCTGGACAAAAATATAAAGTTTGAAAAGTTTAGATACTAAAATGTTATGATGAAAATCTTGAGGTACAAAAATGTAATTTTCAATGATATTTTATGTATAAAAATAAATTTTAGGTACCAAAATGTAAAATATAAAAAATATAGATACCAAATTATAATTTGTCATTTGAATTCATGGATCAATCTATGAATCCGCCAATTCAATTGGATTGGATTAGGTGGATGGATGATGGAGCAGATGAGCCATCTAGTTTGAAGCATAAACATCTGTGTTTGAACAAGGTTCAATATGTAGAGATTATCTGTTTGCTGTGATGACCGGTGGTGTTAAAAAGTTCAGGAGTGGAATTTGCCAATATGTGATGCTGACAGTTTTAATCAAGAATGGGTGGTACTGGTATATTGATGATATGTTGAGGCTATTACCTCTTGCTCACATCCATGTCTGTCGAATCAGTTCTTCTTTCTTAAAACATGTACGAGATGTGGACTCTGGATGTGCCTCTAATTTCTCTTGCTTGACTCTCTGTGGTGTGTGCGCCCAAGCATGATATCGAGAGAGCGATTTCATGAATTTGGCCGAGCACGATTCCAGGTTATGGTCAGATGTTTTCCTGAAAAGCAGTGGCATAAGGTCTAGTAGGTCTCAATATGAGAGTGCTACTGTGATGAAGCATCTGCGAAGAAGCTTCAAACATGCTGTGCAGTTCATGCTGAAGCACTATGCAGTCTATGCTCGACGCAGGTGTCACTAGGACTCCACAAACAGAGGGCTTTGAGCGCAGCTATTGCAGAATATGCATACAAGGTTGGTGTTCACTACATTTGGTTCAGTAAAAACTACATGCTTTGTTGTATGATCATTCTGCAATTCACATGATTCTAATGCTTTGTCGTTTGTGTGTTGCGCTATGTGACATGATGTTCTTGGTTCTTGATTTGGTCGTACGGTTTCCGCTTCAGGGAGGAGTGGATCTGGGCGCACTCATGGATCTTGGCGATGGCGATTGGATGGGCCTTGGCTGGGATTTACATCTCCAGCAGCCGGGAAGTCGGGTCGCGGAGGAGCTGGTCCCTGGTGATTTTGAGCAGGCGGCGGCGGTTGTGGAAGGTAGGAGGGTTCGAATGGAGGTAGGGTTTCTTTTGTGCAAGTGGGTCAAATAGAAGAAGAGAAGGGTTGGGTTGGGTTTGGGTATATGATGTGTTAGGTCGTGTTGGAATTTTTTTTTTTTTTTTAATTTGGGCAGCTCAACGTCTTTCTTAGTCACGTGAAATAAAAACTGACGACGTTGACAGAGATTGATGGAAGGTAACGGGCAGTGACCAATTACTTGGACCGTTAAACTAATTCTAATGATCATGAATGGAATAAATATTTTTAATGTCAAATGTGAATTTTTTTTAAGTAATTCTAGTGAAACTTGCAATTTACCCCAAATAGAAGAAGCATGTTGGGGCTGCCTCTGTTCCCCCCTGTCTCTATCGACCCCCAACATTGCCACTCAAGCCCGAGAAGCCGCCGCTCTTCAATTCGACGGCGAAGCGTGAGATTTGGTCGCCTTTACGTCTGGAGAAGGAGGAGATATCGTCGGGAGCTGCAAAGAAGAAGAAGAAGGTCATCAGAGACCTTGTGTGTGATAAATTTGCATTTTGTAAAGCAAAAACTCTCATCTCTTTCTTCTCTCCAACACAAGTGGAAGAACGAACTCGGAAAAGGCAAACCCCACATGCTCAATAAAATATACAAAATTTCATCTCCACGAACAACACGCCAATATATCGGTGTAGTCTAGTTGTGAATAACTTATTGGTTAGTGACCGCCACAACTATACACCTACAAAAATAACTTATTTGCAGGTGAACACGGTAGTAACCACAATCACACGGACCAAACAAACATAGACCGTCAGAATCTTTTCCCAGCCGCCACTATTTGGCCACGGCTGGCACTGTGGCACATGAGACGTAGGTGTCCATCCACATTAGAGGAATATTTTCTGGCGATACACCCAAAATTTTCTATTTCCGGTACAATCTAAATGAAAAGCCAAAGCACAAACATAGTACCACTATCCTGGCGATCGAACAACAACGTTACATACTGCGACTTTTTCTGCATGGATCGGGAATATTTTGCCGAACTGGTCAAGTATAAATGAAACGAAGCAAAACGGCATTATTATATATAATAAGGAAGGAAAAATGAGTTCATCTTCACGGAATAAATATAATAAGAAGGTGATCATGATTGTGGTGGTGGCGGTTGTGTTAGTGGTGGTGTCGCTGAGAAGTCAATCGGCGTCGGCCAACGTAATAAGCTACCTTTGCAACGATGATTTGTTCGACTACGACGATCTGCACATTGAGTGTGTATATATTCTGTTCGACAAATTGGTCGGGGATGCGCGTCCGGTGAAGCAGGGTGCTTGGTACCTGCCCCAGACCTGCTCCTCCGATGATTCGGTTATTGTCTACGGTTACCGGCGGATGGACGAGGGCGCGACGGACTGCATTTCTGACGCCGAGGATGACATCGTTAACATTTTTTGCCGTCACAGAACTGGAGGTCAAGCGTGGGGAGATGGCTGTTATTTGAGGTTCGAGATCTACCCGTTTGATGTCTGATGGTCAACTATTTATATATGTATTGTATTTGTATGTATGTTTCCTATGACCCTGCTTTGTAAAAGGGTAAGAAAACTCATGTAGCTGCCGGGCAGCATGAATAATAAACGCTTAGAAAACTCTTAGCTCCAACTTTGGTTGGGCGAAATAGCTCCAACCATCCAACGTGTCAGTTTGTTATTAGTGAATTCACCTTCCTTTTTTTTCTTAATATTTAATAATGCTAAATAAATCAAGAACTAAAGTATAAAAAAATGAAATCACCAATAGAAAACTGACACGTCGGATGACTGAAGCTATTGCGTCCAACCAAGGTTGGAGTTAAGAATTTTCCACCAAAGAATTTAGCTGAGTTCGGTCGAGTTTGTTTATTAAAACCTTGACCAATCATCATTAAGATTAAGACTAGCTCTGTGCGCGGCCCTTGGCCGGGTCGATTTGCTCAAATATAATGCATTGCGTGGGGTCATTGTAAGCATTCTATTGCAACTCTTTGAGTCGGATACTCAGGTCAACCTACATATGAGGACTAAAGTACTTTTCACGGCTTGGAACTTGGTGCTTCCATTGTTAGCTTGTGTTGTAGCTTGAGTTGTACCATTGCATTGTTGTCTGGAATGCAAGTTATAGTTTCTTTTTCATAGTCGTTAGCAATGGTGATGTAGCAATAGCCTCACTCGATGTAGATCTGGTTGCGAAGCTGTTCATGTTGATTGTATCCAATGCAGTCAAAAGCGTGATTCTACCTAGAAGCGGAAAATGGGTAAACTCGTAAAGCGTAGAATCAAAGCTTAAAAGCGTAAGTTTTTGACACATACTGAAAAATAACTAAAAATGTATTAAGTAGGACATATGCTATGCAAAATATGAATGCACATAAATTAGATAAGTCAATAAATACGTGTGATTCATGCCTAAAGTAGAACAACTTATAGCATCTTAATAATAAGTTTGTAAACATAAATTTTAACAATAAGCCACTTCTCCCACTATGCTAATGAATTTGGGAAAAGCCTAACGGGTGAATTAGATTACTCTATCGAAGTTGAGAATGCATACAAGTACCTTATATGTATCTCTTAATCTCTAAATTTTAACAATAAGCCACTTCTCCCACTATGCTAATGAATTTGGGAAAAGCCTAACGGGTGAATTAGATTACTCTATCGAAGTTGAGAATGCATACAAGTACCTTATATGTATCTCTTAATCTCAAATGTATCATATTGTTGGTGATTTACTTTTAAAATATACTTTTTATAATTAATTTCATGAAAAGAATACTCATTTAGTGAACTAAAAGCGTAAAAACGTAAAGCGTTTTGGAGAACTAGAAGCGTGAAACCGTAAGCTTTTAAGCTTTAAAGCGCAATTTAGTCCGATTTTATATACTGAAGTTTTTATATGGAAACGAAAGCGTTTTGGTGACCTAAAAGCGTAAAATCGTAAGTTTTTACGTTTTAAAACGCAATTTTGACTGCATTGATTGTATCTTCAATCTCTGTTTCATTGTCCTGTGAAAAGTGGCATTTGTCATTAAAGTTCTGAAACATATGTGGATGCATTGTATGGTTGGTACCCATGCTAGCTTATAAACAAAGAAATTATCTCCTCATGAGTGCGGAATCTAATTGCATAATTTGCATTTAAGTGGATAAATTTTACAATGCTATATAGTATTGGTGCTAGGTTTTTGCTTCTATGATACAACTTAAAATTGTACATTCACGTTATGGTACAACTTCAGATTGTACCTATACTTTTTGTACAAATTCTTTTATAGTACAACTTGAACTTGTACCTTTATGTGATGGTACAACTTCAAGTTGTAAAGTTGTACCATAACATAATGGTACAAATTGCCTTATGGTACAACCTAAACTTATACATTTAATATTATGGTACAACTTTAAGTTGTACATTAAAGCACCAATGCTATATAGCATTGTAGAAGTGCTCATTTAAGTGATCAAAGACTATAACCTGTAGAAAACAAATAGTAAACACAATGTGGGTAACGTGGTTGAAGGAATTCAACAAATAAACCCCAAAAGCAATTAATTTGGATGACTCTATATATCAAAGTACAATGATGAATTTGATCACAAAGCTTTCAAAATGTTCACATGATTTAACAATGTATCACAATTATACATCAACCATCAAGAAAATCATTTATGGAACTATCAATTCGTACTGGTGCTTGCCTTGCTTGGGAGTTTGATGAGGACATTACAGTACTGCTTGAACTGCTGACTCCTATCACTTTTCCACTCTTCCAACTCTTCGGGATTCATCGCCATCGATTTTTACTCTAACTTCGAATCTGTTACATTAGGGCAGCTATAGTTCAACAGTGTATTGGTTTCAAATCAGAACCAAAGAGACGATATATGGAATTACTTGAGATTAAAGTGACAAATTACCTGATATAAACATTTAGGCAGGGAAGAAGAACATCCGTTTTGGGCGTATGAAAGGCTTCTTCTAAGACACTGGTCTCGAACTCCAAACTTAAGTCACAATTTAGATTTACAGGCAGGAAACATGGTTCCTTCGCCACAAAATTGCAAAAAAGTAAAGAAGAAACAGGGATGAGCATATTCAGAAATCAACTGAAGAGGAAGATTCAGATAAAAAATGAACTTAATTTCTTCATAATCCGCCTCCCTTAATAATTTTCAATCAATCTGTTAAGGGAACAATTAATTCAAAATCCAAAACTATACCCACATATACCCAGACTAACTACCATGGCAAAGCAAATCATAGCTTTCACGTCCGAATTCTGTAGTAGGGAATTCCAAACTCCCATTCTCTTCTTAGTAACGGGGAGTGTAGTTTGAATGTTGTAAAGCGGCTGGTGACTAACCTGTAATTTGCAGAGTGTAATGGTGTGAATGGGTGAGTTTGATTGAAACGAATTGGGGCGGGTAGAGAAGGCGAATCGGCGGCGCAGTTTCACCTACCAATAACCCTGCCATATGTGGATGGAAAAAGTATATTGCAAGTGGAAATCGGGGGAGAGGCGACTGGCGGTTACAGACGCATCTTCGCTACCGCCTGCTTCCATAATGTTGTTCATTTTTCGTCTTTGCCCTCGTTTCTCGTTCATGGCTTAATCCGGCAGCGGAGAAGTAAAGGAGCGAGACATCAAACATTCGTCGCCGGACATGTCGGTTTCACATCGCTTCCCACCGTCTCATGGAGAGACAAAATGCCCCAATCCTGAATCTGATTCCCGTTCCAAGTTTGAGTCGGAGAAAATTGAGGTTGAATGATTCTCTGTGACTTGTGAGAATCTGTTTGGGGGTTGAAGAGAAGAAGAAGAAGGAAAAGCACAGGTGCTATTCCCTTCCCGCGTATAAAAGAAGAAGAAAAAAAATTAAACATATCCCTGAAAATTGTCGAGGGATTCGGTTTCCAAACCTCTTCAAAAAAAAAAAAACATGTGGCGGACTGCTATTGGATAAAGGGGTCGCTGACGTGGAAGCATATGGTGAACGAAAATTTGAATTGGAGAGGCTGTTTAGGGGAAAACACCTATAGTATTCTTTAGATTATGAGTTCGGCTCAATATATTTCCAACCAATATATCAATTTATATTGCTCGATCATGACAGCTCTTTTCATAAATACATAAATGAAAAAAATCCCCAGTACTATTCACTACCTTTCTTCTGGTCTGGCCTCAGACGATTGTTTGTTGATTGATTGTGAACATCTCCCGGCCTCCCGCTAGGGGTGGGCAACGGGAAACGGGTATTTGGGTATACCCGTACCCGTCCCGTTTTTAAGGGTTACGGGTACCCATATTACCCGTAATATTTTAAACGGATGGGACTTGGGATTGTACAGTCCTAATATGGGTACCCGCAGGTTACCCGCGAATACCCGTTTGGGTAATATGAGTACCCTTTATACCCATTCAAATTACAAAGACATATAATTCAGCCCATGCGCCCAGGCCCAACCCAATTCAAAATCCATTAAAATTACAAAATCCATTTAATTCAGCCCGTGAGATTTGAGACGCTGACGCACCCTTGCTTGCTGCTGCAAAATTCACCACCTTCCCCACCCTATTTTGCCAAACTAAGGATTGATTTGAGTAGAAACAACATTATTATTATTATTACTGAATCATGGCACTTTCCAGGAAGCAGAACTTGTTCTCTTTCTGGGTTTTATTATTTGGTCCTTTCCCCTTCCTTGATTCCTTTTCATCTTCATCATCATCCCTTCTTTGGGTGGTAGGAATTGGTGTAAGTTGCTACTTGTGCAACCATTTTGAAATGAATGCTTTGGATGTAATTGACTAATTGTCTTTAGGTAAAATGTCATTTAAACTTTGGCCCTCAAACGAAAGCCGACTCATGGGCTTGAAGTTTGCACAGGCTCGTCTCTAACACGCCCCCTCAAACGAAAGCTGACTCATGTGCTTGAAGTTTTGCACAGGCCCGCCATACCATGTGCTTGAAGACAACTGTTAATATTGGGGGTCGTGGAGATTCGAACACACGACCACTTGGTCTAACCAGCTCTGATACCATGACATAAACCAGTTGATCCCAATAACTCGAGTTGTTGGGAGAGATTCAATCGTGGATCATATACCACAACACTAACACGCCCCCCTCAAACGAAAGCCACTCACAAGGGCTTGAAGTTTGCACAGGTCTGAAGACAAGAATACCATGTGCTTAACAAATGTGGGTCACCGGGAATCGAACACAAGACCTCTTGATCACATAAGGCTCTGATACTATGTCAAGAACCAGTTGATCCCAATAACTCGAGTTGTTGAAGAATGTTATGTTGGTTCTTGTACCACTCTCTAACACGCCCCCTCAAACGAAAGCCGACTCATGGGTTTGAAATTTGCACAGGTTCTCTAACATCTACTAGTCAACAAGTCGGTAAAGTGCAATAAACCCTACGTAAAGTAAAGAAGAGTCTACAATACATACGTGTTGGAATTTCAGTCGGCGAACAACTTTTCGACTAGTCAACAAGCTAGTTCAGCCGCAATGCAACTTGGTCGAAATTTAATTAAGCACCAACAAGACCAATTCGATCTGGTATCGATGAATGGTCGCGACTTCCCACCCTATAAATTAAAATCCGCCGTCTTCCAGCCATTTCCCACAACTCAAATCAATCCACAATATCGATCATCGTTGAAGCCTCTCGCTAGCTAGCTCTTCATTTTACCATCCATCCCTCCGTTTCGCGCGGTTTGATATCAATCCAACCGAAGGTAGAATAGATGACGAAGCTCAGCCGTCGTCAAAGTCTCGTTTCTTCAACGTGTGCGGTACTGATCTTGGCGGTAGTAATTCTTTGCTTTATGTCAGCTTTTGCGGCGGCCCAACGCGGCGGCGGCAGGGGAAGCAGCAGTAGCGGCAGCCCAGGCGTTAGGGGAGGAGCGGTGGTGGGCGGGGCAGTCGGTGGCAGTGGTGCCGGCCGTACTTCGTCGTCCGCAGTTGGGGATTCGAGTCATTGTTGTTTTGGTGGTGCCGGCCAACTGCTTGGAGGATTCGTGGTTTCCTTTCTGCTGTATGCGATGCACTAATTCAGTAATTCCCCTCTTTTAGTTTCTATCTACAATTCATAATTCTTGTAATGAATTCATCATTTGTGTAACGCGTTTATAGAAACAAAAACAAAAAGAGAATTATAGTTTAGGTATATACAAGGATGGATATTGTAAGTATATAGGTTGTTTGAAATGGTTGAAATTGCTAAAGAGATTGGAGTAATAGAGGTTGTTTGAAATGTTTGTCTGAAATAATTTGATAAACCCGTGATATTGTTTGTATTAAATAAAGTGTATATGTTTTGACGAAGAACGACAAATTTGATGGGATCGAGAAGCATTTAAGTCACAACATCGTAAACACAAAATGACTGGCATTCCATTTTCAGCTGATGCTATGAATTCTGGACAATAGTCAGGTTAAATTGATAATTTCATCATCGCTATCTGAAAACACCAGCAAATGAAGCATGCATAATGACCATAATGGTTAAAATGGTGACTTTATGAAGTCTCGGAGCATTTACAATGGTGCAAATGGAGGGAGTTGTAAGTTTAAGTGACATGTGCTCGCAAGTAAAAAAGTGCATGGCATCAATGTGAGGGTTAATATTGGGTTGTATTAAAAAAATAAGTAGAATCCACAATCACAATTGCACGTGGATAGTATTGTGTTAGTATGTGGTATAAGATTCATTATTGAACCTCCCAAAAACTCGACTTATTCAAATCAACTGATTCTAACATAGTATCAGAGCCTTCTATGATAGAGATGTCTTGATTTGGAATCTCCACGACCCCCATTTGTTAAGCATGGGGTATTCGGACTTGTGTCAACTTCAAGCTTTTATAAGTTATGAGTGACTTTGTTTTGAGAAAGCGTGTTAGTCTTTGATACAAAATCTAATATTGAATCTCTCGCAGCAATTTAATGGAATCAACGGATTTTTAACACATTGTAGATGTAGATGAAATGAAAGTGGAGAGCATTGAAATGACAATAGCAAACACACTCGAAAATGCAAAAGAATTCTATTGTTTGAGATGCTCTGCCGCAATTTTTCATGTGTTCCCGAAAAGAAATTAGTTTCATAAGCTGCCCAGAACAAGACAACATCATTGCTTCTGGAGTTGGAATGACAACTTGGTATCGTACAACCTCTTTTAGTTGGATTTTATGCTTCCCTGCAATACGTCGTCGTTTCATGGTTTTTGTGCTTTTCACCTGTTACTGCTACCTAGTCAAGTTTCTATTTCCCTTCGGCAATCCCAGCCTCCCAGGCCAGTCGTCGCTCTTGGTCTCCCCTCTTCTATTTCTTTCTTCTCCAGAAGCAAGCAGATCAATTTGCAGTAAGTAAGCAGCTGACAGAGAATGCAACTCTCTCTCTCTTTCTATCTCATCTCGATTCTCTTGTGGCGCCTTAGCTAGCTGCCGCCATTGACGGAAACGACTGTAAGTCATCTCTCTCTTTCCCTCTCTGCTCTTTAAATTGTCGGATCCTGATCCGTTTTCTCTGCTGGTTATGCACTAGCTTGGATGTGGGCGAACAATTACTTCGTGCTCGAGTCCTTGAACGTTCCCATCTTCGAGACCACCCAGTCCTCAATTTTCATCATCCTCTGTATTCAGCTTGAACTTTTTTCAATTTTTAGTTTCAGTCTTCGATTTTTTCATAGTTCGCATGTTTAGTCTTCGAAGTATCTTTCTTTCATCACTGCTCTATTCCTATTAGATGTGCCATGTTGCTAAACTGAAAAAAAAGATTTAAGCTTTCCTCGGTTCTTTTTCAGTTCAAAGCAATACAATAAGCCAGGAGTTTGTATGATTAACTCGAGTAATCTACAGCTTTTAGAATTATGTATGTGTTCTAATTAGTTGAAGGCTTAACCATGGCTGACTGACTTAAGTAGTATTGTGTGTGTATGGGATGTTTTTGTGAAGAAATGGATTACTTGAAGTGGGCTGTGACGGTGATTGCCCTGTTGCTACCGCCACTGATCATTCTCTACAAGCTATGGCTGGGAAGGAGAATTTCAAACAGGGCGAACAATGTTGATAATGCCTCTCGAACGTTAGACTCTATTGCTTCTGCTTCTGGTTCTGCAGATTCTGACACTTTGCTGCCCCTACCATTTGGAGAGTATGAAGTGTTTCTGAATTTTCGAGGTCCAGACACTCGTTATCAGATCACTGACATCCTTTATCGTTTTCTTGTTAACTTGAAAATCCGCACGTTCAAGGATGATGATGAGCTCCGGAAAGGGGAAGGGATATGGCCCAATCTTGTCGAGGCTATCGAGCAATCCAAGATCTATGTTCCCATCTTCTCTGAGAATTATGCATATAGCAAGTGGTGTCTCAAAGAGCTTGCTGTAATTGTTGAACGGCAGGAGAGAAACCAAGGTTGCATCATACTCCCCATTTTCTATATGGTGGATCCCAGAGACGTACGACATCAAAGTGGACCTTATCTAAGTGCATTTCGTCAACACGAGAATTTCTTTGATGAAGAGACCATAAGAATCTGGAAAGCTGCTCTGAATAAGGTTGGAGCTTTGAAAGGATGGCATGCCAAAAGCAATGACGAGTAAGTTACCTCACCCTTGCCTTCTTTTAGTTTGTACCAACTTATTGTCATCAGATTAAGAATTAATTTAACAAGTTGTTCCCTGGCATTAGTTTGATTTATAGTGTGGTTGATATAATTGAGAATCATATTTTTCCCAGGCAGGGTGCTATAGCAGATCTTGTTACTGGTGTTGTATGGTCACATCTGAGTAAGAATAATGTTTTAGAGACTGATAAGTTGATTGGAATGGATGATCACATAGAAGTAGTAAAAGAAAGATTGGCCCTAGACTCTCCATGTACGACAATTGTTGGCATTCACGGTATTGGTGGTATAGGTAAGACCACTATTGCAAAGGCTGTTTATAACAAAGTATCCCCTCAATTCGATCGCTGTAGCTTTGTGGAAGATGTTAGGGAAATGTTACAGCAAAGGGATGGTATTATCATTTTGCAGAAGCATATCATCTCAGACATTCTAAGGGTGAAGGACTTTGCTGAATCCATTGCCAATAACAGTGCAGGAATCAGAATCATAAAAGATAGAATTTCTCGTTTCAAATTTCTTATTGTTCTTGATGACGTGGATGAGAAGTTTCGATTTGATAAGATATTGGGAAACATCAAGAATTTTGTTTCGGGGAGTAGATTCATCATTACGTCTAGAAACGTAAAAGTTTTGAGTACTTTGACTGATGACTGCAAGTTATATAAAGTACTAGAAATGAATCATTCTCACGCACTCCAACTATTCTGCAATCATTCATTCAAACAGGATTCTCCTCCATCTAGTTATGAGACTTTGTCGAATGATATTGTTTCTGTTGCAGCTGGACTTCCATTGACTCTTAAAGTTGTAGGGTCACTATTATTTCAAGAGGAGAAAGTGATTTGGGAAGACAAATTGAGGCAGTTAAAAGAGATTCCAGAGGAAGAGGTTATGGAAAGGTTAAAGATAAGCTATGATACATTAAATGAAGAGGCAAAGCAGATTTTCTTAGATATTGCTTGTTTCTTCATCGGAGAGGACAAAGATCTACCTTCTTATATGTGGAGTGATTGTGATTTTTTCCCTATATCCAATATCAATATTCTTAGACAGAGGTCTATGATTGAAATTGCATCTCATGATTATCATAAACCAGAATTTCTCCGAATGCATGATCAACTTAGAGATATGGGTAGAGAAATTGTACGCCAGGAAAGCATAAGACATCCATGGCAGAGAAGTAGGATATGGTCGAAGAAGATGACTCTCGACATGTTACGTAACAAAAAGGTAAATTACCTACACCTAGTTGAATTTCTTTCAGATTATTGTAAAATACCTATGATAGCCACAAAATGACTCCCACATCCATGGGAAATTAATGACATATATACTCCGTGCACTATGGTGTATATGTATTTTTCGTAGTCCATGAATCTGTTTGTTAAAACAACACAGTGTTTGAGTGTTGTAGTGGTAGTAAAAGTGGAAGCACAAGAGAAATGAGCAATTTACGTGCGAAATAAAATAAACCATACAACCTGTAGGTGTGGTGGACTTAGCTATTAGTACTATAATATTGAAGCTGTAGGTAGGTGAAAACAACTGCAAACATGATGAAACTCTGTGGCAAAGGCTTTTGGTTTCTTCCCTTTTGGTTATTTGATTTTGTATTAATTTTTTGCAGGAAACAAACAGAGTCGAGGGCATTAGAACATCCTATGAGGGTGATGGGGAGGGCCTCGAGAAAGAATGCTTTATGAATTTATCAGAGTTAAGATGCTTTGACATAATAGCTACGGTGCTCTCTGTCGACTTTAGTAGTTATCTTTTGAATTTAAGATGGCTTCGATTGAAGATTGGATATGGTGGGTTTATGCCTAAGTTTTGTGTGGAAAATTTGGTGATTCTTGAATTATTAAGCCCAGTGAAGGATGGTTGGAAAGGTTTGAAGCACATCAAGGTATTGGTTATTAGTTAATAACATAGCACGAATTGTGCTTGTTGAGTTTCTTGTTTAATACTTTTCGACTGACTGACTTGCATGTTTTTCTCTCCCTTGTTTTATGTTTTCGTGAAGATGGCCAGCAAGCTCAAAGTGTTGAAACTTTCGGGTGAGTTTCTTATTGAATATCCTCAGTTTCCACATTCCAGGAGTCTAGAGGTATTATATCTGGAAAATTTTGGGCCTCAGTCATCCCATGAAGACTTGGATATTGGGAATTTGCTGAACCTTAAAGTGCTGCTTCTGCGGTATTGTGAGGTAAGATCAATTACGGGTGGAACCATTGGGATGATGAAGGGGCTTCGGGAGCTCAACATCACTGATTTAAGGTTTCAGAAGAATCTGAGAGAAGCCCTTGCTGATATTGGAGAATTGCAGTTTCTCGAAATCTTGATAGTGGAGCTAAGAAATGAGAATTTAATGCTGGATACTAAGCTTCCACCAAGTTTGAAGGTGTTAGTAACTCCATTTCCAATTGCCAACCTTCCAGAGCTGCTAGAGTTGGAGAAACTAACAGTTAATGAATGTGAGCTGAAGATCCCTCTAGCGGACAGTAGTAATATGTGGTGGAAGATATCCAAATTGAAGCATTTAAAGCTCTACAGGACAAAGATCACTATCCCAATTAATACTTCCTTGCCTCTGCTTCCATCATCACTGACCACCCTCCACATCGATTCTTGTTCCGAGCTGGAGTGCTTCCCAAGTCTTAAGAATCTGGAGAACTTGACTGACTTATCCATCGAATGCTGTCCCATCCTCAAGGAGATCCACGGTCTTGGAGGGCTGAAATCTTTACGAACTCTGAGTATAGTACAAACTGCATGCAATCTGGACGGTCTTGAGAGTCTCCACTCTTTGACGTCCTTGAAACTTACAGGTTGTGATGCATTGGAAAGACTGCCCAGCATGGCGTCTTTGAGCAAGTTACTTGATTTGGATATCTCTTTCTGTGATAGTCTCACAGAAATCCAAGGTCTTGGAGGGCTGAAATCGCTGCGAAAGTTCAGGATTTTTTGTGCAAAGAATTTAACTCATCTCCTCGGCTTTGAAACTCTCCTATCTTTTAACAAGATGGAATCTTTAACCATACAGTACTGTCTTAATCTCACATCGGTGCAATTCCATGACCTTGATGATGAACGCCTTATAGAAGAAGTAGCACTCAACTCTTTACGGCAGCTAGACATCTGTGGAACTATGCCACTGCTGCAGATCTTCTGCCGGATGTTTCAGCTGTCAATGTTCCCAAGTCTCACAGAGTTGACACTGACCGGTTTGGCGCATGATTACCATTATGAAGATATGGAATTACGCCTGCATGGGCTCGAGTCTATGGTAGAGTTAGTCGAGTTGTCTTTGCATACCATGGTCTCAATACGCAGACTACCTTCCTTGTCGAAGCTGCAAAACTTGAAAAAGTTAATTGTCACGTATGCTCCAAATCTGCTGGAGATTGAGGGACTTGCTGGTTTGAAATCCTTGGAACACTTAAGTCTCACTGACTGTAGATCTTTGGAAAGATTGCCTGCAGATCAACTATCTGGTTTGAAGCAGTTGGAAAGTGTGTACATTAGCGGTTGCACAAAGTTGATTGATCGATCTTCTCTCAGTACACTACAGAATGTAGAGATACAGTGGTCAGATTCTGAAACCGAGAGCTCGGATGCATAACTGGCGCAAAAGTCTATTTTCTTACCTGCAACCTTTGATGACTAAACGATCTCGGTATTTGGATTAGTAAAGGTGACCTTCCCTACTAACATATTCTTATTGTGCAGTTACATTGAATCTCTTGTTGTAAATAGTGAAATACTGATATGGTTGGGGGATATCTTCCTATTTGGGGGTGCGTTTGACATTATTTTGCGTAATTAGCTGATTAGATTATCTTGTCGGTTGTCAGATAAACAGGATTTCAGGATGGAGGATCATGGGAAAGCTGATGAAGGAGGATGTCCTTCAATGGTTCCATTATGTGAGCATTGCTCTCAGTCTCAGATGGACAATGTATCTTCCCACCGGCGAAAGACATTCACGTCATTCGTCTGGCCCTTTCCATAATCTCGAGTCTTAACGTGTGCATCGATCTGAATGTTTGAATCTTCATATCGATCGTAGGACGCTATTTGATTATCTGGCTATGCCTCTAACTACACTGGTGTGAGCTTTTGTGGTCTGTGCATAAGCATTATACTGTGATGTGCTGTTGATGGGCTTTCTAGATTCTGGGTAACACTCAGAACTAGCAGGTAGTCATCATGTTTCCACTGATGAAAACCACAGTGACAATAACGTCAGTTACTGGAGTTCTCATGCCTAGTTGTACATATGAGTTGCATAACACGAGGAAGACTGGCAAGCATTATGTCATTGGCCCAAGTATCTGGCTGCATGGGCCGACCCTGCAAAAGAAAGGAGTCCGATAAAACAAACGCAGGTACGTCGCTGAGCCCAGAAAACGAGATCCGGGAATGCAGCCCATGCCAAAAGATATCCTCCAAGTCAACGAAGATATACTCTATGCCAAAGTCGTCGTTCATGGTCGTCGGTTTAGTTCCCGCCTCCGTCTCCATTCCGTCTTTCACTTCATCTCTCTCCTCCATGTTCACAGTCGATTTGCAGAAGCAACCACTACGAATTACGAAATGCTTCTCTCTCATCTGACAGAATTCTCTTCTTGAGCTGCAGCGGATTCAATCAACGGAAAGGCCTGTATGATTATCTATCCCTCTCTGCTCTATGGTGTTTTCTACTGGATTCAATCCTTAATTTTCCCTGCTTAGAGACAACCCAGACCTCTGAGTTTCTCACCCTTCGTTTCCAATCTTTGGCTATTTCAAATTCAATCGTTTCAGCCCTCGTTCTTTCTGTCTGATGTTGCAGTTTAGCCCTTATAAATTCTTATTTTACTTGCTACTTCTCGGCTGTACATGTTTCTGAAGTCGGCACTGTTTTGAGATTCAGTCGTCACGGACTCTGTTCTTTCTTCCAATACAGGTTCTCCTCTACGAAATGTGGTCCAGTGGAAGAATCTGTGGCTCTCCAAATTGTAATGACGATGATCCGTTTGGAAAGAACAAGAAACAGAAAACATACAGTGCAGCGCAATGGGATGGTGCTGCTTCTACTTCTGCTTCCGACTCTGCCTATTCTAGTTCCCAATCCTTGCCATGGGGAGAGTACGAGGTGTTCTTGAATTTCAGAGGTCCGGACACTCGTTATCAGATTACTGATATCCTTTATCGGTTTCTTGTTAACTTGAAAATCCGTACTTTCAAGGATGACGATGAGCTCCGGAAAGGGGAAGGGATATGGCCCAATCTCGTCAAGGCGATCGAGCAATCCAAAATCTACCTTCCAATCTTCTCGAAGAATTATGCTGATAGCAAATGGTGTCTTAGAGAGCTTGCCGCAATTGTTGAACACCAAGAGAGAAACCAGGGTTGTATCATACTCCCCATTTTCTATATGGTGGATCCCAGGGACGTACGGCAACAAACTGGACCTTACCAAAATGCATTCCAGCAGCATCAACAGAATTTTGACGAAGTGATCATAGGAGTTTGGAAAGACGCTCTGAATAAAGTTGGAGCTTCAAAAGGATGGCATGTTAAAAGCAACGATGAGTAAGTTACCTCACCCTTTGCCTTCTTTTAGTTTTTACCAACTTATTATCATTGTGGGATTTAATTTCACGTTGGCCCCTTGCATTAGTTTGACCTGTAGTGTGATATCATATTTTTCCAGGCAGGGGGCTATAGCAGATCTTGTTACTGGTGTTGTGTGGTCACTTCTAACTAAGAATAGTAATGTGTTAGAGACGGATAAGTTGGTTGGAATTGGTGGTCACATAGAAGCTCTAAAAGAAAGAATGGCCCTAGACTCTCCAGGTGTAACAATTGTTGGCATTTACGGTATGGGTGGCATTGGTAAGACCACTATTTCAAAGGCTATCTACAACGAAGTATCTGCTCAATTTGATCGATGTAGCTTTGTGGACAATGTAAGAGAAATGTTACAGCAAAAGAATGGTGCTATCAATTTGCAAAAGCATATCATCTCAAATATTCTAAGGGTGAAATATGATGAATCCATTGCTAATGCCAGTGAAGGGATTGGAATTATAAGAGATAGAATTTCTCGTTTCAAATCTCTTATTGTTCTCGATGACGTGGATGAGAAGTTTGAATTTGATGAAATCTTGGGAAACATCAAAAGTTTTCTTTTGGGGAGTAGATTCATCATTACGTCTAGAAATGTTAGAGTTTTGAGTACTTTGACCGATGATTGCAAGTTGTATAGAGTACGAGAAATGAGTCATCATCATTCACTCCAACTCTTCTGCAATCATGCATTCAAAAGGGATTCTCCTCCATCAAACTTTGAGACTTTGTCAAAGGATATAGTACATGTGGCAGCAGGACTTCCGTTGACACTGAAAGTTGTAGGGTCACTTTTATTTCAAGAGGAAGAAGCGATTTGGAATGACAAGCTGAGACAGTTAAAAGAGATTCCGGAGGAGAAGGTCGTGGAAAGGTTAAAGATAAACTATGATACATTAAATGAAGAGGCGAAGCAGATTTTTTTAGATATTGCTTGTTTCTTCATTGGAGAGGACAAAGAGCTGCCTTCTTATATGTGGAGTGATTGTGGCCTTTTCCCAATAACTAATATCAATATTCTCATACAGAGGTCAATGATTGAAATTGTGGTTAAAGGATCAGAAAAAAAGCTTTTGTTCCACATGCATGATCAACTCAGAGATATGGGTAGGGAAATTGTACGTCAAGAAAACATAAGGCATCCATGGAAGAGAAGCAGGATATGGTCGAAGGGGAAAGCGCTGGACATGTTATATAACCGAAAGGTAATATTCCATCATCTTACTAGATTTTATTTTAGTTTTTTTAATATATGTGTCTGATATCAACAGAAACTTCCAAAGTGCATGGATAAATACATACACAGAAATTATTTGTAGATATAGCTTTTAAGATTAATCCTAATTTTGGATTTGAACTTTGATATTTCAAAATGAATCTCCTTGTGATTTTGATTCTCACCATTAAGTGGATACCAATAGCAAAATCAGTAGCTCGATTCACGTAAATATATAATATATTCTTATTATCCCTGTATAAATTCATATTTTGATGTTGAAATAAGATATTTCTTCATTAATGTGCATTTTTGCTTGTAGCCTGTAGTTACTTTTACAATCCAACTTGAATAGTCATTGTTAGAATTTGGACTTAAGAAATGCATTTGATTTGCATTACTTTCCAACTTAGAACTATAGGAGGAATGATCAATGAAACAAACATAGCCTATAACTTAAACGTCAAAAACTGAACTCTTGGCAGAATAAAAGAGAGGATAACATGCTATGAGAACAAATTTTATTATTGAAAATGATGTTCAGGTCATTGAATTTTTTTATTTCTTTTTTCAGGGATCAAACCTAGTCGAGAGCATTAGAATACGCCACAATGGTACTAAGCTTGGGAAGATTCAGAAAGAGTGCTTCATGAATTTATCAGAGTTGAGATACTTGGAGATAGAAGCGAGTATGCTCATTGACGACTTCAGTAATTACGTTCCAAGTTTAAGATGGCTTCGGTGGTCAATAGGGTTCTCTGAGTATATTCCTAAGTTTAGTGTGGAAAATTTGGTGATTTTTGAAGTTTTAGGCTTTGTGAGAGATATGTCGGAAGCTTTGAGGCATATCAAGGTATGGGCTCTTACTTGGATAACTTAACGTAACATGAAGTGTGCTTTTTGAGCTTCTTGATCAATACTTACCGACTGACTGTTGTACATACTTTTGTTGTCCCTTCTTTACTTTGACGTGTGCATACAGATTGCAAGCAAGCTCAAAGTTCTGAAACTTTCGCGTTGCTGGCTGGATGAATTTCCTGACTTTCCACGTTCTGGGAGTCTCGAGATATTAGATCTGAGGAATTGCTTCCACCATCCGCGGATTCTTAAGGACCTGCATATTGGGAATTTGGGTAATCTAAAAGTGCTGCGTCTGCGTGATTGTGGGGTAAGAGAGATAGTAGGTGGAACCATTGAGAAGATGCCGTTTGAGAACCTAAAAGTGCTGCATCTGCAGGATTGTGGGGTGAGAGAGTTAACATGTGGAACTTTTGGGATGATGCCAATGGAGAACCTAAAAGTGCTGCATCTGCTTCCATCATCTCTGACCACCCTCCTTATTATACAGTGTCCAAAACTAGAGTGGCTCCCTAATCTAGAGAACCTAGAGAACTTGACTTACTTATCCATCGGTGGATGTCCCTTCCTAAAGGAGATCATTGGTCTTGTAGGGCTGAAGTCATTGGAAACTCTGCGTATATGTGATATGAAAGCTCTGCGCAATGTGGACGGTTTTGAGAGTCTCTACTCTTTGAAATCCTTGACACTGAGATGTTGTGATGCATTGGAAAGACTGCCCAGCATGGGGTCTTTGAGCAATTTACTTAATTTATATATCTCTAACTGCCATGGTCTCACAGAAATCCAAGATCTTGGAGGGCTGGAATCTTTGCAAATGCTTGACATTCATGATGCAAAGAGTTTAAGTGGTCTCTTTGGCTTTGAAACTCTCCTGTCTCTTAACAATCTAGAAATTTTAAAGATAGGTGGCTGTCCTCGTCTTACATCATTACTGTTCCATGACCTTGATGATGGTTGCCAATCCCAAGCAGCGGTACTCGACTCCTTACAGGAGCTAAACGTCTGTGGAACAACGCTAATGCTGCAGAGCTTCTGTCGGATGATTCAGCTGTTAATGTTCCCAAGTCTCACCGAGTTGACACTTGGAGGGGTGAAAATTGGTAATGGTTACACGGAACTACTGTTGGATGGGCTCGAGTCTATGGAAGGGTTGGTTAGACTGCATTTGTATGACTTAGCTTCAATAAGGATACTACCTTCCCTATCAAAGCTGGGAAACTTGGAAAGGTTAACTGTAAAAAATGCTCCAAATCTGCAAGAGATTGAGGGCCTTGGTGGTTTGAAATCCTTGAAAGAGCTACATCTCATCAGATGCACATCATTGGAAAGTGTGCCCGCAGATGAGCTATATGGTTTGGAGAGATTGGAAAGCCTGGACATCCGTGGCTGCACAAACTTGAAAAATCGATCTTCCTTGAGAAAACTAGAGCCAACAGTAAAGATACAGTGGCCTAATTCTGGCCACACAGTACGCGGTGTGTAATCTGTTTCCTTAACTTCTTCAAATATTGGAATCTTTGATGGCAAACGAATCTCAGTCTTCAGGTACTGAAGGTATCATCCCCTGTCGTATTTGTAGGTACCTTAAGTGTAGAATTTGAAAATCTTTTGTGTTCAGGGTTGTACAAGGTTTGCCATATGGCTTGACAATGTTACTTATATTTCTCCTACTCTACATCGTAGCTGGTCTATCAGTTCAGCTTCTTCCTTTCTGAAATATCTCAGATTTGTCATTTCTGCATACATGGTCACTTTGTGCCTATCATCTTTCTCACTCGGGTGGGACAACGTATCATATGTTCCAACCTGCTACCTTTCACTAATCTCGACTCTCAAGGCTGGCTGATAACCTTGATAAGCTTGACCCGATCCTTAGCTATGCATATAAAATTTTGAACTTTTGTGTCAATTGTAGGATGTCTAGTTATCTGCTTGTGCCTCACTCAACATTGTTCAATTGGTTTAAACCAGTGAGTCAAAAGGCAATAGTCACTGCCATTTTTTCTTAATGAACTGCAGTGGTGATAACGTGAGTTCTTTCCCGCAGGTCTCATTGCTTAGGGTACTATCCCGAGTAAAGAACTCTGAAGAAGAGCGGTACGCATACTCGACTAACTACAAAAGACACCAGCTGATCGATGAGACGATGACATAGATTCTTTTTTTGTGGGTGGTGTCTGTATCAGATGAAGTATTTCGACTTCCCCATCAACAGTGTCATTAGTGGATGTGGCTACGAGAGAGAATCTTCGAGCATTGTGCTGCAGACAGACGCAGCAGTCCATGGAGAAAACTTTGATTTAGCTATTAGTAGAATGTCCACATGGCCAAGAGTGATGACTGATTTGTGCTATTTTGTTGAGTGAATCGAACTATTTGCTCACTTGCCCTTAAATTTCCTACTATAGCCGTATTGAATTATGCATCCGGTTTTAGTCTATATGGTCTATGATCAAACTGTTCATGGTAGCCTCTCAGACCTGTAATTTTACTATTTTAGTTGATTAGTTCTATACTTCTACGACTCGGAGTAGAAAGTTTCATTTTTCATTTTTGTCTTACTCTAAAAATACCTTGGCTGGTAATGGGGGATTTCAACCTCATTACAGACTATTTGGAGAAGAGCGGTAACCGAGACCCAGATGCGAGAGAGATGGAAATGTTCAGGGATACCTTGGAGCTTTGTCGATTGGAAGATTGTGGTTACTGTGGAAGGACCTTGGGAGAATAATCGAGCTGACCAAGATTATACTGAGGAGAGGCTGGACAGGGTAGTGGGAAACACAGAGTGGAGGGAGTGCTATCCCACTATGCGTGTCTATCATTTAGAGAGATGTGGCTCTGACCATATGCCAATTCAGATGAAATTAGATCTGGAAGAAGATGATATTAATTGGGGGTGGTCTTTCCGCTACGAGCCTTATTGGGAGAGGCATGAGGACTGTTCAAAAGTTATTGCAAAAGCGTGGCACCAGCAAGGGGAAGTTAGTTCTATGGATCGAATTAAAAACTGTGAGGATAAATTGCTTTCTTGGAGTAAAGAAGTCTTTGGCTCGCTGAAACAGAGGAGAAAAAAGGCGGAGAAAGCCCTTCAAGCCTTGGAAAAGAGGAAGAAAACAAAAGAGACACTACAACAGAAAAGAATAATTGAGCAAGAGCTCAATGATGCAATCCTCCAAGAGGAATTGAAATGGAAGCAACGCTCCCGTGCAGATTGGTTGAAGGAAGGGGACCTGAATACTGGATATTTCCACAGGAAAGCCTCGAAAAGAAGGAGAAAAAACACGATTAGGAGGTAACAGGATGAATCAGGCCAGACATTTATCGGCCAACAAGAGGTGTCTAACTGTCTAGTTAGATATATAAAAAATATGTTCGCAAAAAAGCAGAAGAGGGGAAGGGAGTAAGATTCTGCATCTGGTGACTCCCAAGGTTACTGTAGAGATGAATCAATTCCTCCTGGAACCCTTTACTGAGGATGAAATAAGGATGGCTTTAAAGAAAATGGGTCCCAATAAAGTACCTGGACCAGATGGGATGTCAGCGAGGTTTTTTCAAAGGCACTGGAAAGCTGTTGGGATATTGTCCTAAGGGAGCTTCAATCATATCTGGAGTTGGGGGAGTTTCCCCAGCAGCTTAACAACACACTTATAGTGCTGATACCGAAGAAGAAAAAAACCTATAAACCCCTTGGAATTCAGACCCATAAGCCTTTGCAATGTACTCTACAAGGTTCTTTCAAAAGTACTTGCAAACCGACTAAAAAGAGTACTCAACTCAGTTATAAGGGAAGAACAGAGCGCTTTTGAACAGAGTTGATGTAATGTAGCTTGAATTTTGGACGGTTGAATATGATTATGGAAATGATATGCAGGTAACTTGAATGCTAATCCTTGACGCTTGAAAATGAAGCTAACTGAAACCAGAACAGGAAAGCAACCAGAAACAAATGCGCAGCAATTTCACCAGCAGAGATCAATTTCCGTAGTTCATCTAATCAAATATCACCAATGAAGTGAGCCAATTACATACTGAGCTCATGCTGAAACATCCATGATAACTACTGCCAGATGGACGACGGTTTCACACTAATTGACTCCTCCATTCATCCCTTGAACACGGCAGAAGGAGGGAGCGGGGGAGCGTCCAGCTGGTAGAGATTCAGCGCCGGGCCGACGAACCGGAAAACGATCCAGCCACCGATGACGATGAAAATGGAGGCATATGCGAACTTGTTCAGCCAGAACAGCGCTCCTTTCTCCCCTACGTAAAGCTCCAGCGCCTTCTCTCCCATGCTCATTTCCTCCCATTTCTTCTTCGGCGCCGGCGCCGCCGGTCTTGCCGCCGCTCCTTTGGCTCCTCCTCCATCTTCCCCTCGCTGTCTCCCGCGCCTTTTAGACCGCCGCCTGAACCTCACCTCCACGGTCTCCGGCGGGGGCGTTACTGTAGGTGGAAGCTGCTGCGGAGTTTCGTCCCCATTAATGGCGTTCTGCCGGTGGCGGCGAGGGAAACTGATCTGTGTGAACTGCTTAGTTGTTAGAATTGGTGCGGCGCGGTGGTGGGCGATTGAAATCGGAGATTTCGGGGGCAGGAAGTGAAGGAAATTGGCGGCCATATCGCGCTATCGCCGCGGGTGGCTTAGGATGACGAAGAACTACTGTTCTGTTCTATCTATGATCTATCCTCTTTACTACTTACTAATTTGTTTTTCCACCCTCGATCTTTCTGATATTTGCTTATTGGCCCTCCGTATTCCTTTTTTTTCATTCTAGTCCTTGGGCCTGTAAGCTTTAACGGCCGCTGCATTGGACATTGGTGGTGCTTTCTTCCACTAATTCTCCTGCCCACTCTGTTGTTTCCGGCTAGTCGAACAGTATCGGCGATGGCTCCCCACAATCGGATTCTGCAGCTTCTAGAACGCTATCCCTGCGAGTATGAGGAGGCTGGAGATGTTAATGTCTTTATCGTTTCGGCAGTGGTTTGTCGCATGAAGAGCTGGATTGACATTGGGAATGTTAGGAACCCTAAGAAGAGTGGTGAGTCTGTTGAAGGTGATACTCACTTCATTACCTGTTGTTAACCTCCCCGAGCTAGATAATCTGGATAGCTTGGCTGCATTACAGGTCTTGGAGGGCTGAGATCTCCAGAAAATCTTAGCATATATTGTCTAGGTTCTGTACACAGTTAGACAGACTCCGTTCTTTGATAAGCTTGTTCCTTGTAGGCTGTCATCCGCTAGAAAGACTGCCTGCCCTGGCGTTTTTGGGATAGTTACTTGAGTTCAATGTCGATGTCTGCCCTCATCTCCCAGAAATCCAAGGCCTTGGAGGGCTGTTGCAAAAGCTCAGCGTCAGTTATGCTACAAGTTTAACGGGTTTGAAACTCTGCTGGCTTTTGACTAGTTACAAGCTTTAACAATCTTCTCACTTCACTGTCATTCCATTACCTTGATGATGGTGATGGATGGTCATAGCGGGTGGCAGCTGCCAGCAGGACTCTGTGGTATCTGGACATCAGGGGAACCATGTAACTACTGCATACATTTTGCAAGATGCTTCAGAAGTCAGTGTTCCTGCAGCTGAATTAGAAATGGAGAGGCTCAAGCCAATGGACGAGTTAGTTGAGCTGTGTTTGCGTGGCTTGTCCTCAATGCCGATACTACCTTCTTTGTCAAGGCTGCGAAAGTTGACAAACTGATCTGTCACCGGTCTGCAGGACATGGAAGGCCTTATTGGTACCAATTTCTCTCTGGCTGGCATGTCTTTGGAAATTTTGCCAGCGGATTGACCACCTGGTTTGAAACAATTGAACTGTAGACATCTGTGGTTGCCAAAACCTTACTCGTCTGTCTGCTCTAAGAGAACTAGACCAAATGTAAAGAGATTGCGTTCATCTGACCCATAGAGCTCCAATCCGTAAGTGAATAAATGGTGTACATTATGTTCACTACCCCTTTAAATTTTAGAATCTTTGATAGCTAATGAATCTCGTGTTTGGATGGTGACCTTGTGGTGCTTATCATTCTTTATTTATGAACAATTGAAACTAACTCAATTTTGGGTATCATTTCAAAGCTGTATGGTAGGGATGGTATAACCTTTGATACTTCATTGGTGCAGAAGATAGCTAGTCAAATTTTTATATATATTATGAATGGAAGATCAAGGTATTTGAAAGTCTCTATTCTTTGACAGTCTCTGAAAACTTTACAAATTCTTTGTGTGGTCTGAAAACTGTATATAATCTGGACGGTCTTGACAGTCTATTCTTTGAATTCCTTGACACTTCATGATCGTGATGTTTTGGAAAGACTGCCCAGCATGACATCTTTGTGCAAGTTACTTCATTAAAAAAAGTTACAAACTACGCCCGCTGCTGCAGACCTTCTACGGAATGCTTCAGCTGTTAATATTCCCAAGTCTCACGGAGTTGAAACTTAGTAGTTTGAGGATTGGTTATGCAGACTCGGAATTAAAGCTGGAGGAGCTTGAGTCTATGGAAGAGTCAGTTGAATTTCTTTGGTGGCTTGGCCTCGACAGAGACTACCTTCCCTGTCAAAGCTGTGAAACTTGGAAAGGTTAACTGCCATTCCTGCTACACCTGCAGAAGATTGAGGGCCTTGGTGGATTGAATTCCTTGGAACACCTAGAGCTCTCTGCCTGTACATCTTTGGAAAGATTGCCGACAGTTCCAGAAGTCTCTCCAATTTGGCCTGAATTCTTTATGAGTGCCTTCAAAATGTTCTCCCGAAGATGCTCCAGAACAAATATAACATGTCTGAAAGCAGAAAGCTCATGCTCTAGTGGATGAGTTTACACTGCACGGGACACGCTTGTTCAATTTTGAGCTCCACATCTTCTTTGGAGTCTGCAAAATCTCAGCAGCTGGTGGTAAATAACCTTCCTGTAATTCCTCTACTATTACTACTACTACTACATTTGACCAAAGTTCAAATTTATCAATTTGGCCACTCTGTATTTATGATATCCATTGCTGTAGGAGATAACTACTCAGTTTTGTTTATAATATAATAATGTGAAGGCCAAACTTCTCAAAGCCTACGAAAGTCAACCCCTTCCCCAGCATCCAAAGTCGTTGGTCTCTGTGTCCTTTCCTCCTTAATAACTTCTCTCCATTCCCAAAAACTTTCATTGTCTCGCACACACAAAAAAACAAAACAAAAAACCGTTTCAGGAGCAGCCCCTAACCGAACAGCCTCTCCATTTCTCTCTTCGCCTGTAAGTCTCACTTTTTCTTCTGCTCTGCTGTTTCCAGATCTTTTTACTTTACCTGGTGTTGTACGAGATCTATTCCTTCTCTTTTGGTCTGAACTTTACCTGGTTTTTAAAATTTTCATTGTAATGCGCCAACTGTTTGATTTTGTGCTTTAGTTCCTCTTTCTTTCTGCTTTCCCAATTTTAGCTATCCGAATATCTAATTGTTTCATACTAGTCCTTGATCCTGCCATGTTTCTTAGTTTAAGTAGTTTTGAGTAGTGCTACCGTATCCTATCCTACCGGCTGGTTGTCTCTAATACAGTTTTACATATCACAGACAAGCCTTTTAAGCTTCAGACTTCACAATCTCAATTCTTCCAGTTGTGATATAAATTATGCTACTTAATGTAGCTTGCTCTGATCCCCTCCTGCAATTACAAAGGATAAGGAAAGCGTTTGTATTATTAACTAGGATTAATTTGCAATCTTTTGTGTATATATAATTCATTCCAGGCTTGACACGTTGGACTGGCATGATTTGTGATTGCATCACATATATATATTATTATGAAGAAATGGATTACATAAAAGGAGCCGTCACAGTGATTATCTTGTTGCTTCCACTGGTGATTCTCCTCTGCGAGTTGTGGTCTGGAAGGAGAAGTTCCGACACCTCGAGCAATATCGATAATGCATCTAGACAATTGGGTTCTGTTGCTTCTGTGTCTGATACTGCAAATTCTAATCCGCTTCCCCTGCCAATTGGAGAGTATGAGGTGTTCTTGAATTTCAGAGGTCCAGACACTCGTTATCAAATCACCGATATCCTCTATCGGTTTCTAGTGAACTTGAAAATTCGCACATTTAAAGAGGATGATGAGCTCCGGAAAGGAGAAGGTATATGGCCCAGTCTCGTCAAGGCTATTGAGCAATCCAAGATCTGTGTTCTCATCTTCTCTGAGAATTATGCTTATAGCAAATGGTGTCTTAGAGAACTTGCCGCTATTGTTGCATGCCAAGAGAGAAACCAGGGCTGTGTCATACTCCCTATTTTCTATATGGTGAATCCTAGAGATATACGTCATCAAAGTGGACATTACCGAAATGCCTTTCGACAACACGAGCAAAATATTGACGAAGAGACCATAAAAAGTTGGAAAGATGCTCTAACTAAGGTTGGAGCTCTGAAAGGATGGTATGTCAAAAGCAGTGACGAGTAAGTTACCTCACCCTCACCCTAACCTTCTGTTATCTTCTTCACCAAATTTCTTATTATCAGATTGGGAATTAATTTCGCGCATTGACCCCTAGCATTAGCTTGATCTATAATGATATAATTGGAAATCATATTTTTTCAGGCAGGGGGCTATAGCAGATCTTGTTACCGGCGCTGTATGGTCACATCTAAGTAAGAACAATCAAGTATTAGAGACTGATAAGTTGGTTGGAATTGGTGATCACATAGAAGCAGTGAAAGAAAGAATGGCTCTCAACTCTCCATGTGCGACAATCATTGGCATCTATGGTATGGGTGGCATTGGTAAGACCACTATCGCAAAGGCTGTCTATAACAAAGTATTTGCTCAATTCGATCGATGTAGCTTTGTGAGTGACGTAAGAGAAATGCTACAACAAAAAGATGGTGCTATCAATTTGCAGAAACATATTATCTCACAGATTTTGAGGGAGAACTTTGCTGAATCCATTGCCAATGGTAGTGATGGAATGAAAATTATAAGAGAGAGAGTTTCTCGGTTCAAAGTTCTTATTGTTCTCGATGATGTGGATGAAAAGTTTGAATTAGCTGACATCTTGGGAAACGTGGAGGAATTTGATCCTGGGAGTAGAGTCATCATTACGTCCAGAAATGTGAAAGTTTTGAGTAATTTGACTAATGATTGCAAGTTATATAGAGTCCACGAGATGAGTTGTCACCATGCACTTCAACTCTTTTGCAAGCATGCGTTCAGAAAGGATTCTCCTCCACCGAGTTATCAGTCTTTGTCAGAGGCTATTGTATCTATTGCGGCGGGACTTCCATTGACTCTTAAAGTTGTTGGATCACTTTTATTTGAAGAGGAAAAAGTGTTTTGGATTGATAAACTCAGACAGTTAAAAGAAATTGCAGAGGAAAAGGTTGTACAAAGGTTAAAGATAAGCTATGATACATTGAGTGAAGAGGCAAAGCAGATTTTCTTGGATATTGCTTGTTTCTTCATTGGAAAGGACGAAGAGATGCCTTCTTATATGTGGAGTGACTGTGGCTTTTTCCCCATAACTAATATCAATATTCTTAGTCAGAGGTCTATGATTGAAATAGAGTATTCTTATAAATGTAAGAAAGTATTTCGAATGCATGATCAACTCAGAGATATGGGTAGAGAAATTGTACGCCAAGAAAATATAAGACATCCATGGAAGAGAAGTCGGATATGGTCGAAGGATAAAGCTTTGGACGTGTTGCTTAACAAAAAGGTTAGCTGCCCTCGTTTCGCTTGAATTTCTATAAGATATTTGTAATATATGTATTTGATAGCTAAAACATTTCCACAGTTCTGTGAGCAGAGAGAAAAAACATTTCCAGCCCAAATTATTTGTGTATACATATTTTAGGATCAATCCTAATTTCGGGTCCTGAACTTTGATACTCCTTTAAAGCCAACCCCTGAACTTTGATTTTTCCGTAAAGTTGATTATTCTTTAAATTATCAGCTGAGGATGCAAACACGCCCAGTCTAAGGAGGGAAAAATATCACTAGCCTTAAAAACTATTCGTGCTTACATTGAATTGGATATGTCAGCTTAGGGTGTGGTTTATTTTATTTAAAATGCTACTAGTTTAACCCATTTAGCATATTAGAAGACGTATTCAGCATTCTGTGTTTTTCACTCCATGTTCTTTTTGCTTAGCAATGGATATATCCTTTAAATGGTTATAGGTTACAACAACTCCTATGGTTGTTAAGTACTTAAGTTGATTCCTTTTTTCCAAATAATAAAGGCATTCATTGCAGGGCTCTAGTGCACCTTAAGTGTCTGAATGGGGGAACCAAAAATTTGAAACGACCAATTCACGTGAATAATAAAAGAAACCATCCAACCTGTATGATGTACTACAATATTAAGTTCTATTTCTTTTTTTGGTTTTCTTCCCTTTTGGTTATTGGATTTTGATTTCTCTATTGCAGGGAACAAACAGAGTAGAAAGCATTAGAATAATAAACTCATCATCTGATGATGATGTTGTGGAGGAGCTTGAGATTGGGGCAAACCTTGAGAGTGAATGTTTTTTGAATTTATCAGAGTTAAGATACTTTGATGTGGAAGCTAAGATGCTCCCTAGCGACTTCAGTAATTATCTTCCAAGTTTAAAATGGCTTCAATTGGTGTTAGGATATGGTGCGTGTTTGCCTAAGTTTCGTGTGGACAATTTGGTGATTCTCAACCTCTTAGGCTCAGTGAAAGATGATTGGGGGAGTTTGAGGCATATCAAGGTATGGCATATTACTTAGTCACATAAAATGAATGAATTGTGCTTGTTGAGTTTCTTGACTAATAGTTACCTGTTTTGTTTTTATTTTCCTTTGTGTTTAATGTGTTCATGAAGATGGCGAGCAAACTCAAAGTTTTGAACCTTTCGGGTAAGTTCCTGATCGAATATCCTGACTTTCCAAGTTCCGGAAGTCTAGAGATATTACGTATGGAGGATTTCGGACCTCTGTTGTCCTGCAAGGATATAGATGTTGGGAATCTGAAGAACTTGAAAGTGCTTCATCTGAAGAACTGTGAGATAAGACAGATAAGGGGTGGAACCATTGGGATGATGCAGGGGCTTCAAGAGCTCAGTATCATCCATTTAAAGTTTGAGACAGGTCTGAGGGAAGCACTTGACAATATTGGGGATTTGCAGTTTCTTGAAATCTTGATAGTAGAGTTTGCACACAATGTTGGACCTAGATCAGTTCATGAGAATGGACTGCTGGGGATTAAGCTTCCCACGAGTTTGAAGAAGCTGCTCATTCCATATCCAGTTGCTAACCTTTCGGAGTTGCTGGAATTGGAGAAATTAACTGTTGATAGATGTGGGCACGGGAGTGAGATCCCTTCAGCAGACAATAGTAATATGTGGTGGAAGGTATCCAAATTGAAGTCTCTAACATTGAAAGAGACAAAGATGACTATCCCAATTAATACTTCTAGTCCATCTTCCATGTCGCTGCTTCCATCATCATTGATCATTCTCGACATCGCTAAGTGTCCAGAATTGGAGTGGCTCCCAAATCTGGAGAATTTGGAGAATTTGACATACTTATCCATCAGTGGGTGTTTCTTGCTTAAAGAGATCCCAGGTCTTGGAGGACTGAAATCCTTGGAAACTCTGAGCATAAGTGATCTGAAAGCTGTATGCAACCTGGACGGTCTTGGCAGTCTCTATTCTTTGACATCCTTGACACTTTTTGACTGTGATGCGTTGGAAAGACTACCCAGCATTGGGTCTTTGAGCAAGTTACTTTATTTAGGCATCTCTTATTGCCATAGCCTAACAAAAATCCAAGGTCTTGGAAGCCTAATATCTTTGCAAAAGCTAGAGATTACTGTTGCCAAGAGTAAACGGGATCGCCTCAGCTTTGAAAGAGAACTCTCTTTGAACAAGTTAGAATTCGAGAATTTTCCTATTCTATCACTATTACTCTATAACCTTGATGGTGAGTGCCGATTAGAAGATCTCTACTTTCCAAGTTCTGGGAGTCTAGAGGAATTGCATCTGCAGAATTTCGGGCATCGGCTGTCCCATAAGGAATTGTATATTGGGAATTTGTGGAACCTGAAAGTGCTGAGTCTGCAGCAATGCGAGGTAGGAGAGATAAGTGGTGGAACCATTGGGATGCTGGAAGGCCTTCAAGAGCTTGATATCTACGAGTTCCACTGTGTGAGAAATCTAAGAGAAGTGCTGGCGGATGTCGGGGAATTGCAATTTCTTGAAATATTGAGAGTAACAAGCGATAGTGTTTTGAGATTACTTTACGAGCATCTATTGTTGGGTACTAAGCTTCCCTCAAGTCTGAAGGAGTTGGCTGCTACATCTCCAGTTGCTAACCTTCCGGAGCTGGTGGAGTTGGAGAAACTAACAGTAGATGGATGCGGTTATGGGCTTGAGATCCCTCCTGCAGACACTTGCAATATGTGGTGGAAGATATCCAAATTGAAGTGTCTGACGCTCCGCAAAACAAAAATGACCACACCAATCGATACTTGCCTGCGGCTGCTTCCATCATCACTGACCACCCTCAACATCTACTCGTGTCCGAAATTGGATTGGCTCCCAAATCTAGAGAATTTAGAGAACTTAACTTCCTTATCGATCAACGATTGTCCCCTCCTAAAGGAGATCCTTGGTCTTGAAAGGCTGAAATCCTTGGAAACTCTGACTATACGTGATCTGAAAGTTCTATGCAACCTGGACGGTCTGGACAGTCTCTATTCGTTGACATACTTGACACTTTCACGCTGTGATGCATTGGAAAGACTGCCCAGCATGGTGTGTTTGAGCAAGTTGCGTGATTTAAGTATCTCCTCCTGCTCTTGCCTCAGGGGAATCCAAGGACTTGGAGGGCTGAAATCCTTGCAAATGCTTTACATTCGTGATGCAGGGATTTTAAGTCATCTCTTCGGCTTTGACACTCTCCTGTCTCGTAACAAGCTAGAAAATTTAAAGATAAGTGGCTGTCCTCATCTGACATTACTACCATTCCCTGACTTTGATGATGGACACCGTTCACAAGCAGCGGTACTCGACTCTTTACAGGTGCTAGACATTGGTGGAACAACCCAGGTGCTGCAGATCTTCTGCCGGATGATTCAGTGGTTGTTGCTCCCAAGTCTCGCGGAGTTGACACTTAGTGGGGTAGAGATTGGAAATGTTGACATAGAATTGAGCCTAGATGGGCTCGAGTCTATGGAAGATTTGGTTGAGCTGCGTCTTAATGACTTGGCCTCTATAAGGAGGCTACCTTCGCTGTCAAAGCTGGGAAATCTGAAAAGTCTAACAGTGAATAATGCTCCAAAGCTGCGAGTGATTGAGGGCCTTGGTGGTTTGAAGTCCTTGAAAGAGCTTGATCTCTCTGGATGTACAGCATTGGAAAGATTGCCTGTGGATCAGCTATATGGTTTGGAGCGATTGAGAAGCGTGGACATCCATGGCTGCACAAACTTGATTGATCTAGAAAAAATAGAGCTGGAGGTACAGACACTGTGGCCAGATTTCGGGTACTGAAACTATGCTTCTGATTTCTAGTTTTTACAACTTTCGCTTCAGAGAACGAGCCCTCTCGAGATGGTTTGGGCCGACGATGTTTATTACAACTTTCGCTTCTGGGTAAATAACGCTTCTGATTTCTAGTTTGGGCTGACGATGCTTATATTCAGTAGTGTTCTAACTTCCAATCAGCCTTGAGATTCAGTAGTGTTCTAACTTCGGCAACGATATATTTGTCTAATTAAAATTTTGACGTTTGTAATAGATTAATATTAGTATAATATATATATTAATCTATTACAATAGATATAATATAAATATGTATATTGGTATAATAGATATTTTGATAATACATTGTTTTGTTGTTTATAGATTGATTTTCATACAATTACTTTAATAGTTTTCTGGCCTGCGCTTCGTTGCCGTAAGAAACTAAATTATATTTAAAACGCCATCTACTCGTTTGATCATTTAGTAAATCAAATAACTCGCAAAATATTTTAGGTAAGATACTCTGTGAGCTTTACATAGTTTTTGAATAATTATGATACACTGACGTAATCATTCATTTAATTGATACTTAAGATTTACGCAATAGTTATAGAAACAGTGTTACATAAATCTGCACCAATGAAGTAAATTGGAATGAATTTTTTTTCTTAGATGAATAAATTAAATGGATGTGTTAGATGACTACTGTTTGACTTACGAGTCAAATCGAGGTGACATTTCATATAAACTTTGAAATTAATGCGACTTCTTGCCTAATAACATTACTCGCTAGGATAATTGGCATCAAATCAAGGATGTTACATGCGATATCGACTATCATTATTGAATATCGTTTTTTATGTACATTTGGTATGGAAACACTAAAAAGGAAAATTTCTTCTTTTCATCATCTCCATGATTCGAACTAGAAGTAGTCACAAAGTCTACGAGTCACATTGCCAACAACTTTGTTTTTTCCACAACCACTTTGTTTACCGTTTTCATTATAACAAACAAAGCTGGATCTTTTAACTTGTGTTGTAGTTCCTGCTATATACGAATGAAAAGGAATGAGGAGAGAATTATTACTTCTTCAAATTTATAAATTCTAAATTGTTATTATGATATTAGAGTATGTTAAAGTTATTATCATTACCTCTCCTCTTTTTTCCTCTTCCATTTTCTCTTTAGCTCTTACCTTCTGCCGAGAGAATTATTACTTCTTCAAATTTATAAATTCTAAATTGTTATTATGATATTAGAGTATGTCAAAGTTATTATCATTACCTCTCCTCTTTTTTCCTCTTCCATTTTCTCTTTAGCTCTTACCTTCTGCCAGCCATGGCTAGGGGTGGGATTCGGTTTGTCGGTAAACGATTTACCGTTTTACCGAACCGTTTACCGACGGTATCAGCGACCGAGCGTGGCCTGGGGTGTATCGGTTTACCGAATCCGGTATCGGTAAACCATTTACCGAACCCAAAACGAACCCAAAACAGAAGTTCTGTCATCCAAGGAGGTATTTAGATTATGCAACACTTGATGACTTGGTACAAATTGCCTTTTCTCTTGTGTTTGTTGCTGCTCTGGTTGAGACGTTCATCAAAATTGGATGATGAAAATGGCAGGTGACAAAGATAGCGGACACCAACGGTGGGACGTTGAAGAGCTGGAACTGGAGATCACAAGGGGATTTGTTTCTGAATGGGGCATACTTCAGAGCATCAGGAGCAGGAGCAGGAGCCAGCTACGCCAGAGCTTCCAGCTTAGGAGCAAAGCCATCATCCTTGGTTGGCATGATGACTTCCACTGCCGGTGCTTTGGGTTGTCGTAGGGGCCGCTCGTGTTGATTAAACAAAACAACACCCTAGCTAACGAAACAAAATCATATAATTACACCAAAAGGGAACCCAAGTGAGAAATTCAACTCAATTTCCCTCTCTCTTCTTCTTAATTAGTATATTTCTCAATTCACCACTGTTGTTAATTAGTACTGTCACCACGAATGGGAATGTCAAAAACTGTAAATTATGGGAATGCCCACCCCCAAAAACCGTTTACCGAACCCGTCACCACGTCGCCCTTGCGGTAATTCGGTAAACCGGTTTGTAACCGTTTACCGGTAATTCGGTAATCGGTAAACCGGTTACAAACCGGTATCGGTAAACGGTAAACGATTTTGCCAATGTCGATATACCGAAACCGGTAAATTCGGTAAACAATTTATCGTTTACCGACCGATTCCCACCCCTAGCCATGGCATAGCATAACCAAAACCAGGACAATAAATCCTTGTAACAAATCCCGGCACTAATATGTCCATAGGCCTTAGCATAATAACAATCCTTGTAACATATTGTTGCGAGGAGGTGGTGAATATAGTACACCTAAAAAATCTTTATAACAGATCGATGCATAAAAATAAAAATATTACACAATGATCTCAAAACTATTCGGTCTTTCCACTATACTCCTACCCTGCGTGTAGAGGTGGCAATTTTAATCCAATCCACCAATCCAATCCATCAATCCATTAAAAATATCCACCTAATCAAATCCATTTAAATCCAATCCATTTTATCCAAATCCAATTGGATTGGTGGATTCATGGATTGGATCCATGGATCATTGGCAAATTACGATTTAGTACCTATAATTTTTATTTTTTACATTTTTGTACCTAAAATTTAATTTTTTATACAAAAAATATCATTGGAAAATTACGTTTTGGTACCTGAAATTTTTCATTATGACATTTTAGTAACTAAACTTTTTACATTTTACATATTGGTCCTTGGTTGAGGATGTCATTTGGATTCATGGATAATCCACCAATCCACTTGATCCAATCCATGAATCCACCAATCCAATCCATCAATCCACCAATCCAATCCATTTGCCACCTCTACCTGCGTGCCCCAAAACCGAACACTATGGGCAAAAATTACTTGCAAATGCTCATAAATTTTAATTTAATAATAAGCATGCAATAATCATATAGATATAACATATTCAATAAACCTATGTTATATAACATTTATATAAAAATATATGTCCTACATCATTTATTTATCTACCTCATTCCAAATTGATGGCAACAAATTTCCAACGGTAAGTACGAATAAAAATAGAAAATTTGCCATCTATAAACATTAATTTTCGCCGGAATAAAAACTAGAATTATGTTCTCCGAAATATAACATAGCATAACCATGTTATATTCACCACTTCCCCGTACCAATATGTTACAAGGATTTTTACACACCGAGTTGTTATTATTATACACGATTCACCACCTCCCCGCACCAATTTATCTATAGTCGGGGTTGCATAGTTCGTTTGAACTGAATTGTTATTCGATTATATTATGTGTATCCTCGGTCGATGGTTTAGTTTCTCAGGGCGTTGTAGTTTGGGTGGGGAAGATAGCAGACAAGAATTATATATAAGAAAGTAACAGTACTTGAACAGTAGGAATTAGATATATATATATTTTAGGAACTTGAAGCTCAGTTATAGCGAGACAAAATGGAACTACAAACACAATTTATTGACGAAATACATACTACTCCTATAATAATTAATAACAGAAACCTCGATTCTGGATGGCTCTTCATACAGGAGCATCTCCGACGGCTTCCTCATCGTCAGAGTCCACCGGGAAGATCTTTGACTCGGGTGAAGGACCACAACGGTCCTTCACCACGAGGAAGATAAAGAGGATAAGAACATCACGATGATGTTGCCGTAAAAAAAAATCAAAGAAGGATCATGCATTTAAGTGTTCATCATTTGAAGAAACACCTGGGTAGTCGTTAGTGGGGAAGTACAACATTTTTATGGTATTATTTGAGTAGTAGAAGAAGAACAGAAGCAGTCGCCATTTATAGGCGCTGAATTTTGGAAAGAGATAAAGAAGATGAGGAGAAGGAAGAAAGAAAAAGTAAATTATGTTTTCAATGGAAGAAAAGAAAACCAAAGTTGTTTACATTCCCAGTCGAGAAGAAGATGAAGGAGAGAAGTAAGAAGAAGAGTGAGGAAGCAGAAAAACCGTTTTGGAGGTTGAGGAAGGTTATTCTGTGAGCTTCCCAATGCAAAAGGAGGAGAAGAATAGACGGATGGTTCACCAAAATCCGTTAGAAAGAAACACCTCAACAACTCAAACCCATGACTTAAATCTATCCAATTGAGATACTGGAGCACGCCAATTACCTGAATTGAGACCTGAGAGCAAAGGAGGACAGTTGGGGGATGATGTGAGCTGCCAGCCAGACGGCGACGAGGAAATTTGGGCGGTGACCGCGAGGGAAACTAGAGTGGAGACGGTGTGTGTGTGTGGGGGGGGGGGGGGGGGGGATCCAACAAGAGAAATAAAAAAAAATTACGCAAGCTTGGATGGTTTTAAACTCTTTCCGTAATAAGTAAGGTTGTCAACCTGGTTTAGCTCGTTGGCTCGGTTGAGCAAGTGGGTTGAGAGTTAATGGGTTGATCTTTTTACCCTGGATATATGGTAAAAGTCAGTATATTGTTCATACATTTATAATTTATATAAAATCTCATCTAACATATGAGTAATAACATATAACATTACACCAAAATAACATATCGTACTTGGATCCAACATATAGTGAAAATTCACACATCAAAATTTAAACCAAAATAACATATAACACTACACCAAAATAACATGTCGTACTTGGATCCAACATATAGTGAAAATTCACACATCAAAATTTAAACCAAATAACATATAACATTACACCAAAATAACATATCGTACTTGGATCCAACATATAGTGAAAATTCACACATCAAAATTTAAACCAAAATAACATATAACACCACCAAAATAATAAGTCATACTTGGATCCAACATATAGCTAAAATTCACACATCAAAATTTAAACCAAAATAATATGTCGTACTTGGATCCAACATATAGTGAAAATTCACACATATGAGTAATAACATATAACATTACACCAACATAACATCAATGTTCAAATATCCAATCCGATAAGTTGTAGCCGGTCGACCCAACGGATGTGTATGACCCATTTTTCTCATCGGGTTAGGATCAAAGCAGACCGACGGGTCAACCCGTGGGTTGACAACCTTGATAAAAAGTCTTCCTTTTCCCCTCTCTCCCACTACATTCAATAGTCAATGCGACTTTTTTAAGTTTTAATAAATAATAATTAAATATGACCTTTTACTTTTAGTCAAATTATGTATTGTTCATACCGCCGTTGGGGGAAGTTGGTCTGTGGAGCGATAGAGGATTTGAAGTGGCGTTTGGAGGACGAAGGCGTCTTTGCACATGGACATGGAGGTCAATTTAAGGCAGTACGAAATGCGGTGTGAACCTGACGGCCACGACGACAATGTAAGCAGCGATTCTCCCTTTCCCATTGCTTACACCAAAATATTTTCCCTCCTAAAATACTACTTGGGTGACCTAACAGTACTTGGTCACCATGTGCCGAGTCCTAGGGTAACCATCCAACCTCTAGGTGAATGGTAGCATCCCACATTATGGATACCATCCAACCTTTAGGTGGATGGTATCATCCCATATAGTGGACAACATCCAACCTCTTAGTCAATGGTGACCATCCCACATCATGGATACCATCCAACCCTATGGTGGATGGTATCATTCCAAATATCATGGACACCATCCAAAGAACTAATTGGATGGTGACCATCCCATATAATGAGTCTCATCCAAAGTACTAGTTGGATGGTACCATCCATGTTGAAATAGGATGGCGTGGAGACAACCAACTTGCATAGACGCTTCTTGGAGACAACCAAATAGTAATAGGATGGTACCATCCAGAGACTTCTTGGAGACAACCGACTTGCATAGAGGCTAAGTGAAGCTACTTTTCGGGAGTAGGAGAGAGATCACTTGGACAAATCTTGGCAACAAAACTTGAAGCAACATCCTGGAGCAAGGCACACAATCACAATCCAACAAAAATACAACTTGTCTCAACTGTTCCTTTTTCCCTGTAGTTTGCAGAGCTCTCTTCCATGAAGGATCCTCCATAGCAGTAGTCTTAGTTGTAGTCGCGGAGCTCTCAAGTAATCTCCATAGAAGTAGTGTAAGGTAACATAGATTCCCCATACACCAAACACCCTCATTCGAACAGTGTTTGAAGAGGAGTGGACCGTAGTAACAATCTCCATCTGCATAGAAGTCAGGCACAACTCATCTACCCGTTTTTCAACCGTTAACAAATTGACACACCCGTTGAGACACGTGTGTTTAGTCTGGTTTCGCGACGGATATGAAGCAAGAAGATGATCTTCCACAAGGGTTTGTGGAGGAGAAGCAATTGGTCAATATTAAAATTGACCAAGTTGGGGGGGGGGGGGGGGGGACTTCAGGCCACGCTGTTGGAGCAGAGGTGCCTCCCTTGGCGCCAAACGTAGATCCAAGTGAAACATCAATTCTCCAAATGATGAAGTAGATTCATCAAATGGTGGTTGGAAATAGTAGACTCGACCAACAGGTACATCTTCACTTGACCTCTATACATAAACATTTTGATCATCTCTAACAAAACTTTGATGAAGCATGTTCAGATTCTCGATAGATATGTTTGTGATTTTGAAATGTCAAAGTATGGAAATATGCATGATGCATCCATTGCACAAGAAAAAGTCTTGTTGTTGAGCGAAGAAAGATTTGGTGAATCAAAAAATTGAAACAGTAAGCACTGAGAAAATTCATTATTTAGAAAGTCAACCACAATTAGTTGATGAGAAAGTTGGGTATATGGCCATTTCAATGGACAATCCGGAACGTGATGGTAAAAGTAGTTGCCAATCCAACTTGTCGTGCTTGACTAGTAAAAAAGTTAAAGAACCTACATATGTTAATAATGAAATCGGTAGTGAGTTGGATAATGTCAATAAGGATTCACCCCTAATTTGGCTTCAACACTGTTGCTTAAAGCAAGCAATGCAAATGTGTCTTTTCCCATGGACACCATTGTTTGCAAGGATGCAAAAGCTAGGTATTGCTTGCATAAGCCATTAGAAAGAAGTATACGAGAGTGTCCTTCTGGCAAGATGGAAAGTGGAAAATTTGGTAAGCAACTCATCTATGAACACATTGAAAAGGATAAGTCTAAGGGGGAACTTGATAGTAATGATCAAGTCAACCTGCCAGCCTGCCAAGGAGGCATGTCATCTCATTTCTTGGCAGGATGAATAATTTTTCACATTCTACCAAGTCAAATGATGTTTGCAATAATGGTAACAAAAAACACTTCTCAGTGTTGGGATGGTGACCACATGTCAAAATTCAAAACCAAAAAATTTGGTTTACCTCGTTGTGATAATTTATTGGACAAATTTTCAAAGTCTCCAGCAAGAGAGCAAGTTAGTATCCCGAAGTTTGGACAGGGGGCATGTTACCAACCAATAAAGATGGGATTGGTCAGCTTGCTAACCCCTCTATGGGGTTGGAAAAATGGCACCCCCTATTAATTATAGTAATTATGATATTAAATTCGTGTTGCATTTAATAATCTTTGGAATTAAAAATTTATATTAATTACATTCCTTTTTTTGAACTACCATTGCATTGATACAACTATCATTGCACCTGTACACTGAACTCATATTAATTACATTCCTTTTTTTTTAACTTCCATTGCACTGATACAACTACCATTGCACTTGTACACTGATACCATTGCAGTGGTACAACTAGGGGTGGGCAATGGGCGGTTTGGGTGGGTTTTGGTTTCAAATTGACCCATTCGCTTACTAGCGAGTTGGAATAATTGCGACCCGCAATCCACCCACATACTTCTGCGGATTGGGTTGGGTGGTGGGTCAACCCGCAAAAGCAATTCTCCAACTAGCTATTAAGAAAGTTGACTAGCATTTATAATAAGTTCATAGCAAATTAGTAAGATTGTGTCAATAATTTATGATTTTGATACAATTAATAATTTATACTTTCCATCCCAATATTTAATGGATATTAACAATAATTTGCATACCAATATCCAATATCTAATGGATATTGCACAACACAATAACCAATAATAGTAGTCAAAACTATTCTTTATTCTTTATATTTGAAGTATATAGTCAGACTGTAGTGCAGTTCGAAAATATGATGAATATTCGATATTATAAGACACAACATTTTTCATATACAAATCGGATGCGGGTCATATGGGTGACCCGCAATCCACCCACCACCGACCCACATAAGTGCGGGTGGGAGATTTATCAATCCGCAATCCTCCCACATCAACCACCCACTGCATGCGGGTTAGGTTATTTGCGGGTGGATCGATATCAATCCGCGGATTACCCACCCACGTGCCCACCCCTAGGTACCACTACCATTGCACTGAAAAAATGAAATTAATTAATATGGATTTTTAATTCAGACAGATTATTAAATGCAACACAAATCAATTACCTTAAATGCCTATAATTAATAGAGGATGTCATTTTTCCAACCCCTTTAGGGATAGTCATGTTATCTCACCCAAATAAAGATGGATTGGGGGCATGCCACACAACTTGCAAAAAGTTCAACCTGCACATGGTTGGGGTAAAGTTAAAAGCATGACAAAAAATATACTGGGGGCAATGCCATCAACCAACAAAGATGGATGGGGGTGGGGGGGGGGGGGGGGTGCACGTCATGCAACTTGCAAAATGTTCAACTTGAACATGGATCGGATAAAGATAAAAGCATGATTAGGAATAGAATAGGGCGCAAGTCACCAATTACAAAAATTGGATTGGGGGGCAACTCAAGTAATATGCAGTATGATCAAACCACTCATGGTTGCATAAGTTTAAGAGTGTAGAAAAGGATAAACAAGGTTGTAATATGTCAACCAAAATTGGTGGACATAGTGGCATGCATAAGAAATTTCAATATGCACCAATTTAGTAAAAATGGTGAAAGGTGGTTGTGTACTAAGTGTAGGAGACAACAAGACTTTGAGGTCTGGAAACAAAGACAAGTGAGCCATGTAAGTGGTAGTGGACTTGTAAAGTGTAAGTACTCATACCCTCGAAGTAGTAGACATGAAGCAGTTTGGGGGAAACCAAAGCAGAGATAGGCTCGTGGTTTCCCTTCGGATCCAAAAAAAAAAAAAAAAAGAGAATGCATGATGTACCTCATAGAGAAACTCACAACCACAAGGGTCGATGTCAACAACCAGATGAACTGGTTGAGGTAACTAGGGCCAATAAGCAGAAGGCCTCATGCAAGGGTGTTAGAAAACATGCTGGGAAATTGCAACCTGACTTTAAAATGCAGTATGTCACTCTTGTGTGTACATCTCCTTTGAAAGAAGGAAGCCACGCGACGTACGAATGACTTGTATGGTTTGACCAATGGAGTTGACAGTGGGTGTATACCTTTGTATGCTTAGTTACTGGCTTACTGTTAAGGGCTATGGCGAGTGGTGATACTTCCCAACTCTTGTCATAAAATAAATAAATAAATAAATTAGTGAGCAAGCATCCAAGTTGGCTTTTGGATAGTGTGACTCAATTAAAAGGACACCATCCCAATTGATTAATTATGATGGATGAGAGCATCGATTTATAGAGAGAAAAATTAGTTGTGTCTTTATAGGAATAAATTTCTTTTTGCTAGTAGGATATGGGTTAAGATTATGTCCCTACATGAAAAAGGGTTTGTATTCCTTGTAAGATAAGGAAAAGGTATTATTAAAGCCAAGTTGTATTGATGGTGGCCAACGATTGGCTATTTAAGGATTAATTAATTTGCTAGGTTGTCCTGTATTGTGGTTGATGTCGTTGAAAACAATATTATTTCAATGCAGGGAGCTACATCAGATCTTGTTGCTGGTGTTGTATGGCCGCAGTAGGGTTGGCAATTCGGTTAGTTCGGTTATAACCGATAACCGAACAGTCGGTTATTGGTTACCGAAATGTCGCCCACCTCAATCGAATACCGACCTACCAAAGCCCCTCAGTTAGTCGACAACCGTCCAGTCGGTTACCGGTAGTTGTTCGGTTAACCAAGATAACCGACAGACTATGTGCGGTTCGGTTTAATCATTAAAAAACAAATGTTTGGGGACTGATCGAGCGACACGGGAAAGGAATAGGGACCATTTCAGATATTCAAAAAAAGGGAGAAGAAGGTTTGGGGATTCTTTTCCCAACGGCATCCCCGTCGCTCTCTGTGCATCACACCATCACGCCAGCACCGCCATCGTCGAACTAACGCCGGTGATTTCTCCCGCGTCAACATCTCCATCCCTTTGCCTCATAACCAGCAGATCTGCGGGCGAATCGAGCTCCCTCTCCAATGGCGGCGAGGGGCGTGGGGTGGCGGCGATCGCGCGGTGGCTAGGCGAGGGCGCCGGCAGCGACGTCTCTGTGCCGGGACGAGATGGAGGGGAGGCGAGGGAGAAGGGGACAGGGGTCGAGATGGAGGGGAGGCGAGGAAATTTCGGCAGCGAGAGACCTGGAGGAGGGTGGAGGTCGGCATGAGCGATGGACAGAGGGAGGGTGAGGAGTCGAGGGCTGAGGAGGGTCGAGAGGGATAACGGCTGGGGGTCGGGTCGACGGAGGACAGAGGGAGACTGCAGTCTTCCATCCTCCTCAAAACCATGTTGATTTTGGTCTTTAGTCCGGCTGTTTGCCCGCATGTAATTTTTCCTTGTACATTATAGACAAGTTTTGGACACTCTGTGCTTGTTTGGAGACTGCTTTCGACTCAGAAGGGCAACAGGAGTATTGTGATCAGGAAGAATGGGAAGCTGAATGTTGCAGAAACACACAGTAACTGACGCAGAGCAAGTAAAAGGTATGATAAGTGTCATGAGTATTTGAATAGTAGATTTATAATTTTGTATTGTAGTAAGGCTATAAACGATGTAGTCAAAATCGAGATTTTAAGTAAAATCGAAAATTGAGGTAGAATCGGAATCGTAGATTAAAATCGTAAAATGTTAAGGTTCATATTAAAATATACACTTAAAACACCATATTGTAATAAAAATGCATATCCTGAATTCACTAAATAAACACAATTAAATGCATATATTTATTCTTATACATAATTCAAACACACAAATAAGCAACCTAACACCTAATAGAAATCACTTAATTAATAGTGAAGAGTAGAAAATCACATATTAATTAATAGTTAAGAGTAGAAAATCACATAAGATCATTAGTATCAATATTAACATCACTTACACATCATCGTTATCATCCTCACCTTCACCCTCACTCTCATCCTTGTCTATTTGCTTGAGGACTAATATCATTACTCATAGGATCACTTGAAGTACTTTCACCATTAACCATATTTCCCTTATCACCATCATCTGACAAAGATAACTCATTGATTAATGCATTCCCTTCTTAATTGATAAAAGGTTGGGGTTAGTGGTACTGAAGGATTGGGAGATGAATGAAAATTTGCAATGGAATGGATATTTGAATTATTGTGAGGGTGGTGGGAAAAAACTACAAGCTAATTGGGAGGTCGGAAGATATCGTTGATGGAAGGAGTTGGGCGTCGATGTGTGAAAGAAGAAGATACAAGAAAGAGAATGAAAATAAATCGAGCGTTGTCTATCAGGTTAGGGTTGTGTTGTTCATTATGGTGGGTCGGGGGAAGTAAATTTGACAACGTTCATGGGAAGAACCAACTTGACCGGCCTAATTTTGCTCCAATTGATATGAGCCTTGAAATCGTACAAAATCGTAGAAATCGTAGATTTTTAGAATTTTAGAGTTTTAAATCTGAATTTTATGGGATTTTAAGGTTCAAAGATTTACAATAAAATCAGGATCGGAACTCATAGGTAAGATCGTAAAGTCGTAAGATTTTAAGATTAAAATCGGGATTTTGACTATATTGGCTATAAAAGATGTAAGTTTGCATAGCAGGCTCGACCCAGACCCTGTGCTAGTCAGACTCACAGTACAGAGCTTCACAATTTTAAGGGCCTCACTAATGATTCTTTTATATGGCCAAATAAGGATGTGTGCGTCCAAGTTGTTAATTCATTTATATGACGAGAGAAAAATGTATAGGCCCAACTTAAAAGAAATGAATATTAATTCGTTTATATGAGTCATGGAAGGATGTCTGGGCTAAAATTAAAAGAAATTGAATGAATTAGTTGATCTTTAATGGGCCCAATTTTAAAGAAAGTGAATGGATTAGTTGCTCTTTTAATGGGCCATGTTTGTTTCTATTAGTTGTGACAAAATCTAGCCTAGGGCTGCCAAAAGCTATGAAAAAGATGCCCTAATCATTTTTATGTAAATTTTTATCATCGTTAATAAAAAAAATTAATAAATTTGCATGAAAAAAATTTTAGGGCCACATTTTAATTTTTCAAACAGGTCCTCCGAATATTAAGGGCCGACCCTGTTGCATAATAGTGAATGGGAAAACATACCTGAGATGAAATTTTCATAGCCGTATATAGATGTAAATCCGCGCACGCATATCTTACAATTTCGACACTATCAGTTTACTACTCCAGCAAAGGTGTATTATTAGTCTTAGTTGGGGAAAAAAAGAACTATTAATTCACAACCCACAAGAAAAATAACCATTTTTGATAATACATGTAAGAAGAAGATTGAACAAAAAAGAACAAAGAAGTTTCATTCACAGTGAATTAGACCATCAGCAGTTCTACTTCACTGGAAGTAGTCTCCTTGATTAGACTGTGTAATGTGGGTTCACTTCAATGTCCAATCCCTTCAACTTCACAAACGACTCCACTTTGCCCTTCAGTGTGTGCAGCTCTCTCAGTCTGCCCAAAAATAACGTGTGATCTTAGGACTTCAAGGTTCAAACTCAGGGTTAAGAGTTCAATGCAAAATTTCAAAGTACCTTGCAATCTCAGCGCGCCTCTTGGCCTCTTCAGCAACCATGCTGATTTCCCTGTAGCTGCTCTTGTCGTGAATAGGCCTCGAATCTGCGGATTGCAGGCCGTGCAGTGTTCTCTGTTCAGTCGCCCATGCTGCTTCCCTAGCTTCCCTTCCAAAGTCCTTCTGTGTGGTCAATGCAGTCTGTAACAACAAAAGGAACAAACCGAAGTTGAGGTTTAGTTTTCATGATGAGAGAACATTTGTTGAAGTTAAGGTAAACAGGCGAACCAACGGCAAACACTGTGCTCGATGGCCTTCTTAGGTTACTGAATTTGGGGTTGCTAATAGTTACCCTTTGGTTATAGACGAGTCCCCAAGCTCTACCGCTCAAGCAATATCGGACAGCGAACTTGATGAGATCAAGAAGCAGGTATGTCACAATGTTGTAAACCCAAATGACGGCAGTCCATTTCCAGCCGATGCTATGGATGCCGGCGAAACCCCAGTTTGCTAATGCTGATATCGCGGTCGCTATCTGAAAACACGCCGGCAAAAGGAACGAATAGACGCACGTCAGCATGCATGTGTTGTGAACACATCATCCAAGTAACTCGAATTATTAGGAGAAGTCCAAAGATACTTAATCTTGTATCTTTCCATACTGCTTTCTTGTGACTGACTCTTGCTGAATTGAACTAACTATGCTTGCAGGAAAGTTGACAAGAAAGAGTGATTATGGAGAGAAAATTACCAACTGGGCAATGATGAATGCGATCATCAAAAGCATACCAGGCCTTTCAACAAAGGACCAGCTTCTGGAACGAGTCACGAAGATCAGAGCCTGGCTGATTGTGCTGACCTGAAGGTAAACAGCCGATGCTAGCTTCTTGTTAAGCAAATCAACCACATCTGGGTCTGAAGTGTTGTAGTGGCTCTTTCTCAAGCTTGGTACGTGGAAGTGCTCCTGCCGGCAGAAATTTGGAAGCAAGTTGATTTCGAGATCATTGAAGAAACGAAAGAAAATTTTGTGTTTTGATGAAGTTGGATGAAGGAGTTGGCTGTGATTCTGTGTACCGAGAAGAAGTTGGTTTCATAAGCTGCCCAGAAGAAGATGACAGTCATAATGGCTAGGTATCCTCCTAATACGATTCCAGTTGCAAAGATCTCACTCAGCCTCCAGCTATCTGGCACTGGTGATGGCTTCACTCTGTCTTTGGAAATTGTCATTATGGTACCTGCAGATTGCCAATGGAAATATCAGAGGTCTCATCTCACAGATATTGTGTCGAGCCACCTGACTATCATGGTGGTTGACTTATAGTAGCAGCCTAGCAGGTAATTCAAAATCATTGGACACACACTCTACCTTTTATCTTCACAAGTGGTATTATTCTCCACAATGACCACAATGGTGTTCAAGGCAGAGATCATCCCCGAGGCAAAGCTAATGTATATACCATTGGAAACATACCATTGAAAGCTCAAGTTCAACTATATCTTGATATAGTGCCAACAAATTTGATGATCAAGATTTTTCACTCTAAATCTCAATAATCCCAATGTTAGCGGTTTATATAAACACGGTATATGATCATGTATGCGGAGACTGCTTGAAGTATCAAGAACAGACGTTCTTTTGATCAGCTGTAAATTACCGCATTTGTATCACTCTTTCATCCTATGATTTGATTATCACTAGAATAAGTTTGTAATGTGCTTACCATCATTCAGGATGGCAATGATGAGGATCATAAAGGGAGGGAAATCAAATTCCCAGAAGCAAGTGAGCAACATGAATCCCATCTGTTTGAACACATGAACTCATCAATTTGCGAAGTAAACATGCAACAAAGTTATGGAGGCAAAACTGTTGGGAGTGGGTAACTTACAACTATACGGATTGTGATGGATACTGCATATATCTGCAGGATAAGAAGAGGCAATAAGCAAAGATATGAACATTTGTCTGTTTCGATTCATCCAACTGGGAGAAAACAAGCTATCTCTCACAGTGTAATTCTTCATCCTCTGGAAGATTGCACGGCTGGTCAAGACAGCACTAATGATCACACTCAACCCTGGCTCAGTGAGCACAATATCAGAAGCCCCACGAGCCGCATCAGTTGAATCAGCCACGGCAATTCCAATGTCTGCAATCTTCAGTGCTGGTGCATCATTCACTCCATCGCCAGTCATCCCAACAATGTGCTTCTTGGCTTGAAGTTTCTTCACTATCTCATACTTGTGTTCTGTCAAAGGGGAAGAAAAGATAACTAAGGGCAAAGTAGGTAGCAAAATCCACTAATATCTATAGTTATTGTCAGAAGTAGCCGGTGATCATAACAACAGCTTACGTGTCAGAGTACTATAAGCGAATATTGGTGGGTATTGGGTAGGAATCACTTACCAGGGAAAACACCAGCAAAACCATCAGCATTTTCAATGAGCTCATCAACTGGTAGAGACTCAAACCCTGTCCCTTTGCTCTCTCCAAGCAAAGATGATGAAGGATACATGTTGGTTCCCATGCCAAGCCGCCTTCCTGTCTCCTTTGCTATGGCCAACTGATCACCAGTGATCATCTTGACACCAACACCAAGATCAAGAGCTCTTCTGATGGTCTCAGCACTATCATGTCGCGGAGGATCGAAGAGTGGTAGCAGGCCAACAAACTCCCATGGTCCACCTGAACTTTCCTTGTTATTGTCAGGAACATCCTGTCGGGCAATCCCTAGTGATCGTAGTCCACGCTCTGCAAACTTGTCGATGATTCCATGTACCCTGTTGGCAATGTCTGCTCTGTTGTATGCCAAATTGAGAATCTGGACGAAATGGGAGGAGAATTCAAAATGAGAATCTGAACAGTCAAAATGGTTATTCAGATCATAAATCATTATTCACTTAGTGATTTTTACCTGCTCCGGGGCGCCTTTACTGACTCGATGCATCTTGCCAGAATTGTCTAGGTAAGTCAGTGCTGTCCTCTTGTCAGTTGGATTGAAGGGCAGGAAATGAACTTCTGTAACCTCAGCTCGCGCCTTACGAAACAAGCAATATGAATATGTCAAAACAAAATGGCAGATAACAGTTCTTCCATGTTGGTTAGTTTTCTTATTGGAGAAGTTACCTCTTTTGGATCAGCTAGCATGGCAACAATGGCCGCATCAATAGCATCTTGATTCTCCAACCTCGAAGCTCTAGCAGCCATCAGAACAACATCATCTTGCTGAACGCCCTTTGCAAAGACCTGTTTTGAAACTTAGCAGTAATTTCATGGAGTACTGGACACTCTCGGGTTTTAGACGAGAAGTATGCACTGCAAGCAATTGAGGTACCTCTATCATGCTCTTGTCCACTGTGAGTTTGTTAAGAGTGAGAGTGCCTGTTTTATCACTACACAAAACATCCATTCCTGCCATTTCCTCAATAGCTGTCATCCTCTTAGTGATGGCACCCTGCATTTCAAAATTCAAGGCGTCCGTAATCCATTTACTTCCTTCCCAAGTTTCAGTTACGGAATTGAAAACTTTTTAGTTTTGCAGATCTAAAGTACCTGCTGAGACAAGCGATGAGAACCAATGGCCATAGTAACTGAAAGAACTGTAGGCATGGCAATAGGGATGCCACCAATGAGTAAAACCAAAAGGTTGTCTATCCCAGTTCGGTAACTTCTTTGTTGGAAGCCGTATATAGCTATGATCTCGATTAACATCCCAACAGCAATTGAACAGATGCAGAAGTTCCCGATTGAAGTCAAGACCTAAAAGAATACAAACACCCCAAAAATTCTCAAGTGAAAAGACGAGTTCAAATAGTATGATTCCCATTTGATCAAGTTCATGATGATCTAAGTTGAGACCTTTTGGAAATGGCCGACATGGGTAGTGCTGTCAACGAGATGAGCTGCCTTGCCAAAGAAGGTGTGTACTCCAGTGGCTATCACGATTGCTTCGAGCTCACCTTGCTTGCATGTTGAGCCCGAGTATATCACACCACCAGGGCCTCTAGTTACTGGAAGCGACTCTCCTGTAAGAGCAGACTGGAAAAAAAGGAAGAAACTTTACTTGTAAGTTTTAAACCATCTCTGATTCCCTTGAAGAGGGTAACAGAACTGTCACATACTTGCAGTGCAAGAAAGACCGTAGGTCAGAACCATCTTCTTTACTACACCAGGGAAAGTTTACCCTCGTCTGTTGGTAAGAGTAAAACCCTTTTACACCCTTTTACCTGGTCAATTTTGAGAGGATCTCCTTCAAGAAGTCTAGCATCAGCCGGAATGATATCACCTAGCTTGATGCTAATGATATCTCCAGGAACCAATTCAGCTGCATCTTCCTCATTCCACTTCCCATCGCGTAAAATCTTCCCAATTGAAAAACATACAAGAGAAGTTCTCAGTAACAACAAAAGGAAAGAAAACCATCAATGAATCTTGAAGGAAACCAGCAGCGAACCTTTGCCTTTGGTGCTAAGCGAGCCATGAGAGCAGCAGCAGCATTTCCAGCATTGTTCTCTTCTATAAAACTGATGGTTGAATTGATGATTAGCAGCAGAATGATCCCAACAAAATCATGGTAGTCTGTAGGTTTGTCCTGCAACACATTTCAGTTGGGTGAGAGCTTTTAAATCCACTGAATTCAGCCATGAGTTTCTTACAACGAAACATTGGAAGGTAAGATGTTAACTTACATCACCATGTGCAAGAGCAATTGCCATGATAGCAGCTGCTTCCATAACCCATGAGAGTGGATTCCACATGAAAGACAAAAACTTGAGGACTTTGCTTTCCTGAAAACCCCAAATCATAGAGCAAAGGTTGAAGCTTGAGATAATAATCAAGAGATGAAGATGGATATAATGCTTAAAAGAGCAAGGTGGGTTAAGAGACATGTTTCTCTTCGAGTTTGTTGTGACCAAAGACTTGCAGCCTTTGCTGAACTTCATCGCCAGTCAGTCCCTCTTTGGTACAATTCAACTTCTGGAAGACTTCTTCCACTGGGATGTTCTCCTGCCATGGAGAAAACCTCAATATGTCAGACATATCTCAAAATATCCTGAACTTCATGAACTTATACTGTTACAGTACTACCCTTAAAAAGATTTCGAGTTACAAGCAGAAAGCGACAGTAAATCAGTAGAGTTAGAGGTTTAGTCCTTACCAGATCCACAGTTTCCTTGTTGATAGCTTCAAGGGAGATATCCTTATCATCCATGGTTATTCGCCCCGCCCTTCAATTACAATCTACAATCGAATTCGAAGGGATAACTGATTAGACTCCAAACAATAAAAAGCAGAATTCTGTCAAACACTTTGTGATGAACCAAACATGATACTGCAAACATTTAACATAGGGATCTCCTCTCAATAACCAGAAGCCTTGCAATGATAATTTTTATAGAAACCCATTACAAAACGTCACCTTATTCAATGACCAGCATCATCATTTTCCATAAAGATCAAAGCTTTCACATTACCCATAACATAGAAGGCATGAAATGAAGCATAATTCTTTCATAGACTGTTAAAAACACAGAATGCATTATTTGCACAACAGAACATTGAAACTGGGAACACACATTCATGCAGAAGAAGAACAACAACAACAACAACAAGAGAGTGCAGGAGAAAGAATTGCACCTGATCACAGCCTCACACAGGTGCAAAGAAGGGTTCAGCCTAATGGGCAGAAGTGAGGAAAGAAAAGTGTTGTTGTGCCTTTGACGAAGAGGGGAAGACTGGGATGGATCATTTTATAGAAAGGAGTAGATTTGTTTATGCATGTACAGTGGTGGCATAGAGGGAGCTGAATTTGCCAGTGAGGAAGGGATACAAACTATGCAAAACCAAAAAAGAGGCAGGGGAGCCGAAAAAGAGCAGATATGGACAGGAAGTTTGGAGTTTCTTCAGATACTCCGTCTCCATGAAGGAAAGCTCTCATTGGAGGAATTCTTTGCTCTCGTCGTTTTTTGGGCTCTTCCCCCGTCGGAGAGGAAAAAGCTGTCGTACGGAACAAGGGCGCTCCCATCCAAATGACAAATCCAGTTGAGGCGCCTCTTCTCAGTCTGGTTAGCTGAGTTTTCAAATGTCTTACTTGTTAGTTGTTAGACTAGCACATAATCACAGTCACACAGCATTGTTGGACCTAGAGAATAGAGATCAACTTGTTGTGAGAGGTAGGATATATTAACTGTTATTCTTTTGTTGCCGTAGTTCAGCCGTACATTGGCGGATACTTCAGATTCCATGGCTACAAGGGTTTGTCTTTTCGTTATTTTTGTTTCTATGAGCATTGTGATGAACACCCATCTTTCGGTCCAGTTTGATTAAACTCGAGATTTCGAGAACAACAAATTAAAATTAACTGTTAGCTCGACATCAAGGTCTAAATGCTTTGAAATAAAAATTAGCTTTTGGGAATTTGTGTTAGTAGTTATATAAGATGTATTCATTGGTCTCAATCAATTAATCAAGTTATTCAGAGTTTGAGACCAATTAGTTCTTAATACGATATCAAGATCTTTCATGGAAAGTCTCATGTTTCAATCTTTACAAACTCCAACATTAATTAACTGTTAATTTGAAGCATAAGTTATGGTAGATCAAATGAAGTCTGGAAGAGGTGGTTCAAGCCAATAAAAAGAAAAGAATCAATAACAATAAAATATGTACTTCATAAAGTTTTCAGTCTTTCTCATAACAACCAAAATATGCTGAATAGTTTGTGGAATACATTCATCTCTTATTTTACTATTCAAACATTTTTTCATGAATACAATCAAACAATCATTCATAAGCAGGTTCACTCATATAGTTTCATATATCATTCTTGATAAAACTTATAGCTAAAAAGGCATTTTTCACAACTTATACTTGCAACATAAAAAGTCAATACTAACTTCACAATCAAGTTGGCTAAAAAGATGTGTCAGTTACATACTTCTCAGGAGTCAAAAGGTCATGAATTCGATTTTTGATATCGGTGAAACCCATGTTTAATCAAATTTTCGGGGCCCTTATGAGTGAGTACGCTCTTGGGTTCCTATTGCAAATTTCAAGCTCTTTGAATTCGTCATTGTGTTTAAAAATGATGTAATATTCAATTTGAAACCTCGTATACCAACTCGCTATTTTTTATACAAGATAAACCCTCAAGGCAGCCGGACAACAAAATTACAAAACTAACAATAACCAAAAACGAAAAAGCGTGTATAATCGAACTCCAAAGTACTCCCGATGAAAGAGTGTTTTGCCACTGCATGGGTTGCTTTGTTAAAGCTCCAATGAGCAAAAGATACGAAACTAATGTAACAGACAAGAAGAGATAATGATCGTCCTTTAGAATGACTCCAATTCTAGAATGAGAAGACTTTCTAGATGTTGCATCCATGATTACTAGCACCCAGCAACTCGTTATTTACATTAACGGGTTCTTGAAAACTATAATAGTGGTGCATAGTAAATGGTGACTAGACTTGTAAGAATGAGATTATTTTTGTGGGTTTTTACAAGAGTGATATATGTTTGTTTTTATAGTTCGAAACTATTTAAAAGATACAGATATGAGACCTCTAGATTCAAGATAATTGGTCATAAATCAAAGCTTGTTGGCTTAAATTCGGCTTATTAGTTAGTAATCATTTATATACGTAACTAGTTTTGTGCCCGCCCGATGAGCGACATGTTTTATTTTTTGTTACTTTTACAAAAAGTGGTAGGCTATTATTTCTCTTTGTATATATTTATTAATATTATTTATTATTTGAGCTTTCTTTGATAGTAGAGCGACCATATCAAGTTTGGGTGTGCCTAAGAACAACGATCATGTAAAACAATAAAAGTCATAACGTCATCACTATTTTGAAGATTACATTCACAATCATCTTCTTTTTTATTTGCCAACAGTTTTCAACATCATATGTTGTACTTGTACATAACTTTTCATTGATTTTTTCCTTTCGTGCATCTACAAGTTTGAGCCAAATATTGTGAGCGTCTAATATATTTTTCAGTCTCATGAAAATAACTTCACACACATGATTTTAAATTATCATATGTAACGATCGAATCAGAGTCATTTCAAATTATTTCTCCTTTTATAACTCAACTAACTTAGAAGTTGAACCTTCTGGTGGTAGTAGACTGTCCAATAGATGGTAAATTTGTCCTCTGAGTTATACATATAACTGTTGCCCATCATTTAAATAATTATCCGTCTTGACCCTCATATAATTAAAATTAAAAGATACCACTGTAGATCCTTATGTACTCTCAAAAATATTTTACAACTTTGATATCTCACACTAACAAAACCATTAGAAATTGAGATGGGATCGATCTTGTCACCCATAGAACTGAACTCTACAATACAATTATAGATCATTATGTACACCTAAACCTTACCATTTTATCATTACATATGATAAAATGGTGTAATGATAAAATGGAGTTGTTTTCAACTCAATTCTCTATTTGATTAATGTACAATAATCAATAAACTTAACAGTTGAACCTTCTTGTAGTAGTAGATTTCTCAACCAATGATAAATGTATCCCCGAATTGAAACCACGTATAACTCATGTCCATTATTAGAACTACAATAGTACAGAAATGTTGTATCATTGGTATTTTAGTATATGAAAAAGGTTATTGTTCGATTTCAAAAAAAAATCGTTTGAAATGAATGTGACATGATAAATTAAATAAAAGTTTGGATTTGGCTGATAACTAATTTTTTCTCTTTTATATATGTATGATTTTATTCAAACATTTGCAAATGCTTATTGAAACAAAAAATTTAGTTGTTAATGATTTCTTTTATGAACAAAAAGCATACATAAAATATTTATTTGTGATCTTTTTCTAGTATAATTTATTTAAAAATTAGAGTCAACACTTTTAAAATTGACGAATGTCAACCAATAAAGTAAAAGAGATTAAGTGTTAAATTCATTTGAAGACGTAAGATAAAAAAAGTGAAGATTTTGTTGGCATAATTCTTCTTTTTTTATGATATACATCTATAATTGTGTCATACATTTAGCATTTTAGTAATTGTATAAAAATATTAGCTATGAAGACACTCCTCTACACTTTTCATTAACATACAACAATATTTCAATAACCAAATATCCAATAAAAATAATAATGCTGATAGTTTTTTGTCCATCATCATTAGAATTACAAATAATAAAGTTTTATCTTATGCAATTGAGTTCCCTCATTGATATTTTAACAAACAATTTACATGAATTTGTTGATGGCTAGCATTGACTAATTGATGTAAATTTAGCGGTGAAGAAGTTTTACTATTTATAATTGAATGGAGATGAGAGATTGTGAAAACTCAACTTAGAAAGGCATGACGAAGGAATTTGGAACAAAGGCGGCTTGAGGCAAGCATAAGCATAAGCAAAATGTGGAGGCTAATGTAATTTTAACTTATTTATGAATGATAGAGACTTGAGCGGAGCCGGCATATAAATGTCTGCAAAAAGGGAGCTAATATTGTGTGAGAAAAAATGAGGAAATGAAAAGATTTTTTTTGAAAATAGGGTCGACTTGATCAAAGTCAAAATGCGAAAAGGGTAACTGAACCTCAATCTTTTGCAAAAGACAAAAGGTAATTGTGAAACTTAGGGGTTGTTTAGAGGTTAGGATTCTTCAAATTGAAATATTTAATCAATTTGTGTATTGTAATTTGATTTATTGATGAAATGTATGAATTTGAAAAATACCTTGTTTGGATGTTTAGATTGTGCTTTGTTATAAAAAAAATAGAAGGTAGACAATCCATTGGTCACAATCTCACCAATTGGTAAAGATTGATAATCACTCATTTTGAGTGATTGCGGGTGGCCCTAAAAAAGATAATACATGTACTCTTTCACAAATTTAGTGATGTGAAACATGAATACTCCAGGTACATAACCCTAAAATTAAACACAAATGTATAATCATTCTCACGTTAATTTTAACAGACTATATCGTTTACCGATGCTAGTAATTGACAATTATACAATTCAAAAAATTTTGAATTCACCGAAAAAAATATTTTAAGTTTTTTTTATCTTATTTGTTTGAACTCAAATTTCATATTTTTTGCATAAAAAATCAAATAAATATACTCTACAAAATGACATTTAATGGGATATATTTTGGTAAAAAATAATGTACATTAATGTGTCTTATATCATTGTGGTATGAAAACTATGTTATGGTGGTATACATGATTGGAAATTTTAACCAAAAACATATAAATGGATGTGTTGTAATCACAATTAATTCATTGTAAAAATAATTCATTTTTCTGTACAAAACTGTTGAAATAATCTTATTTAAATTGAAGAAGATATAAAGAAAATAATTATGTCTAAAAATAGAACCAAATAAAAGATATTAGAATTGAATCAAACAAATAAGTAAAGATATTCATTTTAAAAAGTATGCATGGAAGTTAAGAAAATACTTAGATGTATTTTATAAATGAGAGATGTCAAATTCTTTTCATTGATGCATGCATAGTTTGGTTTTCTTGTGAGTTACTTTTACCAATGACACTTTCGGCCATACCAAAATAACTTGGTTAAAATAATTGAGGACCATTGATGTCATTCTTACACAAATGAAATTATTTTGTCTCATGGTGGCACATGATTGAACTATGTATGTATATTTTTGTAATTTTATTGTATAAGAAAATGTCACATTGATACATGATTATGATAATGTATTGTACTGTATTTAATAAATGAGCATTTTCACTTCAAAATATTATGTTGTTGGTGTGATACAAAACCATAAAGAGCTATCCTTTGATTTCTCATATTTTTCATTTGAAATGAATATGATACAAAAATTAAATAAGTGTTGGATTTGGATAATAATTTAATTTCAACTTTTCATTTTATTTTTCCATTTATGATTTTTTTTCAAATATTTTTGATTGTGTATCAAACATTTTATGAAGAAAACTTGAACGAAAGTTATTTTTATTTATTAATGATATTTTATATAGTGTATAAAAAATCTAATATGGATTCTCGCGCTAATTTATGTTAAATTCAGTACAAATATTTTCATTATTGATTCGAAGGTCAACCGGTAAATAAAGAAGACCACAGTCAGAGGTAGGGTGTTAAACCCGTTTCATGACATGAGTAGTAATATTATTGTAATTGATATCAACACATAAAATTTGCCACATTGGTTAACACTCTTAATGATATTATGTGAGACTAAAAGGTTATAGGTTCACGTCTTAGTGATGATAATTAATATCTCTTTATTATTTTTAACTTAGTGCAACATATAAATTTATGAGAAAACTAAAATGATAAAAGATGACATGAAAAATTGTGGAGCTCCGTCAATCCTACGTGGCGAAATTTTGTTCCAAAACAGCCATAATATAAGTTATAGATAGATTGTCGTTTTGAAGAGTCTTAGCTTGACCATTTTTATTCGAATAGTTAACGTTGTGATCATATAGTTATTTTTCTCGAAAACTATTATGAAAAGACCCGCTCTATATGCACACACGTTGATTTTTGTTATCATACCAAATTTTGTTAATTTATAGGAAAAATATAATAAAAGAGCATATTCTCGAAACTACATTATATTGTGTCTTGTGGACTAAAAATCCACCCAACATATATATGCAGTACTTAACTTACATTAAAAAAATTTCCAATTTGGGAAAAATTTGCCCATCGGAGACAAAAGTCGGAGGCACGTTCTGTATTTTTGGCCCGGCTTTTAGAAGTGCTTTTAGGCTTTAAAAGATTAAACAGGGCCAAACACTTGTAAAATCTCGGTTTTTGAAAAGCCGAAAAGCGCTTTTGCATAACATAAAAGCAGGAGCTCCGATTTGGAGCTTCTGCGAAAAACTGTTTTGAAAATACAAGATTATCCTTACCATATTTTAATTTTATTTCAGAAAATATAATTTGCCTTCATTTATATCATTTTAAAAATAAAATAAATTATAAAATCATATTATTTAATATAAAAGAAATCTAACAAGATCCATTTTGTTTACTTTTTATTGTTTAGAATTTTTATTCATATTTTATATTATAAGTTATTTATAGTCATTTTACACAATCTTTCATATTAAAAAGCACTTCTAATAGTTTTACAGCCAAACACTCAACTTTTTTTTTTGAAAAGTACTTATCTAAAAGCTCCAGCCAAAAGCTGCTTCTGCAAAAGCTACCGCGGGGCCAAACTAAGCTATTGTATGGAAAGAGTGCGGATCGGTGCTTAGTCATTTTGCTAAGTCCCTCCTTTTTTTTTAGATCTGGACACAGCAATCTGACGGTTAAAAAGTGGAAATGGCTATTTAATTAATTACAGGGGTAGTTTGGGTATTATGAAAAATTACGAAGTATACAAACCGGAATTACAAACAGTACAAACTACAATGACAGAACATACAAACAGATTTACAAACATTACATACGTATGAACTGTACAAACAATACAAACTAGACCGACAAACAATACAAACCATACAAAAAAGAAAAAACAACCGAGTTGACTTTGGAGGCTCTATCCCCATATAGAGGGCTTCGTCTCAAAGTCAACCCAATTGTTTATTAGACATACAAACTTTACGAACATGGTGGACAAAAATGACAAACTAGACCGACAATTCATACAAGCTGGAAAAAACACTTGGGTTGACTTTGGAGGCTCCATCCCTATATAGAGGAGTTTCATCCAAAAGTCAACTAGGTTGTTTTTTAGACATAAAAAACATTTTAAACATAGTTGACAAAAATGATAAACAAGGTGCACAAAAATAAAAAAGTTTACAAACATTACAAAAGAAACCGACAAACATTACAAAATAACAAAAGCGTACAAAATTACAAAATAAACCGACAAACAGTACAAAGCATACTAACCGTACAAAATGTCACTAAAAATGACAAACAAGAATTATAAACAATACAAACCGAATCTATACAAACATTACAAAATAGGTCACCAAACATCACAAATCCATCACTGTCGTCGGAAAGTCTCCTCCAGTCAGTAGAAAAAATCTCTCTCTCTCTGCGCGTTCACCTGGGAAAATAAGTATGGTCATGGGCCATGGCAGCCACTGAAATCCCCAGCAAAAGGTCGGTCGACGATCTGGCTGGTGCCGGCGGAAAGGTAGCAGCTTTTTTTATTTTTTGTATTGTTTTAATTAATAAATTATATAATCATGTAATTACTATATTGTCCTTCATTAAATTAGATTAATTTGGGCCATTAAATTTTAATGAGATGCAAGGGTGGAGATTGACTTAGTCATGTGACTAACGGACCCCCTAGTCACCTAATCTAATCCCGTATGAAACCAATAAATACTTAACTAAATCTCGGCCAAAAAAAATTCTCTATTTTCCATTTAAGTGCTCAAGTTTATATAATAATAGAAAATATACTTGCCAAAACAAAATCGAACAATAGTCCTAGTCCATAATTTTTCCATCAAACTTGTTCATAAGTCTGGAAGCGAGAACGTTTCGATGGTGTTCACACCTGGCGTTCTAGAAAATTCTCTCGAGCCGTTGAATTGCCGGCTGAAGCTCCCTACGACTTCCGGCGGGGTACCATCGGGATGGGATTAGGTGCTAACCCTTATAGGGGTTTAACTATCAAGAATCACTACGGATTATTATAAAATCAATACAACATCTAAGCTAAATCACTACTAATTCAAACTAGTAGTAGTTTTTCCCTTGGTTAGGACGGTGCTAACTATTGTACAATTAGCACCGTAGCCATTCCCGGTACCATCAAATCAAATCAGCGACGGCCCTTCTTCTCTCATCTCCAACTTTGACTCACAGATAGAGTAAGTTTGACCTTTGCATTTGAGCAAGGTTGTCAACCCACAAGTTGACCCGGACCCGGTTGAGCTAGTGGATCAAGGGTTAATGGGTCACCCGTTTTAGCCCGGTTTAGCCCGGAAATATGGAAAGCGTCATTATATTGTACTTATTCTTATAAATTATATCAAATCTCATCTAACATATGAGTTGTAACATATAATATTACACCAAAATAACATTTCGTACTTAGATTCAACATATAGTGAAAATTCACACACACTTAGGATTCCAAAGATTGAGTTAGGCGAAAAGAAAAATCGGAAAATAGGCGCATTTCGCAAAATAAAGAAAAAAATGGCATAATTTGACCTTCAACCCAGTACCTTATAGCGGTCGACCCGACGGATGCGTGCGGCCCGTTTTTCACATCGGATCAGGGTCAAAGTTGGTCAACCCGCGGGTTGACAACCTTGCATTTGAGTTTTCAGTTTTGACATCAAGGTCGGCACCTCAGTATCTCCTGGGCCCGTAATCCATGGCGCCCAAACCAGCCTAGTTATGCCTTATGCGGTTGAGAAAGACAGAACGTAAAAGCCCAAGAAGGAATTATTGGGCTCCCTCTTCCCTGGCTCCAACTTTTTTTTTTCTTTTGCAATTATCTAGCTGGCTGGCTCTAATTTATTGTGTTAAGAAAATAGACCACACGGTTAGAGAAATTGTGGACTAATCGAATCATGTTCGGATTTAAACCATTAGAAATGATTTTTGGTCTGGTTTATGATCTATATTATGAAATATTTTGATTCTTAGTCTGGTTTGGTTTAGTTTACACTGCGATTTATCGGAACAAGTCGTGCACTCACTCACTCACAAATTCGTGTTCTTATCTTAGCCCACTTCATCACTCTCCTCACTCTCCAACATGACCCAAGTCTCGACTCGTTCATTCCAATCACACTACGCCAAAGAACATAAACAATCGCATCTTCATATGAAATTATGTTAATATTTTAAGACGTTATGATGGAAGTTAGATTGCTTATGTATTTCTAGGTTATAAGTTATAACAATTCAATTAAAGGTCACATAGGCTTTATAACATCGACAGTGTGACACTCATGAGATTTCTTTCTATTGTGATATTATATTCCACGAATTTTTTTTCGTGACAGAGCTGTTGTTTAGAATATTTATTCGTGATTTTCTTGTATTTACGTCCCGAACACAAACACTTTTCACTGTCAGTCATCTACACTCAATTCTTCTGGTAATTCCAGCTTAATTCCTGCCCTCTAAACCCTCTATGGATTTAATAGATGTCGTTCAGGCTGTCAAACCACCTTCATGTGCTACAGTGCTAGTAATTAAGAAAGACAAAGGAATTGAACAAACATTGCACGTAAAAACAAATTAAGTATGTCATCGTGGAGACAAGGAAATGAACGAGTCGTTAGGGTAGGGACGAAAGACGTAAGAAAGACCCCATGACGTTTTGTCTTTAGCTACAAAAAATGTAGCAAAGACTTTGACTGGACTTTTTTTTTTTTTTTTGCTTTAATTTCTTTACCTGTAATTAAATATGAAATTTTGCTTAATTAATATTATTTACCATTCTACAGGCTAGTATTCAATATTATATAGTTTGGTATAAATGAATTACATAAAATTTTAGGAATTTATTTTTAAATGATAAGATTTGTATTTGAAATAAAAAGAAATTCATTTACAACTCTACATTTTAAATTCTGCGAAATTTGTGTTACTTTTTAGCAATTTCGAGAATAGTGAAAATTTCAAATGAACTTGACAAATATTTTAATTATTATGATAAATGACAGATTATCCTCAATTATTAAGTAAATTATCCCTATGTATATACAATTAGCCACAAAACTCCAGATTTTTGGGCCTAAGCTTTTTTGCTCAGCCGCTACTTAACCTAATATAGAATCATCATTTCGCTCATACACCCTCTTATGTGTGCTTTTCAGGCGAATCTTCGAGTTTCATTCTTCTGCTAAGTTGCAATTCTGCTACTTCTCGTAATCAATATATCGGTAGTCCATCATGTTAGATTTATACATATGGTTCTTAATTCTTATAGAAGTTTAACCCTTACATATAGTTACTTGAGGTGTTTCTTATGGAGATTGTTGTTATTTATTTTTTAATTGTTATGATCTTTGTTCGTTTTTCTTTGCTTGATATCAATGGGCAATCCATGCTGAAAGTGGTGTTGACGTTCTTTCGTGTTCGATAATTCCTTGCTTGTGATGATGAGTCAAATTGTTTATTACATTTTAGGAACTTCTCTTTTTGCTTTGACACATTGGTTGGATGATAGTTTTGACTCTTACATTTTTTAAGATGAATTTTCAATGAGTAATAACAATATTCTTTATGAAAATTAATAAGGGTATAGTTAGAAACTTTACTTAATGATATCTTGATCGCAATGCAAGATCCGATCCCCACCTGCATTCCATCTGACTGTCAGAGTCTCACACTCACACTGCGATAAGATCCCTCTCCTCTGGCCTTGATAATGCCGTGCCACTATTGCACGTATGGTCTTTGTCATCCAATCAGCACCATGGATTCATGTTCAGTTTGTGCCTAGACGTCTTAATCGATTCTGATAGGGTTGCAGGTTGCTGGCCAATCTAAGAGGAACACTTTACCAGTGGGGTGTTATTATGCGACATCTTAGCTCCATTTTTGTAATTGTGTATTCTGGCTTCACTGATTGGATTGGAATAAAAGGAGTTCGTATTGGCAAAAATAATTTTGAATGTATTTCAAACATGATTTGAGAATTTAATTCAATTTATTTCTAACATTGCAAACATAGTAATTCATTTAATAATAAATTTTACACTTGAATTTATAGTAAAATAAAATGAATTCTCAATATCATTTGGTTCCAAACGTTATATTAATATTCATCACATCATATATTTCATATTACTCGGTCAACGTAATATTAATATTCATCACATCATATATTTCATATTTACACGGTCAAGACTGAAGACGAGGCCTACCCAATGTATGAATAGGTTTAGTAAGAATCATTTTCAGTTCCAACTCCGTAGAGTTATATAATAAAAATAGGTACATAATATTATATGGCTTATAACACAAACTGATGACGTTGTGATGACTGATGATGAGATGACTGATTAGCGAAGTGGCGGATCCAAAATTGTTGAAGAGGTGTCTCACTGATAATTAAAAAAATAGAAATTACTAGAAATTAATTCATAAATTTTATAATATCATGTTTACAATGAACAGACAACGACTTTTCATATCCTAAAATGTTTGTAAAATACATTCATTGTTTATGTTGCGAAGAGTTTTTATTTCATTTTTTATTTTCCATAAAGGAAGGGTCAAGGGGTGGAAGCAGAGAGTTTCAGAATGAGGTTATGTTTATTTTTTTCATTGATGGGTTGTGATGTGGGTACTTTAAAACAATCATACTTATTTGATGTTACTTATTATTGTTTATTACTAATTAAGATAAATAACTTTATAAAAAGAAAATCATTCTCGTATAATGAAGGTGTGTCGTTCATAATTAGTTAAGATGTGTCGGAAGTCCCGAATTAAAAAAAATTGTAACAAAAATATATAGGTTCTTCAAAAACTTTCCAGACGAGGGTGTGTCGAACAACACACCCTGCCCTATACTAGGTTGGCCCCTGAATTTACCAGTTCAACCATTTAAATACATGCTTGCTTTTGGAATTAATAGTTAAACTTACATTCAATAATCTGTAAATTTACTATTCATAAATAAATAGAATAATAATAAATTGTAATTTTTCTATAGGGAATTAATGCATGCATTGCATGTGTGTCTTCCATGCATATAGGAAGTTTTGTCTGCAACGCTTCCGCGCGTCCACTTGGAAGAAGTCGAGAATGGCCTTCCGGCGCGCAGCTATGTACTAATTACGATAAGTACAAGGGGTATTATGTAATTAAACTAATTATTATTATAACTATTTGTAGCTCAGGATATGGTTCGTTTTATCAGATCTATATACATACTTGAGTACGTGATGATTTTTTTTTTAATACATTGGGTATGCGGTGGTCAGAATTAATCCCTTATCTTAACTTTTTAAGTTTAGAGAATTTAAACTGTCCGGAGTTAAAATCTTACCAACTACTATATTTTACAAATTAATTACAAAATTTGCATGTAATATTACAAAGAATCGAGGGGTTATATAGCCTCCCATGCCATCAAAGTGGCTATGCGATGCGATTTGATTCGACCGCACCAATTATCCACTCCTAATCAGGATTACTTATCCTCTTACTTTGACTAAGATTAATTAACTTGCAGAGTTCCTGGCATTAGGGGTCAATCCCTTGCGTTGAATAATTTTCTTCGTCTCGCATATCAAAGGGGCCGGGTTTGAAAATTACAAAAGGTCAAACGTACTCCGTGAGTCGAAGTTCGAGGGGAGGAGATGGTCGTCGTTCGGTATTGACAAACGTCGACCGAGTCGATCTCTGATGTTATGATCGCCCGCCGGAACTCGTGGGGAACTTAATTAAACGCTTCAAAGGGTTGAAAATTTTCCAGAAGTACATATATATATATTAGAGATAGTCTGGGTTACATCAGGTTCTTAAAACCTCTTTTTTAAGGAAAATCTTAAACCCCTTTCAGCCAATAGGAGAAGGAGAGAGAGTGATTAGTAATGATTGGTTAACTACCTACTTAATACGTTAAAGGATAAGACAGGAATATAGAAAATAATTAAATGATATTATTAATTAAGGAACGAATGGGAGAAATCATTCTCCTCCCAACCCTAAACCTATTCATCCTTCAGAAATCACCGTCAAGGTCGCGCAGCCGACCGGGCGTTTGCTTTGCGGCGCTTGCTTTGCGGCGTCGTCATCCCGTTTTCTCGTTTTTTGTCGTCGACTCGCATCTAAGGCCGGTGACGTCTCGGCTGTCGTCGTCTCTCCTTCTCATCTGCCGTTCGTCGCGTTCGTAGACTATCGGCGCTTGCTTTCCGACATCGTCTTCTCCTTCGTCGTCATCGACTCGCATCTTAGGCCGGTAACGTCTCGGTTGTCGTCGTCTCGGTTGTCTGTCGTTCACCACGTTCATAGACTAAGCTTTTCCATGGAATCGCCAAGACCCGTTATTTTTGGTAAGTTTTTGGTTGCGTTGTTTAATAAAACATGCCAGAGTTGTTAACAATTTAAGTTAATAACTAGGTGGGGGATAATTAATAATGCCTTCGTTAAATGTTAATATCCGAGGTGTTTAAATTAGTAATAAACTTTGCATGTAATCAGGTCATTACTATTTTTAAACCTATTATTAATATCTTCATACACGATTATTAACTGCTAATACCAATTCATTAATAATACTTGTGTTTGTTGTTAATAATTTAAGTGTTTAAATTAATAATCCACTTTGCACGTAAATTGTTAGTTGTTTTAAATTATTAATTAAAAAAGGACATGGTTAATAATTCAATGTGTTAATAAGTAAAAGTCATTACTCGGGGAGGGATGATTAATAATTCTTGTGGTAGTTGTTAATAATTTGCATGTTTAGGTTAATAGTAAACTTTGCATGTAAAATTTCATTGTCGATTTAGGTCAATAATCCAAGAAGGGAAGATTAGTAATGATGTTGATGGTTGTTAATAATTAATCCGAGAGAAATATCTTTAGCAGTTAATAAACTTTGCATGTAAGCAGGTCATTACTATTTTTAAACCTACTATCAATATCTTCATACACGATTATTAACTGCTAATACGAATTCATTAATAATACTTTTTTTTGTTGTTAATAATTGAAGTGTTTAAATTAATAATCCATTTTGCAAGTAAATGGTTAGTTGTTTTAAATTATTAATTAAAAAGGAAATGGTTAATAATTCAATGTGTTAATAAGTAAAAGTCATTACTCGGAGAAGGATGATTAATAATTCATGTGGTAGTTGTTAATAATTAAAGTATTTAGGTTAATAGTTGTTAATAATTGATGGTTGTTAATAATTAATCCGAGAGGAATGATTAATAATTTATCATTAATTGTTAAAAGTTAAAGTGTTTAGGTTAATAATCGGAGAAGGAATATTAATAATGAAGTGGGTAGTTGTAATAATTAAAGGTAATAGTTTTGTTAATTTTTCAACGTTGCAGATCTGAATGAAGTACCTTGTGATGTCAGCTTGGAAGGTGAAGATATTTCCAATAACAATGACTTAAGCGAAGACGAGATTACAGTAGAAAATCTATTTGTAGAAGATGAAGGTTAGTTGACTAATCTTATATATATGTGGAATGATTAAACTTGTGCTAGTGACGTGATGTGTTCATTGTTGCAGGAGTGGTGGATGATGTTCATACGAATGATGCTAGTGCTATACCTGTCATGGACATTCGTGATTTCAATATTCAAGGGTAAACAAGCAATTGCCAGGGAGAAGAGGGCGAAGGAAATGAATAAGACAAAGAAAGACAAGGAAAAGAAGGCTGCCAAGAAGCAGAAGGTTTAACCATACATGAGGTGTTTGGACTACACATTAGTGTAGAAGTACATGGTTTGTAGGACTCGATTGCTAGAGGTGTTTGGACTATGCGTTGTTCACCAAACAAAGTTCTATTTGTGAACACAGTATTATTATTATTATGTGGCACTTGTAGTCAGGTATTGTTTTTGCGAAGGCTAGCGTATTATTTTCTTACTAATGATATGATATAGAATTAATAATTACAGTTATTAACATATTCTAAAACTACAGTTATTAACAATTACAGTGGTTAAATAGGTTTTAATTACAGTGTTTTCTATCAATCCAAGCGGTCCTACAAAATATTGACAATAGGTTTAAAAATAGTAATTAATTGGGAGAAAAAGTTAATAATCGTGTTCTAACAATTTGATAATCTATGGTCGTTAATAAAACACTGTTAAATAAACTTCTGATAATCTAACTCATCGAAAGTCTAATCGTGTTCTAATAAATCATCGAAATTCAATTAATGAATTGGGAGAAAAAGTTAATAATCGTGTTCTAAAAACACTGATAATCAATGGTCGTTAACAATCGTGTTCAAATAACTTGATAACTAATGATAAGATATTAATAAACATTCAACAAAAATTCTGAACATTGCCAAGTTTGCAAAAACCGACGACATAATCCATTCAGAATCCGAATCATAGAGAAACGAAATTTTTTTGAACATTGCCAAGTTTGCAAAAACTGAAGAAATACTCCTAGCCATATTGGGATCCAAATTGTGAAGCAATCTGTAGTAACTCGTCTCTGTTTACCTGCTCTGTCAAAAAATTATAAAGAACGTCCACGAAATCATTAATAACCCATTCTCCAATAACGATCAATACACAAATAAAATGTTAATAAATAACATAACTTAGTAGTGTTGATAACGATCAATACTTAAAAAACATAACACGAGAAGAATTGATTACGGTGTTCACAAAATTATCACGTTAGCAATGAACATTACAAAAAAAATTACCAATGCAATTAAATAATTTACATAACACGACAGATTCATTAATAATAGAGAGCAAAAGATTGAGAGCGAGAACATATTGATTAACAATGTTGACCAAAACAGTTTGTAAACGCCCACCGAATGATTAATAATAGATAGCAAAAAGGTTCCAAACGAGCAAAAATTGATTAACAATGGACACAAAAAATTAAAAATAAATACTATTGTGCACCGACTAATCCCATGCATCGACGCGACGAAAAAACGTCACAAATACGAAATGAATATCGGAGACGGAAAAATTGACGTGCACAGATTGATTAACAACGGACACAAATAATTGACTTACATGACAATTTGATTAATAATAGAGTGCAAAAAAGTTGAAAACGAGCATGTATTAATCAATAATAGAGACACAAGACGGTTTCCAAACGCCCACGGAATGATTAATAATGGATGCCAAAAGGTTGAGAACGAGTGACAATGGACAGAAAAAAAATCTGTAAACGTCCACGAAATTATTAATAACAGAAACCAAATAAATTAAAAATGGACCTACCATTGTGCAGCGCCTACTCGTCCCATGCAACGACAAAAACCTAATCTCATGCATCGCCAAAACCCTAATCTCATGCAACGCCAAAAAACCTCAAAATAGCGGCCAAAAAAATCGGAGACAAAAAAATACCTTAAAACGCGGCCGCCGAAGAGAGACTGAGAGTTGAAACGAGAGAGAGGGAGAACTCGAACCGTCGGCCGACGACAACAACGGGAGGGAGAACTCGAATCGTCGGCCGATTGCTGTGCTTTGCCGACGAAGAAGAGACGATAACTCGAGCGACGCCGGAGAACTCGAATCAAATCGTCGTCACGACGACCAGAGCGGGAGGGAGAACTCGAAGTAGGCAGTCGACAACAACGGCTGATGGACTAGGTACGGAGAACACAATGACGAACCGGAGAACAACGACAACAACGGCTGATGAACTCATAGGTACGGAGAAGGGACGACGACGGAGAACTCGTGCTTTGATGGAGAAGGGACGACGGAGAACTCGTGCTTTGACGGAGAAGTTGGGACGACGCGGCCTGGGACGACGGAGAAGTTGGGACGACGCGGCCTGGGACGACGGAGAAGTTGGGACGACGAAGGAATAATAAACAGATGAATACCGTCGGGTTAGGGTTTTATTAAAAAAAATTAGGCATGTTTTAATTTAATTGGTTTCTCCTTAATACCCCTAACAACTTTTTAACTAATAACTCCCTACTAACTACCTAATCTTAAATTAGCTAATTAGAAGACTTTAAGTTCTTCCTTAAAAAAGAGGCCTTAAGGACCATAACTTAGGCCGAGATCGTCATTAAATAAAAGAATATTTATATTCTTTTATTTAATGACTATCTCTAATAATATATACTTAATTAATAAAAGAATTAATGTTCAATGGTGTTCATACGCTGCTGCTTAATTACCGTTCAGGATTTGACTTTTTGCCCGCATTGGGGAGATCTCGATTCACATTCCAAAAAAATCATCCTTTAGCGACGATACTAATATTTGGCGACCGATGACAAGATCGGCTAATAATAGCATGTGTTGGCCAGCCTCTTGTACAGAATCTTCTAATAATAGGTGTTACATCATAGACCGGCCGGCCACTACTTTTACCAAAATACCCTTAATATTAGTCGAATAGTAAATGCATAAAATCACATTAACATCATTCCAAAATACAAGGAGAAAATCCATCTTGAAACAGTATTCAAACATAATCCTCATTAAGTCTCAAGTCCACCAACAATGCATAAACTTAAATAAGTTCCGCTGGAAGCTCCCCCGGTTACTAACCCTTGTGATGACATTTTGGGCAGCAGCTATGTCCTTGCGTTTGATCTGGATACTCTTGATTCCCTGCAGCTCCTGAGTGCGGGCGTTGGGGTCAGTCCTAATCCTAGTTTCGCTTTAATGGCGGAAAACTTGTAATAACATACTTGATAAATAATAAATATGCTCGTGCAGTGCATAATACTTTATTCATATTGCTTCATATAAAAGAGGGCCCGAACTCGACTCAACTAGCACATTGACCGACACCGATCGTAACATACATATATGTGAGCTTCCACCTAATGGGAAGACACAATCTTAATCATAGACTTCCGCCTAGCGGGAAGTAAGGTAACCGCGTGCTATCTAAGCAACTGACCAGCACCGGCATAACTTATCCTAATCATAAACTTCCACCTAGCAGGAAGTAAGGTAGCCGCGTGTTACTAGTCGAGCGAGTAGTTAAAAATGTATTATTACTTAATAACTTGGTAACTTGGAAACCGAGTCCATAAACTTGCTTGAAACATAATCTTGTATCTTCTTATTTAAAATGTAATTTCATGATGGAATGCAATGCCATGCTTACTGAACATAAGTAAACTTACCTTGACCATACACATAGAGCATAACTATATTAAATGGCATTTTTAGATAAATTAAAGTGAAATACTAACTAGCCCCCTCAAACCACGCACCTTATTAACTTAAGTCGTTCACAACTTGAAGATTGGTGCCTACACTTGGGTGATTTGCCTCCTGATCCTATCGTGGAAACCGAGGTTAGATCGGTCTGGTTTCGGGTTCTTAGCGACGGCTTTCTAAACTTGAAAACGTGCAAAGTAGGGTATACTAATTTACCAATTAATCTAACATATTAGAATCGTAATTCTTTACCTCTAATATTTAAGATTTTAGTCAATCTTAATCTTTAAAATCTAATTGTGCGAAAACAACCCTAGGTGCATCAACTCAAGGTTCAATAAGCATATAATAAAGCATACTAATCAGATTAACAAACTAGCACATTTCCCCTTATCTAATCATATCAATTTAACTAACTAATGAGATTAATTCATTCATCACGTGCTAACAACATTTATCATATTATTTGGATAACTATATATACGGAGTTATTACTAATTATCTTGATTACTACTTCAATTATTTCTAATTTATAATATTATGAAATTTTAAGAACTAAATCGATCATTTAACAAAGTCTAAGGATCTGTTTGTCAAGAAACAAGACTACGTGGATTTATAAATAAATAATACTCTGCAGTGTCTTTAGTAACCATCAGTTCAGCAGTCACTAATGCTCTACGAGTTCGTCACTAAAAGGCTGTGAAACCTTCGCTAATTACCTAGAAATTGATAAACTCATATTTAGTCGCGCAAACATCGATTTAATGCTCGGGGCCAGATATCCTTACCTTGTATTCGTGCCTAGATCTAGATTTGAGCCGCTAGATTCGTCGTTCGATAGCCCCGAGATTGTTGTCCTCGCCGTCTCCGTCAAAACTACGGTTCACAACCGTCGAGTTGGTTAGCTATTGATGGATTTGAACTTAGAACTGAGGTGGTTTCGTGATCCTTACCTAGTGGAGGTGAGGCAAATGAACTAGGGTCGTGGAGAGCGATGACGTCGTACAGGGAAAAGATAGGACAACTTTAACATGGTTTCCGGCGTGCGTGTTGGCGACTTGAGTGGTGTCTCTGGTTGTAGCTTTTAGGTGATGTATGTCTACTTAGATCGAGGGCAAGGATTGATATAACAGTTTTGGTGATTGGAGGGTCGGATCGGTGGTGGTTTGGGTGATGGAAGATGGTCGACGATGATGGACAAGATTGATGGTGATTGAAGCGTGAGATAGTGAGGGAGCCGTAATGATGGAGTATACTGGGGGTGGTTCTTTTGCTTGGTCGGCAAAGTAGAGCGAGTGATTTATGGACGGGAGGGGAGCAATTCATATCATTAAGGGAGCACAGACGCTCCTCCTACTGTCCCACTCCATCTCTCATAAATTCCCCATCCCTTCACGTTACTAGCATTGGGTTGGGTTATTACAATAGGAGTCTTCATCATCCGTACAATTGCCATAAATTAGGTATACGCCTAGAAAAAAAAAATATTGACCTAAAATCATTCAAGTTGAATCCGCCGCGTCGACAATTTAAAAATAGACGTTATTGAAAATTTGATTCTTTATGCTTCATTTTGAGCCTCCAAATATTACGAACATCCAAAATAAGTCCAACTAATATGAATTATAGGCATATGTACGTACCGGAAAAAAATTAAAGATTTCAAAGATAATGCTTTCAAATAAAGATATTGTGATTTTTATTTACTAATCAATGTGATGTTTTCTATTTTATTGTACTTTAAATTGTTTGAGTCACATACTCACATACTATTTCTATAATAGAGCCTCCAAAATTCATTGAATGCTTTTAATCATGACGCTAACGATGTGAACTTTGTCCATGAAATTAAATACCACTTTGTGCGATTACCTGTGACTAGATGATGAAAAGCTTCTGTTAAATTTCTCTACTCGAACTATTTACATTCTCTTTGTTTTGAAAGTTTTTTTACTAGTGCTGTATAATCATATGAAGTTACTAATGAAGGAACTTCTTGTTTCAAGGGTACGAATATCAGAAGTAAATCAAGTAATAGTAAAAGCTAGAATTCGACGGGAACATGCAAAAGTTCAAGTAAAAACACCCAACAACAACAACAACAATAATAATAATAATAATAATAATAAGATGGATATATGTTGTATTCATTTTCTTGGTTCGCGTCTTCTCCTCTTATAGCTAGACGTACGTGTCGTACACAGCTATCTCGGTTAGTAACCACTTCCGTATAACAAAGTCATGCGAGATTAATATTAATTACGATTAGTCAGAGAAAACAAACGAGATTATGGTTATGGAGACAAAGGAACGAGTCATTAGGGTAGGGACAAATTAAGAAAGACCCCGCGCCTTTTGTCTTTAGCTACCGGATATAAGCATAGACTTTGACTGCAGTTTTGCTTAGTTTCCTCCCCTAAATGTTAATAAATTAATTAATATTGAATAGATTCCTTTTTCATACAACAACCAGCCCATATCGTCCTTAATTTGCTAGAAGGGGTGAATTATATTTGACACTTTCTTGTGAGAGAAATCGTACATGAGATTCATTTTAAATTGTACAAAGAACTCGAATTATTGTAAGTTTTATCATACATCTCATCCTGACACCAAAAGTTGATTTGAGCAAAATATGATGGATTTAAACAAAGTTTAACTATATATATATAATTCATTATTAACTTTCTCTTAATAATTGATCTTATTGGGATCAGACATATTTTATCTTGGAAATAATATTTTCTATTATTTTTAATAACATTCCATATATACAATTGACAATGCCACCTTTTTTTTTTTTGTTTAACATAGTCAATCAACCTAAAATATTTTTTTTTTAAAAATAGAGCACTGCAAATTACAGTATGTCTTCCATGTATAAAGGGAATGGCTACGTTATACGTACGTATGCCACCCATCATTCAAATATATATATATTTAGTCGATCTCCCTCTTCTTTATTTTATTTGTCATTAACTATCATTATAATATCAATTACTTCATTCTGCTGATTCATTCGTTTTCCCAATGGCGATGGTATCTCTATTTACGATTTTAATAATGCATGCTGATTTCATTAGTCATTACTTGAACTAACCATTTGACCGGCCGGAATCATTGAACCGGATTTGCATACATGGAAGCTCATTAATCCCCCATTAGTCAATGCTTTAGTTGAGAAGTGTTTAAATATGAACTAGTACGCTCAATGTAAATCATTTGGCACGAACTTGAACCCAACATGCATATAAGTAAGTTCATATATGATATATTATCTAGAGTTATATTGTAACCCTACAAATTATCAACATATATAGGTTCCCCAATCGTGCTTATATACATTAAATATGTAACAGTCTAGGGTTGTTGATGAGTTGGGTAGAATCAAACTTTTCATTGTTCAGGTTTGGTTTGTTTATGAACGAGTTGACTCGAATCGAACACGAGCCAGCTCATTTATTAAATATTGGCTAATCGTTAAGATCAAAATTTTGGCTCGAGCTCAATTCTAATATAAATTATAAAATTAAATATCATAATATTTATATATGATATATGTGATTGACTGATCTCATGTCATATATAAGACATATTTGCTCACATAATCAAAGTATTAAACATCATATGAGGTGATATATATACAATTTAATAAATCTATGCATCATTAACAACCCAACTCATCAGATATTGATCCAGTTTCTCATAAGTATTAGTCGAGTTAGCATGCTAGTCGCAATATTGACACATCTCATGACCTCAAAAAATGTAAGTGCGTGAATTAAACTCAACAAACCACCTTATAATCGAGCTAGTTCAGCAGCCTCACGGGCCGAGCTCAAACTCGACTCGTTAATAAACAAATCGACATTTTCTTGAATCGAACTGACTTTTATCGGGTTGAACACCGAACCACTCGCGAACTGATAGGCTCATTAACGGCCCTAGTTTTTACTATGACGTATCACAATTCACAAATTTAATTGGTGAATGTATTATTAGGTTATAAATTATGCATAAATTCCATCACATGTTTGTCGTAAGAATAAAATAAAATAAAAATACATCCTTAATATAAGTAGTTGAATTTTTTTTTTCTACATCATAAGTAACGAATAAAGATTTGAGTGCACTTAGCACCGGTTTCGCACCAAAAAAAAAATCATAGATTTCACACATTTTGTCAATCATATATTGCAAATTTTTCAAATTTCATTCTTGTATGAAAATATACATACTCTAGTTAGTTAGGCTCGCCGCCTGAAGAGAAGCATTTCAAACATTCGCGGGAAAGGACCTATCGCATTCAAAGACTGACCAAACGGACAAGTTGTATTCTCATCTGAGCTGCAAATCCTGGTTAACGGGAAAACGGCGGCGCTGCGGAACTTCCCGCCAAATATCCACATCCGTACTACTACTCCACGCCGCCGTCTCCGTTGCTTCCTCCCGAATTTCCTGCTTCACCGTCGCCGCCTCTCTTTCTCCTTCTTCTCTTCTCTGACGCTTCCGCTGGCAGTGTCCTTCAACCATCACCTTGTACTTGCTGGCGTCCACCGGGAAGTTGAGAATCGCCTTCCGTCCCCGCAGCTCGAACGCCGCCCGGTCGTACGCCCTCGCCGCCTCCAGCGGCGTGTCGAACGTCCCCAGCCACATCCGCGAGCCTTTCCTGCTCGGATCCCGAATCTCCGCCGCGTACTTCCCCCACGGCCTCTGCCTCACTCCCCTGTACTGCCTCCCCCCGCCGCCGCCGCCAGATCCCCTACCCGCCGCCGTTTCCTCCGTTCCGAATCGGATCCACTCCGTCGACTGATCCGGTTCGATCTTCGGCGCTTCTCCGGAATCGAATCCGAATAAGAATAAATCCTCGCCGTTCGAGCGAGGATTAGTAATAGTCCCCTGTTCTAAGAAATCACGCGTAACTTGAGGTTGGACGATTTTAGGCTTCGATTCGAGCTCCCGAATCGGGGATGGTTTCGGAGTACTGGTGAGATCGATTACCGCGGGACTGGTCACGAATTCCAACTCGTTGGGTTTCGCAACGAATTGAAAGAAATCGTCGTCGGGATCGAAGTAGTAATCGGAAACAGAGATGGCGGAGGAGGAGTCGCCGCAGCTGGTGGTGTTGGAAAACGACGACGCTGATGACGATTCGCAGCTGGAGTAGCCGCCGGAGGTGGCAGTGGCGGCGGCGAAGTCGGCCGGGGAGAAGAGATCATCGAAGAGCTGGTACTGTTGGAGAAGCTCCTCCAGGGCATAAAATGCTTCGATTCCGTCGGCAGCCATGGGAGGAGTTTGAAATTGGGAGAGTTGGGGATTTTTTTTTTTTCAGGGGATGTTGGGGTTTTGAAGGATGAGAGAATTTTTTGGAGGGAGGAGTGGTTGAGAGGGAAGGTATATATAGGGAGGAAAAAGAATGCTAATTGCCGGTTTTGCAGGGGGCTAGAAGAAGAAGTCCATTTTGAGAAATGTTTGGGAATCTTTCTGACTTGGTGCGGTTCGTTTGAATAATGGCAAAAGGTAAACCGTGTCAAGAACCAGTTGATCAAGTTATTGGGAGAAGTTCAATTGTTGATCATATATCATTTTCTAACTAATTGTACCCCAGGGGTCCTCCTAGGCCCTAGCACTACTTTAAATGTCTAAATCTTTGAAGAATTAATCAACACACATCAATAAAACGGTTGGATCATCTCATAAATGAGTTCTCGAGCTCATATAACCAGTAGCAGCCTCCCATCAAAATTTTCATGAACGTGTTCTGACTTATGAGTTATGGGTCGATGGAGCGCAACATATTATGTTTACTTATTAGCAAAAATATGTTGGATTTTCAAGAATTGAAATTAGTATTTGAACGTATTGTCTTCCATGATGAGATTGATTAAGAATATTTGACGTCATGATAATAATAAATAAATAAATAAAGTTATTAGACTTGCATGCGTAAATAATTTGGAACTATTTTTTTATTTTGAAAATAGTTACATAAGATTTAGTTACTGATGAAAGAGAGCTAACCTAGATGGTGAAACGACGCGGGAGAATCAAGAGTTCTGTGTGCTCGATTCTCGACGAAAGCCTTGCCCCAGTTTGCAGGGGTAATTTAGTTACTAAACTATTGTATTTTTGTATATGAGTTATATGAATAGTTGGCACATGCAAGTCCAACCACCGGAATAAAGAATGATGACACAGGCTGGTGTTTTCAGCCATTCCAATTAATCAAACATAATTAAAGACATAATTACGTGATCATTTTAACTAATTACTCCATTCCATTTGATTGAGGAGACGCTTTCCAATTTCCATGCATACGAGTTTAGGTTTGTTATGTAGGAAAAATGGGTTTGACCGCCACCTCCTGAGAACAAGGAAAATTCATCTACGCAAACGGTCAACGTGTTTCTCATAGTTTGCGCATTAATAACAGGTGGAAAGTCAAACATGTACTTATTTGCCACAAAATAAAGTCTTGTACCTGAATTTTGTAATTCTCAAATGTTTGTGGTGGCAAATTGCTTGCAAGTGGGGAGTCAACAGGAGCGGGAATATCAACGGCCGTTGGACAAGGATAACTTTGGCCGTCTTCTTAATCCTGTCATGGTTCTGTTGTCGTTTTGGTCAGCACGCGCTTGTCGTATCATACAGACGTTTGTTTCTTCTCTTCTGTTCGCGTTATGTGGGGAATTTTGTGCCCTATAAAGCTCGTCCTTGTCTTTTATAGTTTTCCTTATGAACAACTCTCCACCTTGGTTTGACGAGGCAAGCGATAAATAATTTCATGCTTCCGTTGAATACACCTCCTAACACATTTGAAGTAAAATAGGGCTCAAATGACTACATTTCGGGCACTTTACAGTTTATTATACAGGTGACATCGGTTTAATTTTTATCATTAAGTAATAATTAAGAGATTTAGATCTAAAATTTTCATATTGAAGACAAGTCGTAAAACTACTAGATCAAAATCTTTGTTTGCCAATAATTTCTCGATTTTTCAGAGGTTAGATGCATAGTACCTAAAATAAATATAATATATGCAAACTATAGCTAATTATCAACGAAAAAAAATGATCAAATGGCATATAGTAGTTAGTTTTTGATCTGTCGGAATTTCAGGTTCTAAAATCTATAATCAATTGTAATTCTGGGTTCAATCATACATTACACATGCAATAGAGAAGTAATTAATTGTCTTACAATTTAAACCAATCATCGAACAGCATTGATCAGAAGACCGGATCAAATGATGTTTTATATATGTAAAGGGTAAGACGAAGAATAATTTGGGTGCTTTCGATGGAGCTGGGATACCTGGGGTTTCACTTTCAGATCAGCCCGTAGCCCCGTACGTGTTCAGCTGCTTCCATTTCTTGATCGAGTCGCAAATATTGCATTATTATTGTTAAGATAGATATTAACTACATAACCAAATCAAATTAACGGTCGGATCAGTAGAACCATCAAATTAATTAAACTAGTGTTTCGGTTTTTTTGTATGGGTGGTTTGAGATGGATTGAACGATTTTTAAAGGTTACGTTAGACATGAAACCAGATAAATTATCCCGAATTTATTAATTCATTGGTTCACTATTTTAACCAGCAAAATTTTAAGAGAAAATTGGAAAAAAGCAAAACCCCTAACTGAGCTTTTGAAATTTTATTTCCAACTTACCCCACACAGACCCATGCATGAAGTCTGCCTGATTTAAAAATGCGTATATATATATATATATATATATATGGTGACATATTCAGTGTACCCGCCTCATAATTGTCATTGTGACCATGTGATTCATGTCAAAACGGTATCAATTGTTGCTTATTATATTACGAACAAGAAGCACATGAATTTGAAAAAAAAAATCATTCAAAATTTACTTTAATTCGAAGGATTTAGGATTTAGGGTTAGGGTTTAGGTTTACAATTTGGGATTTTGGGTTGGGATTCAAAATTTAAGGTTAAGAGGTTAGGGTAATGGATTGATTTGTTATGATTCTATGTCATATCATCATATTAGATCGAAAGTACTAATTAACGTTCAAAATTTGATGTATTATGGACGCTTTTAGAGTTAGGTGCACTGAGTGCACCAAAAAAAGTGAGTGCGCCGAAGTAGCCACCATATATATATATATATATAATGACTGATCTCATCCAGTGATGGCGATTTCTGATATGATCAGTGCAATCCAACCTGCCTTGACGTGTGGGTATTATATATCCGAACTGTTGTAGCATGAGATGAGACATGGTACTGCTTCCGGCCTGCCCCGTCCCGTACTGTCATGTTGTCAACCTGTTCTATAATTATTTGCATTAATATCTACATCTATTTCTCTTATTCTGAATTTTCTAAAGTAGTGTTTTCATCCCAAATACATTTTAAGACTCTACCTTTGAACTATTTAAACTCAGTTATTTCTTCTACTATATTTCTCATTCATTTGTGAAGTGTTTTTCCTACGTGTTCTTGCAAAATAGTTAAAAATCGACATTCTTTTTTCAAATAACATATAAATAAAAATGTGTGCACATGTTCCACCTCATACCCACGCAGGTATTACCTGCCCTGACACGCACTTAATATGAGACGAATACAAATATAAATATTGAGGTAACCGCCCCATTGCCATTACTAATCTCCTCTAGCTAATACCAAACACTTGGCGCGGGGATGAGAAATGTTCAACACGTACGGTTTGTACCTATGTGTAGTTATAATTAATTAAATTAAACATTATGCATCCACGTCTCATTCCCCAAATATATATCATCCAAATTCCTCTAAACCAACAATCCAAATTAACTCATTTAATACTGCCTGTTATATTTGCCATGAACCATGCTGCACCAGATCCAAACAGACTACTTATGCTTTTAGAACGTTGCGATCGGACAAATGCGATCCGCAAGACTTGATCAATTTACATTAATCTTGGTTATCTCTTGATTACATATATATTCACATTGACTAAGTATAGATATCGTCCGTACGGCGATTATGACTCGTTGGCGTGCAAAACTATATGTGTAACTAAAAACAAATATATTGGTATATCTACGTACAAATCATGATGATGGATGGTTCAGATAATGTTGATTCTAGCATTAGTTTAAGAATTTGGATGTGATCAAATTATGTCTTGGAGCAGAATGGTTGTTTCCTCTTGTCTTTAACTTCATTTGTGCAGCACGCGGTGATCATCATGACAAGAAGTGGTCAAATATTGTCACTAAGGGGTCGTTTGGATGTGGAAATTTGAAAACGTTGGAATTTGTCTGAATTTCCATGTTTTACAAAACCAAGGAATTGACTTGTGGAAATTGAAAAAAATTTCACGTTTGGATAGGGTTTAGTTTTGTGGGAATTGATGGTGTGGAATTTGGAAAAAGAAGTAAGAAAACGTGGTAATGTCAAATTATTAGGGGGAGGTGTAGTATTCTCAATTACCATGAATGTGGTAATTGAAGCCAATTTCCATGGTCCAATTCCCATACCCTTTTTGCTCTCCCAAACGTGGGTTTTAAACCCAATTACTGCGTTATGTGGTATTTGGATCCAATTACTGCATTGCATTTCCACGTCCAAACGACCCCTTAAATTTGGGTGACTTTCGGAATTTTGATACACCTAAAGTTCTGGACAAAAGTTTTGCTCTTTTTTCTTTTACTTGACCCTTTGGTCTTGTATATTTTCGTATCTCGCTATTTCTCTCGAAATATCTTTGAAAAAAAAATAGGCAAAATACAGCTGTATATCCACAACTATCAGGTTTGTGACAAATATATCCACAACTATCGAAATACACGAAATATCCATTTTCGTCCACTCCGTTAACTCCGTCAGTTAACTTGATGACCGGATAGACGGTGGATGCTTAGTTGGCGTGTTTCTGACCCCACTAAATGACGTGGACTAAAAGAGAAAAACAAAATTTAGGCAAAATACAGTTGTATATCCACAACTATCAGATTTGTGACAAATATATCCACAACTATCGATATACACGAAATATCCAAAAATCGGAAGGTTGTGTGACAAATCTACCATTTTCGTCTGAAACTATAACGACGTGCCAGACAGCGTTAAATTGGCTAACGAAATGCTGAATCGATGCCATCTCACCTACCACATAAGCCAAAAAGCAACCAAACTTTACACCGTTTTCTGTTAGACCTCGCTGCTGCAGTCTTCTCTGTTGGCGATTTGGTTAGATTCAAGTTTTTTTTGTTTGAGATTCAAGCTTGGTATCACCATGGCGCCGACTGCATGGAAGCTGTCGGAGTAAAAGGGAGGCAATGGTTGGGGATTGTGGTTGGAATCGAAATCTGGGCTTGGGGTAGGGTTATTTGGGGGTGGAGCCATCGATCGGAGGAGGATAAGTGGTTATCGGGCATGTTTTTGGGTTGGATTTTTAGTCTCGTCGTCTGTGGTTTTTAGGGTTTTTAAATTTTTTCCCCTCTTTTAATCCACGTCATTCAGTGGGGTCAGAAACACGCCAAATAAGCATCCACCGTCTGTCCAGTCATCAAGTTAACTGACGGAGTTAATGAAGTGGACGAAAATGGATATTTCCTGTATTTCGATAGTTGTGGATATATTTGTCACAAACCTGATACTGGTGGACATATTTGGCACAAACCTGATAGTTGTGGATATACAGTTGTATTTTACCTTTATTCAACTAGCCTATTTGGCATCTACGTGTAAAGTTTGGTTGCTTTTTGGCTTATGTGGCAAGTGAGATGACATCGATTCAGCATTTCGTTAGTCAATTTAACGTCGTCCGACACGCCGTTATAGTTTCAGACGGAAGTGGATAGATTTGTCACACAACCTTCCAATTTTTAGATATTTCGTGTATTTCGATAGTTGTGAATATATTTGTCACAAACCTGATAGTTGTGGATATACAGCTGTATTTTGCCAAAAAATATAAAGCCTCATTATTCTAGCTTGGGTAAATACAATTAAATATCCAAATCTTTCATTTTAAACAATATAATAGCCAAACCTTTTCGAAAACAATCTAATATCCAAATCGTCAAGTTTTCGTTCGTTTGACCGTTAGTTGACACTTCAAAAAAGCTTTGTTTAGGGGAAATTGTCACAATACAACTTTGTTTCTTGTTTTGGCATTGCAGATGACTGAATATTTAGATATTCTATACCATCATGATGGAGTCATGGACTTCTTGGATTTAGAACTACGATATGTTGGTGATTTTTCAGAGAAGATATCGATGGATATTGATGAAGTGTCGTACTTCGAACTTTTTTGAAGTTTCAACTAACGGTCAAACAGACAGAAAGCTGACGATTTGGATATTAGATTGTTTTCGAAAAGGTTTGGCTATTATATTGTTTAAAATAAAATGTTTGGATATTAAATTGTATTTAGCCTAAAGATTTGACTAAGAAAAAGGGTTCTCTCGGCCCACTCCTCTTCAGTCTCCCAGTTACATAATGTTATGGGCCAAAATATGGGCCGGTTTATTAAAGTTCCGACCCGTAAAAAATGAATCTCATTCCGCCCACCCGACCCGCTTCCTGGCGAATTTTCTCGCAGACTTCTTCCACTTCCAGCGCTGAGCGGAGCGCATTTCCCGCAGCAATAAATATCTGAACTAACAACAAGCAAGCAGTCTGTTTCTATATCTCTAGCGAAGAGAAACCATGGCGAGCAGCCAGTTCCAGAGCAAACAAGATCACCATCGACGGGCGCAGATGTTCCTCACGTTGCGAACATCGGAATCCACCATTTTCAATTTCGTTGCCGCAAGAAAAATCTATTCCACGGGAAAATAAGCAGAAACACCGGCAACGAGCGGACGCAGTTGGTAGGGTTTAGATTTAAGGGAGAGACCGGCGAAGGGAAGAGGAAAGGCGGCGGCAGGGGGAGGAATTAGGGTTTGTCTGAAAATTCTTTCGGAAAGAAACGAGATTGGGTAAATGTGCACAAGCTATAGGGTTCGAACCGCTGCTGTCCATGCAACTTCGATTAACTTTCTTTTCAAGCTTCACATCCCCGCGGGAAACAATGGGATTGGGAACCCCGCGAAATTCACAATCCTTCTTGGAATATGAATTTTTTTTCTTACATTGGGCTGTTCTACAATTTAACTGGGCTGGGCTGGGCTGAGAAGTCAGACCATCAATGTTCAAACTAGCCCTAATATGAGCATCTTTATTTGGATCCCGGTACAAAAAGGGCCCATATAACCCACATCGTTCAATTTTACAATTCACCATTGAACTCAACTACTCAATCAAGCAATGCTGGAGATTCTATATATAAAAAAAAAACTATGCAGGAGATAGCAGTAGGGTGAGCAACTGTTCGGTGCCGTACGGATTAGACCGAATCAGGATAATCACAATCTAATAGTAAAATAAATTTGAGTATTAAGAATTAGATCATCATTGTATTTGGTTTAATTTAGTTCGATTTAAATAGTTTGGTTCATCTTTTATTCGATTAATCATAAAATTCGTGAGACCAAATAACAACCTGCATTATATTCAGTCTGATATGGCCTGGTTCAGATGTCGATTGGATATGACGTGATCTGGTACGTACCAAATTGTTGTACACTCCTACCTCCAAGCGTGTGGTCCAGCTAGTTCAGAGTACATATTTAAGCGGCCACCAACATGTCCGTAGTCATCCAACGATTCCACCATCTCATTCGTATAGACTGATCGCCATCCACATTTATAGATAGCCGAATAAGTGTATGTCCCGAATATATATTTTTTTAGAGGTTAACATTGTATATTTGTTGTTGGTCTCGACCTTAAACACTAGATCTTGTATGATTGCATAATAATTTGAATAAAAGGATGTTCGTCGTAAACTTGAACACCAAAAGTCTTCTTTATTATCATTTTTGTTTATACAAAAATGATGAAAGCTAACACAGAAAGTCAATTCAACATTTACTAACTAAACCATTCCTACTATCTTCGTTAATTCACTACAAAACAAAAAGATGCTCAAAGAAATAGGCGGTCGTTACAAATTTATATATTAACTGTTACACGTGCATTACTATTCCAATCACAATTTTTTAAAAAAGCCGCAAATCTTAGGTAGGAAAATAAATTATATAGAAAGGAAAAAAATGGGCACAAGTGGTCACTTTTGCACCAACCCATGGATTAAAAAAATGACGATAACAGAGCTAATGCATTCCACTTAGACAAGCAAAGCCGGCTGTAATCTCCTAGGATTATGAATGGTAATCCACTTGTTATGAAACTAATCAATTGGAAGAAAAAAAACTAAAAAAGTAATTAAACTTAGTTTAATATGTTGTCTACATCGAAGTATTAGGCTACTAGCATAATTTGTAACCCTCCGCCTTCCTCGAAGGTGACTTGATTGAAAGAAATAAAAGGAGAAATTTGAAAAATGGAGGGAAGCAATTGGGAAAAGAAAGATGGCACATTGGCACGGTCACGTCATATTGACATTTTTCGGGTAAACTCGATAAATGGTCACTAAGCTTTATGCTCATAAACAAAAAATAGTCACTATATTGTTATTTTTATAAAATTTGTCATTGAAGTAATTAATTTTAGAAATTACGTACCAAAGAGTTTGTCCCAATACATAATAAACCAATAACAAATAGATCCATTGTTTATGTTGAATTTAAACATAAAGCGACGAGTCATATTGATATATCTTAGATGAACATATTGATTTGTAATATCATTTTACTGTAAAAAGCATTCACCAAAGTCACATTGATATATCTTAGATGAACATATTGATTTGTAATATCATTTTACTGTAAAAAAGCATTCACCAAAGTTACTCATCTATTCATCTAAGATATAGTATCACGAGGATCAATGTAAGTCCATAAGGATTAACCCATTATATCATTTTGCTAATTATTGGTAAATTTTAGTTAACAGGATCCAAGCCTTCCTTTGTTTGAGAGAGCGCGAGGACCATGAATTTCATAATCACATATACCTAGTAATATACTCAAACTAATTGCAATTCCAGTCTAAAAAGGTAACTCGATATTTGATAATCCGAAAAAACAACAAATTCAATACGATATTACTCAATTATCTACTTTATCTCAAACAATGGTTCCAAACTTTCAACCCATCCTACATTAGTATATTATTATAGTTTATTAAATAGTCTATGCGGTTTTATATAAAAAAATCGTTTGTGTTTTTTTTTTATGTTTAATACGAGTCGGTTGAACTATTTGCCAAAAATCCTCATACAAGTTTGATAGAGTTCATATTAGTTCTTTTAAACTTCAACGACACATTCTCAATCCAAAATTAGTGGCCGATTTATTGGTAACCATCAAGTTGAATGACCTTTATGTAATTTACCGTCATTGTCTTGTTTAAATTTTTATTGCTAATGGAGGACTATTGACTTTGCTAAGAGACTTATCCATTCCATAGGCAAAAGGCCTATCAAGCGACAAAATTGTGTGGTGTCCAAGTTCATTGTCTTCTTTTCATTATTATTATTATTTTAATGTTCTTTCTTTGTCGTGTGCTTTTCCCCATTTTACACTCATCCTTCTGTGATTGCTTCTCAATCGACACCTTTGCTTTGGCATTTACCCATCAACTTGTAGAGTGGGAGAGAACGATTTTGATTAATATAGTTTCAGCAGAATCTCCAACGGATATGAATAATCATATTTTGATTAATAAGCTACCCATGGATTTGAACGAGTAGAGGTGGCAATTGGATCGGATTCGTGGATTCGCGGATTGGATTGGTGGATTCATGGATCAAATGGATTGGATCCAATGGATTGGTGGATTCATGGATTGGATCAAATGGATTGGTGGATTGATCCATGAATCCAAAATGACATCCAAGGCTTGGACCAAAATGTAAATTTTGAAAAGTTTAGGTACTAAAATGTCATAATGAAAAATTTTAGGTACCAAAATGTAATTTTCCAATGATATTTTTCGTATAAAAATATAAATTTTAGGTACCAAAATGTAAAATATAAAAAATATAGGTATCAAATTATAATTTGCCATTTGGATCCATGGATTGATCCATGAATCCACCAATCCAATTGGATTTGGATCAAATGGATTGGATTTAAATGGATTGGATTAGGTGGATAATTTGGTGGATGGATTGGATTGGATTCATGGATTTGGATCATAATTGCCACCTCTATGAACGAGAAGACAAAGGAGCATAAACAATATCTCATGGATAGGTTGTATTGTACGTTTGTGAATGTTGATTAATGAGTCGCATAGAGCTCCGGTATTATGTTCACAATATTAGTGTCTTTTATAACAAAACGAGAGAAAAAAAAATTGTACAAGAATACAAATTCAGTTTGTAACCTTTGATGTTATGATAAAATTAAATATATATCTTGATGCTTATAACAATGTATATCATAAACCAGTTGATATCAACAAATAGAGTTGGTGATAAAATGTTAATTATGAATCAAGTATCACTCTTTTACACGTTTACTCAAACGAAAGTCAACTCACGGACTTGTAGTTTGCACAGCCCCAGCCATATATATATTGTGCTTAAACCAATTGACAACTGTTAATATATGGGGCCGTGTAGATTCGACCACACGGCCATTTGGCCAAAGCATGACCTTGATAGCATATCATAAACCAATCGGTTCAAATAACTCGAATTGTTGAAAGAAAATTAATTATGAATCAATCAAGTTGGATATTGTTCATTATAAAAAAAAATTTACATTATAAAAAAAAAAGTTGGATATTGTTTCAAATGAGTAGGGAAACTCTAGTCACTCTGACACTCTCAACATCATCCATGGAGTTGTATTTTATCTATGACGTGGAGCTTGGAATTCGTGTTTGATGGCTATAGTATATTAGTATTTTGCATTAATTAATACCAAATAATGTGGTTGGGCCGGGAAATGGACGGGATATCAATGCACGATAGTACGATACGAAGTCGTTTGGAGGTAAAGTTATGCGGATAATTATGGTATACGATATTTATACCTAGATAATTGTAGATGATCATCATTTTTCAATAAAGGATTGTGGCGTAGACTTGTGGCGTAGAGTGAGGTTTTTAAAACCGCCAGTAAGATACACATGAAATACACGTAGGAACATTAAGATCACCATTACTTGCAGATCATTAATGAACTTATGGAGGTTGATTCAATGCATGTATTAAGAAATGTTAGGACTCAACGAAGATGCTTTGGTAAGACTTGGCATCACTAGCATTGTTGGTTGCTAGACAGCGATGAACATGATCGACAACCATAATTTTGTTCGTATGTCATCATCAATTGTCAACTATAAGTGTCTGAGTAGCAACTTTCGATGATAAGTTGGGTTTTCAATTGCAAGTACGAACGGCGAGCATCATCGTCATCATTACCGACTACCAATGTCGATAAGTATTGTCATCAACTATGCACTTGTCAAGAACCATCGAAACATATCAGAAATAAATACATGCGTTGACATTCATTATCAATACAAATTAAATCATCATATCATTTAACAAAATTATTTAAAAAAAATTTAATTTTTAACTGTCCATATATATATATCCTTGAATAACAAATCTCAAGACTTAATGGGGCCAAGAATAGTCGGAACTCAGCATTGAGCAATGAAAAAGCAGCTGGGCCCGGATCGAAAAAGACAAACTACAAAATGCTGCTGGCTGAACGACCTGCTGACGTCAACTTTCCAGCCCGGCCCATTCCCCATTTTCGCATCAACTTGGACGTTGGAACAGAAAAACAGTATTATTCTTCTAATGTCGATATCTAGCTAGGGATTACGATTTTTAAGCACGTGACCCATTTCAGCACCTTCGAAGAAAACACCTTCGCCAAGAACGTCACTATACTACCTTTATTTTATTTCCAACTTGGGTCAGTTACACAAATAGTCACTGCATTTTAAAGTCAATAACAATCAGACATTGAACTTTACCGTTTAACATACTCGCCACATAAGATATATTTTTTTTTTCAACATACTCGCCACATAAGATATAGCCTACACACACGGCTACACATACATTTTTTTTGACGGGTATATGTGAAACGGCTACACATACATAACTTTAGTAAGTCCATCCAATATTAGCTAGCATTTCATCTAAATGACCTATTTACGTATCAACCATTCAAAATGGATAATAAGGAGAATTCAAAGAGATCTCGAGTATGTAGTTGTATTTGAACCATCCATTTTATCTCATAGCTTAGACGAAACCAAATGCTTTTCCTAATCCAATTTTCGAGTTTGCACTGCTCGAACCACCATTATTCCTCCTCTGAATAAGTTGCTAAGTGGAGGATCGATTCGGGTGAGGAAACAAACTGATCTAGCAAGTTAGATGTAATAACTATTTTTTTTAGCTTTTCGGACTTAATAACAAAACAAAGATAAATCATTGGGGGTACTTAAAAATGCCATTTTATGACACGTCTAAGCGATGCGAAGAACTAATTTGTGTTATTTCAATCGCCAAATAGAGATGAATGCTCTATGCTAGCAGTGGAAAACTTTTTGGTGATCAAATGTTACATTCAAGAGGAGCATATTGTTCTGGCTTAATGCTATTTAGAATTCATTATTTTTAGCGAGTTTTGTTTATTTTTTTTCAAACTGATCTCCCTTATCAGACATAGTTATACCAGTGAGTTGAGCTTTGATGAGTCCTAATATGTAACGTCAATCAATTTCGCTTTCTTGGTCGGGGAAGTGCATGGTTGTCTAAATACCAAACTTTAGAGGTTGAATGGTTTGTAGTCCCAAACTTGAGTGATCATTTCTGTAATTATGCTCATTTTCAACTTTCAACATAAACAATATAATATATTAACCACTAAAATCCAACCAATGAAATCTTTCATTACAATGAAATAAACAAACAAATGTTTTCCCCTCCACTTTCCCCTGGTTCATGAACCTGTCTTCCTATATAAGAGCTTTCCCAATTCTCTCAAACTTTACTCGAAAAGAAAAACACAGAGAAATCCCCAACGGATAACCAATCCCCAAAACCCAACAACTCTTAGTCGAAACCAATTCGATCGAAGAAGCTTTAATCGAAGCTCAAATATGCAAGGAGAGATGGTAGCTACAGAGTCCGATTACGCACTTCTCGAATCCATTCGCCGTCACTTGCTCGGCGACTCAATTACCACCACCAATTCTACTTCTTCCACCGGCGCCGGACCTGTCTACCGCCGGCTCCCGAGTTTCGGGACCATGTACCCTTGCCTGACGGAGAATTGGGGCGAATTGCCCCTGAAGATGGACGATTCGGAAGATATGCTGCTCTACGGAGTCCTCCGGGACGCCTTCCACGACGGCTGGGTCCCGAATTCGGATCAGCTCGCTTCGGATTTCTCGCCGACGACAGAGGTGACTGCGACCCTCCCGCCGGTGAAATTGGAGCCGCCGCAGACCCCGGTTGCGGCGGCGGCAGAGCCGGCAGTGGTGCCTCCGAAGGGGAAGCACTACCGGGGAGTGAGGCAGAGGCCGTGGGGGAAGTTTGCGGCCGAGATCCGTGACCCGGCAAAGAACGGGGCTCGGGTTTGGCTCGGTACGTTCGAGACGGCCGAGGACGCGGCTCTGGCTTACGACAGAGCCGCATACCGAATGCGGGGCTCCAGGGCCCTGCTGAATTTCCCCCTGAGGGTGAACTCGGGCGAGCCCGACCCAGTTCGGATCACGTCCAAGCGATCGTCACCGGAGCCGACGTCGTCTTCATCGTCGTCGTCCGGGTCGGATAGCGGGTCGCCCAAGAGCAACAAGAGGAGGAAGAAGGGCGTTGTTAATGGGTCGGGTGACGCTGCTCCGGCGGTTGCTGTTAACGGTACCACTGCCCAAGTGACTGTCCGGGTCGGGTCGGATATGGGGAAGGTGGGTGGATATGGATATCAAGTGGCATTGAGTACACATGGCGGGCAGCTATTGGCTGCGTGAACAAATTGGGAAGAAAGTGTGGGAAAATGGTGGAAAGCACAAGAAAATGGAAAAAAGAGTTTAATATTAAAAAACAAAACATTGTAATTTATCAGTATTTTTTAATATGGTTGGCATTAGATTAGAGTAATGTTGGACTTCTTGTTATTTTTGTAGAAAAATGAGGCATGTAGAAACTAGAAAAGTCTTGTGAGGTACTATATTGCCAAATATTAGAATGTGAGATATTTCACTCTTTCCTAAAATGGGAAGGTTTGTGTCTACACTTGTTGTGTTGGGTTCTTGATTTTTTAAATTGTTTCATACATATTCAGTTATTTCTTTGTGGTTTTTCTTTGTTTCATACTTCATACACAACTATGATGTTAGACCCTACCATGTTTTGATATTAAGCCTACATGTAACCCAAAGAAGGTTATAACATGAGGTTAAACTGATGAATGCATACACACTAAGATAAAATTATAATTTATAAAATGGTTGGATGATAGGCTATCAACTCCACTTCTTGATATGCTCATTCATAATCTGACCTTTGAATGAGGTCATAACATATTTTAGGGAGTGCAATGGGTTGGTCCAAATCATATTGTACCAGACTAAATCGACGCTTGGATCAGATCAGACCATACCGAATCTAAGAAAATGTGGTATGGTTCTTGGTCCAACGAATTTTAGAATTGTTGAAGAAAATATATCGAATTGACATTTGGACCGGACCAGACTGAATGCACTGTTGGTTCGGTCCTTGGTCCTAAAATGTTTTTCAATATTGGATTGTGGTTCTCATGAGTTTGGTCTAGTCTGGTCATTGCACACTCTTTGCGTACTCAGTTTTAGATAAGGAGAAAATATATATAATTTCTAAGGTTTAGGAAACCCTACTGTACTGGCCGGTCGGACCGTAAATATCGGATACTGGACTCAAAGCGGTAGGCGGTTTTAGCGGTAAGAAACGGTTCAATCACGGTTAAACCAAGACTTTAGTACAAAATACCATACCACTCACTTTTCCGGTATAACCTCCGGTACGATTTCGTGAACCTATTAATTTCATGCGGAGGCGGAGTTGCGTATAGTCTAGAATGAATTTAGGGGTCGTTTGGAGAATATGAGTTTAAATCTTTAGATTGTTAACAATCTAAAGATTCTAACTCTATGGATTGTTGAAAATAGATTTTAAAATATTTATTGTTTGGTAATTGTGATTGTTAACATTCAATGAAAATAAAAAAAAATATTTATATTAAATAACATGTTTATCTCAATAAAAAATTAGAGTGGTTCGAAAAATATGAAATTTTTTGTTAATAAATATATTTAATAGGATAAATAAATAAAGGAAGAGAAAAAGTAGGAGAAAAATCTTACGAATTTTAAGATATATAATCTCTCTGATTACGAGAGATTTGATATCTGTAGATTTTAGAAATTTGAAATCTCTACAACTAAAATCCGCAATACAAAAAAAATTATAACTTTCTACAAAATCTACGGATTCAATGAATCCATGCCCTGAATCCCCTTCTCCAACAACCTCTTAGTTTGCCTCACCATATATTCGAATACTCGTATGAACACTTTTTTATGGTTAATCCTATGAACATTTGCTCTCAAGAAGCTAAGTTGATTTTTATTTATTTATAAGACCTCACTCTCTCAGTCTCTCTAACTCCTCCTACTTACCCTCTCATTTTAGAGTGAAAAAAATAGAGAGCAGGAGTTAAAGTTTCAACTTACCGTGAACAATTTGGTCAAGCTAGTTGATATTTATGTAGAGAGATATTTGTGGAGGCACGTTTACTTCTTCACTTGGTACATTGAATTGAAAGAATTGGCCACCTGTGAGAGCGAGTTGTAAAAAGAGAAAGCAAAATGCTGCAGCTCAGGGAAGAATATTAGCTTCCGCCGCACCACGAGACTTGACAAAACTGCACAATCCTCTAATTCTACTGAAGAAAATTTACATCATATAGTTTCTACTTTGGACTTTGTATGTGGAATTTTGCAGTGGTACCAACGAATTCAATATCATGGATTGGAACGGTTTTGTTTTTCCACCACTAGCTAGCTCCTAATTCCATCCAATAGAATTTGGACAGTGGTTTTTCCACCTCATTGGAGAAAGTAAACATCGTACAAGTAGAAATTGACATGACTCCCATTAACCACCTAACCTTATTAACAGTAACAACTAACAACTAATGGTAAAAAAAAAAAATGAATGGCTTTGGTTTTTTTTTCTTCCACTTATTGATTCATCATTTTCTAATATGGAATGTTAATATTAGTGGATCATGGAACTGGGGGAGGTTGCTGAAAGTTAGAAACAAGATACCCAACCTATTTAGTTGGAACCTGGAAGGAAGGAGTGCTGAACTGGGATGACAAACCAATGAAGAAATACTCCATTAAGATGATATGAGAATCTGTTAGAACAAAACACAGTAGAGTAAGCTGGTATAAGCTTCTTTGGAAGGGGCCCTCTATCCATAGAAACAGATTCTTAACGTGGCTTATTATACTCAACAAAATCCAAACTAAAGACAAGATGAAGAAATGAGGATTTGTAGGCTCTGATTATTGTTTCCTCTGTGATCAGGTTGGGGAGACAAGAGACCATCTGTTCTCTGTCTGTCCCTATTACTCTGTTGTTCATCAGCAGTTGCTGGGGAGATTTTGTGTTTTTCTTCCACGGAGCTGGGAGGAGAACCTAAGCTGGGCTACTCAAAAGCTTGGTGCTAAAACAGTGGTTGCAATGCAGGGGAGGCTGATCTGGCAGTCTATGGTGAGCCATGTGTGGAGAGAGCGATGCAGGAGGGCTTTTGGTGATCAGAAGCGGACTCCTGAAGCTTTGGTCAAGCTGATTAAGAGTGAAGTTTCTGTGTTTATTAATGATCCTTCAGAGTTGGTGAGTTTCTGGGATTCTGGTACCTAGTTCTTCAGGTCTTTTACCCCCGAGTAAAGTGCTTCCATAGGTAGTAGGTTTGGTCTTGTTTGGTTGATAGATCTATAGGTGTACTGTCGAATTATTCCTCTTCTCCTGTTCCCAATTTTCCCTAGCTGGCAAGGGTGTTGCCTGCGCTGCTTTTTGATGGAATGAAAGTAAATCGATTCATAAAAAAAATAGAGGGTATTGAATCTTTACCACGACTAGGATTTGCACGAAATCATTACCAATATGCAGAGGATCTTTTATTTTAATAAAATAGAATAAAATCGAAAGACCTATTTCTCTTATTTATTTCGATTTCGTTTGGTGAAGGATGGAGTCGCTTTTGATTATCCAGTTAGCCCTATTACTTCTTTGACTTTCAAACAAGTCATGTACCAGGAATATGTATCCAATCTTGATATAATAACGTCATTCTTATATAGTATATGCTTGTTTCGAGTCTTTAAGTTGCGAAGATCACAATACGACCTTATTATTCAGATGTTGTTTTTCAAATGCAACAAGCAAACGACATCTGAATAATGACGAGTATTCAAATATCACATAATTCAAATCAAGCAAACAAGTGACCCTTAAATTAATGTGGCAACCGGCTTTTATCAAGATTGTGAAATCATACTGGAGATAGTACACAAAATTTAGTGGTAGGATATCTCGTACTAAAACTGTGATTTAACCGGAGTTCAACTATTTCCTAGCGTTAAAATCGAAATACCTATTTACATTCGATATCCAATATTTTTTCGATCCGACTCACCGGTACTGTATAAGGTTTACTATTAGCATCTTGCAGGTCACGGCCCTCACTCCAAGATGGATTGAAAGCAACGTTACGTGGAGGAATCCTCAACAACGAAGAACGCAGGCAGGCAGGCACACGTGCAGGACAAGAGTGTGGTCGTGGCCAAACCGCCAACAGACTTCATTATTAATCAATGACAAGCTACAATGATATATGTTGTTAATATATAATAACAAAGCTTATCCGAATTTTGGAACTGGATCTTGACTTTCAAAATTTTGACCTGCTGACTTTGTCACCACAAGAAGTTGGATGATTCAAACCCCCAAGGCCACGGGGACCAAATGACTGCGCACGTCCTTGGCTTGGCCACCGGCTGCTTGTCCCCTTCGCCCAACATGTGCTCTCCTCCTTTCTTGCCATGTTTTTTGGTCCCAAACCAAACGGGGTATCTTGTGCCTCTTTCACCTACCGATTAGGGTCTAGAAGCTCATGTGTGTGTGGTAATAATATGTCATATTACTATGTTAGTAGGTACTCAACTCGGAGTTCAGATGAGTAAATGAGCGGTTCTAACAAAGTACTTTGTCGCGCATTTTTCGTCGATTTCGTAAACTGTATCGATGCGGGGCTGAAGTAACAAAGAACTAAAAGTGTGTCGCGTCGGCAATGCAAACGAAAAAGAATGATTGAAGATGAGGAGATATAGGGAGGAAATGAGCGATTATATATGGGGTTTGGATATGGTGATGAGTTGGGTGCTTTATTATCTTGCTAAGATATGTTATCGATAAGAAGCTCGCGGTCAATAGATGTGGCATGTATAGGTGAAGGCTGGCGGTCGATGCCAATTACTGTGTATGGAAATTGATGTGGACGTGCAGTGTGGAGGAGGGTGGCGTCTTTTCCGATCCACATCTGCTTCGCTTCTGTTGAAACTAGTAAAAATGGAGGTAGACTCGAGATCAAAGGTGATCCGATATTTATATATGATAAGATGAAAATGTTGCACATCAAGAGAATGAAAGGTTGATTTCAAATCAACCCAACGAGATAGATTGACACATATGAAGCTACATTTTCAAGGTTCAAAATTGGGCTTACAACGAGTAAGTGGTGGATTCGCCATAATACAATATAATATTGTGCGAGAGCTTAATGTGAACATGTTTTGTAGAAGGTTGCGTAATTTATCGAGATCAATATAATTCACATTTTCTCTCAAACTAGTAAAACGAGATGGTAGATCCTAGAATCAAGGATTGGCTAGAATTTTTAGATGTGAATTGTACAATATTAGTTAATGTGCTAGTTAGACAATGGTTATCATCACAAAACTACAATACTTTACGAGAGTGAACATCGATTTCAAACTCCACCCAACTCAATAGGTCGAACCAATTTCGAAATCCAACTGAGTTTGTGAGCATCACATGGTCGATCAAAAGTTCCATAATTATGAATAACACAACAATTAAAAGGAACCATTCTAATTCAAAGCTCAACCTTCAACAAAGTCATCTTTGGTGGATTAGGGTTTCATGGAAGCAAAACAATCGAACCTTTCTTCTGCAAACCTCGATTTGGTAAAACAGGACCAAGCTCTTGGGTTGGAGTTGGTTGCAGGCAATTCCTCTTTTGGCAAAGTAGGGTTTGGTGTGTCACATTCAACACTTTGACCGGCGACTACTCTACAGTCTACCCAATGGGTCTTTTGCTTCCACGCAACAATAGTTAAGATAATATCAATTCAACGCCGTCACCTGTCTGTCGAGTATTGAGATCAGATTCCTCTTCTTCTTCTTTCTTTTTTCCCGACCTTCGATATCTGTTATTATTTATTAAAATATCAAATAGACTATTCTACATCTTTGTTGACAAGTTCACATCAAATAGACTATTCATTTTCACAATGATTTGTGAAACTGTACTGGTGCTCAGAGCATAAGTAATTCTAACTCTCACATAATAAAAAAAACTAAAAGATTTTAAGAAGAAAACTCTAAAGAAAAATCATTATTGATAGTCCGAGCCTATACGTATTGATAAATCGAATTATTATGTATATGTTGAATAGAGGGACCGAAGTCGAAGTCGTATATGATAACTTACTGAAATAAAATTTTAGTGGCATAATTGAAATTTAATTGATGTAATATTATTTTTAAATAAAATAATAATATATTTTCCAACATCATATATCAGTATAATATATCCTTAAACTATATAATTTTATCGTAGGTTATTAGTTTTACCGCAGAAAACAAGGTGGCATAAATTTTGCATAAAACATATGTGTACTATAAACATGGATGATGGATGGCAACAACTAATTTTCCGGTTTGCCCATTGATGTACAATAACAAATAGTTGGTCACAAAGCGAGCTCTCCTGCTCAAAAGGCAGTGCATATCTTACCACCATACACAACGGATAACTTGTCTATTCAAAATTGTGTCAACATAGCGAATAATTGCTTGATCCAGTGGTTAAAATTGTGCCACCATAGTGAACAACGGTTGATCCAATGGTATAACTATTTATCTTAAACCTAAAGATTCTAAGTTCGAATCCCTCAAGTAACACTTAACTATAAAAAAACTTGTATTAAAAAAAAGAGTGTGTCAACATAATTTTATCAAGAATGCGGATGCTAATCCGTTTCCATGCCGCCACGAAAGTCTAGCGTGTATCGAACGGGCTAGCCTAGCCCGTTGAGTACAGGCTTGCAAAGATTTAAGGTCCATAAGGGTACATGGAATCCAAAGCCCAAACCTTCCATTCTACTTTTCAAGGGCCCAAGAGGATCGGAAGCAGAAAAAACGTCTGCAATTCCCCTTATCGCAGAGTGAGATTAACACCGCAAAGGACCGCAAAGATCAAACTTACGACATGAGTAGAATAAACAACTAAATAGATACCTCCCCTCCCAGTCAAGAACAGTCATAGGTCCATTTTCGTTGTGGATATGAATATGCTACGCAGGGAAAAACTAAACTGATGAACCGAAAGAATTAGTTCACTCCACCACGTATTTACATTGACCAAAAGGGGGGGAAACCTAGACATCTGAAAGACTAAATCGCTGTAACTGTAAATCCAATTGAAGGCTAAACCGAGATATGAAATTGCATCAGACAGGGGTATTCAAAATAATAAGCGATCAGCAGCAGAGGCTGACCTTCTCTTCACATTCTGGTGTATCGGGTGGCAGAGCGTCCACCTGTAGAGCGTCTGGCTTTCGTGGTCCTGTTTCAGTTTTCAGATGGTTCAAAACAAATCAGCTATTCTTCAGCGTGATACAGAGGCCGAGTGGTTTGCAACAAATGATCAAGACTGATTGGGAACGTTAAAACCAATTGGCCAAGTGCATAAGATTTCCAGAACTGAAGTTTAGTATTACGTTTTTAGGCACAAGACATCGAATCATCTGAGCCTAATCCACCTCCAGCAAATACGGGAGATTGAAGAAGAGCCAAAGAGGTATCAAAGAACTGAGACAAGAGTGCATTTCAGATTTCCAGATAGTAATCAGAGGAAAACACTTACTTTTTGTAGTGAAAGCGCTCGTCTTGATTATCTAGGTCTCCATCATCAAGAAAACGGGGACTACTGATGTCAGGATGGCCCTGCACAAAATGATATCAGGATCAGCTGTTTGCAAAACACTACCTTGGATGAGCAGTTTCGCAAAGCATAAAGCTAAAGTCAATAGTAAAAACAAAAGAGGGGGGCCATTTACGTAAAAGTCAACCGTAGCCACATTCATATATCCACCAGTAACCGTACTACTGTTCTAGCTAGTATGCATTCCATAATGGATCCATTTTTCGGAAATTCAATATACATATGTAATCAGAGACAAACTAAAGGGCAAGTTCCTAATGATTATCCTCAGGGTCACCCTCATAAATACAATATTGCATTTCCACAGCTCCAAAGTTGATCAGACATGGAAATCATAATCTTCCATCTTACACAGCTTAAACAGAACTCAGAACTGTACTAATGAAGACCATAAAACAGGTATATCTTGTAAAGCAAAGCAGCATACGACTTGACACATACACCAACAGATACTGGATTTGAGAAAGGAGGAGATGAACTCACATTCGAATGAAGATTCTTCCTTGCTATTTCAATATTTTCCTTGACATCCATCTGATGCTGCTTCTCCAATTGATCCATTTCATTAGCCTGTCTAATCTTGTCTTCAATCAACGGAAGCAAATTATCTGAAGTTGCCAACCTGAAAACAGCATTACCTTTTAACAACAAAGAAGTACATATACGGGGATATTACAAATAGAAGCTGTTAAAGCTGAAGTATAGAACTCTCTTAACATTCAGTTTAGCTAACAGAGGTAGAGCCTCCCAAAGCATCATTCATTGTACTAGTGAAAACAGCATTAACTTTTAGCAACAAAGAAGAACATATACGGGGATATTACAATTAGAAGCTGTTACAGCTAAATTACAGAACTCCCTTAACATTTAGTTTAGCTAACAGATGTAGACTCTCCCAATGTATCATTCATTGTACTAGTGAAAACATTTTTTCACCAGAATGTCATGCATGCAGATTCTACTAATCATACCGTGGCAGACATTTGGGTAGCTTAATAATGAAAACTGTACAAGTTTTGGAATGAAACCTACCAATTTTTTGCAGTCTCTATCACAGCTTCAAGTTCACCGGGGACCAGGTCCCTCCCTGCTGCAAATTCAATCTGAAAAGGACCACATAGCACCATTAGGCATTAGGGTCATAAGTTTGAAAAGCTAAACACCACTGAAGAAGTAATGGTCATTAAAAAAAAAAAAAAAGTTCAACCTGGAAACATCGCTTTGATTGATCCAACTTCCCTTTGATTATCCCCTAAATCAAACATCCAATTATCAACATCATTACAAAAATGCAGCCCCAAATATGAATCTCAACATAAACCACGCAACTCGAACACGCACTTACCGCGTACAAACACTCATCAATAAGGAAGTCCTCGAGCTCACGCACGTTAGAAAATTCAAGTTCCTCCAAAAGTGTATTGTAGGAAACAACCTAGAGGAAGCGGCAGCAACAACATTAGCTAACAAAGACTGAACCAATTTAATTCCTACCAACAGCAGGTTACAGTGAATTTCTGTAATCAGAAAGCAAGCTAATCACCTTGCTAGTCTCAGCGACAGTAAGCACAGTGAGCTGCTTCAGCTTAACAATTTGATGCGGTTTCAACTGCGGCAGTACACTCGATTTCCCTACCAGAATCAAGGTCAAAACACCAATAAAAAACTCCAGACATAAACCAGAAAACAATGCAAGAAACAAAATCCGAAACATCAGGAAAGCCACGACGATGACTCTTACCTTTGTAGTCCTTCCACGTTCCATAAGCAAACAGTTTCAGGAGATCGACGTACGCCGAATTCTCGGTTCCTTGAACCTAACATCGTCCCGCTGTTAAACGCAAGTCCGATTACTCGACTTAAGAACAAGAGACGAAGCTGAAGAACCCTAACCTGGAGGAGATTTGGGAGGGCGAGAATCTCGCCGAAGGAGAAGACTGAAGGGTGCGAGGTGGATTCGACGACGAGGCGAGCGAGAGAGGGAGAAGAGGCAGGGCCGCCGTCGATCGCCGACGCTTGCTCCACGAACTGCTGGATGAATTGCGCCTGACGCTCTTCTATCTCCATTGATTTTGACCGTGGAGTGGTAAAAGGGCTTTACGATACGAAGTTTCAGCGACTTGGCAGCGGACGGAGACGAGAAAGCGGAGCAGCAGCGAATTGGTGGCGACTGGCGAGAGCGGGCGACCGGGCGTTGGGTGGAGAAACTGAAACTGGTTGCCAGATGTGCAGGATTTTATACTGTACGGGTGCCTAACACTAACAAGGCCTCCTGGGTCCATTTACGGCGTTAACGGGCTGTCAATAATTGGGCTTTTTTTATTAATCATGGATATGGCTGGACCCAATATTTAAAGCGAAAAAAATTCATAGGTTGTGTGATAATTAATAACAAACTAAAAAGCTATGCACCAAAGTGTAAATTCTTCTTCAGTCATCGCCTAAAACCCCTGACTATAAAGTAAGAAAGAAAGCAAACAGCGCCAAATAGCAAAACCCTAATCTCCAGCTCCGCCATCGTTTTACAGGCCCAAAGCTTACTGCGCCGAAGACGAAGGCAACAACCTTCAAGCTCCCAGCCGCGCAGATTCTAAGGTTGCAAAATGGGAAGCGACAGTGAAGCGGAGAAGTCGGCGCAGAAGCAGGATGGAGAAAAGAAGAAGAAGGCCATAGCTCTGGCTCCCATAGCCAAGCCCCTTGCTGGCAAGAAGCTCTGTAAGCGAACTTTCAAGCTCGTCCGCAAAGGTACACCCTTTTTTCTTTTCTTATTGTTCTCTATTGGTTATGCAAGTTGTTTTCGTGCCCTTGGAATGAATTTGGTTTTTGGTTTTTCATTGGGTGGCTGGTTTTTGATTCAGCTGCTGAGCATAAATGCCTGAAAAGAGGAGTGAAGGAGGTTGTCAAGAGCATCCGGCGGGGTGGCAAAGGGTGAGTTGTGTCTGTAAGGTTTTTGTTGTTGTAGTTATTGTTTAATGTTGATGAAAATGAACCATGAATCTTCGCTAGACCAGCTGTATTGGTAAGCACACTTAATGCTTAAAAAAATCAACCATGAATCTTCCTAATCTTCCTATTCGATTGATGCTTTGTTTGCTCCTCAAATGCCACTTCCAAGCTTAATGGAATAGACTAATGCTTTTATGAGAGTTGAAGCTATCTTAATCCAATGACGAATGAATGAGTTAAGATTGTATGTCAAGTGCGTAAAGTTAATACCTCAATCGTGCGGTGATGATGGTTTCGACGAAGTTGGCTTTCGGTGTTTGTGTAATAATGGTGTAGGCTGTCTTCTGATGAAGCTTATGTTATTGTTTAACTTCATAGAATAGTGTGGCATGTCTTGTAGATAAAGAAGTAAAACAGATATCACTACATGATGTATGTAAATGTAATAGCGTCTTGTTTTCGATGCAGGATATGCATTATTGCTGGGAACATATCTCCAATTGATGTCATCACTCATGTTCCAATTTTGTGTGAAGAGTCTGAAGTTCCGTACATATACGTCCCTTCCAAAGAAGTAAGTTCACAGTTTCTCTTCTTGGGCTTCATGATGATTACATAGCCCTTCTATGAGAGTAGAACTCTCATAGTCTTTCCTCTTGAATCTCCCATCATGCAGGATCTTGCAACCGCAGGAAACACAAAGAGGCCTACATGCTGTGTTCTCGTACTAACGAAGCCTCCCAAGGGAGAGATAGCCAAGGAGGAGCAGGAGAAGTTGAAGTCGGATTATGATCAAGTTGTAGCAGATATTGCTGAGCTCACTTCCTCTATGTTTTGATCCACAATGCTCTGCAGTTTCTTGTATAACCTAGACAAACCATCGAATCCTGTCCGACTCTTATCCGGTTAATGATATGTAGTGCAGACTGTTGATGATTTCTTGATTGTGTATGAATGAGCAAGCTAATTCATCTTCCTCTGATTCCCTCCTCCTTGTCTGGGTCTAACCCTTGCCTTCATGCACTCTCGTGGGTCATCTGCATATGTTTTGCATTGCATATGCCAAGATCTGAAGTGTTAACTTCTACAAAAGGCATGGTTTAATGTGGTTCAGACTCAGAAGGAATTGATCTAGACACCGATAAAAAATGAGAATTATAACTGAATAAAGAATGCCTTCCATTTCAATTTGATTTAGTATGATCTGGTTTGCATTTGGTTAGATGACTCATCACTATTAAAATCATGACGAGAATGGATCTAGATCGAATTATATCCTGCCAGGTTTGATCCAAATGTATTTGGTTCAATCTGATATCAGTCAAATCGTTGCCCATGCTAGGAAGAAAGTCATCTAACAAAGAACACAGTCATACAAATGATTCACAATCAAGCATCTTCTTCCCTGCTTCCACTCTCTTCTGCGTATTCTGTTTTGAACTTTGGTCATTTAGCTCAATTCCAATAGGAAAAGACTACACAATCAACCCTTGTAATAATATTTTAACTTGACATTTGTACAAGCCAATAGAAAAAGTTTGCGGGTAAACTGCAATACTACGTTCTTTCAACACCTGTAACTACAGAAGTCAAGAAATTAACCTAATCACCTCAAAGCAATTAGTCGCCCTCGTGCCTTTAAAACATGCAGCCTCTCAATCTGCTACAGAAACACAAAATAGACATCAATTTCAACTTAAACTCCTCTCCAGAAAACTCTGCCCAGAAAAAAAGAAGAAGCAATCTCACCTCGACAATGACATGGTCAAAGCGACCAACCATTTCTGCCCAGTCAAGTCTCAACCTCACCATGAAATTTGTACCTAATCTGCTAATAACCTAATGCAGTCAAAAGACTGACTAGGGTGTGTGTACATGGGACATGAACCAATGATCTCAGTCGTCCATTACACATAATGAATGACGGAGATCACACAGGAAGGTGAGCTTCTGACTTGCTGAATCTTAATCATCAGAAACTTTGAAGCAGCTTCTTTCGAGGGGGAACTTAATAAAGGACCACTCACAAGTTTCAGGTGAAAACCAAACATTCATGCACATCCTTGGAAAAAGATGGCTTCTTTCCTTCATCATCTTCTTCTTCTTCTTCTTCTCTTCTTCATCAACCCCCATTTCTGCACTGCAAACATCACCTTAACCTCATCACTAACAGCTGATGATGGAACCAACTCCATATGGGCATCACCATCTGGAGACTTCGCTTTCGGGTTCACCCAACTCAACAACCTCTTCCTGCTGTCAATCTGGTTCAACAAGATCCCCAGCAGGACAGTCGTCTGGTCAGCTAACCCCGAAAACCCGGTCCCCAAAGGTTCGAAGGTCCAGCTCAGCTCGAGCAGCCTCGGTCTAACCGATCCAGACGGGCAATTGGTGTGGGAAGCCAAACCAGCTGTTGGTTCACCACCCATATCCTATGCTTCCATGCTCGACTCCGGAAATTTCGTCCTTGTAAGTAACACTTCCACTTCTCCTGATGCTGGTTACTTATGGGAAAGCTTCAGAAATCCTACAGATACCATACTACCAAACCAAACCCTGAACTTGGGAAACACTCTATATGCCAAGCTGACAGAAACAAACTTCTCAAAGGGAAGATTCGCACTTCGATTCTCCAATGGAAGCCTCGATCTTCTCCCTGTAGCCCGCCCCGGGGATTCCTTCTACGATCGTTACTACACCAGTGGTACTTACAGCTCAAATCCTTCAGAAACGGGAAACCGTCTGGTCTTCAATGGGACGGCGCAGATTTACATAGTCAAGGGAAGCGGTGACGTGGCTCCGCTTCGCAGCTGGGATTTCGTGACTTACAGACAGGACTCTTATTACAGAGCTACCCTGGATTACAATGGTCTCTTCACTGAATACTCCCATCCAAGGAATTTCAATGCCGGTGGTGAGAATCCTTCATGGCTGCCTGTTCAATCAGTGCCTGACAACATCTGCCTGGCTTTCTTCCATGAGTATGGTGGTGGGCCATGTGGGTTCAATGGAATCTGCTCAATTGGGGACTCGAGCAGGCCTTCCTGCTCGTGTCCTCCCGGCTACGCGTCTGCAGATCCTGCAGACGCGTTGGCCGGATGCAGACCGAATTCCCCTCAGGGGTGCGGATTCGGGGTCCTCGACAATAATGTCGAGGATCCCCGAGAAGTTTACGAGATCAGGAAGGTCGACGGGGTCGACTTCCCGTTGAACGACTACGAGAAGCTGCAGCTTGACGACGAGTCCGTTTGCGAGGATTCGTGTATGAGGGACTGTGCTTGTGGGGTGGCGGTTTACGATGGAGTCCGGTGTTGGAAGAAGAGGTTGCCGTTGTCGAATGGGAGGGTATGGAACAATACTTTGGTTAGAGTAATGTTCAAGGTTAGGAAAGATGGAGTCACTACTTCTTCAGGGTTTCCTGAAGCAGGAGGTAGTAATGGGGGTAGAAGTAAGAAAGGTGTGTTGAGAGCATTACTAGGGAGTTCTGTGGCGATTAATGGAGTTATGTTGTTGTTTGGTTTAGGGTTTCTGATGAGATTGAAGAAAAGGAGAGTGGATTGGGTGAGGGAAGGAGTTGGAGGAGGGGGGATGGAGATGAGTGGTACTCTGCGTTCCTTCAGCTACAAGGAACTGGAAGAAGCCACGGATGGGTTTAGGGAAGAGCTTGGGAGAGGGTCGTTTGGGATTGTGTACAAAGGTGTATTGAGATCCGGAGGTGGTGGTTCATCTGGGGTTGCCGTGGCTGTCAAGAAACTGGACAAGCTGGCTCCAGAGAGGGAGAGAGAGTTCAAGACCGAGGTGAATGCAATAGGGAGAACCCATCACAAGAACCTGGTGACCTTGCTAGGTTACTGTGACCAAGCCTCCCACCGGCTCCTAATCTATGAGTACATGAGCAATGGCACGCTGGCAGGCTTCCTGTTCGCCCTCCCTAGACCCGAGTGGCACCATCGTGCACGAATCGCCCTGGGGATAGCCCGGGGGCTCGTGTACCTCCACGAGGAGTGCCAGGTGCCCATAATCCACTGCGACATCAAGCCCCATAACATCTTGCTTGATGATGGCATGACAGCTAGGATCTCGGATTTCGGGCTGGCCAAACTGTTGTTGTCTGATCACACGAGGACCAAGACCGTGATCCGGGGCACTAGAGGGTACGTGGCCCCCGAGTGGTTCAAGAACGTGGCGATCACTGCCAAGGTCGACGTCTACAGCTTCGGGGTCATGCTGCTCGAGATAGTGTGTTGCAGGAAGAGCGTTGAGATGGAGATGGAGGAAAGTGGGGAGGAAGAGAAGGCGATACTGACGGACTGGGCATACGATTGCTATGCCGTAGGCAGGATGGATCTGTTGGTGGGGAAAGAAGAGGCGGCGGCGGCGAGGGAGGATGGTGGGAGGTTGAAGAAGTGGGTGATGATTGCGTTGTGGTGTATTCAGGAGGATCCCTTGGTTAGGCCTACGATGAAGAGAGTGGTGGAAATGATGGAAGGTTATGTTGAGGTTCCTTTGTTGCCGTTTCCTTCAAGTTGCTCAACGTTGGGTGGTCATGGTTCTAGTGTTGGAGGGGATTCTAGCTGGGGTTGAAGCTCCAATTCTTTGTGCATGTGTTCATTATTAGTGTGAGAAATATGGCATGCTGCCTTAGTTTCAGTAGCCACAACTGGTTTATTTCTCATCGTCTCTGTTGCTATTTTTTGGTCATGCAAAAGGTAAGAGGTCTGCGTTTTTTACGCGATGTTACTGGAATCAGTAATTTGTTCTAGATTAGTTGTTGCCCATATTTGTATCATTGAGCTTTCTTGCTTAACCGTACTGCACTGCATAACAGCACCTAGTACATGGTTACAAGGATCAAGGAACCGTCATCATGGGGAACTGATCGACGAGTTCATGAGTAAGGGCACATTGAAAAAGGTTGGACATATTTTTTGCGATAGTGAATCTTGCCTTAGAAATTTCATGATTTTCCGGCATACAGGTCGATCTATCGGACGACATAATGTGATTGACTGCACCTCATCCGAACCTGGAGACTTGGTTATATATGGCGGCTTCATAACCTGTTTCCATTGAGCAAATGACAAGGGATGCGTTCTCGCCTGAATTAAAGGCTTCTTCCATGAACTGCACATGTTAAAAGATTACGTGTCACTAGCTTTGGACAGGGACGGAGAACTTGACCTGTACAGAGAGAGGACAAGCAAAGTCACCAGTAGTACCTCAGAGTAATCTTGCAGGAAAGACTTGCATCAGAGAACTGTACATAAATTACAGCAAGGGACAAGAAACAACCCAGGATAGCAACATTTAACCTCATCTGGGTAAGCTTACGATGGTTTCGTAACCACAACAGCTCTGCAGACAGAGTGCGAGAAGAAAAGGCACGATACTGGAACACAGGAGCCTGAAGGAAGGAAGACATCCTGACATAACCAACAATCTGCAGGCGGCTGTAATGTAAAGCCTGCCACTTCTGCAAGGAAAACAGGCAGTGTAACAAAAAAAGTGAAAAGCAAACTCAGTCACCATTTCCTCCTTGCCTACATTATCTGACCAATACAGCACATCCACAAGAAAGAACAAGAACGAACTTTGGTGGGGAATGAGAGAGGACCAACCATTTTTAAGATTTTAGATCTCCACAATTGCTCCACCTCAGCATTTGCTCAATGGAAACAATGGCAATGCAACGAGATATTGGAGTCTTTGCATTTCAGAGATGTGACGGGGATAGCCTGTCCCACAGCAAGTCAGGGTCAATCATCATCGCAGCAGCCTTCCTGGAAAACCACAAAAAACTGGAATCACAAAACTAGTAGAATCTAAGCAATTTTATGCAAGATTTCGCGCTTCAAATCCGCACATAAGCCAAATGGATAGCCTTTCAACATAAGCGCTACCGATAACTCTGTGTTTTCCGTGGTGAGATTCAAACATGCTCTGGTGCCTCTTTCCGACTGCCTATCTACTAAAGTTTACTAACGTTAGTCAACAAGGCTGCAATTGAGGTGGCTGAGGCACGAGACTCATATGATATAGTCCAGTGTGTCTCCTGTCATGCCTCGATTCTTTTCTTCCCAATCAAGGATTTTATTTTTATTCGTTTGATTCTACGAAATACTCTATCAGGACTATATTTCCAAGGAAGGAATTGAAGGAAACAACGAGAAACATATTAGCATGAGTTTTTTTCAGTCATCAAAGACTTCTATTATATCTGGAAGAGAAATATAGAGGCTTTATTTTATATAATCACTGCTTGTTTAATAGAGCTAATGTCTAAATGGTCAAGGAGCAGTTTACCAGCGTCTGAGTATGTTGACGTTTTGTTTTCTCGGAGTAGATCGATCAATCAAGTTTCCGCAGCCACTGATGTCTATGCTTTCCAGTTGCTTCAAACCAGATAAGTCGCCTGCTGGCAATCTTTGCAAGGATGTGCAGCCACTGAGCTTTAGGCGCTCAAGAGATTTCAACGCAGCAAGTCCCTCAATCTCCTGCAGATTTGGAGCATCAGTGATAGTTAACCTCTTCAAGTTTCGGAGCTTTGACAGAAAAGGTAGTTCCCACATTGAGGCCCAGCCACCCAAAATCAGTTCATCGAGCTCTTCCATAGACTCAACCCACTCCAAGGGTAATTCCACATCTACATTATCAACCCCCATCATCATAAGTCTCAATGTCAGAAGGCTAGGGAGCTGTGACAGCTGAAGCATCCGGCACAATATCTGCACAAATGATGAGGTCCCACTGATGGACAGATATCGTAAAGAGTAGAGTACAGCTGGTAACTGGCAGTTGCTACAGCCACCATCACCACCACCATCAAGGTCGGGGAATGACAGTGATGTGAGAAGAGGGCAGTTGGTTATGGTTAAAGTTTCTAACTTGTTAAAGGACAAGAGAGCTCCAAAGCCAAGGAGACGAGTTAAACTCTGTGCACTATCAATCCTGAGAAGCTGCAACATTTTCAGTCCTCCAAGCCCTTGGATTTCTGCAACAAGAGGGCAAGAGCATGCAATTAACTCACGTAACTTGCTCAAAGACGCAAGGCTGGGTAGTCTTTCCAATGCCTCGCATTCCGAAACGCTCAACTTAGTCAAAGAATGGAGACTGTCAAGACCCGGGATCTCTTTAATCAGGGGACAGAAGGAGATTACTAATAGAGTCAAGTTCTCCAGGTTCTCTAGTCTTGGGAGCCACTCCAATTCCCGACACTCCAAGATGTGGAGGGTGGTTAGCGATGATGGAAGCAACAACTTAGTTGGGAGAGTCAACTTTGTTCTCGTTAGCCTGAGAGACTTCAATTTGGATAACTTCCACCACGTATTGCTATCAGTGTCTGCTGGCGGGATTTCAAGCCCATACCTACCACAATCTTCAACTGTCAGTTCCTCCAATTCTCTCAGCTCTGGAAGATTAGCAACCGGAGAGGAAGTCAGTAGCACCTTCAAACTTGTGGGAAGCTTAGACCCCAACAGCAAATTCTCTCTACGCAATACAAATCGTCCCAGAGTATATTTCACGTCTACTCTCAAGACATCAAGAAACTGCAACTTCCCAATATCAGCAAGCACTTCTCTTGGATTCTTTTCACAATAAACATTTTTTAGTTCAAGCTCAGAAAGTCCTTTCAACATCCCAATGGTTCCGCCCCTAATCTCCCTCACCTTACAACTCCGTAGGCGTAACTCTTTTAGGCTCCTCAAATTCCCAATATCCAGGTCCTTCGGAAACAATAAACTGCCGAAATGAAGAAGATGTAAAATCTCTAGGCTCTGGGATTCAGGGAACTCAGGAATGCGGGTCAGGCCATAATGACCAAAAACTTTCAGAACTTTCAGCTTGTGTGCCATCTGCTTGCCCAAGTTAAACAGAGGAAGAAAGACAAAAGTCATGTGCCACAGTTTCTTAGTATTTATCAAGACATAAGACCATTGGATGCGTTTGAGTTTAGAATGGTTTTTCAGAAACACAAGTCTACGGAAATGTTAATTCCATGTTCCACGAAAACATCAAACCTTGATTTCTATTGTTTTCTTTTTTAAACAAAGCATTGTGGATGGAGTAAGGTCATACCTTGATATGCGTCAACCCTCCCCAATCATCGATTACTGGGCTTAAGAGTTGAAGAATCACCAAGGTTTTCATACAAAACTTAGGCAGAACCTCACCAGTTCCAATCTTCAATTGAAGCCATCTTAAATTTGGAAGATAATTGCTAAAATCGCCAGTGAGCCTCTTCACATTTACATCAAGATATCTTAATTCTGATAAATTCATAAAGCATTCCTTCTCAAGCTCCTCCACAACACCATTTAATCTAGTGCCCTCGACCCGGTTTGTTCCCTGCGAAAACAAATCAACAACTCAAAAACTAAAAGGGAGGATAGTCAAAGTTGAAGACGTTTATGATGATGTTGAACATGTCTGTAGTTGTTTCACCTCACTAGAAATGAAACAAGTTGTGAAGTTCAGGTATTCATTTCCAAAGAATCGAAGATTAGTGGTTCACTTGAGAGAAAGGACCATAATCAGAAGCCAAAACATCATTAACCCTGAAGTATACATTTTATTTAACATATAATTATATATATCTGCAGCAAATGGACACATATAACAGATCATTCAAATGAGACATGTGGAACATACCTTTCTGTTACGTAACATGTCTAAAGCTATCTGCTTCGACCATATTCTACTTCTCTGCCATGGATGCTTCATATTTTCTTTCCTTACGATCTCTCTACCCATATCCCTGAGTTGATCATGCATCTCGAACTCATTATCATCCCCAATTTCAATCATCGACCTTTGAATGAGGATATTGATATTGATTATTGGGAAAAAACTACAACCACTCCACATGTAAGAAGGAATCTTGGTCTCCATTCCAATGAAGAAACAAGCAATATCCAAGAAAATCTCTTTCGCCTCATTATTTAGTGCATCATAGCTTATTTTCAACCTTTCTGCAACCTTTTCCTCAGGAATTTCTTTTAGTTGCTTTAGTTTTTCTTTCCAAATAAGATCCTCCTCTCCATATAAAAGTGAGCCTACCAATTTGAGTGTCAATGGAAGTCCAGCTGCAACTGATACAATATCTCTCGACAAAGTCTGATAACTTGATGGAGGAGAGTCCTTTCTGAAAGCGAACTTGCAGAAGAGTTGAAGTGCGTGAGGATTACTCATCTCTCGAACTCTATATAACTTGGATTCTTCAGTCAGAGTACTCAAGACTTTTACGTTTCTAGAAGTAATGATAAATCTACTTCCCGAGAGATTATCCTCAGTTTTTCCCAATATCTCGTTGAATTCAAACTCCTCATCCACGTCATCGAGCACAATAAGAAATTTAAAACGAGAAATTCTATCTTTCAGAATTCTGATTCCTTCACCAACATTGGCAATGGATTCGACATATTGTGTTCTTAAAATGTCTGAGATGATATGCTTCTGCAGAATCATAACACCATCCTTTTGTTGTAGCATTTCCCTTATATTTTCGACAAAGCTACAACGATCAAATTGACCAGACACTTTGTCATATACAGCCTTAGCAATAGTGGTCTTACCGACACCACCAATGCCGTGAATCCCAACAATTGTCACGCCTCCAGAGTCTAGAGTCATTCTTTCTTTTACTGTTTCTGTGTGACTATCAATACCAATCAACTTATCTGTCTCTATTATATAGTTCTTCTTGCTTAGATGTGACCATACATCGCCAGTGACAAGATCTGCTATAGCTCCTTGCCTGGAAGAATATGGTTTTCAATGATATCAACCACAGTATAAGACAAACTAATGAATGAAGAACAAATAAGGGTACATCTACCATGCACCTAGAGTTTCAACTAATACAATATATTATTGTCAAATGAATATATTATGAGTTTGTAAATCTCAACTAATGATTTGTATACTTTCATTTGAAAGGTCTAGAAACCATTTGCTAATATTTACAAGCTCACTATACCAATCGACAAATAGCAATATTTTTCGAAGTTAATATGAAATGTCATTTGATTTTACTCCCAACTTAAACAATAATGGTCGAAAGCAGTAATTTTAACTACATTGATGGAGAAAAAAATCCAAGGATATCAAAGGAATTAAGCAATAGAGAGAAATGGGAGAAGGACAATTAAATTGGTCAAGAATACAATAAAACATGGGGGGGGGGGGGGGGGGGGGGGGGGGTGAGGTTACGTACTCATTATTGCTTTTGATGTGCCATCCTTTCTCACCTCCAACCTTGCTCATTGCATCTTTCCATACCTGTATGGTCTTTTCATCGAAATTCTTCTTGTGTTGTTGGAATGCCTTCTTGAAAGGCCCAGTTTGATGTCGAACATCTTTCGGATCCACCATGTAAAAAATGGGGAGCATGATGCATCCCTTGTCTTGCTCTTTCCGCTCAACAATAGCGGCAAGCTCTTTAAGACACCATTTGCTATTAGCATAATTCTTTGACAAGATGGGAACAAAAATCTTGGATTGCTCAATAGCCTTGACGAGACTTGGCCAGATCCCTTCTCCTTTCCGAAGCTCGTCGTCATCTTTGAATGTGTGGATTTTCAAGTTCACTAGAAACCGGTAGAGGATATCAGTAATTTGATGACGGGTGTCTGGACCTCTGAAACTCAGAAACACTTCGTATTCTCCTGTTGGCAGGGGCAGCGAACCGGAATCCTTTTCTGGAGAGGCATCGTCAATACTGTTCGAGGCGCCGGAACTTCTACTTCCCGTCCATAGCTTGTGCAGGAGAATAAGGGGAAGCACCAATGCAGCCGCTGTCAAAGCTCCACTACCCATTTCTTCATTACAAATGATAAAGTTAGAACTTACGCCAGTCCATCCTGAGTCAATAATCTATATGGCAACACTGTAAACTACTCTGATCCTATGTTTGATTTGATATATATATATATATTTTTTTAGTTAATAATACTTGTCAGAAACAATGAGGGCTTAAACGAAAAACTGAAATAGTTCAAGCATGAAAATGAGGAATGAAAAAAATTCTAGGACTGGGTGGTCTGGCGAAATCGAAGCAGGAAGATTTCGAAGGATCGGAGCACGAATCGAGAATCCGACAATTACAGAGCAGAGGAGGGGAAAGAAAGATAGAATCTTACAGGACGCCGCTCAAGCATAGGAACTGGGGAAAGAATCCGGAAGCGAGACAGAGAGAGGAGAGCGTCCGATATCGGCTGCTTCTGCAAATTCTTGAAATGGATTAGTTGAAATGAAGAAAGGAACGAAACAGGCGACTGGGGGGAAGAGAGGGAAGGCGCCGTTGACTTACGAGTGGAGAAATGAGAATGGAGAGTGCAGCTTGGAATGGAAACAGATAAGATATAACCCGGGTCCGGCACACCGATATCTAACATCAATACATTATACACCACTCATAATCCAATCAAATTTCGGGCCAAAAAATCGAATTCCAATGTCGAAATATAGAGTTTCTTTTTTGTCATAATCAAAATATAGAATAATTAGTATAAATGGATCATAATGCATTTTGTATAAAATGATCACAAAAGTCAATTGTACACGAATTGGATTAGCATAAGATATAATGAGTAACAAAATATACTTTCGTCTATTGACATCCAAATTCTTGTTAAATTATCCGGTCATCATTAGCAATGGCTGGACGGTTGTTTGACGAGATTGATGACCCTTTCTTGATGGAACTGCTGGCGCTTAGGGAGGTAATGTGTTGGTTTATGTTGAGTGGTATTACGAAGGTAGCTTTTGCCGAGGATACTAAGGTGGTCCTAGATAAGGTGTGTGATGAAATCATCACGGATGTTAGAGGGAGGAGCCATTCTGACGGACATAGCTTTGCCTCGGGGCCATTTTTCAGGGGTTTGGTGTGTATTTTTTATGGTCGTTTTAGTAATATGATTGTCCATTTGATGGGGAAAAAAACCCTTTGGTGGAGATAATAAGTTTGATCACATTAGTTGTTGGCTTGTTGCTAGGGCTGGCTATTTGGTCCGGGTTTGTTTTACCCGAAACCGGACCGTATAACCCAGAGCGAGACCGGATCGGGACCGGATAGTAAACAATCCAATCCAATCTTTGGGCTTAGATTTGAGGTAAAAAACGGTTTGGGACCGGATCGAAAACTGGAAATAGACCGGATAAGAAAGCTCAACACTCAAAACTTAAGGATAATTTGCATAAATGGTCACAAACCTTTGCACTTAGTACAAAACTTAACAAACTCTTAGTACAAAACTTAACAAACTCCTCACCCTTTCGGGCCTTAGGCCACTCAAATCCCCACAAGCTCAATATAAAATCAAGACCGAATTGGGATCGATATAAAATCAAGACTGAATTGGGATCGGACCGAGTCAAGACCGGATTGTATCCAATCCAATCTTTGGTCCTTATATTTTCAAAAAGACCGGACTGAACCGGATCAATTTGGGCCAATTTAACCTGTAGCCACCCCTACTTGTTGCCCACATTTGTATCATTGAACTTTTTTTTCTCTTCAACACTATTGCTCTGCGTACCAGCACCTAGCACAAGGTTACAACTTAAAATGGGATCAAGGAACCGTCGTCATGGGGACTCAAAATGGGAACTGATCGACGAGTTCATGAGTAATGGCACACCGACAAAGGTTGGACAAATTTTCGTGCTTGTAAAGCCTGCCTGAGAAATTTCATGATTTTCCGGCATATAGGTCGGTCTATCGGACAATGTGCTTGACTATATACTGCAGAGAGAGGACCAGCCCAGCCATGCCCTGAGTTCAGAATAGGTTTACATCAGGGGCCTGTACTCAAAGTAGAGCAAGGGACAAGAAAACAAGTCCAAATAGGCAAACATCACAGAAACAACCCAGGATAACAATTTCTAACCTCATCTGGGCTAAGCTTATGACGGCTACATAATCACAACAGCACTGCAGAAGGAGCACGAGAATGAAAAGGCACGATCCTGGAACACAGGAGCCTGAAGCAAGGAGGGAAGACATCCTGGCACAGGGCCAACAATCTGCAGGCGGCTGTAATGTAAAGCCTGCCAGATCTGCATGAAAAACAGGCAGTGTAACAAAAAAGTGAACCGCAAACTCAGTCAGCTGCTGCAAGATACACAATACCAATTAGGAATCACTACCAAACAGCAATACAGCCCAGCCACAAGAAACAACAAGAACAAACTTTGGTGCGGGATAAGAGAGGACCAACCATTTTGAAAGATTATTATTTTCACAATGCCTCCACCTCGGCATTTGCTCGCAAGCAACATGGGCACGACAACAATAAAACAACGAGATATTAGAGCCTTTGCTCAATTTAGGGATATTATGCAGATGGCCTGTCCCACAGCATGTCCGGGTCGAGCATCGTCACAACAGCCTCCCTGAAAAACCACAAAAATCTGGAATCACAAAGTAGTACAATCGTGGTAATTTTAGGCAAAATTTCTTGCTTTCCACACAAAATCCAAATGGATGACCTTTCAAATATGAGAAAGGTCCCAAATTCGAATATGGTCAAGCCTCCATTCTTCTCTTCCCTGTCAATGATTTTACTTTTTATTTCTTCAATTTTAAGGAATATCTTATCCGAACTTTTTATTCCGAGCCAGATGTATAAGGTAAGGTAATAGCAAGAAACATATGAGCATGAGTTTCTCAGTCATCAAAGATTTTTAGTATATCTGGAAGAGAAATTAGAGAGTTGATATATAAAATCACTGCCTCCTTGGTAGAGCTAATGGCTGAGTAGTCAAGGAAGGAGAAGCAGAAGGTTACCAGCGTATGAGTGCAGTGAGGTTTGTTTTTCTCGGAGTAAATTGATCAGCCAAATTTGCGCAGTCACTGATGTCTATGCTTTGCAACTGTTTCAAACTAGACAAGTCGTCTTCTGGCAATCTTTGCAAGGATGTGCACCCAGTAAGCTTTAGGTGTTCCAGAGATTTCAAACCAGCAAGTCCCTCAATCTCCTGTAGGTTTGGAGCACCAGCGATAGTTAACTTCTTCAAGTTTCGGAGCTTTGACAGAAAAAGTAGTTTCCAAACTGAGACCAAGCCACTCAAAGTCAGTTCAGCTAGCTCTTCCATAGATCCAATCCACTCCAGGGGTAACTCCACATCTACATTATCAATCCCCATCACCTTAAGACTGAATGTCAGAAGGCTAGGGAACTGAGCCAGCTGAAGCATCCGGCACAAGATATCCAGAACTAACATGGTTCCGCTGATGGACAGATATCGTAAAGAGCAGAGTACAGCTGTTAGCTGGCAGTCACCGCAGCCATCATCACCATCATCAAGGTCATGGAATGACAGTGATGTGAGAAGAGGGCAGTTGGTTATGGTTATGGTTTCTAACTTGTTAAAAAACAAGAGGTTTCCAAAGCCAAGGAGACGGGTTAAATTATCTGCACTATCAATGGTAAGATGTTGCAACGATTTCAGCCCTCCAAGCCCTTGGATCTCTATGACAAGAGGGCAAGCGGATGTAAATAACTCATCCAACTTGCTCAGAGACGCTAGGCTGGGTAGCCTTTCCAATGCCTTGCATCCCACAAGGCTCAACTTAGTCAAAGAAAGGAGACTTCCAAGACCCGGGATCTCTTTAATCAGGGGACAAGATGAGATTATTAATTGAGTCAAGTTCTCCAGGTTCTCTAAACTAGGGAGCCAATCCAATTCCTGACACTCCAAGATGTGGAGAGTGGTTAGAGACGATGGAAGCAACAGCCTAGTTGGGAGAGACAACTTTGTTCTCTTGATCTTGAGAGACATCAATTTGGATAACTTCCACCACATATTACTATCACCGTCGGCTGGCGGGAGCTCAAGCCCAAATGTGTCACAATCTTCAACTGTCATTTCCTCCAAGTCCAGCAGCTCTGGAAGGTTAGCAACAGGAGATGAGGTACGTAACACCTTCAAACTTGTTGGAAGCTTAATCCCCAACAACAAATTCCTCCAGGGGAATAAATATTCTGCCCCACCATTTTTCACGTCTACTCTCAAAATTTCAAGAAACTGCAGGACCCCAATATCAGCAAGCACTTCTCTTAGATTCTTCCTACAATAGAAATCTCTGAACTCAAGCACTCGAAGCCTTTTCAACATGCCGATGGTTCCGCCCCTAATCTTCCTTACCTTACAACTCCGCAACTGTAGCTCATTTAGGTTCCTTAGGTTCCCAATATCAAGGTCCTTAGGTGACGACATACTGCCAAAATATAGAAGATGTAATATCTCTAGGCTCTGGGATTGAGGAAACTCAGGAAAGGCAGTCAGGCCATAGTGACCAAAAACTTTCAGAACTTTCAGCTTGTTTGCCATCTGCTTGCACAAGTTAAACGAAAGAAAGGAATAAAATAAGAAAAGAAGACATGTACCACATGAGTTGTTTAAGTGTTAATCAAGAAATAAGATTAATGGATGTGTCTAAGTTTGGATTGGGGAAAAAACTTGTACAGTGCACATTTTTTCAATCTAAACTGGAAAAACTATTTATGGCTAGCCTCATAAATTATTCAAAACTAAAAACCATAACAACTAAAACAATTTTGCTTTCAAGTACGTCTCTTGTAAAAATATGTTATTTGTGAATTTGAGCGGTAGTCCATAAACTCCTCACTAGCACTCTTTTTTTGCCAAAAGCTCATTTGTATAACCAAGATATACAAGAATCACAAACTGAGAATTAAAACCTCCCCGACATAATTCCCTTCATCTTCTTCTACAACTTTAAGCAATAGTTTCTACATTAGGAAGAGGCTAAACATATTTCTTTTTTCTTTTTCTAACGAAGCTGTATGGATTGAGTAACAGATCATACCTTGATATGCATCAAACTTCCCCAATCATCTTTCATTGGGCTTAAGAGTTCAAGAACAACCAAGTTTTCCATAGAAAACTTAGGAAGAACCTCACCAGTTCTAATCTTCAATTGAAGCCATCTTAAGTTTGGAAGGTACATGCTACAGTCACCTGTAAGACTCTTCACTTTTGCATCAAGGTATCTTAATTCTGATAAATTCATAAAGCATTCCTTCCCAAGTTCCTCCGCAAATTCATTTAATCTAATGCCCTCAACTAGGTTTGTTCCCTGCAAGATAGAACTCAGCAACTCAAAAACAGAAATGGTGAAGAATGAAAGCAGAAAATGCTCCCCAAGGTGTTAATCATGTTTGTCCTTTGTAGTTGTTTCCCCTCACTAAAATTAAAAGAAGATGTGAAGTTCAGAAATCCATTTGAAATGGATCAAAGATTAGGGATTCGCTTAAGAAAAGTACTAAAATTGAAAGAAGATGTGAAGTTCAGGAATCCATTTCAAATGAAACAAAGATTAGAGATTCACTTAAGAAAAATATCAAAATCCAGAAGATGTGGAAAATACCTTTCTATTACGTAACATGTCCAAAGCTATCTGTTTCGACCATATTCTGCTTCTCTTCCATGGATGCTTCGTATTTTCTTTACGAACAATTTCCCTACCCATATCCCTGAGCTGATCATGCATCTTGAACTTATTATCCTCCCCAATATCAATCATAGACCTTTGAATGAGAATATTAATATTAATTGTTGGAAAAAAACTACAATCACTCCACATATACGAAGGAAACTTTGTATCCATTCCAATGAAGAAACAAGCAATATCCAAGAAAATCTCTTTTGCCTCGTCATTTAATGCGTCATAGCTTATCTTCAACCTTTCTGCAACCTTTTCCTCGGGAGTCCTCTTTAGTTGCTTCAGTTTTTCTTCCCAAATATATTTATCCTCTCCGAATAAAAGTGACCCTACCACCTTGACTGTCAAAGGAAGTCCTGCTGCAACAGCCACGATATCTTTCGACAAAGTCTCATGACTTGATGGGGGAGAATCCTTTCTGAAAGCATACTTGGAGAAGAGTTGAAGTGCGTGAGCATGATTCATCTCGCGAACTCTATATAGCTTGGATTCTTCCGTTAAAGTACCCAAGACTTTTATGTCTCTGGAAGTAACGATAAATCTACTTCCCGAGACATTATGCTCTATTTTTCCAAATATCTCACTGAATCCAAATTCCTCATCCACATCATCGAGCACAATAAGAAATTTGAAACAAGAAATTCTATCTTTCAGAATTCTCAATCCTTCTCCAATATTGACAATGGAGTCGGCATATCGCGTTCTCATAATGTCTGAGATGATATGCTTCTGCAAATTGACAACACCGTCTTTTTGTTGTAGCCTTCCCCGTATATTTTCCACAAAGCTACAACGATCAAATTGAGCAGCCACTTTGTCATAAACGGCCTTTGCAATAGTGGTCTTACCAATACCACCAATACCGTGAATGCCAACAATTGTCACACCCCCGGAGTCGAGAGTCATTCTTTCTTTTATTGCATCTGTGTGATGATCAATACCAATCAGATGATCAGTGTCTATTACAGAATAGGTCTTGCTTAAATGTGACCATATATTGCCAGTAATAAGATCTGCTGTAGCTCCCTGCCTGGAAAATATGGTTTTCAATGATATCAACCACATTATAAGACAAACTAATAATGGTCAAAACATTCATTTATTTTTACTTTCAGTTATGAAGGAACAAGTTAAAGGAGATCAAGGGAATTAAGAAGAGAAGAAAGGGATAAAAACTACAATTAAATTAGTGAAGAATGTAATAAAACGCAGGGTGAGGTTGCGTACTCATCATTGCTTTTGATGTGCCATCCTTCCAAAGCTCCAACCTTGGCCATAGCATCTTTCCATACCTGTCTTGTCTTTTCATCAAACTTCTTCTCATGTTGTTGAAATGCTTTCTCGAATGGCCCAGTTTGACACCGTACATCTCTCGGATCCACCAAGTAAAAAATGGGGAGTATGATGCAACCCTTCTCTTGCTCTTTCCGCTCGACAAATGCGGCAAGCTCTCCAAGGCACCATTTGCTATGAGCATAGTTCTCTGAGAAGATGGCAACAAAAATCTTGGACTGCTCAATAGCCTTGACGAGACTGGGCGGGAACGCTTCTCCTTTCGGAATCTCCTCATAATCCTTGAATGTGCGAATTTTCAAGTTAACAAGGAACCGGTAGAGAATATCAGTAATTTGATGGCGAGTGTCCGGGCCTCTGAAGTTCAAGAACACCTCATATTCCCCAATGGGCAGGGGGAGCGAACTAGAACCCTTTTCTGGAGAGGCATCCTCAATAGTTTCTGAAGCGCTGGAACTTCTTCTTCCCGACCATAGCCTGTGCAGGAGAATAGGTGGAAGCACCAATCCAGCCGTTGCCAAAACTCCTCTATTCATCTCTTCACAAGAAACGATAAAATTACGTCAATCCATCCTGAACAAATACCATACACTGCAAGCCTGTAAATACACTAAAGCTATGTTTGGTTCCCCTTGTATTTCGAGTGAAAATTGTGCAAAGAAAAACCCCACTCTTTCTACCCCAAGTATTTGAGATTTGAATCACTTTGATGCATTTGAGATTCCATGTGCATGCAATTCCAAATGCACTCAAAACACATAAGCAATGTCACAACAAAATGACATACTTGTCCAACTGCATGCTAATGCAAATCTCACCTTCCCAAACAAACACACACAACCAAAAGCCCAGTTAGTTCTTGTACAGACGCTTGCTTGATTATTTCCTTTCAAGGGGGTAGCTGCACCAATGTCAATGATTATATGATCTGAACTGTACGAAGGATGAGAAAAACAGAGGAGCATGCAAAATCAGGAACAATGAGGGCCTAAACGAAACACTGAAATAGTTGAAGCATGAAAACGAAGGATGATAAAATTCCAGAACTGAGAGGTCTCTCGAACGCGAAGCATGAAATTTTCGAAGTATCGCGAAATTGAAATCGTTCGTCCACTTCCAATTACTAATTCAGACAGTGGGGAAAGAAAGATGTAATATTCTTACAGGGATTTTGGTTGATGCACGGGCGACCACTCAAGCGGATGAGGGAAAAACAATCCGGAAGCGAGTTGGAGAGAGAGCGCTGCTTCTGCAAATTCTTGAAATGGAGGAGAAATTGAAGAAGAAAGAAACGACGCCAACGACTGGTTGGGAAGGAAGATTAACATTGACTTGAGACTTGAGAGTGGAGACTGAAGCTCTGCCTTGGATTTTTTCCGCTGTTTTTATTTGACTCCAATTATTTGTACTTGTGTAGCTAACCGCGATTGCACTTTATGCTGTTAGCGTTTACCATTAACGGCATAATGCGGGTAGTAATTATTCTTTTTTTTATTATTATTTCTGAGTGATATCAATGGAAGAAAATAGTTAAACTTACAATTCTCTCCAGGACCCTTAACAGAATCTAAAAAAGTCACCCAAAAAATTAAAAGATTCTAGTTCTACACGAGACAAAAGCAGTGCTTTACGCGCCACTCTATGGGCAGAACTGTTGGCGGATCTAGGTACCGCCCTAAACTCTATACAAACAGATAAAGAGCTAGGGATCTGAAGACACTATCGTAGCACCGGACCTCCAATCGAGTCTTCAATGGCGCCTTGACGGATTTGGTTGACCACCACTTCAAAATCACCTTCGACTATCAAGTGGGTCAAGGATCTTGAGGCTACGATGGAGATAGCGTCTCTAAAAGCTAGAAGCTCTGCCAGATAAGGATTGACTATTCCTTGATGCTGCACCTCCAATCGAGTCTTCAATGGCGCCTTGACGGATTTGGTTGACCACCACTTCAGAATCACCTTCGACTATCAAGTGGGCCAAGGATCTTGAGGCTACGATGGAGATAGCGTCTCTAAAAGCTAGAAGCTCTGCCAGATAAGGATTGACTATTCCTTGATGCTGCAGTCCGAGCGCCAGCACCACATGCCCGTCTGACCCACGAATAACAAGCCAGACGAACAACCGGTGGCACAAACAGCTGCGTAGACGTTGATCTTCAAAAAGTCTTCTGGTGGAGGGACTCAAGTGGTGGCAGGATGATTTGGGATAAGAGAGCTGCGGGGCGGAGGAGGAAGGAGAAGATTGGAAAATTCGAGGACCTGGTTGTAGAACTGTCTGGCTAGGGAACAGACATGAGGTTGGAAAAATTCGAAGGTCACTTTATTTCTAGACTTCCAGATTCTCCAAAATAAACAAACGTATTTGATAATGTGGAATGGGGAGGTCTCGGAGACCATGACATGTCGCCACCATAGACTAAAGCTAACAGTCTGGGCGGTCTCAATAAAGTTGCTCAATCCCACTAAAGTCCACAATCTGGTGGCTAGGGGGCATCTGAAGAATAAATGTTCAATGCTTTCTCGATGTCTCAAGCAGACAGGGCATCGGTTGAGACAGTAACAAAAAACTAACTCAAAAAAATGACAAACCAAATTATCACTCACCAACATGAATAAATAAGGCTAATATAACTACAACACTCGAACAGTCGAACTATAAAAAAAAATTATTTGTGTCCTATTTTATTCAATATTTCATTCTTCTCCTGAACTTTTTTCTGTTAGTGTTGACCGTTAGCATTTAGCAGAAAGTTTAGCCAGCGTCGTCATTATGGCATCATAAGCAAAATTTTAAAAACATTTTTTATTTGTTTTTCATGTCACTTAACCGGGAGAGAGGTTTTGGTGGGTGTTATAGCAAGTCAGATTTCGAGGGCAAAGACTTTGGTTTGATTTGAAATCATTTTTGCTAAAAAATGTGTAAATAAGAATTTAAATGATAAAAAGAACATTAGAAACTAGCTTAACAAGCCACCAAGTCAAGTTGGATCATGAGTTTATCAAGCTGAGCATGGACTAGCTTAAACTTAGCTCGTTTACTAACAAATCACCTTGTGAATTGACTTGTTAAACAACGAGTCAAGTACCAAACAAATTTTTTTTATTCGAATACCGAGTTGCTCGTGAGCGGATTGACTCGTTTGCAACCCTAGTTGAAATCCTGTGCAAAAGATAGGCAACCTACTTTAGCTGAATGATTAAGAAAGTTTTATGCTCAGCGGCTTGGATGCGAAGCTAGTGAAATTATTTTACCTAGATTAAAAGAAATGATTTCAACAAATTTGTAACACCCGGCACCCAACTAAGTAAAAAATCTCCAAATTGCCCTCCCAATTCATTTACCCTAACCCTACTCAATTCTCCTCTCTCGGTTCCTTTTCTAATCTATATATTTAACTAAAATTAAAGAAGGAAGAAAGAGCTAAAACCTAAAGCCAAAACTCCAAAAGAAAGCAGTCGCCGCAACCGGCGGGAGCGGAGGCAAGAAAGAGTACTCCTCCGCGACCTGAACCAGCAGCGACGACCAGGATAGCCTCGAACAGAGGCAAGAGCCAACCTCAATTTCTGCCTCGCACAGTCGCACGCCAACACCTTCCCGCGCCGCATCCGCATTGTCGTTCCGTTGTCCCCACCTCGTCTGATCGCGTCCCAGGAGTGTCAACAGCGGCGATGGAAGGAACATAGACGTCAGCCGCCGAACTCATCCTCTCCCCGATCGACCCAACCAACACCCTCGAATTCCGTCCTTCTCCTTGAACTCCAGTGTTTCGACGCCGACGTAGCGGGGGGTTGAACGACGTTCAAGCAAGGGACGAGAACCGGTTCAGGTGGCGAGTACAACAAGTCAAGCAAGACCACCATGGAACCAGCACAAGCAAAAGGGAAATGAGGGAGAAAGGGGACCCATGGATGCAAGAGAGAACCCGAGAACTCGACGAAGGTGACCAGGGTTAGAGTCGGCGTCGACTCCGACGTCAGTGGGGTGAAGGACAATGCGTAGCTGATGGTGAGACCCCGCACCTATCCACCTAAACGTCCGAGAGTTTGGGCGACACGACGTTGGCCTCCGATGTGTGGCCCACGACTTGGAATTGAAATCAATGGTGGCGACGGACCTCTGACAATCACAATCCCTGGAGTGTTGCTGTCCGATGAGGAGGAAGGGGGAGAACGAGCGTGTCCTTCCCGAAGTCTCACCCCGTAAGTGAGGGAGAATTCGTATCCCTGGAGGAGTTGCTGGAGCCGAGCAAGAAACTCGCCAAGAGGGATTTGCTATCATCGACGACAGGTCGTGAACCAAACACCGGTGATGTGGCGGTTAAGCCAATTTGATCAGGTACGTGGTTAAAGGGGGTTAGAGTAGTTTCCGTTATCATGCATTTAAGTTTATGTATGCATTTCACTTCTTGCTTTATGTTCAGTTATTCGTTACATGTTTCTTGGTTAAGTTAAGCTCTTTATGTTCAACATTTACTTTACGTATGCATAGCATCATCGAGCATAAGTAAACTGTGTATGAGTCAAGCTACTACAAGTTCAACTACAAGCTAATTAAGTGCAAGTTAACAAGTTTAGATCTTCCCATTGTATGGGAGAGCACCAAGCTTTTCAGGCATGCAATCAAGCGTAAGAACTATCAAGTTAATAAGTACGAATAAGTAAGAACACGTTTAATCTTCACTTAGCTAGCTACGTGCGCGATCACCTCCCTTCCCATTGTGAGGAAGTATTTATCAAGTTTATCAGGTTCTCTTTCCACTATGAGGAAGTATTTATCAAGTTTATCAGGCTCTCTTCCCACTGTGAGGAAGTATTTATCAGGCTCCCTTCCCATTGTGAGGAAGTATTTATCACGTTATCAAGTTTATCACGATTATCAAGTTTTGGTGGTCGGACGGTTGTGCTAGTTAAGTCGAGAGTGGGATCCCATTTCAAGTTAAGTAAGAAGAAAATACTATCAGTAAGAATATGTTAATAATAATGTACTTCTACTAATGTACTCAATAACGTACCCAAGGCTTTGCATGTGCATAATTATGTGTTAATGGTTGATAACAAAATTAGGACTAGGACTGACCCCATCGCCCGCATTCAGGAATTGTAGAAGCTCTAGAGTATGCTAGAAGTTCGCAGTTCGTGACAAGGATCAATGGACCTAGAGAACTCCAGTACGAAGTTTCTAATCTCGTGTATTAGTAGGGCTCGAGACTTGATGCACATTTATTAAAGATGTTTATGATTTTCTCTTATGAAAATTTCAAGAAATTGTTATTTGAATTTCAACGTATTTATTATGGATATTTAAAATAAAGTATCCCGCTAATTTTCCCAGTCTGTTTGGTTCTTATTTTGGTTAACGGTTTATCAAGGGCATTTTGGTAATAGCAGTACCCGACGCCGCCGGGGTGGAAATTGATACGGTATCGGTATCCCAATACCAAATACCGAAATCCCGAATACCGAATTACACCTTAAAGTCAATCCCAATCCCTAAATAATTTCAGTATCCCAATCCCTAAATATTTCGGTATCCCAATCGGTATCATCGAATATGAAATTAATTACCTTTGTAATTAATAATTAAATATATAAAATAGACTTTATTGTTTAATTTAGGGGGAAAAGACTAAGCAAAGAGTTTTGAATTAGGATATTATTAAGGAGAGTGGAATGATCTGTGTATAATTAAATGACACTTTTGGTGGTTGAGGGTCATGTAGTAGTAAATGAAAGAGTCTAGTTGAGATGATAAAATACAAACTAGTTTATATTTCGGTATATCCCGATCCCAATCTCGTAATCCCTAATACCGAATAACAATTGAAATTCAATCCCGATCCCAATCCCAAAAAATAATACGTGTATTCGATAATATCAAATATAAACAAATTCGGTACGGTATTCGGTATATCCCAAATACCGGTACCAAACTTCCAGCCCTGTCACTACCGACGGGGTTAGGGTGTTACAAAATTGATGTTGGAACAAGATGGAAAAGAAAAAGAAAAAGACAAATCGCGACCAGAAAGGCGGTAGATGAATGAGCGAGGCTGTCTTTTTTTCACCGTCAGCTGAGTGATTTGAACGAATTAAATATTTTTTGGCTAAAAAATAATAGTAATCAAATTATTCCGAGAAAACTATATAGCCACACAAATCAGAATTTCGTCATAAATCAAGTACGGAATTTGGAGGTGAAGAGTGCTTGTATGATTCACACATTTGCTTCACCGTCATCCCCGCCGCTTCCTCCACCGTCGCTCGATCCCTCCACCCGCTCCTCAGCGCTTGATTCAGCCGCCGGATGAATCCCTTGCTATGCCGCTCGCTGTGCTCCATAAATCCCGCGAGCATCCTAGCATCCGTCGTTTCCCCCCAGCACAGCCGCCGCCGGCCGCCACCGTTCTCCGCCGGCAACTCCTCCCAGCTACCACCGACGCCGAAACCTGCCATTCTGCTCACGCACTCCACGGCAGCTTCGATCACCCACGACGGAGCTCTGGACTCCTCCCCGCCGTCCCACAACCAGACTCTTGCCATGCCTCGCAAGACGGCGGAAGCAATTGCAGAGTCTATGCTCCCGGAAGTCGGTCGTTGCATCAGGGACGGACTCAATCGGATGACAAATTCGCCTCCGTGGTTCGTGACGGTTTCATCGGCGGTTAGGTTGCTGGTGGAGGCAAGACGGAGGCCGACCCTGCGAACTGGCTTCTTCTGATTTGGATGGTCTTCTGGGGCGTAGATCAAGTGCTCGACGAAAGTACTGCCGCTGAGGAGAATTCTGGTGGCTCGGTCATTAGAGATGTAGAAGAGGTCGAATCGCTTGCCAGCCGGAGAATCTCTGGCATCGTTAAAGATTTGGACTTGGAAGCCTTTAGATGCTTCGTGGTTGGCCCATAAAGAGACCAGCCCGACGGAGAGGAATAATGCCAGGCGAAGGAAGACGGCAGAATTGGAGGAGAAGAAGTTTTTGCAGTCAAAACGGGTGGTGGAGACGACGGTGGGCGTGGGCAGAAGCGGACGGTGGAGGTGGGAAGTGGAATGTTGGTCCGCCATTGATGATAGTATAATAGAAACAAGGGACAAGCTTGTGGAAGGGAATTATTGGTTTCTCAGAAACAGAAAACTGGAAATGAAGTAGATAATGCGTAAGTGGTTGTCAAATGGTTGAGCTGTGGGTCTCATGCTACGATGTGGGATGCCGCCACTTTCCCATGTGTTGTTTAAAAAAATAAATTTTGGTAGTCAATTCTCAACGAACAGTATGCACTCATTAATCATGTCTCTCTGGTTGGCCCATCCTACCTGGAATGGATATGATCATTTTTGTTTTTAGGTTAGAAGATTAAACAATGTGAGAAATTGCAGGTAGTTGATTTCCTACGAGTTGGAAGGCTTGGCTCTGTTCATGAGGAAGTCCGAGGAAGTTGCTTTGCAGGTAAACAAACAGAAATATCATTGTCACTTGCTACTTTTATATAAGAGTCGCCCTTTTGCTGTTTCTCATAGAAACTTGTGTGCTGCTGTGTTACTATAAAGAAACAGATAACATGGAGTATATCAAGCCGAGATTAGACCAGGTGAAAGTTGTTGCTGTCACTTGTCTGGGAATTACTAGTTCCTTGCTCACTGGCAAGAAGTTTGATGTTTGCATCATGGATGAAGCTGGGCAGATCACTCTCATGGTATGTGTCAAGTGGGAGTTTTTGATTATGCTAAAGAATGCAAACAGTTGTTGAAAGTAAGAAAATGAAGTTTATTTAGTTTAATGACGGATGGATCTACTGTCCATGTCAGATATCACTTGGACCTTTGATGTTTAGTTCGACTTGTGTTCTTGTTGGTGATCACTATCAACTACCCTCACTTGTTCTAACAAAGTTCAGATCTTTGTCTTCATCCAGTTTGGTTCACTTTGCTGCTGACATCTTATATCTCATTCAAGTGATTGTTTGATGAATCAATTTGTAGAGTGCAGAGGCTCGAGAGAATGGAATGGGGATAAGTTTGTTCTGCAAGCTTTTGTGAAGCGCATCCCGAAGCAATTTCAGCTTTGCAGAGTCAGGTATCCTTTCATCATTGTAATCAAAACATGTACACATGATTTTTTTCTTCCTTTTTTGCCAAGTATGATTTGAATAATTTGTCTCCATGCAGGCCTTGAATCCAGACAGAGCTGTGGTTCATCAACACAGACATGCATGCTGCCTACGCTTGTGGCAAAATGTTCGAAGTCGTTGAAGAACCTAATGGAAGCTTACATGGTCGGTGAGGTAAGTTTACTGCTTTGAGTTCTCATTACCGAAGTACAGAGTTATTTCCCCAGCTTGGTCTGATTCATATCAATGATCTAGATAGTCAACGTACTGACAAGCAGTGGGACCGATGGCAAAGATATTGGAATCATCACCCCATACAACTCACAGGCAAACCTTATCAAGGCTGTTATTCTTCCAATTTCTGTGGAAGTGCATACGATCGATAAGTATACCAGGTTGACATCTGGGACTGCATTTCCATTGCCACTTAGTTACTTAGATGATATAGCTTTCTGGTACTAATAATATACAATTTTTGTTTCTCAAACACAAAAAGCAGGGTAGAGATAAGGACTGCATAATTGTTTCTTTCGTGCGGTCCGGCCAATATCCCGGCAGTCACAGTTCTTCACTGCTTGGAGACTGGCATCGGATCAATGTGGCAATCACAAGAGCCAAGGTAGCAAATAACAGAAACATATGCATGTGCATACAGGATTCAGGTCAATTACATTAATGGTTTTTGCATTGTGCAGAAGGAGTTGATCATGGTGGGTTCGTGCAGAACACTGTCAAAGGTGCCATTGCTGAAGCTTCTGGTGGAGAAGGTCGAAGAGCAAGCCGGCATTTTGAATCTGAGCAACAATAATATAAAACTACAAGAACTGGAAAAGCTGGGATAAGGCGCAGTAGCTAAAGGGCTGTAGTTTAGATGATTGGATAGATTGTGTAAATAGTAATTTTGGTGCTAAACTTTATGTAATTTTGTTATAGCAAATGTGACACAGGAAGGTTTTTGTAGTAAGCCATCTAATAAAATCTAATGCCTATGCCTAACCAACTCCAGCAGGTAAGCATCTAAGCCATGGATTCTCTTCAATCGTATTTAGTACAACTGGTCACGGACCCGGCCAATTGGCCGGTTTCAGTAATCAATTACGTAAACAACATTATCAAATTGTATGTGAAATACTTTCGTTTTGATAGTATAAGAAACTATAAAATAATTTAAATATTCAAAATATTCAAATTGATTGGTAGAATAAGAGAATTGAAATTATTAAAGTACTTCAACAATTCAAAATGATCGATTTTATAGTACTTTTCGAGATTGTAACTGACTCATCAACTAAAATCCTTTTATGAAAATGAAAGACAAACCCGAACAGACTCCTAAAGACATTTTAAAATCACCCTTTGATGTATTCCTCATCGTGAGAGATTGCTCACTACAGGAAAATTCACCTACGATCACGGGATTCTCGTGACTAAACATGCAATTCCCGTGATGGAAAGCATTTGTCACGGTTTAATCCCGTGTCAAACGAGCCCGTGATGGAAGGCCAAATATCACGGGACTTTCCCATGACAGAAAAGATACAATAACGGGAAATACCCCATGACAGATGATCTATTTTGTCATGGTAATTCCTGTGAGTAATATTTAAACACGGTACCATTACCGTGACGAAACTATGATATAGTCACGGGACTTCCCGTGACTTATTGGGTCATTCGTCACAGGGTTTGTCCAATAGTCATGCTATTGTAGTGATTGTGATCAATTTACAACAACAGGTTTTGTCTCAATGGTAACAATGACTCGTAATCGTTGGTCCTATTAATCACCGGAAAATCGAGAAAGCTTTCGATAACGTGAGTTGGGTATGTCTCTTCAAAGTTATGTCTAAATTGGGGTTCCCTCAGAAGTGGCAGGAGTGGATTCACGGTTCGGTTTGTTCGTTGTCCATTTCTACGATTATCAACGGTGAAGCTAAAGGCTTCTTTCTCGTGGAAAAGGGGCTTCGTCAAGGTGATCTATTATCTCCTGGATTATTCGTTCTCATCATGGATGTGCTGTCTTTTATGCTTTCCAAGTTGCGTGAAGCGGGAAAGATTAGTGGTTTCTTTATGGATGAGCTGAATGGTAGAGGGGAGGTTACACATTTGTTATTTGCGGATGATACGCTGCTTTTTTGTGAGGCCTCGTATGAGCATGTTTTGAACATTATGGCCACTCTTGTGTGCTTCCAAGCTGTATCGAGATTGAAAATTAATCTGGATAAATCAACTATGTTCACTGTAGGTGACGTTCCCAACCCGGATTATTATGCTAGTATTTTTGGCTGCAAGTGGAGCACAGAGCCTTCGAAGTACTTGGGGTTTCCTCTTGGCGCGAAGGTGATTGCTGCTTCTACTTGGGATCCTATTATCAGTAAGTATGAGAAGAGACTTGAGGGGTGGAAGACGAGGTATGTCTCTTTAGGTGGAAGATTGGTGCTTAATAACTCTGTGTTAAATGCCCAACCTATTTTTTTTCTGTGCTTCGTGCTCCTTGCTCTGTGTTGAACAAGATTGAAAGAATTCAAAGAAGGTTTATTTTGAGTGGAGTTGGTGATGTTAAGAAGTGTCCTCTCGTCAAGTGGAAACTTTGTAAGGCTTCTAAGGGCAATGGCGGGTTGGGGGTGCGCGATCTTAAATGTTTCAACAAGGCCATGCTAAGTAAGTGGTTGTGGAAGTTTAGGACTAAAAAGGAAAATGGTGGAGGGAGTTGATTTCTGTGAAGTTCCCTTCGTTAACCTCGGACTGGGAAAGTATAGGAGATGTACAGAGGGGTTTGGAACGTCAGTTTGGGCCAACATCACTAAGGAATATGACTCTTTTTGGAAGGCTGCTCCCGTTGATCCTGGTGGCGGTGCGTGGGTTTCCTTTTGGGACGATTGCTAGGTCTCGAACTCTACTCTTGCCAACACATTCCCTCGCGTCGCTGCTGCAGCTATTGACCGTCACGCCTGGATCTCTGAAATTGTCGAACATCAAGGTGAGAACTTAGCTTGGAATCTTTGTTTAAATGTTCAACTGAGAGGGGGGGGGGGCTGAGAGAGAAAGAGAGAGTCTTATGAATGTGCTTAACTCTATCGACCCTTATAAGGTGTCTTGTGGACCCAATAGACTCGTTTGGTCCCCAAACCCCGAAAGTTCTTTCTCTGTGTCTTTAATGTACATGTACCATTCAAGCAATCTGTTTCTGGGGCTGCTGGAGTTCCCTGTTGTTTATGTCTGGAGGAAATGTGTCCCATGAAAGATCAATGCGTTTATGGACTGTTGGTCAAAGGAGAATCCTTACCCTTGATAACTTGCAGAAGAGAGGGTGGGTCCCTTGCTAATAGATGCGTATTGTGCTGCAAAGATTCTGAATCCATTGATCATTTGCTGTTCGAATGCGATTTTACAAAAGGAGTCTGGAACGAGTTGAAGAAAAAATGAAATATCGAGTTGGCCCCTTGCAGAGACATCAACACCACTATCCGCATATGGAAGGTTGATTGCCCTTCTGATCCGCATGGATGGATTGTGTATTGTGTTCTTCATTCGATTTGCTGGCAGGTGTGGCTCGAAATGAATCACCGTATGTTCAACGAGGGTGCTCTCCCAATATCCTTGGTCTATCAAAAGGCGGTTTTCTTGATTGACGAATGGCTTGTGGCGCACGGAAAGATCAACAGAGTTCAATGACTGAGACCTAGCTTGAGTCGTAGACAGTTGTCGTACAACGTTTCTTTTTTGGGCAGATTGGTTTCGGGGATGTTGTAGGCTGGTTCCTTGTTGTCTGCTCTAGTTGTTTTGGTTGTCTGGTTTTCCTCCTTTCGTTCCTTTTTTTTTTGTTCTGTTTTTTGTGCTTTGGGGCAGGGGCTTCTCGCTTCGCCCAGCTCCTCTCGCCACTCGCACCTCTTGTGCTGGCTGTTTTGTTTCCTTTGTGTTTGTTCATTTTTTTGGACCTTTTTGTTTGGTTTCTTAATGCAGTGATCACCATTATAAAAAAACAAAGGTTCTAGGGTTTCATTTAACCTAGAGGTTTTTTTTTTTACATTCATGGTCGTCAGTAATTGTGGAGAAAGGATCTTTTAGGAGAGCAATCCATGTATAGTTACGAATATTGAGAACTCACTCCCATCCACCCCGGAAATTATGGAAAAGGATATTTTAGGAGAGCAATCCATGTATAGTTACAACAATTAATTTGTATAATTTCTTATTCATATTCATTTAGTTTCTTTGGTTAGTCTTCATTATTTTAGAAATAAAAATATATTAAATGAGAAGCAATGTATGTGAGTTAAAGCGTTATCAATTCTAATAATAAATTATGACCATGAACTTAGAAAAATGAATAACATCATAAATGAATAAATGAATAAAAGACACGACTAGAAATGAGAGAGTCTTCAAAGGTGTCATCCCCAGAACAACAGTGACTTCAACAAATGCGATTAGGGACTTCACTTTATGAACTACTCCTCCCCGCCTTGTCTAATCGGTCCTCGTATCCCATTCCCAGCACATCTCTGACCATTCTACACTTAATCTACCGCCTAGTTCTTCCCAATGGGTAGTTCACTGTGATAGATCCTTCAGATCGGAATCACATGTGGCGGCATATGGGGTCATCATAAAAAAACCCCATGGGCAAATTGTGGATGGTAGTGCTGGGACCTTTTTCTGTTCTTCAGTGATAGTTGCGGAAGCTAAAGCCTTGTTGACTGCTGTGAGAATGGCAGCCTCCCTTCACGGTCCTACTTCAATCTTCTCGGACTGCAAAGTGCTTGTCGAGATTGTTCAGGATCCGCAAAAAGTTGGTCCCTGGCAAGTTAGAGCATGGATTCAGAGGATTTGCTTTCTCCTTCAGACGCATATCGGATTGAGTATCTGATAACGATTTATTTGCACAAGTTTGCACCCTTAGTTCTTATCCGTTTGCGGCGAGTAGTCGTGTATTTTTGGCCCGTTTTACGCCGGTTTGTGCTACTTTGTCATATTTCAGGTCCCAGACGTCGAAGGAAAGGCTAAGCACGAGTTTCGGGGCATTTGAAAGTCATTCGGTCGAGCTGGGGCTAAAGCACGGGCTGGCCTAAACCAAAATACGACCGTGTACACAAACAGGCACGCCAGTGTTTTTATTGCCGAGAGCTGAACTGATGGAAAAGCAAAACACGGGCTTGCCTAAATCAAAACACGGTCGTGTCCATATTTAGGCACGACCGTGTTTTGGCCGACGCGGGCGTGTTTTAACACGGGGCAAAACACGGGCGGGCAAAACCAAAGCACGGCCGTGCCCTCGACCGTGTTTTGCCCAGGGTTGGCCTTTTAGGCAGATTTGAGCTAAAGGAGAAGGGAGTTCCGAGTTTTAGAGAGACAGAGGGATACTTAGAGAGAGAAAGTGACGAACCAGAGTTCCCAAGTGCCCTAGCTTGATCTTCATCACCATTGGAGCCCGGCTTGAGCTTGGAGAAGTGCCGATTGACGACCAGGAGCAGAAACCCATCCTTCACAGTATGGTTTCCGCATCTGAATCTGCTTTTGCTTCTCTCTCCATGGAGTAGTTTTCCCATTCATCTGGTTATGGAGAACCCTAGATTTGTATGTTAGGTCTGATTGTATGAACCCAAGTACAGATTTTATGATTTGATTATACTCAATTGAGGCTTGAATGATTGAATGACTTGAATCCTGATCAAATTCCAGTTATTTCTGCTTTAGCCTAGAAAGAGAATATCTGCCTAGGTTAATAGAGCACCCTTAATTGAAGGTAGTGAATTGACGACTTTAGTCGAGGAGCCAGTTCACTATTTTGTACCGAATTTACTTCGGTAGTGGAGGTTTGGTTCGTTAGGGCCTCAATCTGTTTACTCCGGTGGAGGTTAGTCGCCCGCTGGGGACTCAGATTGAGAGGGTCTGGAGACCTTTAGTCGAGACTTCAGACTTTTTAAGAACCTCCCGCAGTATAACTATCATTAAAAGTGAACTTGGTAAATTACAATCAGGCTTAACTGCAGTCTAGGGGGAACCATATCCGGGTGACCTCTCTCGACTTGAATACAACCGTTTAATTGCTTGCTTTACTTGTTTGTTTGTTTGTTTGTTTGAACTTGCACTAAAGTTTCACCGCTAAATAATAAGAATTCGCTGAGTAGTCATCACATCTAGGACCGGGTTGACATTAAAACCCAAACCCGCTATACTACGCTTTAGGAAGTGGTTACACTTGGCCATTTTCTAGAGTGACAGTAGGAGTGAGTCAGTATCTTCTTCACACCAAGATCTACTAACAAAAGTGCAGATTGGTTGGCTAAGGGAGCGCCAAATGGATCTCTCCCTCAACAATGGATCCAAGTGCTTGACATTTTAATTTTTAAATCCGATCTTGTAACTCGGTTTGGCTTGTACTCCTATAGTTGATTTGAATGGAAATTATATATTGTAAAAAAACAACATTATTATTATTATTATTAAAAGGATTTCATCCTTGGTGTAGAGAAATGAGACAAAAGATACGTAAATAAATAATGAAGTCCGTTATCAGCTTGCTTATTGGTGGTGGTTCTTGTTGTGTATCAATGACGATTGTATTGTTGTTGGTTTTATACACTGTAACACGCACACCCTAATGCAAACTTCTCCGCTTCCCCCTTTACTCTCACAATCCTTCACACATGCATTGTAACAGTCAGTGAATTTGTCCGCAGCAGCATCCATCGTCATTTCAGCGGTCACCATTAAGAACACCAACACCAAACTCATCATTGGCCCTCTCCTCTTGCCCGGCTCCATAATAATATCTCGATTTTCCCCCCCTTCAAATTCCCAACTCTTTGGTTCCACTCTTTTTCCGACTCCACCTTCCACTCTTATATATAGTGGGAAGTAGTACCTTAATTACTATTGCAATTTGCTAAAAGATAAGGGAACAAAGTTTCCATGATTATATATTTGTAGAATCAAAGAATTGATTATCATAATTAGTAATATATCACTTTACTTGGTAAGAAATAAAAAACATGAGTTATCTATTTCCAATCTATAAAGAAACTACGAGTCTACAACGAGTGGGAGAGGATAGTGATTATAAATCCACTAGCGTGTGCCCCGGCCAGTTGGTCGGAGGAAGGTGAGGTATGAAATTTGATAATGTAATGGGGTGTATAGTTTATTGTTGTATAATTTTTTTTTGGGAAACACGCGGTAAAAATAGTGAATTTTAGCAGGAAAGAGACATGAACGATGCAACAAAAAATCAAGTACCTGTTACCTTGTGAAACGATATTGTTTATGGTAATATGATGAGGTGGAGTAAGTTTTATAGAAACCGAATTCCAGAAAATCGAATAAATAATCGCCTATCTCGTCGATTTTCGGAAAATGAGCATCTCACAATCGTTGCTAGCTTTTACTCGGCCCGTTGGCCGATTAATTTGCTTTATAAAACTTTCATCTTGTCATCATTGTGCTTTCTGGTTTTCGTCAAGCCATGATAAAATCTAAGGAAATCAAGAACGAACAACACGATTTGGGATAGGAACCGCCGTTGTCGTATCCCTAGAAAATGGTGGTAAACACGGACTCACCTGCCAAACTGGTTTGGATTGAGATTTTTATTGGGTATCAAGGAACCATGTGATTATAAATTAGACTTGATCAAAACGGGCCAAAACTTGAAATTCAGCCGTTTTGACCGACCCGTGCCAAATTCTAATTATTCTTTACTTTTAAACTTTCTATTTGAAAATAAAAAATAGTGAAAGAAAAGAGATGACTGCAATTCGCCATTTGCACATCACTTATTCGGGAATAAAACCATAGAAATTCAAAAGGAACTGAAAATGTTTAGGATCATTTTAATATTTAAAATAACCAAATAGATCTTTCTGTTTAGTTTTTTACTAACAAATACCAAACGATTCCCTATAAAATACACTATAATTTGATCATTATGATATCAAATAATTATATAATATATATTTGAAATGATAAAAATTGAACTAATTGGGTTGGTCGAGGTTGAACCATTGAATAAATTTAAAATACATTATATTTTAGCCACTAAGATATAAAATAATAGCATAATATATATTATGCCAGAGAAAATAACTTGTTTTAGAATCTCAAACCAATGATGTTCATTTGTTTTACTTGATGGCCAAATCCCGTGTAGGTCAGGCCCATTCAACTCTTTTATTTTATGGTTAGCGGTTAGCCCATTAGATACCATGCATTAGTTTATTGTTAAATTTTTTAGTTTTAGCAATAAAAAGAAGTATTGTTTTTGCCTTTTCATATATATTTTATTACCATGGAGAAATAAAAGGGTTTAAAGAAAAAAATGGACACTCCTGGTCCCGTTTAAACCTGCATTTGTACGGTAAGTTGGCCCGTTCCACAGAGGAAAGAGAGAAAAATTGACACTCCCTATTCTACCCTTCCTACAAACGCTACTGGAGCAGGGAATTTGAAATGGGGGAAGGGTTTTTTCCTCCCTGCTATTATATGTTTTTAATTAAAAAAGGGCTTAATTGCAAGTTTGGTCACTCGAATTGCTAAAAAATTTCACGTTTGCCACTCAAATTGATTTATTCCATTTATAGTCACTTAAATTAGTTGAACAGTCCAAGTTCAGTCACTCTCCGTTAACCTCCGTTAGACTTCGTTAATGACGACCGTTAAGTGATGACGTGGCTAACAGAAAATCACAGTAAGCATATTTTAACACTAAAAAACGACGACCCCATCACAGGCAGCAACACATCGACAGCGGCCCAGTAGCAGCACATCACAGCGCAGCGACAGTAGCAACAGATAGAAACACACGACGATCCAATCGACCATCCCATCCCATCGATTCCCTCTCTCCCTCGTCTCTGCCGCTCACGTCTTCCTTTGTCGATCGAGGATTTTGGGATTGCAGGTTGTGTCTCCTTGTGTCTTTTGAAATAGTGGTTGATTTCAGATCTGGGTTTTGTGTCTCCTTCTGTTCTTGTCAAAGGTGAAGGTTGAGTGAAGTGGCTGCCATCCAGATCAGTCAATACCAGTGGATCGTCCATGAACTTCCAACCCAATTCCATGGAGGAGGAGGAGGATTTTTCGTTTGAATCTAAACCTGTTTGTGGCAGTGTTGGCGTAGTGAGTTAGATCAGGGAAGAGAGTTTGCTCCTAGAAAGTGATCCAATTCGTTGAACCGGAGAATCCATATCCCGCAACCCTCTCATTCGATTTATTTGTCTCTCCGGGTAGCGTTCGTTTCCCTGTTTTGTTACTGGGAGGACTCTTGGCTCTGTACTATTCGCCTCGCAGAGAAGAAAATGGAGAGATCCACCCTCGCTTATCGCTTCACTTTGCCGCTGGTAGTTGAACTTTCTCCCTCTTCTTTTGGCCCATCATCGCTAGGTTTTATTGTGTTGTGGTTGTTGTTTGGTTGCTGACAACTATTGCAGCGCCGAAGTTGAATTCTGCTCCGTTTATTAGAATTCTGGTGGATTGATTGTGTAGCATATAAAGTAGGGAATCCTTCAATGGTGTTTTCAACTTGAGTTCTGAGTTCAAGGGGGTCGGATCTCGGGTTTGGGGATGGGTCAATTATTGGGTTGGTTCGCGGGTTGGGCAAGTAGGGCTGACATAGTGCGTAAATATGACGTGGCAGGTCAGGTCGTCGTTTTTTAGGAAAAAATCCAAAACTATCACCGTTTAAAAAAAATTACAAAAATACCACCCACACCAAATAATTTCCAAAAATACCATCATTTATATAAAACCGCGCATTTAATGAGCGGTTTTTAATGAAACCGCGTCTCCAGGCGGCGGTTATAGAACAAAACGCGCCCCATCACACTTAAGGATATCGCCATCCTAACCGATCTCCCCATCGATGGTGATGTTGTTTGTGTGGACTCTACGCCACCACCTAAAGTTGTTGCCAATATGAGTGGTTGGCAACATTTTATATGGACGGTCACCGGGTTGTGTCCGCCAGAAAAGGGAGATCACGATGCGGATGGTCATCCACCATTGTCCAAGGGCCAAGTATCCATCACGTGGTTGACAGCGGAGATCAGGCGTAAGCACAACCCTGAGTTCGAAGGCATTCCCCTCACGGAGGAAAGTTCGGAGCATGATAAAGACATTTATGCACGTATCTACATCCTCGGCATGATCGGAGGAGTTTTCTTCCCCAAGAAATCCAACAACCTAATCAGCAATTCATGATTGAAGATCATACTTGGTAGTTGGGATGATATGGGAAACCTGAGCTGGGCATCTGCTTGCCTAGCTCATCTCTACCGATCCCTATGTAATACTAGTGTGAGAGCGGTGAAGGAGATTGATGGGGCCATGTTCATCGTCCAATTTTGGGCTTGGGAGCATTTGCCATGGATTGCGCCGAAGGTTGAACCCGACAAGGAATGGGGTCCCGACCATCCCCTACGACATGAAGCTTATGGTTGTAGGTAAATGTTTTCTATCCCACTCATAGTTCTCACAATTTTTTACTAATTGGATATTTTATAACGAATTGGATATTATGTATTAACACTCCATACTATTTGGATTGAATAGGTGGCTTGGTGAAAAAACATGCGACAACCTAGGAGCGCATAAGTTGGAGGAGTATCGTAGGAGGCTTGATCGCCTTTGGGAAGCAGAGGTGAGCATCATAATACGCTATTAAAACCTACTTTTTTAACTTATATTATTATGTTGATTAATGGTTTTTTATAAACCTTTGTAGCTCAAGTTCGATCCGTATCCAGAACGGATTGTTGCGCATCACGTTCACAAATTTACGTTACATCCCGGTCAATGGTGCACCCGAGTTCCACTAATCAGCCACCATATAGTGGAGTGGCACTTGCCGGATCGATGTCTACGACAATTTGGACGTGAGCAATGCATACCATTGGATGTCCCGGAGAGTCAGAAGGGGTACCACGGGAAAGATGGTCGACAAGGACCTACTAATTGGCCGGAGGAGTATGAAAACTTGATCCGCCTGTGGAATGTTAGGCAAGATCAGGATATTGTGACGGCATCTCATGTGGGGCGGATGGGATACCATGACCCATACCTGGAAACCTACCGAAGACAATCTGTTCGTTACATGACCCCCGAAGGAGCGGCGGACGGAGCTTTGGTAAGTAATTATTATTTTTTTATTTAGTCATGCGGTGCATTATTTTTTAAATGGCTAACTTTGTTATTTTCTTCGATTTAGGTTGATGGCATCGAGCAAATCCACGACCTCGCGCGGACGGCAGATCATTTGGCGGCCGGTCGAGAGGTGGGGCTCATTCGAAGGATAGCGAACAATCTCCTTGGCTGTATGCGAGCGCGCGGACGTGACCATCATAGATACCCTCCAGTTCCCCCAGTGAGACCGCCTCCGGTGACGCAGGATGTTGAGTCGGTGCCTCCGCCGGTCCATAGAAGGCCAAACAAAGCTACAAGGGATCGACCTCACGTGCCGGAGATTAAGCCGATTGCGGCTTGGAAGGCGCCTACTCCTTTGGAGGTGTGTAGCGGTGAAGGGGGGAGTACTCACTACGATCCCACGCCCGGAAGCCAGTATGATCCGCGGTCGAGTTTCCAATACAATCTCCGGCCCAGCTTTCAGTATGAACAACGGTCAAGTACATTTTATGATGGCACATCCTCAGCAACTTGGGCCGAGGGTTCATACTCAAGTCCCCACCAAGACTACTCACCTATGCAGCGACCACAACAACAATGGCAACAACAACAATGGCAATCCAGTCCTCACCAAGACTTCTCACCTTGGAATCGACCACAACAACAATGGCAACAACAATGGCAATCCACTCCCCACCGTATGAGCATGGACAGCCCTCGACCGCAGACGGAGGGGCCAAACATCACGGAACCGAGGCGCCATAGCACGGAGGATCGCCCTTCTACGGCGAATAGAAATCTGCCACCCGTTCCACAATCAGCTACACCCGGTGGACCAGTCGCCCACCGCACAAGGAAACAGAGGGCAAATCGTCGAAATAATGCATGAGTGTGACAAGTTGTGTTTATTTCAAGTTATGTTTTGTTTAAATTAAGTTGAACAATGGTGTTTTTAGTTGAAGTTTTTTTTAGTTTTTTCATGTAGTGTGTTTGTGTTCGTGATGTGTTTTATTCAAAAAGATGGAAAATTGTACCAAAGTTTGTGTTTTGTGCAAATCTCCAATGTCATTTAAGCACACAACATACAAGTAGAGTAACCATTGAAATTAATACACAAAGATGGAACAAACGCATGAAATCAATCTAAGCGCCATTATCCGGGTTCACCACATCGGGCCCTGCATTTTGAGGACCAATTGGTCCGGGACATTTTCGTTTATCATGACCGGGTACTTTGCATATGGAACACCGCCTTGGCCCTCGCGGTGGTCTTCCACTTTGATCCATTTCATTTGGAATCCTTTTTACCCGCGGGTGCCCTGTTACCCGCCTAAGACCGATTGGTGGAATGATGACCATACCCTCATAAACTGGCCAGTAAGCTTCATCCGGCAATGCACGGAAACTAGTACGATAACTGCTCTTTTGTGAGTCAATGTTGAAGAACGGACTGACGAAATGACAAGGGTCTTTGCTCCTGTGCTTTATTACAGCCATTGCATGGGAACATGGTATCCCTCTACCCTGATACTTCTGACAAGAGCACTCCCCCTTTTTAGTCCTAAATTTGACGGTGACTTCATGGCGATGACCCCCACGTCTCCCATCCTCCCAGTGCCCAGTCTCGACCGAAAACTCGCCAGCATTTCGGTTCATCACAGTGACTGTGTGACGAGAGCTCTTCCGATTATCTTTTTCCATTATTTTTGTGATATAATCGGAGTGTACCTTACCCTGTGCCTCCCTCTCACACTAGTGGAGACGGTTGACGAACCATCTGTTTGTTTTCCAGAATGTCATCTCAACAATTGCAGAGATGGGGAGTGCACGACATTCCCTATAGACGTTGTTGATACTCTCGCTTGAGTTTGTTGTGGCAATACCCCATCTGTGACCTCTATCCTTATGAAAAGTCCACATTTCAAGGTCATGTTGATCAAGCCACTGCGCACCTTTAGGGCATATTTGACGGATATTCTGCATCTTCTCTTTAAATTTCTTCTCTTGGTACGCGACAGCTGATGAATATAAAAAAAACGTCAGATAAGCAAGATCGACCTTATTGCCAATACAAGTACACTCGTAAGACTCTTAGGAGAGGTATACATCTCCTTAGACACACAGTCTTTTTGATAGAAAAAGGGGGGATCCGAGGATCGCTTAGAACCCGATTTTCCCAGGTCATGGGGGGATCATGATGATCGCTTAAGTCCCCATTTCCTTAGACATGCATTTCTTTATAAAGAGTCTAGATAAGTGTTGTATTGTATTGAAACACTCCATACTTTTATACAGTTAAAAAAATTTACAGATACACAATTAATTAGAACGCTTACCAATCCACCATATACTGTCATCAAGCTTCTTTCGCTTGAAATGATGGTTCCAGTTGCTCTTGAAATGTCGTATGCACCATCTTTGTGACCAGTTCCAGGCTGGATCCAAGCCTAAGATAGCAGCCCGTATTCCGGCGTGGCGATCTGAGATGATAGTCAGGTTCGTCCGCCTGGTGACATGGAGCTGAATTTGTCTGAAGAACCATCCATAGCTATCGGTATTCTCTCCCTCCACAATGGCAAAGGCTAATGGATATACTAATCTATTTGCATCTGCTCCGCTGGCAATCAGTAGAGTACCCTTGTACTTGCCGGTAAGGAATGTTCCATCAACTTGAATCACAGGAACACAGTATGGAAAACCATCAATACATGGCTTGAAGGCCCAGAAAAGACGCTTGAATTGGCGATTGTTACCAGGCACCGGCGGTTGAATTTCTTCATCTTGGTAGCGAGGCGAGAAAATGGTGCCAGGGTTAGACACCTCCAACGCCAAAATCAATTTGGGAAGGAATGCATATGATTCTTCCCAGTCACCAAACACGGCAGCCATTGCTTTCTGTTTCCCATGCCACGCTTTCTTGTAGTTAATGATATAACCATAACGACTAGAAATGTGGGCGATGATGGTTTTGACCTTCAGGTCGGGCTGCTCCTCAATTAGATGTTTGATAGTCGTGGCAACCACCCTTGATTTCAACTGTCGATGGCCTTGGGATGTTATTGATGACACACATGTGTGTGTATTCACTGCACGGGATATGACCCAATGGCCGACTCTCTTGCTCTTGATGGCCCGGACCCTAGCTTTGCATCCCTCATTTTCATTTTTGCATCGAACCATCAACCTCTTTGTGTTAGAATGGGTTGTTTGCCATTCAAAATTCCAAGTCATTGCTTCAGTGGAAATAGCGTGTCGGACCTCATTCTTCATTGAAAATTGTTGGCCCTTCGTAAAGCCAGTTAGTGGACCCCATACTGGCACATCTGGCGGGTCCATGTCGGCATCAACATACCAATCTTCATTTTGAATGTGATTTTAGTATGGAATAGGTACACGGTCGTGAGCTACCTCATCACCATCTGCGTCTGAATCTGGACCGGAATCATCAGCACCTTCCAGCGGATCGTCGCTGTATGCACTAACTTCGCCTTCCTCTTCTTCAACCTCAGGGTCACTAACTGGACTTGGATTGACCTTTTCTTCCATCTGATTATCAACATGAAAGGCACCTTCACCTTCACTAGCTCCGTAATGGTAGTTGTGGTAACTAATACCGCTTTGATAGAAGTTGTACTCGGGTGGGTACTGGTAGCCTGCTTGTTGGTTGTAATCCGCCTGTTGAGCTTCTTCTTCATATGAAGGGAAGGATTGATGACTTCCTCCAGTTCCATGATGATACTCCTGCCTCCAGCTCGACTCTTGGAAATCCTGGTGGGGATGATCTTCGTATAATACACTCCCACCATGGATACCAGATGTTTGGTCATCTCCAGAATGACCTACACTGCCTTCGACGACCTCGGTGTAAACGAACATCTCTGCTTGCTTAATTTTATTGGTGGTAAAAAATTGGACCATGGCATCAACGTCCTCCTGAGTGGTAAGGAGGAATTCCTCATTCCACAACGACCCGTCATGTCTGTTTGGATATCGATACACCATTCGATCAACTCTTCTAGTGCCATCCATGCAGGTAATCTGAGTGCACATTTGATGGAGCTCTTCAAGCATCGGTCTCGTACGGACCTTCATTTTATAAAAATTGCCACCGACGTAACTTACACCCTTTTCGGTCTCTTCCGTGTAACCATTCCACCGCAACCCAAGCCTGAACCTTTGGAATGCCATCTGCAATGAAAAGTAATTAAGTTACTAACATAAAATCACAAATGACAATGAAAAGTAATTAAGTTACTAACATAAAATCACAAATGACAATGAAAAGTAATTAAGTTACTAACATAAAATCACAAAGGACAATGAAAAGTAATTAAGTTACTAACATAAAATCACAAAGGACAATAAAAAGTAATTAAGTTAATAACATAAAATCACAAAGGACAATGAAAAGTAATTAAGTTACTAACATAAAATCACAAAGGACAATGAAAAGTAATTACGAAACAAACTTACGAATTAACGTTAATCGCAAAAACTAAATAATTTAAAGCTGAAATTTTAAGAAGGAAGAGGAGGAGGTGTGAAGAATTGAGTTCTCTGAAACCGCCTTTTATAGGCAAATTTTGCAGCAAAACCGCTGGGGGGGGGGGAGCGGTTTTAGGTCTGCCATGCAGCCCTACCCCCTGCATGCCGACATGTTCGACATGTTGGCTGTCGGGTGACCAGGCACAAACCGCGCCTTAGGGCAGCGGTTTATGTCCTGACATTGTAAACTGCCGCTTGGGGAGGCGGTTTGTAATGCCGACAGTTAAACGCTCTCTCTCGAAGCGTTTTGTGGTAGGGTTAGCCTATAACCGCGCCTTCCAGAAGCGTTTTTTTCTGGAAATTAAAAACGCTCCCTGGAGGTGCGGTTATAGTGTAAAACGCTTCCTGGAGGCGCAGTTTTATTAAAAACCGCTCATTAGAGGCGCGGTTTTATATAAACGATGGTATTTTTGGAAATTATTTGGAGTGGGTGGTATTTTTGTAATATTTTTTTAAACAGTGGTAGTTTTGGATTTTTTCCCCGTTTTTTAGTGTTAAAATATGCTGACTGTGATTTTCTGTTAGCCACGTCATCACTTAACGGTCGTCATTAACGGAGTCTAACAGAGGTTAACGGAGAGTGACCGAACTTGGACTGTTCAACTAATTTAAGTGACTATAAATGGAATAAATCAATTTGAGTGGCAAACGTGAAATTTTGTAGAAATTCGAGTGACCAAACTTGCAATTAAGCCATTTAAGAAGATACAACAAATGTACTTAGTGTGATTGGTTATGATCCTTACTTTTCTTTAAAATGGTCAAGGTTCGAATCCCAATACGTGTCTTTTTAATGAATAAAAAAAAGTAATTGTGAAGACCAAAATGTCCTTCCTACTTTCACTCTCGTTGCAGGAAATTTGAAATGGGACTCCCGTTTTTCCCTTCGACGTATCTATCTATCTATATCTATCTATACTAAATATTATGGCTATTCAAAAATAACTTCTTGCATACCTTTCACGCCCCATCGTCAAAGTCGTCGTCTCCGTCGACCCTCTCAACTCCAACGATGACGAATCTTCTACCCAGGATATTGCCGCCACCGGGTTACGCTTTACCGAGCACCGAATAATAGAGAAGAGGGCCGATGATGGCGGCGACTCCTCTCTCTCCCCTCAAGTCCTTTGCTTTGGCGACCAGCAAAAGGAGATCAGACGCTGACCACGAACGAGGTCAGCGATAACGACAACGACGCTAGGAGGAGGGCTCGATGACGACGGGAGACGACGAAGTCGCCGTTCGCATTGGCGGTTACAATTTCGAGACAGTGGTGATTACGCCGGATAAGTGCTCTCTCCTTTTTTTTATTATTACTATTATTTATTTAATTTCTTTTATATTTATCCTTCATAATTACTTTGTTTCTTTTATTATTCTTTCCAAAGCTTTTCCGATTTATTTTCTTTAACTACGAATTATTTTAAAAAAATTTATTCTAGAAAAGAAATCGTGAGTCCCATCTTTGTGAGTGGGTTGTAGAGTCCATTTCGTGCTTATTGACTCATAATGGTCTACGGCATCGTGCTTTGCCGGTGATGGCCCTCTCCGTTGTGGAGCCTATCAATGTTACTTCACGGTGGAGTCTTCTTTTCTCATTTCTTATTGTTGGCTGATGAGGATGTACAACGGCAGACCCAAGATCTTTCTGGATTGCCTTTTTGTTTTCTTGTTTTGCAGGTTACTTCTAAATGCTGATGGAGCTTTATGACTTTCTAAGGAAAGGGTGCAGCTTCGGTAGGCATTCCGGAGGCAGCTAGAAGAATGGCGGGCAGCTGAACAGGTGCCGCCAACCATCCCCAGGCAAGGCCCTGGAACAGCCCGTAGACCTGGCAACGGCGACCAGACATCGGCGGGACTACCTTCCACCACAATCACCGTTTGGTTTGATGGTGCAGCTAAGCGTGGACGAGGTGGTAGCATTGACTTCGTTGGTTTTCAACCTACAGGTAATGTCCTATTTGCTTTTGGGAAATAATACGAAGGGTTACATGATCCTTTTGTTATGGAATGTTTGGCTCTACGAGATGCTCTACAATGGTATTTGACTCATCGTTTTGTGTGTGTCAAATTTCATGGGGATTCGCAACAACTGATACGGCGTATGGTGGGGGAGGATTTTGCTCATGATCGAAGTGGTGCTGTGCTTGAAGATGCTCGGGTCCTAGCTGCCTAATTCAGTGGGATTTCCTTCTGTTTTGTTTCTCGTCGACTTAATAGGGCCGCCCATCTTGTGGCACATAAAGCCCTCTCATCGGGAGTTCGACTATTGGTCAACTCCCGAGCTTTACTTGACTCCTCTATTTGACTCTCTTGTTACCCCTACTTTTGAGGGGAAAAAAACTTCTTGCCACATAAGCATTTGGTGAATGCACAAGTTGCCAAGGTGGACAATTTTTTACAAACAAAAAGCTATTTATTGATCTATTTATGAAGCTATCTCTCTCTTCTTTTAATAATTCTACTCATTTTTACTAAAATTAAAATTAGTTAATTTTATAGGAAACATTTAAACAAACAAACACATACATATGTAATAATATTTTTTTTCAATTAAACAAACTATAAAGATGGAAACAGAGAGTGACATATATCGTATTTGTTTAACCCAAGTTGATTAAATCTTATTAAGTAAATTTTCTACTCATTTATACTAAAATTTAATAATAAGTTACATTTTGATGAAGAAAAAAAACAAGCACACACATAAATAATAATAATTTTCGATTAAACAAAATATAAACGATGGTCTAAGAGAAAACAAGCGTTTGATAATCAATCGACTTTGAGAAATGAACGATATGACTATATGTTTTTTGCTATCAAACACTCACTTCTTTCTAATGTATATACCTATCAAATAAAACAAGTATAAATTTTATAGCAAAATGTTTGAATACAAACTTGACAGAACAATAATTGTTATTTTTTAAAACTTCTTATTTATTCCGAATAAATGAAAATATATTAATTATTAATGAAAACTTTTAATTTATTTATGTCCCTTTCCCCATTTTGATTGTCTCACTAGAAATAAAATCCAACTTTGAAAATAAGAAATCAAGAAAGTATGTGAACCACCATATAAATAAACAAAGCCCTCTTATTAGTTGCTAATTTCTTTGAGATTTCTAATATTTGTATTCTCATAATTTATAGAGAAGGAAATGGTAATGCATATGATTTATTTTTCTTTGTATGAGAATAGGAGGCAGGGATTACATGAGGCAAAGATTAGATGACAAAATTTTGAGTAGTTGTAACATATTTTTGCTGTTAACGAAAAAAGTTCATATGATCATTGTGAAGATGAGGTGAACCAAGCCGAGGGTTGTCGACTGCTACCTCTTCCTCCTTGATCTGAAGCTGGCGGCTGGTCTCACTTTCTCAGCAATGTTATTGTTTGCGGTTGACTGGCCAAGTTATACTCTTCTTCCCATTCTTTTCTTAATTTCTTCCAAATTACGAGTGCTGGATGGTAAATTTTTCCACTCTCGATGAGTGAATGTATTTCTTCTTTGTTTTCACGGAGAAGGGTCACCATATAATTTTATTTAAATATATAAAATATAATTAGAAGAGTTAATTGGTTGCACTTAGGACATACCTCCTTTGGTTGAATAATTAATCATTTTTCTTGAATGCCTATTGCAACCTGATTTCTTGAATGTTGAAATGAAAATCAGAGTTGTGATGGTTGTTTATTATATTTTATGTTCATGATTGACATGCTACTAGCTAGCATATCTGTATTTTAGTAATTAGTAGGTAGCAAAGAGGTTATAAATAGAAGGGAACATAATTAGGGTTTTACAAAGGTAGCGAAGAAAAAAGAAATGATAATGGTGGTTTCTCGCTTGTCTATTTCGATGTTTTTTTTTTAATTTCTGCATGTTTGCAGTGACATTTGTTTATTTCATAAAGGTGAATTTTTCCGCATTGAATCCCTAACTAAAGCTTGATTTTGACATGATTGTTTTCTTACAAACTACTATTTGGATTGATGCATATATTCAGTTCACAAATGAGGAATCTGCATTATTTGTCTATGTTTTTGTCATGTAAAAAATCACAATTCTTTTCTGCAGGAGATATGTAGCTCTCTACAAAATATAAATTGTGTTTAAGTATATGCAGTTTAATTTGCTTAAAATATCGCTTTAATAAGTTAGTGACAGCTGATAGTTTTGCTTGTGGTTGGTTTTGCTAGAACAATTCAAAGTAATTAAACGAGTTCGTGGAAGATTGATGGACGTGGATGCTAATGAGTTTCCGCATTATTCCAAAATTGTATGTGAAAGTGATAATACACGATATTCATGGGATTTAGATCGGAATATTCTCTATTATCATATACCGACATATGAGAAGGAAGAGGGGAAAAAGCTTTTCGCTTATTTTTCTTATTAATTGAAGCATATTTTCTTATTCTAACTTCTTCTTTTATGGCTGTAAATTCTTTAACTTCTTTATCACAATTGTGTGCTAAAGAATGAATAACTCTTATGTTTATAATCTTAAAGGGCGAGTTAGATAAAAAAAAATTCTAAATCAATAAAGAACAGTCTACAAAGAGCTTAGTTAATAAAATTAAAATGTTCATAAATAAACAAAAGGTATAAAGGTATGAAAAATATCTAAAATAAGGTAAATGAGATTTACAATTCCATGTATATTACCTTAACAAATATATATAATAATAACAATTAGAATACTATAGCAATTTATAAAATAACCAAACAAAATACACCGCTCAACAGGCCAGTAAAAAACTAGTTATATTATTTGTAGATACTCCAAAAGGAACGAATGGATATCTTACATATAAAATTGATTAAAAAAAAAAGAGAAGAAAAAAAAAAGAACAACTACGGATCATCTACCAACACTCGACAAGTAGTCTCTCTAGCCAATCTAAAAGAAACCAAGAAACTAACTACGGTGAGCCCAAAAGCTATCAGAAAGTCTAACCAGACTCTATCAAAAGTGGAGTACAGTACAAAACCACCGAGAGCCCAGTTAAACAGTAGAGTAGACAAAAACTTGAGCGTGAGGCAAAGGCCAACACTGGGCGCTCGCACGGCAAGCGGGAACACCTCTGGACCGTACATCCAGGGTATGGGCCCCACTGCGATCCCAATCGCCGCCTGCAGTGCAAAGATCTCGAAGCTCAACAGCACAAACGCCGCTCCGCGACCGATGCGCTCATGCGCATCGGCAAAGCTGGTCCCGGCGAGCAACCCCAAGGAGCATCCGGCTAGCCCCATCCCCGCAAGCAGCAGCCGCCTCCGCCCTGCCATCGACCTCCCCACTCCGTGCAACGAGGCCGTCGTCGCGACCAACTTGGCACAGGCAAGCACCATCAGTACGACCGAGAAGGACGGCAGCGATCCGAACCCGTTCCGTGTAAGGACGACAGGTACGAGGTGGAGAGCCATCTGCTCGCACGTCGCCTCTTGGGCGACGAGCAAGACAGTGGCGCTGCACAGGTCCCGAACCTGGGAACCGAACCGGTCCTCCACCTGGGCCCAGAACCCGGTGATCCGACCCGGGAACAGATCCACCCGACATGGATTGACTATGGAGCGGTAGGGGAACCCAGCAACGTGCTCCAGCTGCTCCCTCCTATCCCAAGGCTCCGCGCCTGTGGCCCCACACCGCTCCATCAATTCCTCGGCGAGCCTAACCTGACCGATCATCATCAGCCAGCACGGCGTGTCAGAGAACCAACGCGAGAAGACAAAGTAGGTGAAGAACCCGGTGGGTAGCGTGAGAGCCCCCGCCATCACCCTCCATGCTACGTGTCGTGGAACCCGGACGAGTGCCAATTCCAGAAGGTAGGCCGTTATCGTCCCCACTGCCATCAGTACCTTGGAAAAGATAGAAATACAACATTGAACCATGTTACTACGTATCACAATTAGGATCCAAATCCATGAATCCAATCCAATCCATCCATCAAATTATCCACCTAATCCAATCTATTTAAATCCAATCCATTTTATCTAATTCCAATTGGATTGGTGGATTCATGGATCAATCCATGGATCCAAATGGCAAATTATGATTTGGTACCTGTATTTTTTATATTTTACATTTTGGTACCTAAAAATTTTCATTATGACATTTTAGTACAAAAAATGTTCAAATTTTACATTTTGGTCCAAACCTTGGATGTCATTTGGATTCATGGATCAATCCACCAATCCATTTGATCCAATCCATTGGATCCAATTCATTTGATCCATGAATCCACCAAACCAATCCAATCCAAGAATCCAAGAATCTGATCCAATTGCCACCTCTAAATCCAATCCATCCACCAAATTATCCACCTAACCAATCCATTTGATCCAAATCCAATCGGATTGGTGGATTCATGGATCAATCCATGGATCCAAATGGCAAATTATGATTTGGTATCTATATTTTTTATATTTTACATTTTGGTACCTAAAATGTATATTTTTATACAAAAAATATCGTTGAAAATTTACATTTTGGTTCCTAAAGATTTTTCATCATGACATTTTAGTACCTAAACCTTTCAAAATTTACATTTTGGTCCAAGCCTTGGATGTCATTTAGATTCATGGATTAATCCACCAATCCATTTGATCCAATCCATGAATCCACCAATCCATTTGATCCAATCCATGAATCCACCAATTCATTTGATCCATTGATCCACCAATCCAATCCACAAATCCGATCCAATTGCCACCTCTATACATACTACATTAACTTAGCATCGCATTCTAGTTCTAGTTAAGAGAGAGAGAGAGAGAAAACTATAACAAATTAATTAAGTAAAACTACCTGAGGAAAGGTACCGTGGTAACCACGAGTAGTCGAGGGTGCTGTTTCGGCGATGTAGATGGGTCATGGGTCCCACAAGGAGACCCATCCCAACGCCGGAACCACCCGCGACACGTCCCAACCACGACGCAACAAAGTTGGTGGTGAAGGCCGCGACCAACGCCCCTATTACTATTACGTAAACCACGCCTCCAACGACAAAAATGTACTTCCTGCCGTACCGGTTGGCTGCCACTCCGGCGACAAAGGCGCCTACAGCGTAGGACAGCCTGCCCGCGTATGTCATGTAGAATGACATCTGGCTGTGAGTGAGGTGCAGGTCGTGCCAAACGGCATCTGCCCAATCGGAGCTCGCCATGTCTGCATGCATTGAGCAATAACCAATAATTTATTCATCGAGCAATAACGGTTGGTTTTTACTGAACCACCAAACTACTCTATCTTATCACTTTCCCAATTCGATTTCCCTTCCTAACTCCCAACTCCTCCAATCTCATACTCCTGTTACTGTATCCCGGCACCGACCCTTGTTAGGCTTAGATTTGGGCTGAGGCCGGGCCTAGTGGGCTGGAGGAAGTGTGGGTCAGACTGTGTTTGGGAGGGTAGGACGACTAGCCCGAGATAGTGTGGCAGTGGGCTTACACTTAGACTTAGGTCTGGTGGGTGGTTCGGTTTATTGGTTAGGAATTTGATGGTTCAATTTGGATTATTTCGAACCAAACAATGGCTATTGTCCAGCACTGGACAGATTTCCGATCCGAGTGTGGACCTTATTTGGTTACTAAGACCGAATAATTGATTCGGTCCAGCAAATGCCCATCCATTTTATTTATAGTTATTGAGCCATGCACGTCTTTATTTAACTTATTAGTCATTACTCATTGAGTCTGAGCTGGGTTGTTTCCAAAGGACAGAAATGAACAAAATAACGTACAGGTCATAAGGTGCACAAGGCCTAACGCCTACAACACATCAGAGGCCAAGATCAAAATTAACACTACGTACAGGTACAGCCCAAACCTTGAACCCAAAATTTGTATGGAAACGCATATATAATAATTAACAACAACTGCATGTTCCATCTTTGCAAAGTGGATTTTGCACCGATAAAGTTGAAAATCCCGCAAAGAATTTTATGGGTTCGTATCTAAGCTAAGCTAAGCTAATAATCGAAACAAAATTTATTAATTCTTGGATCTAAATTACTTACCGTATCCGTACAAGAAAAACGGGAAAGACGCTGCTAGGGCTAATGTAGTCATTGACGAAGGCTTTATTACCCACCATCCTTCGTTGCAAAACATGGCCACGTTGTGGCAAATGGTAGAGAGGGAACCAATGATACTGCTAGCTCGCCTGCAAAACCAACATCTATCACACAACAAAGTCACATGTATAATATTAGAGTAGGTTTCGCAACCAAAAATTTTACAACTAAATTCAAGGAGAATTTTTTTTACTACCAAACTAATTTTTGTCGAGAAAGCTTGCGTGAATCTACAAATAATTATATTTTGGTAGCTAAAATATTAACAAATTGATTGAGAATAGGCTCAAGTAGCTAACTAGCTAGCTCTACATGTTTTTTAACTGATGATCCATACTAGGAGAATAGCATCCATCCTAGTGTTGCAATCTGTTCTGTACGTCAACATACGGTATATATTCAATACTCGATCTATACAGAAATTAAGTGAAAATGTAGTGGAAAAAAAAAAAACGAATCGAGTGTACGTACGCGATTAAGGAAGCAAGGGGATGGAGATATGTGGCGCCGGCCGGTGTTCTGGTCTCCTGCCCCGGCAGCCGAAATGTTACCCTTAGAATTCGATCATTAGCCGCCGCCGCCATTGGTGGAGTTGAAGTTGATGATGCGGAACTTGTCATACAACCTGCTCGCCTGCAAAACCAACATATACATTATTTATTGATACATTAAGGGAAGGGAAGGGGTTAAGGTAGCTAGAAGAAGAACAAAGTCACACTACAACCATAAAAAGTAGAATAGATTTTGCAACAAATTTTTTTTACAACCAAACTAGATTTGTTTGAAAAAGACTATCATTTACAAATAATTATATTTCGGTAGCTAGCTAAAATATTAACAAATTGATCGAGAAAAGGCTAATTAGCTAGCTAGCTAGCTAAGCTCTACACATACTTTTTTTTTATTATCTGATCCATATATTATATATTATAGGAGAAGAGCAATATTAATTCTAGTGTTAAAAATCACTTTTGCACGTCAACATACATGCATATTTAGCAAGAAAAAGAAAATAAAAATCGGATGGAGGAGTAGTGTAGTGTACGCGACTAAGATATCGAGGGGATGGATATATGTGTCCGGTGTGGTGCCGTCGTGCTCCGGCAGCCGAAATGTTACCCTTGGATCTGTGGCAGCGGCCGGTGTTGTGGGGTCCCGGTCGGGCCGCGGAAAGGTTAGGCCTGCTGGAGCTGTGGATGTACTGGCCTCCCAATCATTAGCACCCATTATATATATGTTGGTGAAGTACGTACGGCGGAGAGAGGGAAATGTTGTTGTTCAGTCAGGACTGTGGAGGACGCGGGCAGTGCACTCTGGCGGCGGAAAGCTTTTGGTTGGGTGGTACTAGATCGAGAAGAGAGATGGTGCGGTGAAGGTGGGAGCTGCTCTGACTTCTCCTCTGAAACAAAAGAAAGCGTTTGGTAATGGTGTCCGGCGGTGGGAAAGGCCGGCAAAGGAATTAATTGCTTAATTAAATGGCAGGCATATTGGCTCTATTAATATTTATACTCGATCGTTTCACCAAGGAGGGAATCTAGCTAAGGGCCGGACCGGTGTGCCCAAAATGCATGCAAGTACGTACCAGTCAGTGGGATCGTTGGCTTTTTATGGCTGAAGTCGTCCAGACAAGACAACCAACTCCCCCCGTTCAATACCAAATCTGGAATCTTGTATTAAAGGATGTTGTCTTATCTTATGTGCAACCACATTATCATGTCTAGCTATTAGCAGAATGAGGAACTTTCAATTAACACTGGAAATTAGGAAAGTAATGGGTTCTCAATATATGTAAGAATATATATATTTTTTTATTTCTTATCTGGTGTCACAATTGGCCAGCTAAATTGTATGTGTTTGGTAATTTTTATAATTGTTATAAACGCGCCGCTACGGATCGGGAAATCGCCGGAATCGATAAAGCAAGAATACGAAAGCGCGAATCGAAAAACACAGACACACGATCTACGTGTGTTAGCTACGTCCACGGGCGAGAGAGAGCCAGTTTCACTATATCGAGGAGATTACAGATTACAGAGGAGTATGAGAAACTTTCAATTAACACTGGAAATTTGGAAAGTACTAATGGGTTCTCAATATATGTAAGAATATATATATTTTTTTTATTTATTTCTTATCTGGTGTCACAATTGGCCAGCTAGATTGTAAGTGTTTGGTAATTTTTATAAAGGTACTCAATTCAAATCCTGTTCACGTACATATTAGGCATTTATTTGTGCATACGTATGTATGTACATGCATGATTATTTTCATATTTAACAATTCTCCGTAAATCGTAGGGAAAGGAGGAAAAGTACGTCCACACGTACACAAGTGACAAGTCACAACTGGCAGGACGGTACCCCATTCTTCGAAACGGGAAGAGATCAGGTGCAATTGAATTAATTAATTAATTAATTAAGGTCCATTATTCCCGCAGAAAGCAATACGATTGTGACATGCAACAGATTAATTACGAATCCAGCATATAGAGTGAACGAAGAACACTAAGGAAATATTTGCTCAAATGACTAATTACCAATCCTCTGTCTGTCATGACCCACACATTTACGTATCATGCGTCACATGCAGATTCTTTCTACTTTCGATTAGTAAACAGAATTAATTAATCACTATCACTTTGGGTTTAACGTTGAGGGGATGCATGTGATATTTTTATCTTCTTGCTAGTACTCGATCTCTAATAATGAAGTGTATATATAATATAGTTAGATGGGATATTAATGATTCGTATTAACAAACAAATTTCTCAGAGAAAATTGGAAGAAGGAAAATTGATCTTTCTTCTGCTTTCTTCCTTTCTTATATATATCAAAGAGTTCATTACAAGACAAAAAACCAGCTCAGGCGGTAAAAGAGATAAACAGTGAATTGGTAAAGTGAAAAGGGTCGTTGTCGACCGTTGTGAAACCACGTGACCAGCTCGTGATCAAGTCTTCTGCACTGTCGTTTTTGAGGAAGAAAAAACTACCGTTTCTTCCGCTGTTACCCCACACAAGCTGGAGGGCAGAGGTTCAGCACTCCAAGCTTGGACAGAAGAGAAGAAAACGGTGCTGGAGAAAGGGGCTTAGTGAATATGTCTGCAAGCTGGTGAGGTGAAGGCACATGGAATACTTTGATGACTTGAGCAAGGAGTTTCTCACGAACTAGGTGACAATCTAGTTCTATATGCTTCGTCCTCTCATTAAACGTGGGGTTTTCAGCAATATAGATAGCAGATTGGTTGTCACAGTATAAGGAAACATGCTTTGGATGGGGCACCTTGAAGTCTTGAAGAAGAAAGAGAAGCCATTGAATTTCACAGGTTGTGTGTGCCAAGGCCCGATACTCTGCCTCACAGGAAGAGCGAGAGACGGTGGATTGCTTCTTGGACTTCCAAGAGACAAGAGATTTACCCAGGAACAAGCAATAACCATTGATTGACCTGCGCGTATCCGGACAAGCTCCCCAATCCGAATCACTAAAGGCTTTCAATTCAAGAGAGGACTGTGAAGAGAAGAATATACATGTGCCTGGACTCTTTTTGATGTATCTGAGGATGCGATGAACAGCCTTGAGATGAGTAGCAGTGGGATTGCACATGAACTGACTTACCTGTTGAGTGGCGAAGCTGACATCAGGACGAGTCATGGTCAAGTAAATCAGCTTCCCAACTAAGCTTCGATAAGCAGTAGCATCAACAGGTTCAGAACCATCATCCATCTTGAGGTGTACCTTATAGTCCATGGCAGTGGAGGCTGGTTTGGCTCCAAGATGACCAGCTTCTTCAAGTATTTCCAGCGTGTATTTACGCTGTGAAAGATGGATGCCCTTGGGGCTGCGAGCCACTTCCAAACCGAGAAAATATTTGAGAACTCCCAAATCTTTTATGCTGAAAGCTTGATGCAAATGAGCTTTAATCTGATTGATTTCCAGAAGATCATTCCCACCAATAATTAGATCATCAACGTAAATCAAGATTGCTATGTAGGAAGTAGAAGAAACCTTGGTAAACAAGGAGTGATATGATTTGCTCTGAGAATAACCCTGCTGCAGAAGGCTGTCTGACAGCTTGGAGAACCATTGTCGAGAGGCTTGTTTGAGGCCATAGATTGCTTTGCGAAGCTTGCAAACTGGGTTGATGATGTTTGGTGGAGCTGCCACACCCTGAGGAAGCTTCATGTACACATCCTCAGTTAAATCGCCATGTAAAAAGGCGTTGTTGATGTCCAATTGGTGAAGGTGCCAGTTACGAACTGCTGCAACAGCCAAAAATAGCCTGACCGTGGTCATTTCAACTACTGGAGCAAAGGTGTCCATGTAGTCAATGCCCTCACGTTGAGTGTACCCCTTTGCTACAAGTCGTGCCTTCTTCCTTTCAATAACACCTGTGGACAAGTACTTGATCTTATAGATCCACTTGTTGCCAATGGGAATCACATTCGGAGGAAGAGGCACAATATCCCATGTCTTGTTTCTTTCTAAAGCTGTGACTTCATGTTGCATAGCCAAGTTCCATTCATTACACTGAGCAGCCTCACGATAAGAAGTAGGCTCTCTATGAGCAGAAATAGTAAGAGCAAAATGACGATGAGAAGGGGTGAGTGAATCATAGGAAATGTAAGAAGTAATTGGATACCTGGAACTGGAAGTTGCTGGACACCATTTGGATGCAAATAAGTGAGGTCTGCGGTTTACCAAGAGCTCACAGTCATAGTCTTGAAGCTTAGAAGGAGGACGAATGACACGAGGAGGCAAGGAAGAGGAGGAAGGAGGAGAAGTGGATGAAGAAGGTGAAGTGGTTGGGCTGCTTGGAATAACAGGAGAGGGTGGAGTGTCAGGAGGAGTATCACTATCAGAGTCTGAATCCTGGTCAGGAGAAGAGGGAGCAGAAGAAGAAGGTGAAGCTGGGGGAATGTAAGGTGGGTCATTATCATCCTGAACAGGAATGGAAATGGAAGGGGAAATGGTGGAAGAAGGGGGGGAAGAAGATTTGACAGCAAAGGGAAAAATAGACTCGTGAAACTAGAAATTCCTGGATGTGAAAACCTGGTGATTATCTAGGTCGTATAATTTGTAACCTTTGATACCAGGTGTAAAACCAATGTTGATACATTTTCTTGCACGAGAAGAAAACTTTGTTTGAGTACTGGGATAGGTGGAGGCAAATGTAAGACAGCCAAACACTTTGAGGAAGGATAGATCAGGTGGTTTGGTATGTAAAAGTTCAAAGGGAGATTTGTTGGAAAGAATTTTGGAAGGGATTCGATTGATCAGGAAAACAGCATGTAAAACACAGTCTGACCAGAATTCTATAGGGAGATTGGCTTGGAATTTTAAAGCCCGAGCAACAGATAAAATGTGCTGGTGCTTACGTTCCACTTTGGAATTTTGTTCAGGTGTCTCGACACAGGAGAGCTCATATATGATGCCTTTACTAGCGAAGAAATCTTTCATTTTGAATTCATTTCCCTGATCACTTCGGATTCGTTTAATGCGAGTAGAAAACTGAGTTTCAACTAGGTTGTAAAATGAAATCAAATGGGGTCTGGTATCTGATTTCTGTTTCGTAAAGAGTACCCAGGTCATTCGACTGAAATCGTCAACAATGGTTAAAAAATAACGAAAACCATCGTGAGAAGGACTGACATTAGGACCCCAGATATCCATGTGAATAAGATCAAAAGGTCTACTTGAAATAGAACTGCTAGGATGAAAGGGTAATCGTTTCTGCCGTGCAAAATGGCATACATCACAACCAGGAATGTGATTCATATCTATACTAGAGTGCAATTGCTTTAGGTAGGGAAGTCTAGAAAAAGAAACATGGCCTAACCTATAATGCCAAAGATCAAAGGAAGAAGTTGTGCTTGAGGCAGCAACTTGACAAGAATCAGGAATTGGACTTCTGTGCATTCTGTAAAGACCATGTAGGAGCTCAGCAGAACCAATCACTTGCATCTTCATAGTGTCCTGAATATAGCAAAAACCAGAAGAGAAAGTGAGACAAAGATTGTTCTGCTGAGTGAGTCTACTCACGGAAATGAGATTAAAGGTGAAATCAGGGACAAAGAGAACATTAGTGAGAATGAGGGTGGGTGAAAAAAGGACAGTCCCCATATGAGTGGCCTGTATTGATTGACCAGTAGGTAGATTGATGTTAACCTTGGTCACAGAATGGCAGCTGGTAAACAAACTCTTGTCACAGATTATATGATCGGTAGCCCCAGTGTCAAGAATCCATAGATCATGGTATAACTGAGGACTAGCTGGGACAGAAGAGAGAATGTACTTGCCTGATTCATCCATAGGTCTACTTACAAAGGCACCAGCTGCATGAGAAGAACTGGGAGTGGAATTGCCAGAGGTGTCAGAGGAAGAGCCAGAGTTGGATTTCAGAAGGTTCATAAGGCCATCATATTGTTCTCTGCTCAAAGTGACTCCATCAGCGTCGGTCTGAGTAACAGCTGAATGTGCTTGCCGTGGAGTCGAAGACAGAATGCCCCGACCACCCCTGGGAGACATACCAGGCGGCCACCCGTGTTTGTAGTAGCAGGTCTCCTCAGTGTGACCCTGCATCTTGCAGAATGTGCAGAAAGGACGGGAAGCACCAAATCTGCCACGAACCCTGCCTCTGCCTCTGAAGTTCCCAGGAGAGGGAGTCGATTCTGACCGACCTTGTTGGTGATCTGGAAAGCGAATACCCATGGACTGGAGGGCTGGAGCAATAGATTCAACAACGCGACCCTTATCCGGGTTGGTACCATAGCATTGCCTTTCATATTGAACCATCCGATGAAAAACTTGGTCCATGGTAGGCAGAGGATCACTAAAAAGAACTTGAGACCGAGGAATAGCATAATTGTCATTCAATCCACGAAGAAAGTGGACAATCAGATTCGTATCATGATAGAAGCGAACTGTGTTAATGGCGACACAATCTCGATGACTATTAGGAGCACACACACAGGTGGGGATAGGCTGAAAATTTTTGAGCTCTTCCCAAACTGTAATGAGGTCGGTATGATAATCAGACAAGGACCTAGCACCTTGCTTCATAGTGCATAACTGTTCGTGCAACTCAATGATTCGAACAAAATCAGCTTGACCATACCTTTGACGAAGAGTATTCCAAACATCAGTAGCAGTTTTGAGGCTACGAACACTCTTACCAATCAACTCACCAACTGTTTGGAGGATCCAGCTCTTGACCATCATGTTGCATCTCGTCCAGGGCCATTCGAGGTCGTCGCCAGGCTTTGCTTCAGGGATCGTACCATCGATGAAACCCAATTTGTTTTTGGATGCAAGTGCGTCGAGCATCGCCACACTCCAGTCATTGTAGTTGTTGGCAGTGAGCTTGATGGAAATCAAAACTTGCCCAGGCTGCTCAGACCCATGAAGGTAATAGGGATCTGAGAGTGGGTAATCAGTCCTTGTGGCGGAGCTGATAGCGGTAGTCGTGGCGGTAGTCTAATCAGCCATGACGAAAACGGCGAAGAAGAGAAGAAGAAAAACAAAACGAAGAGGAAAGGAAACAAGAGGAAGAAGACGAAGGAAGGGTTAGGGTTTGGAAACCCTAACGTGGAGGCTCTGATACCATAACAAACAAATTTCTCAGAGAAAATTGGAAGAAGGAAAATTGATCTTCCTTCTGCCTTCTTCCTTTCTTATATATATCAAAGAGTTCATTACAAGACAAAAAACCAGCTCAGGCGGTAAAAGAGATAAACAGTGAATTGGTAAAGTGAAAAGGGTCGTTGTCGACCGTTGTGAAACCACGTGACCAGCTCGTGATCAAGTCTTCTGCACTGTCGTCTTTGAGGAAGAAAAAACTACCGTTTCTTCCGCTGTTACGTATTCTTGATTCTTCCCTAGTTAATTGATTCTATTCAATTGTATGAGTTGTATATGTATTTTTTTTACCCGCACCTTCTCAAAGGAAAGCTTCTTTGCGAGCTTTCATTTTTTATACGTATCATCCCGTATACTATATAAACTATTGTTTATGTTTGAAATCATCATAAGAATTTGAAACTATGACCTTTCGATCAAAAACTCTAATATCGTATTAACGGAAAAACCACTTAATTATTTCAATATGAGTTGTATACTCATTTTCTTTTTACAATTTCACGATATATTATCATCCTGAGTGACGGTACAATTAACATGATACTTTCAAAGACACGTAGACAAAGAAAGAAAGGGAATATGAGATATAAAACTCGATCGACCAGATGCCCAGTAGTACTTCACGAGCGAGCTAGAAGAAGAAAGAAACTAAATTATACACACTAATCCAGTATAATTAAAATCAAGGTGTCACATCAAGATAATTGAGGAGGCAGTCGCCACCCAACGCCTGCCCATATCCAAGAAAGAAGGGGAATAGTCCTTCAAAACGATTCTTCAGTTTATAGATAACCTAACTTAATTCCACCCTCATGAATTACGAAATGCACTAACCTAACAATCATTAACACTGTTCGCACGGCAAACCACAATAGCAAATTTGGAGTAATGTATTCAAAGATGCTGTCTTATGTGTACGTTTTTATGTCTAGCTAGTAGAATGAGCACCTTTTAATTCACACTGGGGATTTGGGAAATTAATGGATTTTCAATATATTCAATATGATAAGATTTTTTTAGTTTCTTATCTTGTGTAATAATTGATCAGTTATAAGCCGAGTCGAGCCGAGTTTTAACCAAGTTTGAGCTTGATTTGTTAATAAACCAGTTGAGCTCGAGCTTTTTATTAACGAGCCGAGTCGAGCTCGAGCTAGGCTTGTTTAGTAAAATCTTGAGTCGTATTTGATAATTCATTTTGAAAGTCATGTATGATATATGAGATTGATGTCATGATGAAAAAAATAATAATAGTCAAATGCTCAATATTAACTAATCTCATATTATACTTTGTTGGTATCATATTATATAGTTAATAAATTTTAACTAGTCCTAATCATGTTATTTAACAGCATTGAAGCAATATGTGATATAAAATCTCTTTTTAAAATAAAAAATAATATATATTTACTTACATACTCAATGTGTTAAACTTCATATAGGGTGAGATATATAATTTAACAATCATATGAATTGAACTCATAAGTAGGTAATCAAGTTGGCTTTTTAGCCACAATGTGAGACATCTCATCATGAGCTCCAAATGAGCCAGCTCACGAGTTTAGCTCAATAAGCAACCGAGTCGAGCTAGCTCGCGAGCTTCACGAGCTGGACAAGGCTTAACTCATGATTGACTCGTTAATAAACGAGTCGAGTTTCGAGCGAACTTTTTCCAAGTCGAACGTCGAGCCGCTCGCGAGCAGGTCGACTCATTTGCAGCCCTAATCAGTATATCTTTCTACTTTCTATTACTAGCTAGAATTAATCACTATCCTTTGGGTTTATTGCTATCTTCTTACCAATACTGTATGACAATGTTGATATAATATATTTTGATCAGATATTTTATTTGGAAGAGTGCAGCAACCAAAGTTAGAATTGAACTATAATTGTCACCTCTAAAAGTGTCCAATAAAAAATTCAATACGGCTCAAAATAAAATATTAAAATGACTTGCTTAGCAGTAAGAATATACTAATTACTACTTTTCTCTCGTTTTATCGAGGGTTGTATTGAGGCGGCGAAAACCCTAGGTTTTCCGTAGAAAGGTCGGCGACCAAACTAGATCTCTACGATAACAGAGGTAGAAAAGGACTACGTTTCCTTCTACAAGTAGGTTACAGAGGTGGAATCACAAGCCTATTTAGCTTATTACAGTAAGTCGAGGAAAAGAATTCCCTTGTGAAGAGCTACAGCCTACAAGCAAGCAAATAAAGGAAGAGTGGAAAAACAAGAAAGGTGTAGAACACATTCCTTGTGCAAACTAGCACGCAACTCTTGTTCAATATATGTCACCAACTCATCGTTTATTCGATTTTGAATATAATTTTTTGTATATTCATGGGTGAAAATTATCTTCCCACACTTATAGTTGCAACATACAGATAATTGTCAACTTGAGAATTAAATAACTAGATAGATACGGTTTGTGCTTATTTGTTTTCACTTTTTTCTAACTCGTCAACCCTTTGTAAGTTTTTAAATCTGCCATCAAATGGTAGGTAAAATAATACATGAATTCAACTTATGACCGAGAAATATCATAAGATTTGGGGTAATTGATATGAATCGTACTAGTATCGACAGGGGAAAAACAACCGTTGGGAACTTCTTATGGGAACAATAATAGTTGTAGGTTTAATTTTAGAATGGGCTAATACCACTACAACACCCGAACTGTCCGAAAAATACCACTTGTATCCTATTGTTTCCAATATTCCATCTGTGTCCTGAACTATTATATTTTATATCATTTGTATCCTAACAATTTTGTTGACCGTTAAAGATAACAGTTGACCAAACGGCGGTCAAAATAACATTGACTTTTGCTGACGTGGCAATGCCAAGTCATTGACACCTCACATTTTTAATTTATATTAAATAAAACTTTGAAAATAAAAATTGAAAAAACTCTAAATTCAATAATATTACTAAATAATATTATAAAAACCCAAAATTCAAGGATATATATCTTCGAAGTCGACGGTCCGTTCTTCTCTGCTTCTTCATCTTCCTCCCATGCCCCTTGGTGAAAGCTGAATCGTCATTCACCGTTCCACGAGGACCAGCTGTTCTTGGTCTAGATTGCATGCCCATTCGAAGTCTAAAGGGGGGTTCTGTCCAGAAATCAGAAAATCTCGCACCGGCAAAAGGAGATCATGAGCGTGTTGGCGACAACTCTCTACTAACACCACAACAGCTCGAATGTTTCCACAATAGGGGGATCGCCACAGCGAAATCAGATGTTTTCGGCTTCTAGATCCGCATCGCCATCGATTTGGGGAAGAAGGGAGGTGGATTTAGCTTACCCTGCTTCCGGCTTCGACGAATGCAGTAGCAGCAAGCCCAGATCTGGTGCTGCTGCCGCAATTATAGCAACATTGTCCTTGTCGGCCATTCTCCGTCTCTTGCTTTTGATGCTCGTACCTCGTACATGCTTTATCCGGAGCCTCAACGTCGACGGGAGCGAGTTCTAGGACTACCTCCGACTACCAGTACAGACTCTATCCATCAGCGACACTATCGCCATTGGAATAATCAATCATCAGATCCAGATTTCCTGGGTCCAATCCTCCTCCAGCTGCTCCAATCGATGCGCGATGTAAGCTTCTTCATTAGCGTTGCGTATGGGTATCCCAATCAATGGAGGAACCCAAATCCCTCGCACTGGCGAGGAACCCCCCATATCGGCGACCTTGCTTCTTGCAAACCCAGATCTGCCGCCTTGATTTACTAGTGATAGAACCTAGAAACCAAAAAAATCAACCCTCCTACGCCCTGGATTTGTCGAGTTTTGTCGATGATTCATTGTGGGCATCTTCATCTCACATCATGACTCGCTCGGGGATGAGGAGGAGAGTCCATCCAGTGAAGAAATCGGAGATAATTGTTGGAGCATGGTGCCGCTGTTGTTGTTGGGCGGAGTAGCAGCAGATGCGGGGAAGGGTGAACAAGGAGAAAGGGTCAAGTGGATGAATGGTGGAGATGGAAAGTTTTTATTTTTTTCATTGTTTTTTATTTTAATTATTTTATTAAATAAAAAATAAATGAAAATTCCACGTCATGTGCCACATCAACGCTGACTAGACTTTCTGTTAAAAATCAACGGTCAAAACAAGTCAACTTTAACAGAAAAATAGTTTAGGACACAGATGGAATATTGAAAACAATAGGACACAAGTGGCATTTTCGGAATAGTTCGGGTGTTGTAGTGGTATTAGCCCTTTTAGAATTAACTTGTTATTTTATATAAAGAATCGTGAGATTTATTAGAAACACATCAAGTGAAGATTGTAAGGAAGATTGTTTAGTATTAGTCGATCAAGGATAATTTCCCAAACTTATTTTTCCCTTCGTAAATTTTTGCTGCTCCTCCAAGCCAAGGAGGGTGCAAGCACCCCAACCTAATGAGTGGCTCCGCCACTGCATGCAGATTCTTTCTACTTTCGATTAGTAGCTACAATTAATCACTATCACTTTGGGTTATTTAACTTTCGTTGAGGGGATGCATGTGATATGCTATCTTCTTACTAATTGTATATTACAATGGTGATCCGATTGTTTATTTGAAAGAGTAAGAAGAGTGCAATTGCTACCAAAATTATGATTGAGTTATGATTGCCACCTCTAGAAAGTGTCCTATAAAAAAGTCAATATAGCTCAAAATAAAATCATAAAAATGACAATATCTATATACATCCTCTTAAAATGGTTTTTTATTTTATTTTGTTGAAAGGATCCTTTTAAAACTCAACCTCCAAATATTCTCAATAAATTAACAGAAAACAATAAATTGTAACTATTTCAATTTTCATATGTTAGGGACATATTGGCCTATTGGTATGGGCTTAGGCCCAACATGGCTTCTCTTCTTTCTTGCGTACGGGTTTTGACTTGGTTTAGTGGCATTTGAACTTTGAAGTAGCTAATCTGCTTCAACAGAATTGACGCTTCGTCACACCGGCCGGCGGCCGGCGGCCACCGCGTCACTTCTACAGAGACTATAGGAGCGCTCCACGTTGCATGGAGGCCGCCGCTGAGCGGGACCCACGTGGGGCGTTCGTTCCGGAATTCCCGTTCCCCCGAAATCTAATGTCTCCCCCTCCCTTTTCCTTCTCCCGCCTTTATCTCAACCATTTTCCCCCTCCTCTTTTCCGCCACCATTCGACCCCCTTCTTCCCCTTCTCGATCATCTGAAAATTTTGGGGGACAAATCGCTAAAAGAGAGAAATCATGGACGCCAATTTCGTGCTGGTAAGGCAAATCCCACCCGGGATTCGACTTCTCCGAGCAGCCAGAGGCCGGGATTGGACCCTGAAAACCTACCGGTACGCGATCCTGCTGGTTACCTTCATCGCATACGCCTGCTACCACGCTTCCCGAAAACCTAGCAGCATCGTCAAGAGCGTCCTCGACCCCGACCCTCTGAACCAACCGCTCTCAGGTAACGATCCTTACCCTTGGCCGATTGGGAATGTGTTCATCAAGGAGGAGGAAGGGCAAAATTCGTCAATTGAAGGTAGCAGTAGAGGTTGGGCGCCGTTCAACGGCAAGGACGGGACGTCGAAATTGGGGGAAATCGACGTGGCCTTCTTGTCCTGCTACTCGTTGGGGATGTATGTGGCGGGACATTTGGGGGATAAATTGGATTTGAGGCTCTTCTTGACCTCTGGCATGGTGGGAAGCGGGATATTCGTCGCGCTGTTTGGGATGGGTTACATTTGGAATGTTCATGTGTTCTGGTTCTACCTGGCGATGCAAATGGTTGCCGGGCTGTTCCAGGCCACGGGCTGGCCGTCTGTTGTGGCGGTGATAGGGAACTGGTTTGGGAAGAGGAAGAGAGGGTTGATTATGGGGATCTGGAATGCGCACACCTCCGTTGGGAACATCAGCGGCTCGCTTCTTGCGGCTGCGGTGTTGAGCTGTGGATGGGGGTGGTCCTTCATTGTTCCTGGAGCTTTTATTGTGCTTGGAGGGGTGCTGGTTTTCCTGTTCTTGGCTCCGTATCCGGAGGATATAGGGTTTACTACTGCGCAGTTGATGGCTACGGATGATAATGGTCAGGATGTGGAGGGTCAGAATCGTGGTGAGGCGGCTGGGAATGACGGAGGTGGCCCTGTTCCTGGACCGTGTGGATCGGGACTCAGGACGAGCGTTGGCCTCGTAGAAGCTTGTTTGATTCCGGGAGTTATACCGTTTGCATTGTGCTTGTTCTTCTCGAAGCTCGTGGCCTACACGTTCTTGTATTGGTTGCCTTTCTACTTGAGCCAGACAGGTTTGGGTCCTTTACCTTTGGTGTCAGTTTTGTCATCTTGATTTGGTTGATTGTTTGTCAATGCTAGCTGTGATTCGAACTCTCATATGGGAAACATGGGTCGATGCCTATACAAACATTTGTAGAATGTAGCAATCGATTGGTCGAGATTCATACTGTCGGAGATGGGGGGATGGCTAAATGAACCTTTAAAGATTGTAGCAATGGATTTCAATTTTATTCTCTTGTCATTCAATCTGTACAAGTTTCTTCACTCATTGACCTTGTGTATGCAAGCAATCTTTTTGCTTGAATTGGTTGAGAACATGGCATCTCTATATGTGCTACAATTTAATGATCGAAGGTTATAATTGCAGCAATTGGTGGGCACTTCATGTCCGTGAAGTCTGCCGGCAACCTCTCTACTCTGTTCGACGTAGGAGGCATCGTGGGCGGTATTCTTGCCGGTTACATATCAGACAGACTCAAAGCTCGAGCCATCACAGCAGCCAGTTTTATGTACATGGCGATCCCAGCCATGCTCTTATACCGCTGGTACGGGAGTGTCTCCCAGTCCCTGAACATCATACTGATGATGATTGCTGGCTTGTTTGTGAACGGACCCTACGCACTGATCACAACAGCAGTGTCTGCGGACCTTGGCACCCACAGCTCTCTCAGAGGTGATTCTCGGGCACTTGCGACTGTCACTGCAATAATTGATGGCACTGGATCGATCGGTGCAGCCCTTGGTCCGCTTCTCACCGGGTTTCTATCGACGAGAGGATGGAACTTGGTGTTTGTGATGCTGATGCTCTGTGCCCTTGTCGCTGGCCTTCTTTTGACGCGTCTAGTAATTGCCGAGATTGCTGAAAAGGCTGATCGGCCAATACCTGGTGGTAAGCAGGGACATGAAGGTAAGGATTTGAATGACATTGCTTGGTATTGTTGCTGCTATCTTACAAATTTCTCTCCTCTGAACCCGTTTTCTCAATCTGTGATTGACAGCTCCAGCATCAGAGCCACTTCTAGGCAATCTAAGGTGAAATTTTTCCGGTATATAAGTTCGCAATATCTTCTCTACAAGAACAAAGAACAGACATTAGACTCTCAATTTTTTGGATAGCTGAAACATTGCAGCCTGTAAGAAGGATTCAGAGGAGACATGCAAATGCAACAGCCATATAGTTTTGTATAGTCTCATTGCAATATATTATTTTTGTTTCCTGTGTGAAATGTAGTGTACAAATTGGACAACACAGAGTTAGTAGTATGTATATAGGAATCATCATGAGTGTTTTACTACGAGATGACAATTTTGATCTGATCTGACCCGAGGCACTGGAAGGAACTGGGTGTATTGCCAACTCCGAGAGTAAGACTTCTGAGTTCTGACAGAGATCAATGTTCAATACAAATCAAAGTCATAAATTTTGTTGTTTTCTTTTTCGGAGTGATGTGTAATGCAATTATTTTGGATGTACTTTTTTTTAGTATTTTTACTTTCCCTTGAGAATGGTTCACTATTTGCAGGACAGTGAACCAGTCATTAAACCAGTAATATGCTTCTACTTTTGAATATCAGAACAAAGCAAATATGTTCTTCATGGTGCATATGCTCTTTTGTGGAATTTTTTTTATACAAAAATTGAATATTGATCGAGTTCAGTTGGGATCCAAAAACACACCCAAAAAGGCAGCAACTAAGCTCGCAAGTTAGTCTCCCAATACCACTTCAAACAAAATACTACTCTGTTTTGTAAGCTTATGAAAACAGGTTCGGATGTTTAAACCCAGATGTTTAAATCAACCATAGTTTTAGGATTAATCTGGCGCTGTTAAAGGGGAGATGAGAGATTAGTTTAAATAGGGATATTGGAATTTGGGAATTGTTAGATGTGATTGGATATTGGTTTTCTTTTGAAACATGAAACTTGTTTTGGGATATACTTTGGAATTGGTTTGGTGTAGTGGGGATGTTTTTATATATATTATAATTAGGTGTTCATCGGCTTGAGCCCTTTGGACTCTCCACTAAGATCCCCATTAGCATTGTTGGGAACACAACGAAAGGGCCTCGAGGGGGCCAAACTCAGGACCTCACATGTCCAGAACGAGCGCCTAACGAGGGTTCACCAATCGGGTTATGTGACCTTTGGCGTAGTGGGGAGAGTTAGTCAATAGAGTGAAAATATTATATTGACGAGAAAGGTAAAGTGCAAATGGTTTACAAAGTCTTTTTTAACTTTATTTTATTGATTAAAGTTATTAGTGGCTTCTTTTAGAAAAGTGTGTGCAATTTAATTTGACATATTAAATCACACTACACATTTAACATGTTAGCGCCGTGCATTTTGGAATTGATTTTTTCTACTAATAATTAATTGTTTATTCTGAATTATTTTGTGATTAATTAATTTTGATAATTAATTAATTGATTATCTTTTGTGAAACACATAAGGAAACTATCATTTTTTCACAATTTAAGTACCGCCTAATTTCTTCCTGACGTTAATATTTTTCTTCCAAGTTTTCTTATCAAATTCACAAATACAAAAATATGCGAGATTGTTATTTCCATACTTAAATTGAAGGGACCCCTAGGGTAATTTAATCGATTCCTACAAAAAATTTAGAGTCGACACAAATTACATTTTAAAAAGAGTAATTCACGCTTTCAAGTCTGTTTCTTTTCATCCAAGTTACTAACAGGAAAGCAGGCGACAGTGAGCAAAAAATTGGACAAGAGAACTTGTATTTGTGTGTTGTGGGTTAGTTTGGTTTGCAACATGCTCATCATGGGTTGTACATATAAATATAATCATAATAATTGTTTTTGTAATAATTATAGTCGATGTTTCTATAGCTGTAGGACTACAATTCGAACACAATTAACACTTTAGACAAATCCCACATCGACAAAGTACGGGAGAGATCCATGGTTTATAAGTAAGAAACCGACCTTAACTGACAAGACGCGTTTTGGGGTGAAATGAAGGAGTTCTTGTGAGAACTCCGAAGTTAAATGTGCTTAATGTGGAGTACAACAAGGATAGATAACCTTATGAGAAATCACCTTAAATTACACCACAAGTCAAAAACCGTGAGGGTTGAGGCCCAAAACGGATAATATCTTCATCGAGAACTGCAAATTTTATAAAACTTCTCTTACATAGATTCTACACTATAATATTATATTGAACAAATATAATAATCAATTAAAAATTCAAGCTTAATAGTTAAATAGTTAAGTTATAACTTTCGACCACCATATACGTCCAAAATAAAGAGTATGTTATAATAACACACCTTTTTCAGGTTGTGCTAACATTGATGAACCCGATAAAATTTGAAGTTGGTTTTTTAATAATTTAAGCATCATCTTAGGAATAGTTGTAGCATTCAGGCAGGGGCGGAGTCAAAATTTTAGGTTTGGCCTGGCTTCTCATTGCCAGAAAGGCTTTCATGTCGAATACTAATAGTGGGCATCGCCATTGATAAACCAGATAAAACTTGGAGTTAGTTTTGTCAGGGAAACCGTATGGAAGAGAACGATTGAAGGCGTGATTAGATCACTCTTCTTAGAGTGTTTATTTGCCCCCATTACTTTGTTGCTGGAAGGATTTAGGCAAACCACCCCCAGGAGTCCCTCCAATCAACGTCAGAAAGCAGCACCTTTCTTGACTACTGTGTTTGTGTTTTTGAAGAAGGAAAACGAGGAGAAGAAGAAGAACGTTAGAACAGAAATTCGGCTGCAGATGACTTTTATAGTGAAAACGGCAGTTCCCTTCCGAAGGGTTGCGTCGTTTCACAAAACTCAAAATCAAATAATTATCCGGATTAATTAATTAAAATAATTCCGGTAATTAATTAGCCAAAAATTCAAAAAGCCCACTAAGTGCGTAGTGCGATTTAATATGTCCAATTAAATAGCCCACACTTTTTCCAAAAGCCCACTAACCACTTTATCCAATAACTAAAGTGGAAAGCAAACTTAAAACAACTTGCACTTTCTTTCTCCCACCAATGTGGTATTTCCTTTACTCTTTGACTACTCTAACAAGTTTTTCATTAATTTCAGCATCATCTTAGGGATAGTTGTAATCTCAAAGTTAACTAATCTTGCATAATGCGAATTGATGAGATGTTAAATATTTTAGTTAACAATAATAGAATTTCGATTAATAGTAAATGAATAATTAAATATTGTTCATATTATTTAGTACTTTACATTGAAAATAAATGAGTTTATATATTTATTAACCTATCTAAGAAATATGTGTATAATGTAAGGTTGGATATAGAGAAAAAGACTTATCGTAGAATTTCATATGAATTTTAGACTTATCGTAGATATAGTTGTAGGGGATTAACTCATATGAATAGTATTGCTAAAAACAAGAAATAAAAAGGGTTATGGTAGAATTTCATATGAATTTTAGACTTATCATAGATATGATTGTAGGGGATTAAACTCATATGAACAGTATTGCTAAAAAGGAGAAATGAAAAGGATTATGGTAAAATTGGGTGTATGGGATAAAAACCCCCTTGTGAATAATACCCATAGAGAAAAAATATCCTATTTTTCTTAATGAACATTAAAAAGTGTTTTGGTCGACAAAGATTTTTTGTGCCATTAATGTTCTAATTAATTAACTAATTTATCACAATTTGACTCTTAAATGAACAAGTTGTAAAACACTATTTCATAGAGTCACATCATAAGGAGTGCTCTTTTTGTAATTAAGTCCAATTCAAATCAAACAAAATTATGAAGAACAACTGAACAAGCGAACAAGAATTTCATTTCGTGATACTATCATTAGTGTTCAACTTGAAAGTTCCAAGTTCGATTCTCTTTAGTAGCACCTAACTTCAAATACTTATTTTCCACAATTCCATATATATTCCCCCAATGTCTCTTCTTACTTGAATCCTTTTTTCATTCTTAAATAAAAGGATAGATCCTTTGCGTCGCTTCCTGCAAACCCCTCTCTTTCTATGTAAGAATCTACAAAGCTTCCTTGATGAAAAAGCAATATAGTTTTTTTTTTTGTTAATTTCTCAAAAATAAAATCTTGTCAATCAAGAAAGGAATTGTCCTCACCTTCTATAAAATATACAACGACTCCATTAAAAAATCTATATGGCCTTGCCCACACCATTGCATTTGAGAAAGTAGGGATTCCCTTTGAGGTCCAAGTAAGTATTTCAGCTTCTTTTATATGGCAATTTTTATGTCACGTATATCGAGTACAATTGAGTTATGTGCATAAGTTTTGCATATCATGATGCTTTCATAACCATCTGTATATATAGGTCGGAGCTAGGTGAGGTTTGGGAGAATTTTAAAACATTTATTTTTCAGTTGTAAAGAAATTGAAGGACATGCTACACATTAGAATGCATGATTTTTTTCATATAATCTAATTACTTGTTTGGAACATAATATCATAGAATTTTATTTTTCATTCAGATACTCACCAATTTCTGATAGTAAACAAAAAAAAATGTCCCCCAAATCTCAATTCCTGACTCCGCTCCATATATATATCATCTTGAGATTTCTGATTTTGATGTTTTTTCCTTTGAATAATTCTTAGTTTGTAGAATATATATTTAACCACTTTGGCTCATGACTTCTCTCTTTGGTTCTTTCTTTCATCAACACATGGCTCAACCACAATGTACTAACAAAAGTATTTCTTACATCATAAGGAAGAAATGGGTCGCATAAGAGTAGCTATGACAAAGATTACCCTCACTTTCAAACTCTGTTTTGGAAAAACGAGTTCCGATAGCAACGAGTCTCAACAACTCGATGCTCCTGTCAGCCCCGATAATAACACATCGCAACGAGTAGATGCTCCTATAAGTTTTGGAAGGAGAAGTTCTGATCATAATGCCTCCCAACTACAAGATGTTCTTGATGGATTTGGAAGGAGAAGTTATGATAATAACACATATGATCAACAACTAGATGCTCCAATTAGCTCCGCTTCGACTTCTCATACTGATGAGTCACTACATCTGTACATACCGACGTTGCCCCTTCCGAACGGAGAGTACGAGGTCTTTCTGAACTTCAGAGGTCCAGACAGGGGCGGACCCACGGGTGTTTGGAGGTGTCCCTGGACACCCCTAAATTTTGGGAAAACGATTATCCAACCTCCGGTGGTAATTTACGTATTGACAAAAAAATTATAATTGATAGTCGGGGACACCCCTAAATCTAAAAAAGTGATTATCCTACTCTCATCTTTTAGTTTGAGTATGAGAATATAAGTGAATGTTTGGGTAATTCAAACCTAGGACACTTTTATTTTAATAAACATAATTTCCATTAGGCTACAAATCATATGTTATTCGATTTTAAACACTGTGTAATAGTATAATGTCATTCTCTATCTCTAATTATTTTCAAAATCTAACAATTAAACAAATTTTAAGCTACCATTAATTTGTATTGATTTATGGTGGCACGACAAGTGTTGAAAGAGTCTTTTCAGCTTTGGTTTACATCAAGAACAAGTTTAGAAATCGAATATGTGACCAGTTCGTGAATGATTGTCTAATATGATATACAGAGACAATTTTTTTTTTGAACAATGTAGACCCCAAGTGTGTTCTACAATCATTTTTTAATATGAAAACACATCGTGAATTTTTTCAAGCTGTATGACTGTATGAGTAAGGTATTTCTTATTTAAATATTTTTTTTATTATTTTAGAATTATTTGTATTTAATTTATTTTTTAAAAGAGGACACCCCTATGTAAAATTTCTGGGTCCGCCACTGGGTCCAGACACCCGTCGCAACATCACAGACCTCATCTATCGTTTCCTCGTCCACTTGAAGATTCGCACATTCAGGGATGATGATGAACTTCGTGTGGGTGAAGGAATATGGCCCGAACTTGTCAGAGCCATCGGTCAGTCCAAAATTTATGTTGTGATATTCTCAGAGGGTTATGCAGATAGCAAATGGTGTCTCAAAGAGCTCGCGGAAATCGTTGAACAACGAAAGCAAGGCAAAGGACACATCGTGATCCCCATTTTTCATATGGTGGATCCTTCCGATGTACGACATCAAACGGGTTCTTATGAGGATTCATTTCGACGACATCAAATGGAGTTTGATGAAAGGATTGTACAAAATTGGAAAAACGCTATGAAGGAGGTTGGTAATCTAAAAGGATATCCCATCAACAGCGAAGAAGGGTATGTGACGCAACCCATTCGCCCTTGCTTTTGTAATATATTTCCCTTTCTATTTTTCTTATCGTATTATACAAAAAAATTACCACTAATGCACCTTTTACTATACATTTCTTTACGGGTTAATTGCATCATTAGTCATTGATTTTTTTATAATTCTTTTTACCGTCTGTTATTGCATATTTTTCAAACACAAAGCCACCACTTTAATATGTCACTCTATTATTTTTTTTTTCTCAAATATGTCTCTCTCTTACTTTTTACATCAAACTTATCTTTATATTTTACAAAAATGATCAAACATACACTTCTGTTAAGTTCTCCCTCCAAAAACCTTCAACTACGGTCGAACCGTGGTTCGAGAGGACCTTACCTCGACAAGAGGAAATGTTCATTTTTACCTCTTCATTTATTTCTCTAATTTCTCATTAAATAAAATTATTAGTGGTATTAGGGTACACAATAGAAACAGAAAAAAATTAAAGTAAAATTATTATAGGTATTGGGCTATACAATAGAAATAAAAAAAATATTAAGGTGAAATTATTTAAAGTATTTTAAATATCTAATTCGCCCAAATCACGATTCGACCATAGTGAATGGTGTTTGGATGATTAGCCACCCTCGCTACTATGATGCATATAAATTTCACATACTCAGAACTATAAATTGCGAATACAAAATTGCGAGGGTCGTTTGGATAGATCAAAGTGATGAGTCAATGTGCTCCAATTGACTCAAAATGAGATAATTGGGCCAAATTATCCCATTTGGCTGCAAAAAGTAAGAATGAGGCAATTGGACATGAGATAATTGAAATTGCTTCATTATGGATCAATCACAATTACTTGGGTGGGAGGGAGGTAATCTACATTACTCCATTTTGTGAGTCACTTTTCCCAATCTAAACCCTTTAATTACTATTTTTTTTTTCTTTCTTCCTTTTCCCAAGATGGAGAAGGGCAAAAGTATGAGGGCAAATACGTATTTTCAGAAAATGCATCATCGCAATTGTCTCACGCCAAATCACAAGCCAAACAAGACAATTATGTAAACATTTTCTCATACAATTAGCTCATTTTCTAAAATGAGACTTTTGTCCCAAATTATCTCATTTTGAGAAATTTCGATCCAAACGAAAAATTACTGAACAATTTGACCTATTTTTAACGGTGAGTCAACCTGCGGTTTGATCTAGTCACCCATTCCCAATATCTTGACCCCTCTGTTTAGATCTTATTCTTTGGAAAATTAATTATTGCTGTTCCCATCCAGAGTAAACCAAATCAACAAATTGGATCATGAGTGAATTTGACGAAAAAGTAAAGGGAAGGTTATGAAAAAGAATGTAATGCAAGGGGATAAAAGAACAAGGATATAAAACTTACAAAAAGTAAGTTCTACGATGGGCACCACGTTTTGAATTATTGGAGAAATTTTACAATGTTATATAGTATTGGTGTTATAGGGTTTTGTCGTTATGGTACAATTTAAAATTTTACATTTACGTTATGATATAACTTAAAATTGTACCTATACTTTGTGTACAAATTCTTTTACGGTACAACTTGAACTTGTATCTTTATGTGATGGTACAACGTCAAGTTGTAAAGTTGTACCATAACATAATGGTACAAATTGCTTTATGGTATAACCTAAACTTATACATTTGATGTTATGGTACAACTTTAAGTTGTACATTAAAGCACCAATACCATATAGCATAGTAGAAGTCTTCATTGTTATTGATATACAAAAGTTTTGATTTAAGGTTTACTAAGTTGGTTTTTTTTTAATCTGCATCAACTTTAGTGATACTTTGCTAACTGACATTTTGCTAAGGTCACATATATTTGCAAAATTTTCATTTATTCTATTTCTTTTGTCATTTTGTGGACAAATATTTGGCCCATTTTTTGTCCATTTTTTTAATTGCATATAAGAACCTTTGAACAATCACTTTTTTATTTTTCTATCCTGAAATTGACGTATTGGTTCGCATTTGAGTTTTTCGACTGTTCAACTAAAATTCGACCGATCATGTATATTCGGATTACGTGTATATCGGTGATGCTTATCCATCTTTTTATATATCAATTTGAGTTTTTTTACTATTCAACTAAAAACTGACCAAACATGCATATTCAGATCACATGTATATCGGTGATCTGTTTTCCATTTTAGAGTTCTTATAGATTATTAATAATCTTTGTGAGTTTTCCGTATATACAACTAAAGATAGGCTAATTATGGTATTTCAATCATGTGTATTTTGAGGATTCACTTTTCATTTTCAAATTATTGAAGATTGACAATCTTTGCGAGATTTCTAATATTCTTTGTTTTTTTATGTGCATAGAGTCATAATTTTGAATTTGCGTCCTAATTGGCTATTGAGTCCAATTACTCTCATGGTTCAAGTTCAACACAAACTTTCTTCACCTGATCTTAGGTTATACTATTTCATTTATCGATTCACACAATTGAGATTGTATCCTGTGAGTTTTATTTTTTCTAATTCACAGTACTTTGTATTTACAAAATGCAAATTTTAATAAAATAAGAAGTGAACATCCCGTGCGGAGCACGAGCTTTCGACCTAGTATCATCTAAAACCTAACTTTTCCAAACCTTACTTTTCCAGGGAGGGAGCTACAGCAGATATTGTTTCCAACCTTGTCTGGTCATACTTAAGCAAGAACAATTATGCATTGGATACCGATGAGTTGATTGGAATCGAGAATCATGTGGAAGAGGTAGTTCATAAACTAAGTCTAGAATCTGGAAGTGTGTCTACTGTTGGCATTCATGGTATGGGTGGTATCGGCAAAACAACTCTTGCAATGGCCGTCTATAATAAGATATCTACTCAATTCGATCGTTGTAGTTTCTTGGAGAACATACGACAAAAGCAACAAGAGACGGATGGTATTCTTGTTTTACAGAAGAAGTTAATCTCTAACATTTTGAGATTGGACTCGGTTAGCTCGATGGTTGATGCTCGAGAAGGAAGGAAAATTATAAAAGAGAGAGTTTCTCAGTTTAGAGTTCTCATCGTCCTTGATGATGTGGACGAGAAGTTTAAATTTGAGGAGATCTTGGGGAATTTCGAGAACTTCTTTCCTAACATTCGATTCATTGTCACTTCTAGGAATGTAAAAATCTTGAAAAGTTTAGGCGGAGATCGTCGATGCAAGTTATATGAAGCTCAAGGAATGACCCCGGATCGTTCGCTTCAACTCTTATGCAAGCACGCATTCGGTATGGACTCTCCTCCACCGGGTTTCGAGACCCTATCAAAAGACATTGTCTCCACCACAGGAGGGCTCCCACTGACACTCAAGGTTGCCGGCTCGTCCCTGTTCAGAGAAGACGTTGGCATCTGGAAAGACAAATTGGCAAAGTTGAAAGAAATACCCGAAACAGAGGTAGTGGAAAGCTTAAAGATAAGCTACGACACGTTGGCGCATGAAGCAAAACAAATATTTCTAGACATCGCTTGTTTCTTTATCGGAGAAGACAAAGAAAATGCTTCTTACATGTGGAGCGATTGCAACTTTTATCCCATCACCAACATCAACATTCTTATTCAAAGGTCGATGATCAAGATAGGAAATCTTAACGAGTTTCAAATGCATGATCAACTCAGAGACACGGGCAGAGCAATTGTCCGGGAAGAAGATATAGACCATCCTTGGTTGCGAAGTCGGATCTGGTCAAGAGATGTAGCTAGGGATTTATTACTTAACAAGAAGGTAACTTCCACTTAATTTAGAATCAATGCCAATAAACATATACAAGCTTCTAGTGACGATTATTGGCTTGTTCTTTTTTTGTTTTTTCACAGGGAACAGACAAGGTTAAAGCCATTAGAGTGAACTCTATTCTGGGTCTCGAAAGTGAGCACTTCTCAAATTTGTCAGAGTTGAGATACTTTGATGGACAAGCTACGTCGCTAAGAGGAGATTTTAGTGCCCTTCTTCCAAATTTGAGATGGCTTCAATTGCAACACCATGAAGAAAGTCCGAATGGTCATCTCACCAATTTTCATATGAAAAATTTGGTGATTTTTAATTTTTCCTTCAGCGAACTAGTTGGAGACGACTGGGGAGGTTGGAGCCATATCAAGGTCTGACTATCACCTAGCAAAACTAGTAACCGTAATGATTCACCGCATTTATAAATTATAATGACTCGAACCGTTATAATAGAACGCATCGACAAATTTCGTACTATCTCTACTATGTTCGATGTTGTAGCGACTTGTATTTGTAATGTAGTAGTTAATGTTTTTCTTCTTTGTGTGGTGTGAATGCAGATGGCAACGAAGTTGAAAGTTCTGGATCTTTCCGACCCGAATCCTTATCTGACGAAACTACCTGAATTCCCGGAATCCGGGAGTCTAGAGCTGTTGAACATTAGCAATTTCGCGTACCTGTTTCTCTTGAGTTCTTATGTGGAGCTGGATATGAGGAATTTGCTGAACTTGAAAGTGTTGAACCTGAATAACTGTAAACTGAGGAAGATTAAAGGTGGAACCTTGGGAATGATGAAGGGGCTTCGAGAGCTCGATCTCACTAACATCAAGTTCATAGAGGATGGGAGCGAATGGCTGGCTGACATTGGGGAACTGCCATTGCTCGAAATCCTGAGAGCCGAAGAGGCGTCGTTTGATGAGTATCGTCAACATGAAGTGCTGGCAGGGATCAAGCTCCCTACAAGTTTGAAGGTGCTGACCACTTCATCCGCGCTGGCCAACCTCGCAGAGCTGCTACAGTTGCGAGAACTCAGGATCATCCGGTGTAGGACGAGGGTGGTGATCCCGGAGACCAGCACATTGTGGTGGAAGTCGTCCAAGTTGGAGTCTTTGACACTCTTTTACTCTCGCAACCTTATCATGGCCCCTAATGCTACCCTGCTTCCGTCGTCTCTGACCATGCTCTCGATCCACTTTACAACTTTGGAGTGGCTCCCGAACTTGGAGAATCTGGAGAACCTGATCGAATTAATACTCAATAGCTGTTTTGAACTGAGAGAGATCCAAGGGCTTGGAAGGTTGAAACGGTTGCAGTCGCTCACGATTGATTCTGCAAGTCGTTTGACTTGTCTGGAGGGGCTTGGGGATCTCATGTCTGGTTCTAACTGCAAGCTGGCCAAGTTAACGATGCTGGACTGCCCTCTGCTAACTACTGCACTAGTTGATGACTGCCGAAGTGCACTCGACGTCGTTCACTCTTTCCAAGAAATGCACATTGATGGATGTCCACGGTTGGATGGTGGCTCCATACCCCGACTATCAAAACTGCCGAGGCTTAAGATCTTGCGAATTGGGGGTATATCGAGGTTCGATGGCGATCACGATGGATCAGCACTGCTGGAGGGGCTTGGGGAACTCGACCAATTGGTTGAGCTGGAGTTGGTTAGGTTGCCAACTGTAGAGAGGCTACCATCCTTGTCGAAGCTGAGGCAGTTGAGGCGCTTGGTTTTGTGGGACATTCCAAATCTGCGGGAGGTTGACGGGCTTGATGGCTTGAAGTCACTGAAGAGGCTAGTTCTAGCCCAATGCAAGTCTCTGGAGAGATTCCCTGCAGCAAGTCTTCCTTCTACATTGGTAAGGATGATATTGGACCTTCGAGGATGCACCAACTTCACCTCCGATCTCTCCTCCTTAGATGTCAGCGGGAGCAATGTGACCATCCGGTGGCCACATGAACCAATCACTCGGTACCCCAACCCTCGACCTGTGCAAAGGTTTTTCGACAACTAGTCAGACTGACCGAGTTCGGTTAGCACCCCCACCCACTTGGTGGACTATTTAATAAGTCAAGATACTGATTCATCAAGAAACAATGGTACTCAAGTAGGAACTACCAAACCTTTACTTATTCTTGTATTATATACCGTCTCTTGTAGCTTGCTTATTATCCGGTGCAGACACTGCATGGGCACACATCTGTAAAGTATGCAATGGACTGGTTATGCTACATATATGTGCCTGGTTTCTTCTGAGAGGAACCATTGCATGTATTTTACTTTGTACTAGGAATACCAGCTGAGTTACTACTTCATTGAGGTCGAAGGTAACCATTGTCATCGACTCACTCGTGGTAACGTAGCAGGTGATCACATAATCTGACCAATACCACTCACAAGTGAGATTCTCCATAGTGACAATCGAACCATATATCGCCCCAATGCATTAGCATGGTATCAACTATCAAGTCATATAGTAGCAAGACCAAGACCAACTCATGCAGTGCAACAAATAGGTTTTGTTGGGGGTGTTACTGAAATACTTCGTGCTTAGACTAAGTAGGAGGGCGCACAATCGACAATGCGCAACACTCGATACCCGTACAGGTATATAAGGGCTTGAAGCCCTCCAAAGGAGGGGACTTCTTCTCTCTCCTCACTTTCCACTATCTCTCTACGCTTTATCTCTCTACCTTATTCTCCCAACTCTTTCCTGAAAGTGAAACTAACTTGATCGTCGGAGCTTAATCCGGGGGGCAACCCCGGCTCTTTCACAGGTTTCTTCCCTCCCGACGAGATCAGACGAACGGATCGTGAGTCAACCCCACACTTACAAATATTATTGTTCGATCCGGAGCTAGATGGAACAAACAATTGGCGCCCACCATGGGGCTGGATTCGGAGGTCCATTCGTTCGATTTCGGAGGTCGGGAAAATCGATTCTACGACGGCAATATCATCCCGGTACCCACCATTCGGCTCTACTACAAAAAAAAAAACTCGCCGGAAAGATCTGCAAGCTTCATAGCAGCAGCCAACAAATCTCCGTCCGCTATAAACGAAAGCCACAAGCAACGAGAAGAGAGGATTTTTTGCTCTCCTTTTACAAGTAGTGGCGGAATCGACACTTCTTCATCACTCGCCGTCAGCCTCGCCGTCATGTTTCATACAAGCGAAGACCATATTTCCGCAGCCCCCATCGATCCAACCTGCACAAAGAAGAAGAAGATTCAAAGTCAACAGCAGAAGGCTCAAGTTATCTAGAATGGCCAGCTAAAGAAGAAAAAAAATTGCAGAAAAGTTTCAAAATCTTGACCGCCGGAAAAAAGTGCGGCATTGGAACTCCGACGAGGAAAGGAAGAACGATCAGCCCATAGTCATTGGTCCAGTCACATCACCCTTCTTCTGCTCTTTCACAAACTTCTTCTACCTTTTGTTATCAAAGTCAAAAAGCAAACTGTTTACATCAACATCACTTTCTCTTTTCCCGAGGCAAACACATTGAGACAGACCTGTCTCCCAAACCCGCTCACACACGCTCCCAGTGGTCACTACTCTCACCGCCTCCGTCGAAAGACAAGAAGTCGCCCGCCAGGCCAACTCGCGACAGTCCGGCCCGCTCCAGCCTTGCTCAAAAGCAAGCCCGATCCGCCCTCTCAAATCCACCACTAGCTCCAGGACACTTCGCCGCCGCCTAAAGCTAGCAACGCGGGCCTTACTCCAAACACGGCCCACTTAACATCAGGCAGATCCACCTCCTCCGCGAGACCCGACCCTTCAGAGTCATCATTTTCAGCATAAGTGTCGCCCGCACCAAGCCTGCGTGAAGGAAACCAACGGGCCCGCACCACTGGCCCAACCTGCCCAGCCCGCTGCCTCATCGCCAACCGCGCTTGGGACAAATGGGCCCACGTTAGACCCCCGCGCCCCATACCAAGTTTCAAGAGTCACAAAAATAATATTGTCCACGCGAGTGTTTGAACTCGCGCCAAACCTTTGGACACAAGCAGAGCAACGAGTAGGCTACAAACCTTGTTTGTGATTCGAGGGTGCTGCGCGCTATTTAAAAGCTCCTCAACTCTAACTCGCGGCCCATTCACCGAAGATAGGCCAGCACACCACCGCGAGACCGCTTCATGATTCTCCGCATCAATCTACGCCAAGCCTGCTATCAGGCTCGCGGCCCAACGTCAAGCCACCAGTTCGGCACCGTCTCGAGCTTTGTCTCACGGCCCGCACAAATAGCCCACGCGGATCGGCCCCAAACTCGCGTCCCGCGTGCCCGCCTCAACACTCGCGGCCCGCACTGTAGGCGGCCCAACTCGCGGGCGTTCAACCGACAGAGAACTCTTCAAAAAAATGTCGTCACCGCCAGTCCTCGAACCCGCGCCACTGTTCCGCCAGAAAAGCGACATTACCAACAAGCTACATTTAAGCCTTGTGTTTTAATGGCGCAGCGTCTGCCTTTCAACTACTCCTGCCGCCGCTTCGCCAACATAAAGCTATGTACTCTATCTCTTTATCATTATTAAATATTGAAATATTTTACTGAGCGTTAATGGCGCTAATGAGGGCACATTGCCTCGGTGAAGCTACAAATAAGTCTCAACGAAGCACACAAATAAGACTTCAATAAGAGCATTGAAGATCTACAAATAAGTCTCAACGAAGCACACAAATAAGACTTCAATAAGAGCATCGGTGAAGCTACAAATAAGTCTCAACGAAGCACACAAATAAGACTTCAATAAGAGCATCGAAGATCTACAAATAAGTCTCAACGAAGCACACAAATAAGACTTCAATAAGAGCACCGAAGAAGCTACAAATAAGTCTCAACGAAGCACACAAATAAGACTTCAATAAGAGCATCGAAGACTCCAAATCGAGGGTTAAAAACCCCGACAAGCACATTGCCTTGAAGACTCCAAACTGAGGGTTAAAAATCCTGACGAGGAGAAGGCACATTGCGTGAAGACTCCAAACTGAGGGTTAAAAACCCCGACGAGGAGAGGGCACATTGCCTTGAAGACTTCAAACTGAGGGTTAAAAACCCCGACGAGGAGAGGGCATATCGCCTTGAAGACTCCAAACTGAGAGTTAAAAACTCCGACGAGGAGAGAGCATATTGCCTTGAAGACTCCAAACTGAGGGTTAAAAAACCCCGACGAGGAGAGCTCCATGAAGAATCTACAATGGGTGAAGGCCACACGCCTTAATGAAATACAACAACTTGGGGGGCAAGACGCAAGAAGCTGGCACCGCGTCAGTCAAACGCGCTACCAGCTGGGGGGCAACTGGGGTACATAGGGCTCCATCCAAAGTTATCGATGAAGATTTAAAAAATATATATATATATAGTGGCGTATTCGGTACACCCACTTTTTCGGGTGCACTCAGTGCACCCGCCACATAATTGTCATTCCGAGCATGTGATTCAAGTCAAAACGGTATCAATTGTTGCTTATGATATTATGAACAAGAAGCACATGAATTTGAAAAAAAATCATTCAAAATTTACTTTAATTCGAAGGAATTAGCATTTAGGGATTTAGGGTTAGGGTTTAGGTTTATAATTTGGGATTTTGGGTTGAGATTGAAAATTGAAGGTTAAGGGGTTAGGGTAATAGATTGATTTGTTATGATTATATGTCATATCATCATATTAGATTGAGAGTACTAATTAAAGTTCAAAATTTGATGTATTATGGACACTTTTAGAGTTGGGTGCACTGAGTGCACCGAAGTATATATATATATATATAAGCTAGCGATGAGTTAAAACTCACCACTAGTTTGGGGGGCAATTGTTGGGGGTGTTACTGAAATACTCTGTGCTTAGACTAAGTAGGAGGGCGCACAATCGACAATGCGCAACACTCGATACCCGCTACAGGTATATAAGGGCTTGAAGCCCTCCAAAGGAGGAGACTTCTTCTCTCTCCCGACGAGATCAGACAAACGGATCGTGAGTCAACCCCACACCCACAAATATTATTGTTCGATCCGGAGCTAGATGGAACAAACAGTTTCCACAGTGGCGCAGCCTAACTATAAGAGCCTACATCTGCATACCTGCAATAATACAACGATCCAATATTCTGCAAGGCAAAACCAACAAAAAGAAAAACAATCACAAACAATGGTGCGAAGTAATGAATCAAGAACAGGAATCCTAACATTATAATGAGTAAGAAGCTGAATAGATTATGTGTTCCATTAAAATCTCAAGGAATATAACGGTGTCATTGTGGGACTAAACCTCCACCACTAACAGAGAGGCTAGCATCGACATGGGGAATAAAGTAATAATAATCCCTTGAACTCAGGAACAGCTGCGACCATAAATTCAATAAACAGAGGGCAGATGCATCATGGAAACGTGTTAAAATAAAATGAAGAGGAAATCTTCGAAGAATAATAATTTGATTTCCTGTTGCCGGCCTGCCGGGTCAAGGAGAGAGCCATTTTTGTTGTGTATCCGACAGCTATCAGTGTAGAGATCATTTAGGAAAGAAGTTCTTTCTTCATCGCGATTGTCGATTACCTGGAATCATAGTGCAGAATATGGTTGTAACTTGTAACAGCCAAAGAGAATGCCAAAAGCAATTTTACTACTTCAGCAGGCCCGATTTTCAGTAGGATCATGATTTTCTAAAGATAGAATGATATATGCTTTCATCTTCTTTTCCTTTGTTTCCCCCGACAATCAAAACATTCTATACATGGTGACTGAGTTCTGTAACTATTCTGAATTTTACTGGATGGTACTATGAGATCTTCCACAAGGATTTGACGAAGCTTCTTGTTCTCTTCCAGTAGCTCTTCAATGATCTGCTGGTGCTTCCATAGCGAAGTTCATTTCTTAGTGGCCAAATGAAGTTAACATGATCACTCAAGGTAACGAAATAACCAAGTAGAGAAGTGGGTGATTAACTCGAAAGACTTACCATTGAAGCATGTTGTTTAGCGACTGAAAACTGCCAGCCTGGATATGTTAGACAAAGACTCAGCGACACATTCATAGCCCATCAAAGAAGGCCGATGCAATGGATCACACATACCACTTGCTTCAGGGCAGGGTCATCATCTTCTCTAAGAAATGGCTTCTGCAGAAAGCTGCTGAGAACTTTACAGTTGTACTAGAGGATGAATTGGCTAGATCCATTTCTGATGTTTGAGTTGTATAAGGAGAGTGCTGGTTGACCTTTCCACTTCCGGGAATACCTTGAGGCGATAAGTCGGGGAAGTTCCCTCCAAGCTGAGTGATAGCAGTTGCTTGTTGGTCCACTTGCCACAATGATACCACCTGGCAACGATATTGGGAGGCCGCCTTGAATAGCTGACATATTCGGTACCTCTCCAAGTTTCATCATAACTATTGGGGTTAATACCCTAGTTTGGCCCGAAATTTAGCGTTAGTGACAGTTCTGACCCCATTTTTCAAATAAGACATTTATGGCCCACTTTTGAAATTATTTGACAAATTTGGCCCGACGTTTGGGTTGACCGTTAAAATTGATGGTCAATGATTTTTTCTGTTAGTGACTCAACATCCTATGCTAAGGTGGCTACGATGTGGCTGCCACGTCATTTATTTGACTTGAAAAAAATAATAATAAAATAGATAAAGCTAAAACTAAAACTAAAAAAATGTGAAACTAAAAACTCCTAAAATAACTCTCTCTATCCTTACTCCACCTCCGCCGCCGCTCTCTAGTCAGATTCAGTTCCAAAATCAAATCCCATCGGAATCGGCTCCGGGAAGAGACGAGCAGGGATGGATTCTTCTCTAGCTGGTCGGGAAGGTTGGACAGGTGATGCAACCCGGTGATTGGAGGAGGAAGAGACTAGTGCAAGAGTGGTTGGATGCGGGAGAGAAGGACCGACTATCACGGCGGAGCAGACATCACCGCCCATCACCGCCATCTTGGCGCTGACGCTCACCGGGCTCACGTGCGTCTGCCCCAAAACCCCATTCAAATCGCCGATCAACCCTAGATTCAGATGCGCCGGCCCATCGTCCTAGGTCACGCCGCAGTTTTAGATCCGCGGATAGTCCTGTGTAATCGGCATGACCCTGGTGGCGCCTTGTCTCTCCGGGAGGAGTAGCAGCTCGCCATCGAATATGAAGAAGAGGCGGTCGATGGGAGCAGTGATTTGGGGCTCCCAGTGCCGCTTCTTTGCTCGACTCTTCAACTGCGGCTTCCTTCCCCTTAGATCCCACTGGTTCTGGTTTGGTGTTTGTTCGTTTTGCATACTTCAATTGGGGATTTATTTATACCACTGCCATTGCCCATCAATTCATGAATGAGGATGAGGAAGAAAAAGCATAGGAGAGGAATTGGGATCTAGAGAGGCGAGGGTCGATTTGAGAAAAGAGAAGCTGGGAGGTGGATTTAGGGGAGGAAGGGTTAGAGGAGAAATAATGTTATTTATTTATTTTTTTTGTTTTTAATTAATAATAGAAATGAGGTGGACGCCACCTCAAGATAAGATGTTGAGTCACTAACGGAAAAAATTGTTGACCGTCAATTTTAACGGTCGACCCAAACGTCGGGCCAAATTTGTCAAATAATTTCGAAAGTGGGTCATATATGTCTTATTTGAAAAATGAGGCCAGAACTGTCACTAACGCTAAACTTCGGGCCAAACTAGGGTATTAACCCTAACTATTGTCATTGCTTCCTAATCCTAGGAAGTTCAAAATCGAATTTCAATTAGAGAAATGGTGAAGAAATGAAAGTCCCTACTCCCTAGTAAGTGGACAAACAATACTTTATAGTATACCAGAAAGCAAGCTTGAACTTTCTGCAACACCCCTGGTTTCACAGCAATGCCTGCCCAGTAAAGGTTAAGTTTTCAGCGCATTGTAACTCAGAATCGCCCTTCGGTTGTTCAACAGTCAACTAAGCAGATACTGAAGTATGAACGCAGAGCCACCAGATATGTCCAACATACTCCATACATAGAACACGACCTACCAACTCCGAATCCGTGGCCAAATCCAATTCCACAACCAACGCCAACCTCAATATTCATAGCTCCCACCTTCCTTAGCTGGAGAATAAGAAAGGCGACTCTAAAGATAAACCTGAATTGGACTAGTTTGAAATGACAAAAAGGCAGATAAAATGGAATCAATTCATTCTACTTACCGCATCATTTACATGTCTGCTAACATCAGAGAAGGCATCAGTGGCACCTCTGGTCGCACTGAGGAATTGATTCACCATTGGCAGTGCACCCAAATGAGCTACTCTATTGTTCTCCCGTCCTACAAAGCGCACACTAAAGCCAGGCTGAGTACGAAAATAATGACTAATCTCTTCCAGAATAGCACCCAACCGGCTATCTCTTGTGTCGGCTTGATTAATTTTGTCTATAATCACCTTCGCATCGCCCTCAAAACGGACCTCCGACAAGCCTTGCTCCACACACCAAATAATAGCTTTCCTGAGCACCAGCAATAGTCGAATCCGATTATTGAACCATGTGGGTGAGACTTTATTCCAAATATGAAATCTTTGTGGATCCAAATAAAAAAAAAATTCCAACTAAAGAAAGTAAAATATCAAATTAATACACAAAAGTTTTCCATCTCAACCGATATTGCCCCCTTAAACAAAAGAATCAAAATACAAAATGGGAATGATTGCACAAAACACATACTAGTAATTATTACTTAATCTCTATAAAAAAAATTACTACTTAATCGCAATTAAGTACCACGTAATACGTGAGCTCAAACACTCCCTTCTCACCGTGCCTTCTTTTCCTTCTTCCGGGTCGGGTCTAAAGTACAATGTCGTTCATTCGCTTCCCCTTGCCGGGGACCGCAACCACCACGATCACATCGCCGCCGCCGACACCGCCACAATCGCGAATCGGCATCACCAACACGTCGTCGTTTAGCCAGCTCACCCAACTCGCGACGCTAGCGGGCTTATTCCCAGCGTAAAAAGACACCCCCTCGATCCCCAAATCCTCCCACGTCGCATTCCCGGCGGAAATTCCACCTCCTCCCGCCGCCGGCTTCTTCCCCTCATTTCCCTCTGATTCCGGGCTCCACGTCTTCACCTTCAAGACCGCCGGCGATTCCTTCAAATCCACCACGCGGAAGCTCGAGATTTCCCCCTTTGAGCCAAATCTGCGCTGGGCCTCTTCCACGCAGAGCTCCGCCAATTGGGCCTCCAGGCCCAACTGGTTATTGGGCCGCGTGATTTTCAGGATTAGAGTATGGGCCTGGCCCCTGGTCGGGGTCGAGCTGAATGCTTCGAGCGTGAACGACCCATTGGGCTTCAGGTTCGGTAGATAGAAGATCGGGAGGTTGGCTCCGGCGGCGGAGGTGGAGATCATTCCCTTCTGGATTTCCCCCCATTTGTGGAGGAAGTTGCCGGCGATGAGGAGGTCGGCGACGAGCAGGCTGCAGCTGATCCCGACGGAGTATCCGCCGCACTTGAAATTCGTCACCTGCGATCACGAATTGGTCGGCATTAGGCAAGAGAGCTGGTCAGAGCCCAGCCCACGTTGTTGATCTGTCATTCCTAAATTTTTGGGCGCAATCCGTGAGGCCGACCCAAACCCAACTCGTGACAATCACCCACTCGTTATCTGTGATGATGAAAAATTATATGGTTTTTTTTTTTTTTTTTGAAACATGAAGATTTCTACTATAACGTTAAAGTACCGATAATCTAAAGTATTAAAAATTCCTCATATATCATTCATGTCTCTATGAAAATTAAGTTACATCTTTATATAAATATTCAATTTTGTCAACACAGTCCATATTCTTTCGAAATTTTGAAGTTAACATTTCGAGCAAAGAAATGCAAAAATAGGCTCAATTATCACGTAGAAAATATGTCTTATCCAAATAAATAGAGTATTTTTTTACCTAAGGAATAAATAGAGTATTTATTGAAGTATCTCATACTATACTATGTCGTTGGATACATTTCCATATATACCTGGAACTAATGCATGTATTTTACTTCTTAAATAAAAAATTTAATATAAAATGTAATTATTCGACCCCCTCAATATTCAATCAAGCTATTAAAATGTAAACTAATGAACATTGATATCACATAAAGAATATCCAATAATTAATCCCAAAATTATTAATTATTACCTGAACGTAGAGCAAGGGAGAGAACTCAAGACTCTGCTCATCGATCTCCTTCCAGAAAACCAGCTCCGCCTCCGCCGCCGCCCTGACCTCCCCCGCCGTCGCCATAAACTCCTTCAACCCCACCGCCACCGTCGCCTCCAGCAGCCGGGCTCCGCTGTCGTTTGACACAATCTCCATTTCGTCCCCCGTTTTCCTCAGCCGTCCTCCGAGCAGCGGCTGCTGGTTTAGCACCCGGGCCAGCGATTCCTTCATCCACCCGGCCGCAACCCAACCGGAATCCTCACGAACCGACCGGTTGGAGTAGAACAGAACCAGGTTGAAACATCCCTTCGTCAGCCCGGCCTCGTCGGACGGGGACACGTGGCGGGTTGTCCTAGGCTCTGTTATTCTCGAGGGAGGTACCGTCTGGATTCCTTCCAGCTGCGGTTTGGGGATGGTGGTGGTGGTTGTCGTCATCGCCATTTGTGTTATGTTTTTGCCTTTGCTTTTTTGTTGTCTGTTTTTGTTGGGTTTTGGATGGGTTTGTGTCTTTGGGGATATACATTGTTATATTTTTATTATTATATATAGAAAATGAAGACTTGGTACGTTGGCTCCACGTAGAGGCAATCTATTGGTAAATGATAAATCACTAGAGAAGTGAGTATGGGTGTCTGTTCGGGTCGAATTTCGTTACCAAACTGAAACAATATATCCTCGAAAAATCGAAATCGTTATCTTTCGAAAACCAAAAACTCGAAACAATATAAAAAGTCTCGACAATGCATCTAACTGGTTTGGTTTCGGTTAAAATTGAAAAATCAAATATGGATGGACCCCTAGTAGTGAGCATTGAATTTAGTTTATTTATTTGGATGGTGAATGGATTGAGTTTGAATTTTGAGGCACTACCTATAGATTAATACTTTGTTTTTATACACGATCAAAGCAACACATGTAATGGTCGAGTGTTCGTGTTGTTGGTTTTTTTTTTTTTTTGTTCATGGTAGTTGCTTCGTAGTTGCGTTGTTCTTTATAAAAATATCTTCAAATTAGCATACAAGAATTGAATTATAGAAGGACAATTCAACGGTATTAACACACAAAGATCAATCGCTCTTGTACTAATTAAGATATATAATAATTCTTTCACAATGAGAGAAATATTTTCATTACAAATTATTGATATTGACCTCAACCAAAATGCACTTTTGCATCAACCCTAGGCAGTTGTGGAATGATGGCATAGGGAACTTTCAAACTCCCAAACTCCATAGTCCATATATATTTGTGCCTTGATCAATCGGGGAATTCACAATGCCATATCAACATCAATATTGGTGTAGAGTTATATTAAGTTATTAACTATGGTGTTGAGAAATCAGAATACGGTGGAAATTGTTATGTGCTATTATTGAAACCACATAGGGTTTATATAGAGTATAGAGATGGACTTCAACAATAACCCTAATACTAATACGGAAATTGCTTAACTTCTACGACTCTGATAAGAAATATAACTCTGACCAATTAGATAACGGTACTCGTAGGATAGTATAATACTACTCGTACTACCCAATACCCATACTCTAATGACTAATACCCTCCCCAAATTGATGGTACTAACTTACCAACAATTTGAAAATTAAAACAAAAAACAACACAATGAAAAAAAATCTATAACTATGACACTAATAACTGCTACTAATCTCAAACTTCACGCCAATGTCGAAGAAAACCATGCCCCACCAAAACATTGATGGTGATGACTGGATGCAACGAGATCTCTTGCCAAAACTGCCTTGTCGTTCGAAACACCTGTCCTCCAAACAAGCTCCAAAAACTGACTATCGTGAAAACAAACCAAAGATACCTCGAACAACATCGTCGAACCAAGAAAACCAAATCACAGAACCATGTATACTCCGAACAGTAACATGGCAGGGTTTATATAGAGTACAGTGACAAACTTCTACAACAACCCTAACACTAATACAAAAATTACTTATCTTCTATGATTTTTATAAGGAATATAATTCTGACCAATTAGATAGCAATACTCGTAGTATAGCACAATACTACTCGTACTACCCATACTCTAATAGATCAATCATGTTCACCCTTTGGTAATTTGGTAACTCCAAATATGAGTTTTATATAGTGTTTTCATAATCGAATCGAGATGTTGAACATGAAAAGCTAGTGATTTCATACCCAATCGAATATAAAAGACATATATAATACACAACTCAAATTATCACTAACCAAAATAATTCCAAATTTATATCTTCAAGCACCAAAATTTATAAATTTATAGCACACCATTCAACCTATGTCCCAATTAAAATAAATCGTTTAATTTTCTCAAAATTAAAATTAGTATTAAAGTGACAGTTGGTAGTGGATCGTGTAAATCCATCAAAGAAGAAGAAGTAAAAGCTAAGTAAAATAAGTAACCATGGTTAGATGGTATTAGTTCACGTTATAATATGCATGCTTTCTTGAACATTTTGTTATGGTTAAAAAGTGTGAAACTAGTGGACCAACCAAAATGGGGTGGTTCATTATGTCCAATCATGAAACATTATTTTGTTCATCCTTTATCATCTAGTGATCAAATGAACCGAACCATAATTGTAACTATTTTGGTTGTTCAGCCAATTTTGGTTGTTCAGCCAATCTAGCCGTTGATGCAGTCTGGTTCTTATAACAAGGCTTTTACATAAATTATTTTACTACATGGACATTCCACCTATTTTAGTCAGTAAAAAGGTAACTGTCCCAATTAAGGGTGACTATTACATGGTAAATTCTTGAAGTCTTTAACAGCTTCATGAACACCATGAATGAATGAATGACTGAATGACACAGTTGCCAGAAAATGGAAAGTGAAACTGCAAGATAATGCTATAAATGCTTTGAAAGCAACATTCAATCGATGGGAAAAGTGGCCAGACAAAGAGGGAATACCTAATGCTCAAGCTATTGTGGCTATTGTGGAAAGTAGGTGTTTATTGTTTAAGTGTTACACCCAAATGGCCAAGCCCTAACATTAAATAGTGACCTAGCCAGAAATTATTATTACCCTAAGTAGAAAAGAAAGATAGTGCAAGAGTATTGACATGATCTAGTTAGCAGTAGAATAACTAGCTATAAGGATCCATAAATATACTGTTGGATAACAATGGCAGATCACAAATATGTTGAGCCCAAAACTAGGGATGACATAAGTATCCATATCTGTGGATATTCGCTCGAATCTGACCTAATTCGGTAGGGTAAAATTCATATTCATTTTTTTTTTCGGGTGTGGGTAAAACCCGAATCCGAACATTGTGAGTGATGGGTTGATGGTTTTTTCACTATCCAACCCGGATCCCCCGATTGTAATGTATGTATTTTATCCAGAATTGGTCTTTTTTCCCTCTTCATATGTAATATTTTTAATATATATAATATTTTTCATGAAGTTATGTTATATTCAACTAATTTTCTTTGTTCTATTGATTTATTGTTGTATTTTTCACTTATGTAATTGTTAACATGTTAGTTGAACTTATGAACAAAAATTATTGCCTATGAATAACCATAAATATCCGAAACTCAAACGAATTTGAACATAATTTCGATTTTCTACATGATTATTGAGTGAGTATAAATATGAGTAAAACCCGAACTGTTTTGGATAGGGTAGTGAAAATGCACTATACTGACCAAAAAAGTCGGTATTGATTGTGGGTTCATCAAATCAAATGTCCAATCGGTGACTTGGATGAAATATGAGGGTGCAACATAATGGTACATGATGAATGAGAAATTTACGTATAACGAAAGGCTAACTATACATACCGAGTTTGTCTCAGTGTGATACTGGCTCTAGTTTGGTTGATTGATTGAGTAGTACATGAGAGAAAATAGAGTACTTGTTATGTCAACAAAATTGACAATTCATCAACACATAAACTCGAATTGGAAACAACTGAGTATGGTGGATGGTACATTATGGGAAGTTGATTGGATTGGATGATGCTGTAAATCTATTCATTGTAATTTTTTTTACAAAGTTTAAACATTAAACATAATATTATATGAAATGAGACAACACGATTGTTTTGTTATTATTATTTTAATACGTAACTTAGAAAAGAAAAAAAAATCATTGGCAGATTAGCTCTGTGATTGTTAGTTTGTGGTATAATATTTATTATTGAATCTTTCCCAACAACTCAAACTATTGACAATTGATTCTTGACACAGTCTCAGAACCTTCTGTGGCCGATAGGTCTTCTGTTTGAATCCCGACGAGCCCCACTTGTTAAACACATGGTATTCGGACCAGTGCAACTTTCAAACCTTTATGAATTGGATTTTGTTTGAGTGAGCGTCTTAGTATGTGATATAGAATTCGTCATTGAACATCGCCCAATAACTTGACATATTGAATAAATAAGGATGAATTCGAGATATACTATTTTTTTTTTGGGTTAGGGGCATTATTTACGGGGAAAAGGGAGTCTAATTCTAATGAGACTATAACTAATTAAGGGTGTATTAAAAAGCACAATTTTTTTAAAAAAAATTCCCTCTTGGGTTTAGCTTTGCTTTATGCCCAGCTTAATTAAATTACAGTTACAACCCACTTTGTAATTTTAGTATATGTTCTCTCTCTGTTTTTTTTAATCAATGGTTAAGATTAAAAGAAGTGTATTTTTGAAATGAAAAAAACTTACCACACTGAATCATTGACCCATATAAATGGGAAAAATCCTAACTCCTTCCTCTCTCCCACAGACAGCTCTCTCTCGCCCCCCCCCCCCCTCCTCGCGCGTCGTGGCCTGCTGCACACCTGTCGTGCTCTCCAGTGTTGTCGCCTCCGCACCGTCCCGCGACCCTCCGCCTCCCTCCCCGCCTGTCGCGCCCTCCACCGCTGCCTCATCGTCCCATGACCCTCTACCTCCCTCAACCCCCGTCTCGCGACCCTCCTCTGTCTCACTCCACCTCCTGACGCGCCATCCACCCTTGCCGGTGCCATCTCTCTTGTTGCCCTTCTCTACCGCCGACCTCATCCATTGACATCGTCGCCTCCTTTGCTCACCTCTTCCGGTGTGTGTCCCTCTACCACTATACTCTTCCTCTCCTCCCTTTCGTTTTTCATATATTTGATTTTTGGATTTTCATATTTGATTTTTTTTTCTAGTGGTAATGATTTTCTTCTAGTAGTGGTACGAGATGGAGTGGTACGCTACCACTACCAGCTACCATATGGTAGTGATAGCGTTGTACTGGTAGTGGTACCAATGGTAGTGGTAGCGTACCACTAAAGCACTGACGGGTGGTAATTTTTTGCAGGTGGTCGGAGCGAGTTTGATTCAAGAATTTCGCCAGAGAAAGTCTGTCGGTCGGAAAGTCAGCCGATCGGAGAAGTAGCTGCTGAAAAAAGAAGAGAGAGATAGGAAGAGAGAAAAATATATTTATTGTAGGATTTAAATTTTAAAAAAAAAACATGTATTTAATATAGGTTTTTAATTTTCAATGTGTAATTAATACACAAAATTAATTAATTAATACATTTTTTAAATCATACCCAAAATGTCCTTTGATTGTGAATCTCACAACTCCCAGTCTCCCTTAGCGGAAGTGAGCATATCCCGCTCCTCCTTTGACTTTATTTGCAGGAAACCAAGACGTACGCACGCACATACGTTGTCGGTTTAACATTTAACTTTGTTGGTACGTGGTTTAGAATTAGATGGACTTCCATTTACTTTCCTGCATTGAAAAATGAATACCATAAGGGAGGATAAGGTTACATTAATCATATGTGGCGACCAACCGTCACCGATTAAATATTCCAAAAATGAAATCACAGGGCAGCTGCCAGCCCACGTTCGTAACAGTACAGGCGTGAAAGGGATAGAAATGGATACATCATATCATACATTGCACACCATAAATTAAAGAACATTCAAGAGAGCTGCCAGCGCTAGCGAAAAGAAGCAACTTCGTCAATAAAAATAAAAATAATGTAAACGACGACGAAAGCGATCGACGGGGATAGATTCAGGCCAGCTGCCGTCTGCCGGCATCACATATTGGTGCTTGCCTGCTTCCATCTCATTGATTTATATCGATTTTCCATATTGTTCAGCCATGCATGCATGCAGATGCAACGCCCAACTAAATTGGGCTGACTACTTTCAACGCAAAGGTGCCACTCTCTGTCGATGAACATGATCGCGGTCCCGAATTGATAGTTCGAGAATCGGTTGACACATCTTCAAATAATTGAGGTATATATATATATCATATTTAGTGATTGGTGCGAGTTCAGACGCGAAATCTTTCTCAACCAGATTATCTTAATCAGTATCATGTTAATTGAGATTAGCTAGTTTTTTTTTTTTTTTTTTTTTACCTTTTTGGAGGCCACGATGGGTCATGTTGAATATATATATATATATATATATGATTCTGGCTAGCGTACGTCCGTCGTACATTGTACGCCCGTCGAGTTTTACTATTTAGAGCATGAATTAATCAAAATTTCGAACATGATACTATACCCTAACATCTAATGGGTGAACCCCAGTCCCTAATTCTGAAACCCAAGCCACAAGATTCATTTAATCTAAAAAATAATAACCGATGGTTCTGATTCGACAAAATATATTAAAGCGTAAAACCAAGTGTGAACACAGGCGTACAGCGTACGACTGACGTACGCCAACCTTTGCCATATATATATATATATATATATATATATATATATATATATATATATTATATCTTGTCAAAGTACGGGTGGGTAATTAAAAAGCATCATCGAGCTCTAGCTTATTTGAGTCTTGAGATAATGGAGTCCAGTCTAGGTAATTAGGAAATAAGGACTAAAAATTATTAAATGAGTGAGACAATTGCATAGGTGTGTTTCAATTTAATTAATAGTAAACACAACTTTTAGCAACCAAAAGGACAAAAAATCATTACATTTTTTTTAATTGTCACGTCACTCACTTAAACGGTCAACGATGAGAGTTGACCGCCACATCAGTAAAAGTTAACGGAGACTAACGGCCCGTAACCAAATTTGGACTATTAATCTAATTTAAGTGATCACGTATAGAATAAATTAATTTTAGTGACAACGAGAACTTTACTAATAATTCAAGTGATAAACTTGCCATTTAACTAGAGAAATAGACTTGTCATGTGAAACAAAACTGACTATTCATCAACACTAGCTTTTACCCGACCCGTTGGTCGGATGAATTTTGTATTATATTTTGTTGTTTTGTATTAACCAATTTGCATATTTTCAAAAAATTTACAGTCTTTTAAATAGTTTATTCATAAAGGGAAAATAATATTTGTGTTACTTTTGAATTTTATATTAGTAAGTAATTAGTTCTGGTGATGTGGCCATCCTAGGTTACTGGTATCTATATTTTTTTATATTTTAGAAGAAAATTTTATACTTTTTTACATTCAATATAAATTGCTTAAATTCTTTTTCTTTATAAGATTTGTTATTATCGATGTACGGATCCATACCTCTTGAATTCCAAAAAAAAACATGTAAAATTTCTAAAGTGAATTTAAAAAAGAACAAAATGCTACCGGTTATATTTCATATTCGCTACCACACACGGTGAAAGAACCTGGAAAACAAAAGTCACTGTAGGTCAATTTAATTTTGTTATTAGGCAATTTATCAGTGAAAAGAGAATGAGGCCCGACAATAAAAACTATAGGTTAGCACAATTGTTTGAGCCCAAATTAGATGAATAAAGCAGACAACTCTGAGTTCTCAAAGAGAGCTTTCACAAATATCTAAGGCTAGCAGTTTCAGTAATAGAAAATATATCTGCACATCAAAACTCATCGCAACTTTCAGTTCCAGCCCTAGCCCGCCAAAATATTGATCTTTCCTTCTCCTTCTTTTGCTGCAGCATTTCAATTCACATTCTAAAAATAGAAACATCAGCAGAATCAAGGCTATTTATATTAAATGTTACGTTATGGGGTCTGATTCATCGGCAGGGTGGCTGACCACCTTATTGCCGAAAAACTTGGCAACTTCCCAACCAATTCACCGCTCTCGGTCAAGCGCTCACATCATCCATCATTTATCTATCTAACTCTTAACATATTTGGTTTCTGATCTGGCCATGGCCGGTGAAATGAAGATGTTGAGTTCTGTATCTTGCCCATGGTTGGAACTTGGAAGTGATGGTGGCGGTGGCGGAACATTGGGTGTGATGGGAAGCATTTGTAATTAGGAAATGCACCCAGGCCCCAGTTGACTATCTTGGCTGTGAAATTAAAAATAAATTTGTGAACAAAAATAGGTGCATATGTACCCAAAAGAGGGGTAAATTATCAGTTAAAGACTACATCATTACTAAGTCATGATTGAGGAATTAGCATCCACACGAAGTTGGAATCGTCGAAGATTACAACTGGGTGTCTAAAGTGCAAATATAGTAACAACGGGGGAATAACCAAAATCAGCAAGTGTTTGGCTGAAAAACCACAGTGATTTCCATTAAAATTTCTCAGGTAAATTGGTGACATGATTGTCTGTAACTGAAATTGGTTTGGTATATTTAAAGGTTCTATTATGAAATAATAGCAAGAGATCACTCAAGAGATCTTGTATCAATGATGAAAATGAGGTAACGATTCTTGTCATATGAACATATAAAACATCAACGAAAGGAGGCATACTGAAAGCATAGTGGAAGATAAGTTGAACAGAATGAGAACAAACTGTAAACTTGTCGTTGTTGAAAATTAAGAGGCATATTAGGACAAAGTTACTAACTGGGCATTGATAAATAACAATTAGTCTAGGCACGTACCAGCGTAGTTTTGATAATAATGAAACATCTTTGTTGGTGATATAGCAAAGGAGCTTTGTGTTTCACCAATGTCAAAGCGGTGGGAACTGGGAAGACACTACAAAGCATGTTTGGAGTAGGAAACCATGCATAGTCCTTTTTGTTGATGAGAAATTGCAGGCCATGTCAACAATGACAGAGAAAATAATTAGGAAAAACAAACCAAGTTATTACAAAGAAATAGACACACGCCTTAAGAGTTCTTTTTCAAGTAGATGATAGAACTTTTGACTCCTAAAATAGATAGATTCAGCAAACTTTTTTTTTTAAGTGATAGATTCAACCAACTTATTTTCGTACAACTTGAAAGCCAGATCGAACTGGATAAATATCTAAACCAAATAAAAAAAATCGAAACCATATAGCAAAAATGACTAAAAGCTTTAAGAATAAAATGTCCCAAACTCCAAAGCCTTATATAATGCAAGTAAAATAGCTTATACTGACAATTCAATTGTAAATGAGTTTATAGGATCATATACTGGAAGGCTCAAACTAATCGCTTCGAAGTGTGGGAATAGAGCTAGTAATAAGGAAACACGTGAATGAAAAACATTGAAATTGATCAGATCACACATGATATAATGGTCACCTTCTAGAGCAGAACGACTAAAAGTGAGACAAACGGCTAATAAAGCAGTAGGGAGGAGAGGACATAAATGCACCGACTAACTCACCCGGGGTAAGCATCAACCCCCATAAATTTGTAAGGCTTCATTCGTTGGAGTGATAAACATATATCAGCCGAAAGTACAGGCCTGAAAGACGACATATGGATCATAGACCCCTACTCTCGAATCATACATACAAACACTGCATATTGAAAGTAGGCTAATGTATCTGAAAATGTAGAATTGATTAGTCTCCCCCACCAAATTACCCTACATTTAGAAAATATGCTAATTGTTTAAACCACTAACAAAAATTCAACCAAAAGAAGCGGTTCATGCATTGAAGCCATATAATGGCAAGAAAAGCAAGTCCTGATTTTGAGAACTAAAACCCACAATCAAGAATTGGAGGACTATGACAGGAAATAGAAAGAAATAAAGCCAAACCATAAAGAGGAGACTTCAATATCTCGGAAGCCAAGGGTCAACTTTGATAGCAGGGTGGAAGATATAATCGAAACCTGAGCTGAGCAGCATCTGGTGCATCGCCATAAGCCATCCTGCAAATTTGTGCATTTGAGAGCAGCAAGTCAATTATCAGAAAATTGCCAAGAGATTCCACTAAATTAAGGTGAGTAACTCCAAAGAGAGAACAAAGGAATCAAGAAATAATTAAACAAAACATTGAGGTATAACCAATAGGGATGGCAAAAATATCCGTAACCGTGGATATCCACCCGAATCCGACCTAATCGGGTAGGGTAAAACCCGAACCCGAAAGACATTTAGTGGGTACGGGTAAAACCCGAACCCGAATATTGTGGGTAATGGGTGGGCATGGATTTCTCACTATCCAACCCGAACCCGCCCGATTATACAAATGCATATGTATTTTCTCTAGATATAATCATTATTTTTCTCTAACATATTTTATATTTAGCATATAAGTATATTATTTTCATGAAATTGTGTTGTTTTAATTAATTTTCTTCATTCTAGTGAATTATTGTCGTACTTTTCCTCTTACGTAATGTGAGAATTCGTGTGAATGTTAACATATTGGTTGAAGTTATGAAGAGAAATGATTACCCATGGATAACCGTGGATACCCGAAACCCGAACGGGTATGGGCATGGTTTTGATTTTCTACCCGTTTCACATGTGGGTATGGGTACGGGTAAAACCCGAACTACTTTGGGTAGGGTAACGGATATGCACTATCCGCCCCCGACCCGACCCATTGCCATCCCTAATAACCAACCAAAACAATAACTTATAAAAAAAGGTCAAAATCCGCAAACCTCCCTCATCATTGCCTATCCGCAATCGAAATAGACCATTAAGACGGGTGTACCATAATCATATATGGGCGGAACCATCCCTGTCTAGGCTAGCATGATCCTCACATGACCTGGAATTAAAATATATACGATGCAACAAATGAAACAACAAAAATACATGTGATCGTCCTGCCAGTTGGTCACATAGGTCGAAACCCTCCTGAAAAACTTGGCCTTGAAAGTGTCCCACACCTGGTACATGTAGTGGTTAATCACCGCCGTCCCCTCCGCCACGTTCGTCGACTTGTACCCTTCCCTCAGCTTGAAGTGATGCACAATGTTCAGCAGCGTCATGTCGAGAAGGTCCGGTCGGACGAAGGGCTTGTGCCTTTCAGGAGCCTGCAGCCTGCAAGTGTAACCTACCGTCACACCTTGCTTCGACGGTTCTGTCAGCCCCGATGGGCCGAAGCTGTGGCACATTGTCCTCACCTCCGCGATCGTGGGCGAATCGGTGTAGTTCGAGACCATGGCGCGGAGCGAGTTCTGCCCTGGCAAGGGGGTTTGGCCACTGTAGTGAGGGAATTAGAAGAACTCGTCGACGTCGAAGAAGCCGACCCACTTGCACTCGTACTTTGCTCTCAGAGCACAATGCGAGAACCCTGCCTCCTGCGCTTTGATCCACGGCCAGACGTGCCTGGAGACATTGTGATTCCGCGTGTTGAGCTCGTCGGCGACGTCTTGTAGCCCGTCGTCGCTGTTGTTGTCGTAGATGAACCATCGCTCCACTCCCAGCCACGAGTGGTACATCACCCATTCCTTCAAAACCGACGCTTGATTCCACAGCATCGTGCAAGCGTAGAGCTCGTACTTCTCTTCCCCTTTCCCTCTCATTCCGTGGGATTTCGGGTTGTACACTTTCGCCACCGATGGCAGAGCTGCAGGGGAGGCCGAGGCAGGGGAGGCGGCGGAGTCTTCGACGCGGCTGACGGTGACGCGGATTCCTTCGGCAAGCGCGGTGTTGTTTTTCCGGATGCAAGCAGCAGACCACTTCCTGAGCCGCGGCGGTGGCTTCGGTGGTGAAGACGAAGCTCTCATCTCTGGTCAAATTGTTGCTCAGCGAGAAATGGCACCTGAATTCGGCCGGATCGACTTCCCTCCGTGGCTTCAGATTCAACCCTTTTGCCAACACCACCACCGTGTTCCAATCCAGAATCGCCTCGTAGACCACTTTCCCCCAATCGGGGACGGAATCGGAATTTTCCTCATCCGCCGTCGGATTCGCCGCCCTCCTCGAAGAAGCCATCCAGTTCCCTTCCACAACCTCGCCGCCGGGGCGGCGCAAATCCACGGCGGCGGAGTAGTTCACAGGTGGGAGCTCGCACCTCACAATCGACTTCCTTCTCCCTTTCACCTTTCCCCCTCTCTCTCTGTAATATGATTGGAATTGCGATTCCCTTTCTGTCGCTCTCTCTCTCTTAATAACAGTAGGAAAAAACAAAGGAACTGATGGAAGGGGAAAAGGAAGGAGCTTTGCCTCTGGATTTTGTTGTTTTGCACGCTTCTTCAGTAGACCATTTCTTTCCTGGGAAATAAAAAATAAATACAAATTAAATGACAACGTGGCCTGGCAGGAGAAAAGGTGGGTAGTGGACAGTTTTTCACTTTTTTGGTTCTGAAATCAGGCGGGAACTCTTTTTTTCCCGCTTAACACTCTGCCACATCAGCTTCCTAAAATCACTCTATGGGCAGGAAATTTTGAATGGGGGGTGCAGTTTTACTTTTCAGCTATAAATTATACTGTTGACACGGTCTCGCCGAACCCAAAACAGTTGAGCATGTGGATGCTATACATGGGAAGTTGATTGGAGGATTTTGATGGCCGATACTGTAAATCTATTCCCTGGGGAAAATTCTTTACAAAGATTGAAGGATTGGCTCAGTAATACTAGCTACAGAGAGTGATATAAGATTTATGATAATCTTCTCTCAACACTACAAGAAAAAAGACTTTTTGCAACTAATAAAATTGTTCCCTAAAGGTCTAAAATTAGTTATAAATAATTTTTCGCAACCAAAATATTTTGATTGTAGAATTGGTCGCTATAGTCGCGCTACAAATACCTAAGGCAACCAAAATAGTGATTGGTAGCGAAAACGATAGCAATCGCAACCAATTTCGTCAAAGGTAAACTACCCTTAAAATTTTGCGACCATTTTAATTTGGTTGTCATAGTCCAGCGCCAGCCTAATGGTTGCAAATGTAGTTGATTGGTCACCAAAAATATAAATGACAACCACTTTGATGTGACTAGTAGTAACCTATTTTTTTATGCAAATAGAATTTACTTACGTTATATAGGTAACCATTCCATTTGGTCGTGAAATTAACATATTTCAACCAATAATATCATCACAATGACCAATTGTTTAGGTTATGAAAATTTAACACAACCATAAAATGTGGTCTTGAAAAATACATATGCCGACCAATTATATAATTTGGTTGTAAAGTTTTTGGTTGCAAAAACTAATTTTTGTTGCGGTACAACAACTCGAGTTACTAAGACAAACTGGTTTATGACATGGTATCAGAGTTGGTTTGACGGCACGTCCTCGATCTGTTTTTATCCATTCAGCAACTACCCAACTAAAACCATTATTACTGATAGTGTGTTCACTCTTCTTTGTTTCACCAACTCTTTATATACGTGTACCAGCGGCGAATCCAGAACACAGAAGAGCACTGGGCCGAGTTTCATTAGAAAATTGAATAGTAAAAAAACATAATGATTATAGTTTTTTTCCAATGTAAATTGTATACGACGGTATTTTAATTTAGTGATGCATCAATAATGGAGCCTACATCCATACCAATAGTATACACGGTTTCAAATAAAATACTTGAGCAATCGGCAAGAAATTCATCGCTCATTTTGTTGAGCAAATCAGTTCTCACATATTTCATTGTTAAAAAGGTTCTCTTCGTAGTAGTTGTTGAAACGAGCAGCATTAACACTAGACAAATCAATCGACTAATCAATTGGCATTGTGTGTCAATTCCTGCATCCACCAATTGCTCTAGTAAGTTTTCAAGGGAACAAACTTCCTCTCATAACAAGCACTCATTATATCGTCTTGGGTATTATTGATCAGACACTTTAGGTGACATTATTCTTGTATACCAAAGATGCTAACTCAACCGAAATATCCTCAGCAGAACCATTCTAATGTTACCACAGTACACCTCCAACATCGATCAACCCATGATCCTGAGAGTCTCAATGAAGGGCAGTTTCTCTCCAGAGGCAAGGTGGTTAATCAGGTCCCTCAAACTTCTACCCTTATACAATGGCTTCAACAACTCATCACCATCCATTACTGCAGCCGGTTCCACCACTTCATCCATGCCAAAGCTAAGCAAACTCGCCACGGAAATCCTGCTGCAATTGTCAGGTGAGCATTGAGATACACGATGCACAGCTCCTCTGTACCTCCCATTGCTCAATACCTCAAGCTGGTCCCCAACAAGAACCTGCAACGTATTCTGCGCACCACCTGCAGATCCATTACTTTAACTACTGATCCCTCACTATTTTCTATATCTCCCCATTGTAATCACAGGCGCAATGTTAACTTTACCTTGTATAATTTCTGATGGGGCAACGGCCTCTTTCCAATTGCCATCGGTGGGATCCAAAACGTGGAGGCCGGGGCTGGTCTGAAGCAGGACAGTGATCAAGGTGTGGTCTGTGTGTGGAGGGATCCCAATTTGGGCTGCAGAATTGGAGAGCTGCTGCTGCAGCCCAGTGTGGTAATGGTTGACGGCCATCATCTGCATTCCTTCAGAAGTGACTTTGTGGAGCAGTGGCGATGGATCAGTTATGTGGAGGCTTTCCAGCATCGGTTTGAGAAGTGAAATGCTGAGGTTCCTTGTTTCCTTGCTGTACTTCCCCATCTTTGACCTGCATTTGCCAATATGGGTTTTGGAAGAAAGAACTTGATCCGAACTTCAAAAAAAAGTGAATCTTTTGTTACCTGTAATCTGTGGGATACGACGGCCAAAACTCGATCCAATCTTCCAAGGGGAAGCTATAAAGCTTGAGGAAATCCCTGACGAACGTCCCACAACCACTTCCATGGCCTCCCCTGCTATCCAGCACCGTACCAAATCTCACCGGCTGGTAAACGTCGCCGGATTTCAGGGCCTCCTTCACTTCCGGTGGAGCTTCTTCAAACCTCCTGTTCGCGTCCACGGCGTCTCGTATGGTTTCGTCGCTGATGCCATGGTTAATCACCTGCCGAAAGAAATTACAGTGAGAAAGCAGGAGGAGAAGGAAATGGCAGGGGAAGGGAGGGAAAACAGAGGACGGAGAAGAAGACGTTGAAGAAACCGAAGGTTCGGCAGGCGGTGGCAATTTGGTCGATGGCTTTGGCTCTGGTTTCAGGGTTGGGACTGTGTAGATGGGAGAAGTCAATGATTGGGGATCTTGAAAGCTCCATTGATGATTTGATTAAATGAAGCTCTTCCTTTTTGGCGGTGATTTAAATAGCCACGGTGCAGAGCTCCCGCTGCCCAAGACCTTATCTTGGACTTACGTGTCGGTGATGGATGAGCTAGCATGTAATTCGAACCAAAAAAACAAAAACAAAAATTACAATCCGCTTGAAATGCTAAGTTGTGATGTTAGTTTGTTTGATTGGTTAAGTTTTAAGAAAAGGGAGAATTGCTCGAACAATAAAAAATCGAACTTTAGGATTCTAATTGAGTGAACACTCATCTCCTCCACTCGTTTTCCTTTCACCTTCCTTTATTCTTTCCCGGCAATGGCTGCCGCCGGTCAATTCTCGCTCCTCTCTCCCATTTCCCCTCGATCAATTCCTCCAAACAAACCCTTCTCAGGTACCCAATCCCCAATTCTTCCAACCCGAAACAGAGTCTCAATCACCAGAGCAAAGAAATCCGGGGCAGATGTTCGTGAAGAAGAGATTGTGATAGTCGGCGCCGGAATCGCCGGACTTGCCACTGCAGTTTCACTCAAGAGGTAATACAAATGCACTTTGTTTTTTCTTTCTTGTGAATTTGTCTCTGGGAAATATGTAAAGTAGGCAGCTTGATTGGTTTTCACTTCAGGCTGGGAATTGGGTCGGTGGTGCTTGAGCAGGCGGATTCCTTGAGAACTGGCGGAACCTCGCTTACCCTGTTCAAGAATGGATGGAGGGTTTTGGACGCCATTGGAGTCGCCGGTGAACTCCGACCCCAGTTCCTCGAAATCCAAGGGTATGAAAGTAAAACTCTGTAGAACCTTCAATTTCCTTTCACAATACCTAAATTTCTGGTGTCCATCAGCTGTACAGGATGGTGGTGAAATCAGAGGATGGGCAGCAGCTTCGCTCTTTCAGGTTCAAAGATGAAGATCAAAGGTAGATCAATCATTCTGGGTTCTTTTTTTGCTTACTCTCCTGGCAATGATCTGAATCGTCATTTGCAGAATTAACTTCTAGCTTCCACTTTTGCTGATAGCACAGCCAAGAAGTGCGCGCTGTGGAGAGGAGAATCCTCCTGGAAACTCTAGCCAACCAACTTCCAACTGAATCGGTTCGCTTCTCGTCAAAGCTAGCCAACATCGAGACCTCAGAGAACGGCGCAACTCTTCTGCAACTCACAGATGGGACGCAGATACTTGCCAAGATCGTTGTTGCATGCGATGGCATTCGATCTCCGGTGGCCAAATGGATGGGCTTCTCCGACCCCAAATACGTTGGACATTGTTCATTCCGCGGACTGGGAGTCTACGATGGTGGGCAGCCATTCGAGCCGAGGGTGAACTATGTGTATGGAAGAGGAATACGTGCTGGATATGTCCCGGTTTCGCCCACCAAAGTCTACTGGTTCGTCTGCTTCAACAGCCCTTCTCTAGGTCAGTCCACATTTTGCTCCAACCCTATCGGTTTTGAATGAGCTACTCCTTATCCGAGCTTCAGTTCAGTTACCACAAAGTTTGAAGTAAATATTTCTGCAACTCTTGCATCACAGGTCCACGAGTCACTGATCCCTCCATCCTAAAGCAACAAGCCAAAGACCTTGTCAAGAACTGGCCCTCAGACCTCCTCAACTTGATCGATATAACCCCCGATGAAACTTTAAGCAAGACTCCCCTAGTCGATCGTTGGAATTGGCCTGGCATAAGCCCGGGACCTTCTCGAGGAAACGTGGTTCTGGTTGGAGATGCTTGGCACCCAATGACGCCTAATCTGGGGCAAGGCGCTTGCTGTGCATTGGAGGACTCTGTAGTTCTGGCAAGAAAGCTTGCTGCTGCGATTGAGTCCGGACCTTCTTCCACAGCGATAGACGAGGCATTCAGATCATATGGGGAGGAGAGGTGGCCTCGTGTCTTTCCATTGACAATCCGGGCGAATGTGGTTGGATCGTTGTTGCAGTGGGAGAACCCTGTGGTTTGTGGTGTGAGGAATCGCATTGTGATTCCTAAGCTGGTGAGGCTTGGACCGATGCTTGAACACACCGATTTTGAATGTGAGCGTTTAGTAAGTGCCAAGTGAATAGCTGATCAAGAGCAGTAACGACGGAGACTGATAATGGAACAAGAAGACAAGTTTGGTGAAAGAGGAAAAGCTTGCAAATTGGTACAGCTGAAAGACGACAACCTAATTAGAAGAAACAAGGGATACATCCAATGTTGGCTACAGAGCATAAATTCATTCTCTCATTCAACTTAGACAATGGAACAATGATTCGCAAAACCAGTAGCTTACAGTTGCAAAACTCTCAAGTGCTTCCGCTGCAGAAACATACATTGTGATGAACCCTTTTCGTTTTGCCTCACATGTTCAATGGCAGACTTCTGGGGTAACATTGCAGCTCGAAATCTCTGAGGTGACTGGTGAGTCGCCATGGAAATGCTGATGCCAATTTGTATGCAGGGACGGCAAAGTTCAGTTTCTCAAATTCTAGATTCTGCCAACAAAGGGGGAGGAGAAATTATTGAGACGAGATTATCAAACAGATCCACTTACCGGACTAAGTTTATATCCTGCAAAATCGAACAGACTTCCCCAATCTCTCTCAATAAGAACGAGTTTTTTTTTTTTTTTTCCCTTCCCTTTCCCGGAATCCAATCAATTGGTTAACGGAAGAACAACCCAAATGAGGGAAGTGATTTCAAGCAAAACCCAAATGCCAAATTACCCCAAACAAACAGCAAAACCGAGTGGATGCAGCAATACAGTCATTCGACGAGATCAACGTTCTTTCTAGCAAAGCCAAAATCTTTCAATATCTTAAGCCTGGAAGGTGGAGCGCGAGCGATGCCCAAAGCTCTCGAAATTGAACAGTAAGCAATGAAAAAAGTACCTGTGCTGGAGAAGAACCAGAGAACGATGGCAGAGAGGACAAGGACGAGAGGGATGAAGTGGACGGCGTTCTCTGCGGATCTGAGACGGGAGATCTCCTTCTTGGCCACGTGGGAGAGGGGATCGTAGGTTGGGAGATCGTGAAATGTGGTTGATTTGGATTTGGGGATGGAGTAGCTTGGACGGTCCTCGTCGGAGAACCGGGAGGTGCTCGAAGATCTATGCATAACTCTTCTTTTTTCCTGTATGGATGGATGGATTGAAGACGCGGCAAAGAAACTGGTTGTGGCGGCGTCAATACTCAAACCCAGCCGAGCGCCTTTTCCTTTCCTTTCCTTTCCCCCGCTTTCCTTGCGTTTACTTTTCTCCTGGTTTTTGTTTTTAGTTTTTAGTCGGCTGTACATAAATGGAAAAGTATTTTACGTAATGGTCACCAAACTTTGGGTTCAATACGAAATTGGTGAATTGAATATAAATTTGTAGCAAATTAGCTTGTTTGCTGTTGCTTGGTCTATTAGTATTGGAATTTTCAGCCAACTATCCCAAAGCAATAGCAAAAGCACCGTATAAAGTACTAATTAGATGAGAAGTTGGTTGAAATGAACAAGTGAAATCTAGTTAAGTCAAGCTAGCTCCTTGCTCAACAACAATTCCAACTTATATAGTGTCAAATCATCACCGCAATCTATTATTGTTTCTTTATCAAACAGTTCGTACAAGAGGGGATTATATGAAATTTATGTTGATTTAACTAAACCGACACATTGATTTGAGTTATAAATGCGAACATAATGAAAATAAAATGATGTTTTTTCTCGCTATATCACAGCCAAAATTGGTTGAACTTTGAATCTAAATTGAGTGACTCGATTACTAGTAAATTTTCATTCAGAGCTCATAAGACCCTGAGTATTTTTTTAGCTTTTGCAAATTGAATGTAACACATCCTTATTCATCATTCTTAACCAAACCAACTTAACAGAATTTCAACAATCCTACAAAATCAATATTTAACCTCAAATTGAACCAATAATCGAAATATATTATATATCAAATTTATTAATGTAAAAAGTGTATAATTTTGGGTACGTATGGCTATAAGGATTTCCTTTATTATTGAAAATAAAAGAAAGGATCGACCTTGCATGGAATCCCTACACAACAATCTTATGAAATTATTGAGTGTAATCATTCCAAGTGTGAAGTTCTAAACCTGTAAATTGGAATCCCTTTCTAGTTCGAGTTAAAAAAAAAACACAGTTTAAACGCGGTCACATGTGGCCCCGTCGACACGTCACAACTACTTTTCCGAACAAAAAAAAGAAGAATTGTCTCCCAAAAATCGGGGCTTCTTTATAATAATCCCCAAACACGCCTCTCCCCATCTTCTTCTCTCTTTCTTTCCTTCCCATCTCCGCCTGAAATTCCAATTCCTCATTTCCACCCAATTTCTCTCTCGTTCTCCTCTCTCTCTCTCCTGCCGCCGGCGTCAGCTTTGATTCGCTCGGCGATTTCAGTTCGCGTCGATCTCCTTGCGCCGCCGCCATCATGAATCCTGAATAGTAAGTAGCTCCTGATTCTCAACCCTCAATCATGCGCTCTAATTACTTCTGTTTCTCCGCCGTGGATATCGATTGTTCTTCGCGTACGCCTCAGAATTCTGGATCTGATCATCGATTACCGTTCCGGTTTCCTTCGCTTGCGTTTGTTCTTAGATCTAGGCGGTTATCGCTTTAGATCCGTTCTTCGCGTACGCCTCAAAATTTTATAGTTTTTATATTTTATTCTGCGATGATGTGTTGATGAATCAATTCCTGCTGCTCCTCAATTTGTTACTGCAGCGATTACTTGTTCAAGCTTCTGCTTATTGGAGATTCTGGTGTCGGGAAATCGTGTCTGCTTCTGCGATTTGCTGTGAGTTTTTTCTCCAACTGCTCGTGAATTCGGTTCGTGTTGCGCTTCAGGGTTTTCCATATCTAATACTCCTTTGTAGCTTAATGAACTGGAAAATTTTGTTAGGAATCCTTCAATTTATTACCTGACCTTAGTGCACGATGAAATTGTTAGCTATGGAAAACCCTGAACCTATATGTTTTTTATTTGGTTGGAATGTAATGTTTTTGTTGCCGGAGCTGTAATTTTTGGGTTGAAATTTCGTGGTGACGGCTTGTGATTATTTGTTGATTAGGATGACTCTTACCTGGACAGCTACATCAGTACCATCGGAGTTGACTTCGTAAGTACATAGTTTTGCTGGATCTTTGGTTGTTTTGTACCTGCTCTTTGTCTGTTAATGGTTACTAATCGCCATCTATGTTGTTGCTTGTAGAAAATTCGCACCGTGGAGCAAGATGGGAAAACCATTAAACTGCAAATTGTAAGTTGGCTTTTGCTCTTTTTCCTGTGGCTTCACTGTTTTGAACAGGACTGGTTTCTATTGTGTTTTGGTTATAATGTGTGCCGATTATGCAATACCCAACACTGGTAGTATCGAATGCCAAGGAACACGTTGATGCTCTGTATATGGATATAACCTTAGTCTAGTAACTGATTGCCACTCTCCACCTGCAGTGGGACACAGCAGGGCAAGAACGATTTAGGACAATCACGAGTAGTTACTACAGGGGTGCGCATGGCATCATTGTAAGTTAGACACCCTTTTCCTTCTGTCTTCTGCTTTATCTTCTGTCTATCTCGCTGATTTGAGTGGTCTGTCTCGGATAGGTTGTTTATGATGTCACCGACCAAGAGAGTTTCAACAACGTAAAGCAGTGGTTGAATGAAATTGATCGATATGCTAGTGAAAATGTGAACAAGCTTCTAGTGGGGAACAAGAGTGATCTGACAGCCAACAAGGTTGTTTCATATGAAACAGCGAAGGTAATATTGCCCTCCAAATTGTGTGGTTTACTGTACAATAAAAATCACGAGAGAAACTTTGCTGAAACAACTTTTACATCTCTTAGGCATTCGCTGATGAAATTGGGATACCGTTCATGGAGACAAGTGCCAAGAACGCCTCCAATGTAGAGGATGCTTTCATGGCGATGGCTGCTGCAATCAAGACCAGGTACTTCTGTTACTCCAAACAATTATATGCATGTTCTCCTTCTCTTTGTTGCTGTGATCTTACAGTGGTGTTGTAACTTGCTTACAGGATGGCTAGCCAACCTGCATCAAACACGGCCAGGCCACCAACCGTCCAAATCCGTGGCCAACCTGTTAACCAGAAGTCAGGCTGCTGCTCTTCTTGAGAAGCTAGAACCACAGGCATTCTGTTCGTGACGTTTAATCTCTTGTTCTATCCCTGTGTGGCATGCGAAACTTAGTTCTCTCTATTCTTAACGCTTTTGATATGAAAGAAGCAATTACTCTGTTTGTTCTCTGTTTTCACCTTCCTTATTTTTCCTCGTCCTTTCTGTTTAAAACTTTGATTCTCTGATTGTAATTTGAATTCAGGAAGGTTAAAAAAAAAACATTTGTACAAATTAGGAAATACTGTTGAATAGCAGCTCCGTTATGTCCTCTTTTGTCTCCCTTGTGTTCCACTCTATTATTTTCTACCGTCGCACACTCCATGGGAAGACAACTTATCAGCTTGATTAGATTAGGGGTTTGTCATGAAAGCAACCTGTCTTCCAATAATTGCGTGGGAGATTCCCCAAGCTAGAAGACTCTTTAGGCCAAGTCCAATGCAAAACCCCAAATTTGGGGGTCTTGAACGCCAAATTTGGGGATTGAACCCCATTTTTCCTTTTTTTGCTCTAATGCAACAAACTCCATATTTGGGGTTCTTAATATTTCCAGTTTTTCCATTTATTTAAAAATGTACTTATCTAAACTTTAATATAATTTATTCATGTTAATTTTTGTATAGTTCGTCATCATTTTTAAATACAAATTTTTCGATAGAATTTTGTTAAATTTCGAGACCGAATTTTTATTAGTGAAAAATTATGGACCTAATTTGGGTTTACACACAACACTTAAAAATGATAAAGCTAAATACAAAAATATTAAACACAAATTAAATAAAATCGAAAAAGCCTAAATATAAACATTAATTCTCTTTTCCCTAATTAATTACATTCCATTCCCTTAATCAATTTCCTTAAATAACTAATAAATAATTAACAAAAAAAAAAGCTCCAGCTCCAAAAATTGCATTAATTACATTAATTAATCCAATAAACAATTTCCTTTCTTCCCTTAATTAATCACATTAATTAGCAAGCAATTAATTACATCTTTCCTACCATTAATCACATTAATTGCACGCGTGCCAACAATTCTTCCATTCCCCATAAATGCCGATCTCGGCATTCCCTCCCCCATATTTAGCGACCCAGATGCCGATGCCCTCCATAAATGCCGATTTTCGCCATTTTTCATCTCTGCGTTGGAGCTCCAAAATCGCCATTAATGGCGAGAACTCCATAAATGCAGGCTGCATTGGAGTCAGCCTTATCTTTGTCGGTCTAGTTATGTAAGCCTTCGGGTTAACAAAATCTGCCACTCAGGTTGATGTTATTTGATCATCGAATTGGAAAAATGGACTGTAAAGTAGCACATTTTTTAAGTGTTGAACCATCTGAAATTTTTGTGGGGGGGATCTACCAGTAATCCCTACAAGAGCAAGATCCATCTTTGAAATGATGAAACCTCGTAGTGTCCCTCACAATTATCTCCCTCTTTTCGATTTCTGAAATACACTTTGCAGCGCGATGGCAATCCGCACAGATCCTCAAGTTCTTGAACACCCGAATTGGAACTCCTGGCGGCAGCTTCATCAGCCCATATGCAATGGCGAGCTTCTCACTGTGCCTCAGCAACAACTGCTTTTTCTCGGCTTCCCCAACATCATGCAATGCACATTCAAGATCAGGGACGTAACCGGCCAACTTCATCTTCTCCTCTAACTCGTTTAGCTTCTCGTGTATCGAACCCAAATCTGGATGAATTCTATCCCCGGATCTAAACTCATGGACTTTGTTCTTCACATCAATCCAACTGTACCCAGGTGTCTTCACCAAGTTGCTCCGATTCATCAACTGACGGACCCTGGCAACATCATTCCATTTGTTCATTGCAGCATAGACATTGGCGAGTTGAACGTAGGCAGCTGCACTCGTCGGGTCAAGATCGAGTAGGTTCTTTGCAGCAAATTCGGCAATTTTGGTGTTCTTGTGTATCCTACAGGCACCCAAAAGGGTTCCATATATAGCCGGATGAGGCTTGAATGGCGATTTCTTGATCAAGTCTACAGCTTCATCAAGCTTACCAGCTCGACTAAGAAGATCGACCATACAACTATAGTGATCCGGTTTTGGTTCAACCCCGTAATCCTTCCTCATCAAATTGAAGTAGCCTGTCCCTAGATCGAGTAATCCAGCATGGTTGCAAGCTAGCAATACTGCAACAAAGGTTATCCCGTCTGGACTAATCCCAGCTTTCCTCATCCTATCAAACAAACTCAGAGCTAGTTCGCCTGCTCCGTGCTGCGCATACCCTGAAATCATGGCATTCCACGTGACGAGATCTCTTCTGGGCATTTCTACAAACAGCTTCTTGGCATCTTCCAGAGCTCCACATTTACAGTACATGCTGATCAACGAGGTCCCTGCTGTTGTATCGATATGCAGTGGTGATTTACAAACTAGCTGATGAACTTGCTTACCCAATTGCAGAGCAGATAACTCACTACATCCCAACAAAACACTGCTCAAGGTTGAAGGATTTGGACTAACACCGCCGGCCATCATTTTCTTGAACAGCTTCACGCCAGCTTCAGCTCTAGAATTCTCGACATAACCAGAAATCATTGTGTTCCATGTGACCATGTTCTTCTCCGGCATTTCCCAGAACAACTTCTCTGCAGTTTCAATCCTCCCAAACTTCATGTGCCCGGTTATCACCGCCGTCCAAGCAACCACGCTCTTAACCGGCGCAGTTTCGAAAAGCTTCACCGCTCTATCCAACTCCCCACACTCAACATACCCAGAAATCATAGCGTTCCAAGTAACAACATTTCTCGACGGCATTGCAGAGAACAACTTCCCCGCTTCCTCCATTCGCTGATTCCGGGCTAGCCCGGTTATCATCGTGTTCCAAGAAGCTGCATCCTTGCGAGGGATTCGATTGAAGAAGCCTAGAGCCGCTTCCATGTCGGAGGTGTTGACGTAGCACGCCAACATGGTGTTGTAGGAGACGGTATCTGGTTGGGGAATTTTCACAAACACCTCCTGGGCATCTCTCAATCTCCCGCGCAACTTCGAGTAGCCGGCCAAGATCGAGTTCCATGTGACCGTTGTTCTGACGGACATGTTGCGGAACACGCCGAGAGCGGCATCCAGGTCACCGGATCGCACGTAGCTGGTGATCATCATGTTCGAGAGGATCACATCGTCACCTCCGTTGGGGGAAGCAGCCGGGGAATAGAATTTGCTCTTCGGAGCTGGACCGCCGGCGGATCCTGGCTTTGCCGCGTGGTCTTGTGGGGTTTGGCTGGCGGAGGTGGAGAAGGGAAGCCATGGATGTTCGGTTAGAGGCAAGCCCCTGAGGAAGCGATGAGAGGATGGGTTTCGTAGTTGCCCGGCGAAAAATGCTGTTCTCATTTTACTTTTATTATTGAACAGTACCACTCTCATTTGTAAAAGTAATCCTTTCATACAAATTATTCAATAGTTCGTTTCCTGCAAAGAAATGGCCAATTGGCCATAGCCCATAAGTTCGAAGTTGGTCACTTAAGGTCCACCTCTTAGTTCCCTTTAGATTTGAAACTTCAAAGGCTCAAACCTAATTCTACCCCCTTAAACAACAGAACCAAACCGCGATTACGAGACCGAGATAAAATGATATGTGGTTTCATAATATGATGAAATCATATCAGAAGTATTCATTTGATGATAATTAACTTTCTCTCTGGAGATAGTTTTGGTTAAACGGTCAATGAGCACAACACTCTCATCCATCTTTCACTAGGAATGGAAAGCACCATCAGACATTCGGCGATGCTTATCAAAACTCCACTTTGCTAATAATTGGACGAAACACATGACTCTTATTAGACTGGAATAATGAGACTCGTAAAACCGAAATAACGAGGCAAACCTATCACAACATACTTTACTTAAGCTATGGACGCTGCAATTCAAACACCATTATTACAGTAAGATAATTCAACCTACATCGTTGTTGAATTTCCTTGCACTCCAAGTCGCTTAAAAGTTAAAACTGTAACTCATCAAGATAACGGAAAACACACCAAGGTCCATAGCACATACTACGAAGGCCTTCCCGAAGAAAATGAACCAAGTTGTGAGATACATTGGTGTCTGTACTTAGGGTTAGAAACCTAAGCGCAGTTGAGGAGACCCAAATCAATCAACGATAAGATATGGAAGTGCTCAACACAACAAAATATCAAGAGAAACACAAAAAGGAAATATAGCGGAGACCAAAACGAAAATGGCAAGATAGTACAACTACAAATCCCTAAATTTGACAAAACAAAACTGATTCTAAATGCTAACCATCCAAGTTTCAAAAGACAAAATGACTCAAAGACTCTCCTAAACTTATATGTTTTAACCAAAAAAATAACAAAAAGGGGGACATAATGAAAAAGAAAAGCGACGACAAGAGTATGATGCTTATCCAAAGTTGCAGCAAAGGAATCACTGGCAGAAGATAGACCCAAGACAGGCATATCTAAAATTTACACCCAAATTAAAACTAAAACAAGAGTTGAATTTAAAATATGCGTTCTGTTCTTGAGCGCGCGACTCCTGATGATAACAAACCAATCCCCCTTCGACTACACCGGACTTCTCTTCTTGCAGCAAAACCTCACTTGCCGCCCAGCGACGGGAACTGCCCTGGGTCCTCAATGGATGGGGCTGACACGTCGCGACTGTTGTAGCCTCCTCCATATCCTCCGCCGGTTCTACCACCACGATCACCACGCCCACGTCCCCTGCCACGACCACCACCTCTGTAGGGGTTATCGCCTTCAGCTGGCTTCAGGAACTCGTTTATGCTCACAGCCTGCGTTTCATAAAGACCAATCATCAGCCAATGCCCATCAAGGTTAACAAAGAGAGAGCTAAGGGGGGCGGGGGCCAGACCCGAGAAACGTGTGATACAAGATTACACAAAACGAACCTTCTTGACCCTCTCTTCCCTTTCAGCAGCAGTTTCTTTCTTCTTGTCTTTCTCAGAACCCTAACAAACCCAAAATTTTCTCAAGTCATTACTTAAATTCTTGATCATATTCATAAAATTTTGTGGATGGGTTTAGTTCTCTCACCAGCTTGGCAAAGATTTCAACATTTTCCTTCTTGCAGGACAGCTGTTGCATGGACTCGAATTCTTTAGCATCGACCTTCCTTTCCTCGGTCTTCAGAGCAAGCAAAGCCTTTCTCTTCTCCTCAAGAACCTTCTCATACTCCTCCAAAGTCATCTCCTGCTTTGAAGGAAAACCATAGAACAGAGATGGAAATTAAAACAAGCCAAGTGTACTGACACTAGGTCACTACTGAACACACAAACAACAAAGATATGATTTATTTCCACCAAAGTTAACCTTTTCTAGATGTGTGTTGTACTAATGTAGAGATGCAAGCTAATGTAACAAACTTCACGCAATCGACAACTCACAAGGAGACGATAAACCGTAAAGCAGATGAGTGAAGCAGTTCATAACAACCACTGGACTGCATAAGGACATGAACTCCATCGCAACTTGAAAACAAGTGTAAAGTTGAAATAGTTTGTAGATACAGAGTATAAGATGAGAAAACAATCGACCTTATCCTCCTCAGGCTCTTTCTCCTCGGTTTCATTTGCAGGACTGTCCTTGTTGGCATCAGCAGCCTCTTCCTCTGCAGGTTTCTTCTCAGCAGTGGCATTCGCCTCATTCTCAACCACAGGTTCCTCAGTCCCACTATACCAAATAAACCAAAACACAATCAAACATCACAAGCGAATCGAACATCATACCAATGTTGTGACAATTGTAGAACAATAACTTACGGTGCAATATCATCTGAAGCAGTCCCCCAGTTTCCACGACCGGACCCTTCACGCTTCATCTCGCTCCTGATTCATACAAATTGGCAAACAATCTTAGTCACGCAATCAAACACTAAACTGACAAGCTAATTACTAAACCATCAGGGAAATACTAACCCGCGGCCAGTACCACTGCGACGCTCATAAGGCCTTCTAGGGCGCTCACCCTCACCAGCTTCCCCATTGCTGTAGCCACCTCGGCGGCCTCCACGGAAAGCACCACTACCACCAGGACGAGGACCACCATAGTTACGCCTCTCAGATGTCCTCCCGGACTCGCCATCTTCAGATGGCTTGCTGTTCCCAAAACCAGCATCGTAGTTGTTAGGCTCCCGGTTGAAACCACCGCCACCGCTTCGACCTCCGCGGCCAGAGCGCGGTCCAGCACCACGACTTCCTCCTCCTCGCCCACCTTCATTTCTTGATTCCCTCACTACTCAACATAACAAACCAGCAAGAAAACAACCAAGCTAAAAACAACCATAGCACTAAACAATCGAACCCTTAACCACACACTCCAACTGGGCACGGAATAATTAACATGTAGAATAGACCTAGGATATCAATCTCCATACAAACGAAAATCACAACGCACAGCTCAAAGAAGCTAAATAGTGAACGAATCAATCACAGCAATAGTCTCCATCCATCTACGGGTCCAAACCAAAATATGAATACAAACAGCTCAATAAACCGGGGTGAAATAGAGAAATACAGTGATTCGGAGCTCCTCACCAGCTTGAGCAGGGGCAAGCGGCTTATTAACGAGCTTGCCTTGCGGAGCTTGAGCAGCAGCAGGAGTGGCAGCAACCTTAGGCTTCTCCTTCTCGGCCTTAGCGATGAGCAAGGAAGGATCGTCGTTATCGTCGTCTCCGAGGAGATCGAAGGGGTTCATGGTCGCCATTTCTGTTCTTCCGATTACTTCGCGAAACCCTCCCTTCACCAATCAAATTAAAGAGCCTCTGGAACAGTATAGACCGCTCTATTGATTGCTGGACGCCATAGCCGAATGAAGAGAGTGTTCGGTGGGAGAGAAAATGGGGAGAAACGAGAGAGAAAATTATTGTGAGAGAGTTAATATGTGGAAAACCCTAGCCACTGCGGCTGAAGAGAAAATGAGAGAAGTGAAGAGAGTGAGCTTTGGCATCCTAATCTTAAAAACCCTAGTTGGAAGAGGTGGGAGTGTTTCACTGCGGGAGGGTGCAGTTTATTGCTCGTGGAACCCGCTGTGAGACATTAAGATCTGTTCGTTGATTGGCTGATGCCTAATTAACAAGATTCTTTAAGGTAATTTTGTTTATTAGAGTGACTAGCCACGGATCGCGGTTGTTCGAATAGGGGAAAGTAATTTTGGGTACTTTAGTTAAATGAATGGGAAAGTAATTTCCTCTTTTGGGTCCTTCCAAATTTCAATAGGTAAAGTTCTCTAACGTATAGAGAGTTATTTACCCGGTGATCGGTTATCGTATCTATTATTGTTATAAGCGAAATTTCTTGTTGTGTAACTTTCGAACCTCACAAAAGGCGTAACGATTTGGGCACTGTCTCGGAAAGAGGCTCGGTGAAATAAATATGTTTGTGATATGCGAATTACCTGCACCTAGACTGAAAGACCCTATGAAACTTCATTGTTCCTTGGGATTGGCTTTGGGCGTTTGATGCGTTATTGAGAGGAGTTATGTCGTTTGGATGAGGAATTTGAATGGATCAATTTGATCCAATTATTTTGTTTTTAGACAATTTGACCAAATTAACACGTTTGGCAACATAAAATTTTGCTTCCTCCGACGACGCAAACACAACAATCTTCTTCCTCCACGCCCATCAGTCGTCCTTGTCGCCCTCCGCGTCGTCACGCCATTGTAACACCACCAACAACCACTTCCCGTCCCAATCCCACTCCTCCACGTCGCATGGTTACTCGCCTCCAAACCGGTCGTTTCAAAACAAAATCCTTTATCACCGCCTCTCTTCCCCCATTACCCACCTCCCCTAGCATAGCTATGAAAAATCCATTACGGAGGTCGTGCTTGCGGATTTCAACGCTTTATTTAAGAACTACATCTGGACACTTGTCCCTCGCTCTCCTCACCACAACATCATCACTTGCAAATGGCTATTCTGCATCAAGACAAATCCTAGCGACTTTATAGACTACTATGAAGCTCGTCTCGTCGCTCAGGGGTTCCAATAGAGACATGGACTGAACTTAGGAGACATGTTCATTCATGTGATTAAACCCACAACCCTTCGACGTATAGTTTCTTTTGCAGTTACCTGGTAGGCCAGGTAGTTAGACATTGTCAATGCCTTCCTCCATGGCTCGCTCACTAAGGATGTATTTATGCAACAACCTCCTGGCTTCATTGATCCTGATCGACCCAACCATGTGCCACCTTAAGCTCTCCCTCTATGACCTCATACAGGCTCCTCGCGCTTAGTTCACCAAGCTCTTGATGAATTTGGCTACTGTGGCTCCAAGACGTACATTTTCTTATTCATCTAGTGTCATGACACTATTCATCTCTATGTATTGGTCTATGTGGATGACATCATACTAATGCGCAATGATCAAAGTTGCTTCATGCTACTCTCACATTTTTGCAACATAAATTCGCAGTCTGTGACCTCGCCATCATCTCATATTTCATCGGAATTGAAGCTCACCGACAAGCTAATGGACTCCATCTCTCACAAAAAGAAATATATCACTCAACTTCTCACACAAGCAAAGATGATGGGTCATGCCCATCTACACTCCCGCTGCAGTCACCACCAAAGAGCTTGACTGCACTCTACTCCGTGATGGCTCCTTGTATCAGTAAAATCATCGGGTCTCTACAGTATCTTCAGTTCACTTGTCTCGATCTATCACGTGCTATCAATTATTGTGCCCCACACTTGCATGCTCCTCCTCAACATCATTGTACAACGTTAACTGAATCTTACATTATTTGCGGGATACACCAGACCATGGCCTCCACTTCAGCACTCGCATAGATTCACAAATCTCCGACTATTCTGATGCAACATGGGACAACAATGTTACTGATCGTCGCTCCACAACAGGGTACGCTGTCCACTTGGGTTCTCGCCTCATCTCATGGTCTTCCTACAAACAAAAGATTGTGGCTCGTTCATCCACAAAAGATTGCCACCACTATCCAATATTTTGCTAATTTGTTAGCTTGTAACGTTGTATATATCTGCCATTTGAAGTGAATATAAAGTGTGCGAAAACATTGTAATTATAGATGATGCATCCCATCCCCGCTCTACAAGTTTTAATATCCCATCATTTGTGTTCATTTTGTAGATTCCAGTTGATGACTTGCTCCATCCTTGCACCTAGTCGCTCTTGGGAGTTAGAGATGACTCGTTTGGCTATGGAAATTTGAAAATGGGATGTGAAAATCATTGGTTGAAATTCCATGTTTGGAATGGGTGCAAGAATGTGAAAATCATTGGTCTGAGATTAAGTTAAAGTACCATTTAGCCCTTTCTTATGTAAGCTCATGATCAACCTCATATATAAACGTTTGCTTCTAACGAAGACACAATGCTTCAAGGGAAATCAATCCCCCACTTCTCGTTCTCGATCCTCAAACACAAGAAATCAATTTGCCCAAGTTTTGATTGAATTAGAAAAGAGTTGGGAGTACAAGTTTGCTTCTGTTTCAACAACCAAAAAACACAACAAAACACCACCATGCATCGACACAACAGAAGCAGCACAACAACAACATCGTAGCAGCAAGCCAGCAATAACACAATAGCACAATTAGAATATAGCAGCACAACAGCATCAACAACATCACAATACTAAAAGCCATTGGCTTTCCATTCAATAGGCGACTTGCTACTCAAGCTTAATAGAACCCTCTCGAATGACCAATCTAATTTCCAGAATTATTCTTCCTTCTTCATGAAGTCATCTCAATTCCATCCAGAATAATTCCAACATTAGACCTCGTCCATGCAATTGTCTCCACATTTGTGGATTGTACTAGAACTCCATTGTTGCTTGGTCAAATTTGGTCAAGGCAATCTATTGTGACAATTGTTTGATTGAACTAGGGTTTTTTAAATATCGACGGGAGATAAATAGTGGAATGAAGAAGATGAAGGATTGGGAGGAAGAAGATGGATATGAAAGGGAGAAAGCAGAGGGAGGATCGAGAAGATAAGGAGGAAGAAGATGACTCAGGGTAGGGGAGAGACGCATAAAGCATAAGTAAGAGGGTGTGTTAAATTTGGGATGAAAATTGTAGAAATGTGGGAATGTCAATTGTGGGGAGGTGGGTGTTGTATTTCCCATTTCTGCGATCGAGGATCTGTTGTCCCATTTCCATTGTCCAATTCCCACGTGTTTTGGGCTCAACCAAACATGAGATTTTAACCAAATTACAACATTAAGTGGAAATTGGGGTAAATTCTCACACCCAATTTCCACATCCAAACAACCCAGAAGGTTCTATGCATCTTGGCAATCCGATAGCCATTCAACCGGCTTTGGAATGATATAACTTTCTTCTATGCTTTAGTTATTAAACAAATGATTGCATCTTCTCTTCCAAATATGTCTTAGAATAACACAAAGTCTTTGGAGATTTTCATCTGATTATGTTTGAAAGACGGAGAAGAAACCATCCCAACCTAACTACATTCACACTACAGAATCACAACCTTGTTGATTCGAAGAGGTTGAGATGGACGAAGTCTTGGTGCATCTGGTCTTGGTGCTGGACGAGGTTGAGATGATGTGGAGGTTAACAAAATTTCAGAGTTGGAATTCGACTGGGAACAAGTACTACGGGATTTAACCCCGCTCGTTGGAAGCATATTGTTGTTGCCATGGAATATTGAAATGAAACCAAACATACAGAGCATTACGCTCGAATAAAAGTATTTCTTTTTGCTGTCTCTACACAAATACACAAATGCCTGGTCTAGTGCACGTCCAAGGTGGATCACAGGTATGGGTATTTGCTAGGGGTATTAATGTAACAATCTCACATCAAATCATTGTAATTGGGTTTCTTATATTTTGCCTTGCTTGTCAATTTATACGGTATTGAGTTGATCATGGATCTCGTACATAATTTCTTCAGAGTTATATCTATTTTGTTTTAAGTTGGAAATCACATTTTTCTCATAAAAATATCTAAAATATGTATATTATTATGTAGCTCGCCATGCACTCGTTTTATGATATCACTCCAAACACATTTCTCGTTATGCTTAGATCCCTATCGTAGATCCAATTACTTCGAATCTCTTTGTATGGTGTTAGAACTTAGAAGACGAAGATTGTCATTGTGAAATTAGGCAGTGTTACAATCACCTAATACCAAATAAAACCAACTATTGTATTTTTCTAATATTGCATTGCCTTGAACCATCAACATTAAAAAGTATAGTATAAATGATACATTATCGTCAAATCCCTTCATTTTGGGCTCAAATTCACCAGGTGTGCAAATTGAATTATTAACCCACAAATCTTTGTTTACCTCGAATATCAGCACCAGTTTGTCATTCCATACATTTATGGGCTAAACTACCAAATTCAACTCATAAACGAGTTTGGGGGATTGATAAACGATCTATATCGTGAAAATCGGTCCAGTCATGGACTTGACAAGGTAACTGGGTTTGGGAGTAAAATGTCGAAATGGAGTCGATTCGGTGGAATGAATTATTAAGAGGGTTGTTATTTGCCGCCCGAGATATTACTATTTGCCGCCTGCAAAATTTATGAAAAGGTCAATTTTGCCTTTTTATTTATTTTTCTAACAAATAATTTAGCAAAACATAATCTCAATCAGCACAAGGTGGAACTTTTTTTTTTTGACCTGAAAAATTTTACGACCAAAAGACGAGTTTGCGGCGACAGTGGGAAGGTCTCTGAAGACAACGACGAAGATCGTACGCCTGCAGATGGTCCGAATGCTGACATCAGCTCTGGTATCTCCGTCTAAAATGCAATGTGGGACCGCACATCCCTGTCCGAATGTCAAGGTCGGACCCCGTCCGATTGCCAACGTCGGACCCCGTCCGAATACCAAATTTTCTAGTCATTACTTAGTTGAATTAATTAATTAAAAATTTGGAAAACATCTTTAAAAATCTTAAAGCACTTTTAATTTAAGACCCATGCCACGTACTCCTTACTTGCATTTTAAGCGGCCACGTCAGCCTCTCTAATCCCCCGCCACCCAAACTCTAGCATGAACATTTTGGGATTTTTCCAGAAATAGCACCTTTAAAAAAAATTACAAAAATAGCACCCATTCGTAAAAATTTACACTAATAGCACCCTTTTTAATAGAACGCACCTTGAAGATGCGTTTTACATTTAAATCGCACCCTACAAGTGCGTTTTATAAATAGAACGCATCTTCCCAGTGCGTTCCAATAATCTGGATTCAAATCGCACTTTAGCCAAGCGATTTTAGGTCTGACCTAGTAAAATCGCATGGCCGAGGTGCGATTTTAGGTCTGACCTACTGAAATCGCATAGCCAAGGAGCGATTTTAAGTCTGACCTAGTAAAATCGCATGGCCGAGTTGCGTTTTGTGTCTGCCAGACAAAATCGCACCATGAGGATGCGATTTTAACATGCAAACCGCACCTTAAAGGTGCGGTTTTGGTCAATCAATTTCCGACATACCATGCAGACGTTACAGACGTGGGTCTGCATGGGCCTGCATGGCAGACGAAAATCGCATCTCTAAGGTGCGGTTTTCATCAGTGATTTTGCCTATAAAAGGCCTCCCGGACAACCATTTCTCTTCACACCTCTCCTTATCCCTTCCCTTTTCAATTTTCTGTTGTAGCTCTATATTTCTTTAGTAGTTTTGCGATTAACGTTAACTCGTAAGTTGATTTAGTATTACATATTTCTTTAGTAGTTTTGCGATTAATGTTAACTCGTAAGTTGATTTAGTATTACATATTTCTTTAGTAGTTTTGCGATTAACGTTAACTCGTAAGTTGATTTAGTATTACATATTTATTTAGTAGTTTTGCGATTAACGTTAACTCGTAAGTTGATTTAGTATTACTTTTTATTGTTAATTTTTATTTTTATGATATTAACTTAGCTACAGTTTTATCGCAGATGGCATTCCAAAAGTTCACGCTTGGCTTACGGTGGAATGGTTACACGGAAGAGAACGGAAAGGGTGCCACCTTTGTAGGTGGCAATTTTCAGAAGATAAAGGTCACTACCAGACCGCTGCTTGAAGACCTCCATCAAATGTGCACTAACGTTACTTGCATGGATGGCACGAGAAAAGTTGATCGTATGGTGTACCGATATCCAAACAGAGAAAGTGGGTCGTTGTGGCATGAGGAATATCTCATAACCACTCAGGATGAGGTAGACGCCATGCTCGAATTCATGAGGTTCAACAATTTTTCCAAAGCCGAGATGTTCGTTTACACCGAGCCGGTCGTAGGCGTTGGAGGTCATTCTGGACACGGTCAAACATCTGGTATCCATGGTGGAGGTGATACATATGGCGATCATCCCTACCAAAGTTACCATGATCCTCATTCATATTTTCAGTACCAAGAGCAAGGTGAAGGTCATCATCAATCATATGAAGAAGAAGTTCAACCGGACCGGCCCAACCAACCTCAGTACAACTTCCTCTCAGGCAGCGGTAGTTTTCACAACTACCATTATGGAGCTGATGAAGGTGCCTTTCATGAGCTGGATCAGATGGAGGATGTCATGCCAGCACCAGTCAGTGACCCCTCCGATGAAGAAGGAGAGAACAACGTCAGTGCAGACAGCTCCGACCCTCTTGAAGGTGCCGATGATTCCGGACCAGAGTCAGACTCAGCTAATGATGATGAGGGGGCTCGTGACCGTGTACCAGTCCCCTACTACAATCACATTCCAGACGACAATTGGATGGTCGACAGCGACATGGAGCCGCCAGAGGTCCCAATATGGGGTCCACTCACTGGGTTTATGAAGGGCCAACAATTTGGCTCGAAGAAGGATGTGTGTCACGCCATTGAGACAGAAGCAATGACTCGGCATTTTGAATGGCTCACAACTCATTCCAACACTAAAAGGCTCTTAGTCAGATGCCGTAATCATCACGAGGGGTGCAATGGTAGGATTCGGACCATCAACAGCAAGAGACACGGTTGCTGGGTCATATCCCGTGCGGTGAACACACACACATGTGTGTCATCCATAACTTCCCAAGGCCATCGACAGTTGAAATCCAGGGTGGTTGTTGCGGCTATCAAGCATCTAATTGAGCAAGAGCCAGACCTAAAGGTGAAAGTCATGATCGCTGACATTGCAAGTCGTTATGGTTATATGATTAACTATAAGAAGGCGTGGCATGGAAAGCAGAAAGCTCTGGCCGCCGTCTTTGGTGATTGGGAAGAATCATATGCATTCCTTCCCAGGTTAATTTTGGCATTGGAGGCGTCTAACCCTGGCACGGTTTTCTCCCCTCGATACCAAGATAAAGAGATACAACCCCCAGAGCCAGGTAACAAGCGCCATTTCAGACGACTTTTCTGGGCATTCAAGCCATGTATTGATGGTTTTGGCTTCTGTGTCCCTGTCATCCAAGTGGATGGAACATTCCTTACCGGCAAGTACAAGGGCACTCTCCTGATTGCCAGTGGGGCGGATGCAAACAGACAAGTCTTTCCTTTAGCCTTCGCCATCGTTGAGGGAGAGAATGCTGATAGCTATGGATGGTTTTTCCGGCAAATTCAGCTCCATTGTACTAGGAGGACGAACCTGACAATAATCTCTGATCGGCAGCACCCTCCGGAGTCAAGTAACGGACCGATGTTTGCTGATATCGATCCAAGTATGGGTCATGATACCCCATTCGACCCACTGCTGATGGAGTGACAATATCTTGCATTTGTTGGTTCGCCCACAAGGTGATGAATTTCTCCAGCTTCAAAGGCCAATCTCGAGTACCTTGCCGCCCATCTGGACCATGGAAGGCCCTTTGACTTTCGGGGACCTCCAACGGAATGCATTGCTCCCGACCAAACTGACGGAGGCATCGATCCGGCAAGTGCCACTCCACGGTCCCAAAACAAATGAGAGGGACCCTCGTGCACCATTGGCCGATATGCTCGGGGAATTGCTGGAGATGCCACTAAACGATGTTCTCCGGGTATAGATCGAAGATGATCTACACGCGCAAAATGAGTAAATTAAGATAGTAAGAATTGGAAAATTACATGTCTTCCATGGCAAAAAGGTATAAATGGATCGGAGTATAGAAGTTACCTCTCCTTCCCAAAATCGCTCAAACCTCCGCCGATACTCATCCAACTTGTGTTGGGCAAGGTTGTCACAAGTTGTGTGTCCGAGCCACCTTATTAATAAAACAATAATCGAAATTACAATAAGCTAAAACACAAGGGAAAATCAACCAAGAAAAAATATGATGGGTATGAGAAGTTTACCTTGTTCCATAAGCTTCCCCTCTTAGGGGATGATCGATTGGCCAATCCCGGTCGGGACGTTGTACCGATGCAAGCCATGGCATATGCTCCCAAGCCCAAAATTGGACGATGAACATAGCGCTGCCGACCTCCCTCACAGCTTTTAAAGAGGCATTGCACAAGTTGTGGTAGATATTAGCTAGGCAAGCGGATGCCCAACTATACTCCCCCATCTCCTCCCAACTACTGAGGATGATCCTAAGCCATCCACAACTAAGGAGATTGCTTGCTTTTTTGGAGAAGAACACTCCTCCGATCATGCCAATGAGATAGACCCGAGCATATCTCTCGATCTCATCCTCCAGACTTTCCTCGGTTAGGGGATGACTCTTGTAATGCTCTCTAAAGTACTTCGTCAACCAAGTAATTGACACTTGGTGTTTCCTCATTGGTGGCATGCGATCGGTCGCATCAACTTGCCCCTTCACTGGTACTTTTACTCCCAATACACTATAGATGAAATGAGCCCAACCGGGCATACCGTCGACATCGTCGGGGGCATGATCACTCACGCACACCGGTTTGCCGTCGATGGGGAGATGGGTTAGGATGGCGACATCCTTTAGTGTGATGGTGGCCTCTCCTTCTCTCAAGTTGAAGCAATGAGTCTCCTTTCCCCATCTCTCAACTAGGGCGGTGATGAGTTGGCGATCAACTTTGATGCCGTTAAAATGCCTAATCGAGTCCAATCGTGCCCTTTTGAGAAAGGGCAAGATGGCTGGGTGGAATGGCAGCACATTGGTCGTACCCCTGTAGCAGATTATTGTTTGTGCCTCCTAGGGAAAATTTACACGTTAATTATTATATAAACGTAAGGGTTTAATCCTTATAACTAAATTACTTAAATTAAATTATTTAACTTCAAGCAGGATTTTATTATCATAAAAAGACATTTCATATAATTAACATAATAGAATTATAAATTAATAATAATTTAAAGAGATACATACATATTATCATAAAACTAACATCCTAAATTAATTAACATAATAACATTCTAAATTAATAATAATTTAAAGAGATACATACTAATTATCGTAAAATAAACATACTAAATTAACTAAATTAAATGACATTGTTAATGAATCAATATTTTAAAGAGAAACATACATATTCAATTGTTTGAAATTAATAAAATTCCATTTGTACACATATAAATAAATCGTAAGGACTGTTTGGTAAATTATTTAATCGTTTTGGTTGTTTTCAATAATTTAATCGAATACAAAGCAACACTCGTTAGACTCTTAGAAGAGGTATACATCTTCTTAGAAACGCAATCTTGTTGACAGAAAAAGGGGGGATCCGAGGATCTCTTAATACCCGATTTTCCCAGGGAATGGGAGGATATGATAATCGCTTAAAACCCCATTTCCTTAGACGTGCATCTCTTTATAAAGAGTCGAAGTAAGTGGCGCTATGTATTCGATTAAATTATTGAAAACAATCAACACGATTAAAAATTCAACATTAATTTATTTTATATTCCACTAAATACATTAACAAAATAAAAGAAGGACAAATGGTAAAGAATTGTATGTACCGGGTGAGCGTTCCAAACATCCCTTGACCGATGGTTGGGTTGGTCGTACAAGTCGGTTGGATCCAACGGTCCTTGCTCGAGGTAATACCGTTGGTTGTAAATATCGACGTCCTCCGCAGCCTACGAGAAAATAACAACGAGGTTAGTACATAGATTAATTAAAAAGCAAGATAACAACAACAAAAATTAAACCCGAATAATGAGTACGTACCGCTTGAAATTCATCAACAAAAACTCCTTCTCCTTGCCACCAATCGGCCATTTTTTCGGCGCAAATTCGGACAGAGCTTCGGCTCGGCTCGGCGGGTTTTGAGGAAAAAACCTAAGAAATGTTTTTTGATGGCAGATCGGACTTTGCCGCAACCAACAGACCACTATTTCCTAGGCTTTTGGGAGGGGGAGGGTTTAGAGAGATAAAACTTAGAGAGAGAAAGAAGAATGAGTTGTGGTGTGAAGAAATTAGAGGGGAAGGGGGGCTATTTATAGGATTCAGATCGCAGGCTCCAGGGACGAGGCGGTAATTTTGCCCCGCGCGGATCGCATTCTTCCAATGCGTTTTCCGCTTCCCCAGGCGCAGATTGCACCCTCCCAATGCGGTTTGAGTGACCTCGGCGCGGATTGCACCGCTGGTGTTCGATCTGAGATCCTCGGCGCGGATCGCTCCGCTGGCGTGCGCTGAGCCGTTGGATCGTCCGTTAATCCGACAATCTTGAAGATCGTTCCGCGTCCTCCCCAAATCGCATCAGTTTAGTGCGTTTTATATAATGGATTGCACCCCTCTGATGCGTTTTACATGTAGATCGCATCTGTCTGGTGCGTTTTACATTTAAAACGCATCTTAGGGGTGCGTTCCAAAAAATAAGGTGCTACTTTTGTATTTTTTTTTACATGGGTGCTATTTTTGTAATTTTTTTTAAAGGTGCTATTATTGGAAAAATCCCGAACATTTTTCCGGCTCTCTGCCCTCGATTTAATCCCAGTCGAGTCCCGACATATTCCTCATGGCCGGCGCTTCTCTACCCTTACCAATGACACATCTGGCCCTGATTCCGCACCATCAATCCTACCTTGCCGGTGACTTAATCCGCCATTCACTGTCCCGATTTAATCTGTGATGCTTGCTCCTCCGCATCTGTCCTTTTTCCATTCCTGATAACATATCAGCCGCATATTTTCCCCAATCCCCAGCGCTGATTTCACCTTTCCTGCCTTCCCACCAAAATCACAATTCAATTCCTCTTCCTATTACCTTCCCCTGTTCCTCCTGATCTGTTTCCATCCCACTTAATAGCAATTGATATTATCGGAAGTTGTCATTAACCAAAATCGCGTTTCGCTGCAATCTCGCAGTCAGCTATTGTGCAGAGTACGACAAAATTGAATTTTTGAGGATTCATACTACAACCCCTAACCGCACCCTGCCGCATAATTGAACGGGTTCCCTCGCCAACGGCTGATCACTGGTCAGTCATTGTCAGAGTACGGTAACATTGAAGTTTTGAGGATCCTCTTAATTTGGGTGCATGTTGCATTGTTGCTCCTTTGTTTTAAAGTGCCATTTTCTGAATCCCCTCTGTTTTTTCTTCGTCATACAGCCTACAGTAAGCCATGGTTGTCTAACCTCTAGAGGTGGCAATTTCAATCCAATCCACCAATCCAATCCATCAATCCATTAAAAATATCCACCTAATCCAATCCATTTTATCCAAATCCAATTGGATTGGTGGATTTATGGATTGGATCCATGGGTCCTTGGCAAATTACGGTTTAGTACCTATAATTTTTATTTTTTACATTTTGGTACCTAAAATTTAATTTTTGTACGAAAAATATCATTGGAAAATTACATTTTGGTACCTAAAATTTTTCATTATGACATTTTAGTACCTAAACTTTTTACATTTTACATATTGGTCCTTGGTTGAGGATGTCATTTGGATTCATGGATAATCCACCAATCCATGAATCCACCAATCCATTAGATCCAATCCATTTGATCCATGGATCCACCAATCCACCAATCCAATCCATTTGCCACCTCTACTAACCTCTAAAGCGCATGTTTGACTGTTACATTGCAGATTTCTGTACCATATGGGTGCACAAAACTGTTGCTCTGACGATTCATTCATTGTATTACTCATATTGGTTTGTTGTTAGATAAATTCTCATGGACTCATTTAACATAGAAAACCTCCCAAGTCAATTTCATTGTGGAGAGTTTTGGTTTAGTTAATCTGTTCGTCCATGATTCAAGTTGTCTATTTCTATGTTGATTAATTATTGCGGATGACTACCTGCATTTCTTCATATTTATAGTCCAAGTAGAATACAGCGTAATGCATCAATATACATAGCTAGACTAGATAAGATATATATATGTCATGACAAATTACTATGTATAGCTATAAAATAAGAAAAATTAGCACAAACACTAAAACATTTTTAAGTTGTGACGGTTTAGTAATTGATATAAGCGCGGATTTTCAAGAAAGGAAATCTTATGATATGTTGGGAAGCTCTTATGATAAGCATCCACGTCTGAAACGTACCTTAATGCCGGAAAGCTGGATAGGGTGTGAAAGTTCATAGCGTTAATAGAATGTATAAAAGTATGAAAAAACATTTAAGAATTTAAGAATATATAAAACATATTTTAAAACCCTTTACTCAGAATATATAATCACATTTAATTGAAATACAACATTTCAAACAAAATAACATCAACACCCATACTTTTATATTTGAATCCAACAAATATCATCAACTTTTAGTTTTAAAATTTATGAAATAAAGCTCAATTTAAAATTATTAATTAAATTCACTAAAATGATATTTATATGTCTAAAAATAGATCATATTGGTTATTCACACCAATTTTATAACCGATATTGATTGAGCCAGATTCAACCAACCGACTTTCCATCAGTATGACAACCATGTATAATACACCCGGCCAAAGGCCGGGCACCAATCTAGTAACAATAAATGGAATTCATTGGGCCCATCGTAGAGCAGAGGATTGATTCAAAGGCCCCCCTTTTCCGAGGCCCAATCTGTTTGGTTTGCCCATTGGACTCTATAAGATCTCTTCTAGCATTAGGATTTCGCCGCTTCCACCAAGCGCCACAGAGGCTAACCTGGACGATGAGGAACGCCAAGGAGAGATCGCGAGCAGGGA